ATTTCCTCTGACGCGGTCTCCAGCAGAAGTGGCTACAGTGATCCTCGAAACATCATCTGCCAGACGAGCGGAGAAGATGGTGAAGGGAAAACATGGCTGTTAGAGGACAACTCCCCCGGTTTCTGGCGTGCCGACATGCGGTTCGGATACAACCCCACAAAGATCCGCATATACAACACCCACTTAGAGGGAAGAGGCACCAAGACCTTTTTGCTCAGAAGGTTACCGGACAATGGCATTATGAACCTGACCTATACCGACCCAGATACTGCGAAAGATGTTTACTGCGACCAGGACTGCTCACTCTCTAATAGTACTGACGAGAAATATCGGGAATTTGAATTCGTGAACAGTGTTGGCATGAAGGGATTCCAGTTAGAAATCAAGTCCTGGTACGGAGATGGCGCTGGTCTCAATGGAATACAGCTTGTGCAGAACGGTACGTTGATTGATTGCACTTGATCCTGTCGAAGTTCTGATTGCTAATACGTCATCAAGATATTTTCGCCTATGCGATCGATGATTTCAACGAACCTACATGTGCGGACCTCAAATACCCATCTAAGGCGACACGGACAGGGTCTTGGACTACGACTGAATCGGGTCAGAGCCAATCCGACTATCTGACGGCGAGTATCACCGACTCTACTGCATCTGATACGTCTGTTGTGTTCGAGCCGGACGTCAAACAGTCAGGAAACTATTCCGTTGTTGTTTACACTCCCGGATGCACACAGGACGGCACTTGTGGCTCGCGCGGTGTGGTCAACGTAACCGCCACCCTCAAAAGCAACAGCCAATCGGCAGAGCCTATCCAAAAGACGATCCATCAGACAAACTTGAACGACAAATATGACACCCTCTACACCGGACATGTGGATTCCAGTGATGGCTCTTTCCGGCCCAGCGTAACCTTAACTCCGGTAGCAGGCCAGGGTGATGTGACCATTGTCGCCTCCAGGGTCCGGTTTGCGCTCATCCGGGCATCCGATGGGCTAGATGGGGAGCTGAACGGATTGTATGACTTTGACCTTGCCGCGAAAACTACCAGTTCCAATTTTACCGAGTCTGCGGTTAACCGAGCTGGGCTTCAATTGGACGAGAATGCCACCGTACGAAGCTTGGCTATCCATGAGGGCGTGATGTATGCTGGTGGAAACTTCTCGAGCTCGGGGATTATGAACATCCTGTCCCTGAAGGGCGAGACAAACGCGACAGGCTTACAACAAGGTGGTTTGAACTCGGAAGTGTCTTCGATGACGGTATTGGATGATGTTCTCTATGTTGGTGGCAACTTCACCGATACTTCTGACCGTAGCAATAGCGATTTGAAATATGTCGCAGCTTATTCTTTCGGCTCTAAGACTTGGACCGCGCTGGGAGGAGGTGTCAATGGGCCTGTGCACAAGGTCATCCCACTTACGCTCAACGTCTCCACGGAAATCAACGAGACGACCATCGGTGTGAGCGGCGATTTCGATCAGTTGCTCGCTTTCGACGACAATACCTTGGTTAACGTTACCGGCTTCGCAATTTGGGTTCCGTCGAAGAAGAACTGGCTACAGAATCTGAACGTCACCCAGATGGCCTTCTCTGGCCAGTTGTCAGCTTGCACTAAGGTGGATAACAGTACTGTTATTGCCGGGACTCTCTCCTCGGCGGGGATTGCCGCAGCAGGTGCTGCGGCCCTCCTCCATGACGGTCCGTTGACCATCAAGCCGCTGTTCGCGAACGCCAATTTCACTGGCGAGACTTACACTGGGATTTATGACACGAAGTCCAACCGCAACCTCACCATTGTAGGAGGTCACTTTACAACTACGGGCACTGATGGATCTTCTGTGAAGAATCTTGCCCTGCTCGACGGCAAGGCGGGTACCGTCAAGGGTTTGGGAACTGATATTGACAACAACTCTACGTTTTTGGCCTTAACGTCCTGGAAAGACAAACTGTACGCTGGCGGAAATGTCTCTGGCACTTTCGAAGACTATATTTTGAATGGGTTTGTCGTATATGACCTTGAGAATGGGACCATCGCTCAGAAACAGCCTCCACGATTTACAGGCGATGCAGCGACCGTTTATTCAATCGCCGCTCGTCCTGACTCGGACGAGATCTATTTCGGCGGCCAGTTCGAGAAGGCCGGAGCCCTTCCGTGCCCGGGCGTCTGTTTTTGGGACGCCACCGACCAACAATGGAACAGACCTGGTGTACTATCTGGTACCGTGTTGGCACTGAAGTGGGTATCCAATAAGAAACTGCTGGCAATCGGCAACCTCACCGTCGACGGGAATACCTCCGCGATTGCAACGTATGACCCGAAGAAGCAGACCTGGGATTCTTGGACCATTGCATCTGATCTTCCGGGAACCGTGACTGCTTTCACCCCTGCTAGTGTGGACGTGTCCACCTTCTGGCTGGCAGGGGTTTCCACGAACGGCTCCAGTTACCTTGCCAACTATGCCGGATCAAAATTCCAATATCCTGGAGATCTCTTTGATCGTGGTACCACGATTCGTAACCTTGAAGTGCTTTCCCTCACGAAGGATCATTCTGCTGTTGATGTTCTACACAATGACCAGGCTCTCCTCGTCACCGGCCAATTAGTGATCCCTAACTTTGGGAATGCGTCCGCAGCACTCTTCAACGGAACCGAGTTGACCCCATTCATGCTTAGCTCGAATGCGGATGGCCAACCAGGCAGCATGGCTCAGCTATTCTACGAGAATGATAACCCTTACAGCAGCGAAGGTAAGCCTTTCCTTTTCTTACTCATTTAGACAATTAGGTGCTTGCGAATACTAACTGGTGCAGTTGGGAAACACCACTCCAACGGGATTGTAGTCTTAATCTCATTCTGCTGTGCACTTGGCGCTGTGTTCTTGATTGTCATTGCCGGGGTGATCTTTAATAAGATCCAGCGGCGTCGTCAGGGCTACATGCCGGGACCACAGGCGTACGGGACCGATCGGCCTTCCAGCATGCGGCGGCTGCCTCCGGAGTACCTGTTCAGCACTCTGAAGGCACCGAACCCGGGCACACCGGCGATCTGAACGCCTGCGTGCCGATCCGTCCCTCGCATCGCATCTAAACTGGACTTCTTTTTGACCACTCAGACCGGCGTTCTTGGGCAGAAAACCGTCTTATACCCGTACATTTAATTCGTTTTATGCTTTGCATCTCTACTATTTTAGTTTTCCATTTCTCTCCGGGCTTATCCCGGATGATGCGCTGTTCACTTCTTTTTGCCTTGAGGTGCTTCGGCATCCTCTCGTGTATGCTCTACCTTTGACCCGACCCGGACTTGTCTATATAATCCGTGGTCGGCCGCGTCATTTCTTTCATGAACTCCCTTGTTGTTGATGTTTGTACTATAGTCTTTCCCTGGGGTACCCGCCGGGGGGATACCAGGAGGCCATGTACATAGCTCCCGCGCGAGATCGCGGTAATGACAATCATGCTCGTTTGCTGCAAATCGAGAGGGTTGGTTCCGGTATCCACCCTGGCCATTGGCACGCTGGGTTCGCTGATTTTCTCCGAGACAGCTGGAGAGACTAAGTTAAGTAAAAAAGTGGAGCCCGCCTCGGATTGTTGGATCTAGCGTGGGCTGAGATTGGCGGAAGAACAGTTGAAAGGACACACAGCCATCTCGCTGGACCAATGACACTGGTCCGTGATCTGATTTGGACGTTTTTAATCCACTATGGCATCGCGTGAACACGCTGATCGTGAGGTCATGGTGCAGAGGGGATCGAATGAGCTGTGGCGGGTGTTGGGGAGGGATTTACTAGTACAGAGGACGAAGGAAGTAACGAGGAACTAAAAGAGAAACGGAACCGACTAAGAGGACGGGGCACGGATGGAACTATCCGTGGTTTGGGTATCGTGGCATCGTTTGGGGCGTCATTCGCGCTTGTCAGTGGACGGGGAGTTAGCGCTTCACCCATTGAGAAATTCCTCGGACTGTATCCACTATGGAATGATCGCTGGGAAGGGAACATGCCAAAATGGAACAAGATTGAAGGGAAATTACGGCAGCGGTGGAGAGGGGACGTGGGGAGGTTCTGGTTTTGAATTGAATTTTTCATTGACAGCCAATTTCGAAAGGAAAGCATTGCCGATCGATTCAATATTAGATGTATCTGATCTTAGATGTACATCCGGGTGGGATGGATCGTACAGACGACGGAAGTCCGTACTACTACTTGACTAATGGACGTATTTACCGTACTCGGTATGGTAAAGCTCAGCTCTCATCCCCAGGTCCCAAAAACCCCAACTCCTGCATTTTCCCCCTCAACTTCTCTCCCCCGCAAGGACGCAGCGACCACACTACCAACGCCGGAGAAATACAAACTCCGACCTCCCTGCCAATGTGAATCGCCGATGAGGATCCGGTCTAGACGGTTTCCTGCCTAGTGAGACTCCATTTGGGGGGCCTCAGTGGCTCCGAATTTCCATTCCCCGCTTTCTCTTTTGATCGTGTCTTTTTTCGTTTTTCCTTTTTTTTTTTTTTTTTTTTTTTTTTTTTCTTGCCCTTTTCCGCTTCGCTTGTCGCCAAGTCGCAAATGGGGGAAAAATATTACGGAACGGATCTCCTTTCTTGGGCGAAGGTTCACCTTCGATCATTGCCGATTGTCGATTACTACCTACATTCTTCCCGTTCCTCTCTTCAACCTTCCCTCGCCTGAACTCCCCCTTTCATATCCCCTTTGACATCCCCCTTTCCAAAATTAGTATCTGCTCAGTGAGTTTCGATTTGGGACTAGTGAATCTCCTTCGACTATCAATCTATCTTCGCCCCGGTTATATTGTTGGTCCACACCCGCTATTCGGATGCGGCACCTTCACCGTCGACGTTACCATCCGGTATGCGATCCCGCACAGGCTGGTACGTGGCTCCCTCCCCAAGCTTTGTCTATAATAAACAAGAAGAAAAAAAAAAAAAAGAAAAAGAAAAAGATATAGATTATACCAATACAATATCTATCTACAACATGCCTATGTCTACGCAAAGAAATTATTTCTTTTCCCCCGTCATCTGTCTGCGGTTCGTCATGAGTAAGGAAAAAGCTGATCAGTAACTGACTTGTCCGCTCCGTGTCATGCAGCTTAACGTGTCGTACTCGGAAACTCAAGTGTACGTTGTTCGCGCTTTCTTCCCGGAGCGGTTACGATCATGGAATGCGAAGGACTAAGACCAAGTGATGGATAGGTGATGAGCAAAAGCCCGAGTGTTCGCAGTGTCGCAAAGGCGGCAGAGAATGCCGCCCCAGCGAAGGGATCGTTTTCCGCCATCAGCAAAATGCCTCGATGAATAAGGACCCGAATGATCCCACCGGTGCACGGGGCACGTTGAAAGGGTTCTACTCGTACAAGAACACTTTTGATGAAGATAGTGTATGGTTGGATATCCCGAAACATGGTACGGGCACACCTCCCCGGGAAAGCGATTGGCATAGCCCTGCAGTGATACACGCACGGTGATGTCTGTGAGAGACGGTTTGACTGATGGACTTACCTCGGCAGTTATCTTTGTCGACAACTCCGATCCGTATGTGGAAGACCTCGAAGCCGCCTTGGGAGAGTCGGAAGCGGCTCTCCTCGCCGCGAATGCACAGAACCGAGACTGGAACGCTCAGCGGGCCATATCTTTGGACGGAGAGACCCAGGGTTTGAAAGCGCTATCGGCGGCAGCGGCCCACGACCAACTCCCGTATACCTCTTTGAATATGGACCAACAGCCTTTAGCCACCCCCGACAGTGGCGTAGCGTTTAATGCGGTTCCAGCCACGGTGACAACTGGCCCTTCGCCGAACCCGACATGTAATGCGATACCCGGTCAACCATCTCCACCGGTTTCGATTTCGCCCTCGAACAGCACCAATAATAATATCAACTTCCTTCTTAATCCCTCTCAATCTCTTTCTCCGCAGACGGACCCTAATCTGCAGTATGCAACGGCACGTAGAAGCTCTTCACTAACCGCAAGATCGGTAGCGTCGCGAGGTGGGGGCACTGTTGAATCCAAGCCGGACATACCGGTGGAGACCGACCGTGAAATCATGTTTCTATTGAGGCATTTCTCCGAGTCGCCGGGGCTCTGGTAAGTTCTGTGGATTCGCTTGATGCTGTGTCAGACCATTAATATGTGGCGATAGGATGGATTTGTTTGACCTTGGGACATATTTCGCATCATACGTGCCGGCCAAAGCACGGTCCAATCCCCTGCTGCGATACGCCGCTTGTGCGTACGCCGCGAAGCAGTTGGGCCGGGTCAAAGGCGCGCGGCCCCCTGCCGGTGAATTTGCCTCCACTCAGTCCCTCATGCGACGGGGACCGGATGCGAAGAACGTAGACTGGATCTGGCATGGCGCGAAGTATTATGAAAAAGCCATTCAGCTGCTAATGAAGGAGTTGCAGCCCGACAAAGGCCCCGCGCCACTCAGCACCCCCGAGGCATTTGGCCAGTGGCAGGCGGCCGAACTATCGGAGAGTAACGACCCCAATAACCCGCGAAAGCGCCGAAGGCGTTACTCGGAGAGTCGATTTTCAAATGGGGTCCACTCGGATGAAGTCCTTGCCGCAACAGCCATCTTGTCTGTATATGAATTCCTGGATGCCACTGGCCCAGCATGGAATCGACACCTGAGTGGAGTGAAATCTTTGTTGGATGTGGCAGAGGTTGGCATGATGCCCCTTGAGCAACACCCTTCACCGGGAGAAGCGCTGCCGCAGCCGTTGAAGAGAGCTGGTCTTTCCAAAGCCCGAAGGGCCACCTTTTGGAACTTTGCCCGGCAAGATTACCTGGCGGCCTGTAAGTGTATCCCGGATGCCTTTCGAGCGATCTTGGTGACGTCTAGACTCTAACCCGCGTACTGTAGTCATCAATGAGTGTAACACCAGGCTCAATACCGATGACCTGGTACTTTGGACTGAAGCTGGTCTTCAGATAGATAACATGGGCTTCATAATTCCTAGTAATTCCAACGCCGCGGGTTATCCTGAAGGTGATGACGTCATGAAGGAAGACCTCATCGGGAATGGCCTCATATGGATTCTTTCCAAGATCATTAATTTCATCAGCTCGGGGGACAATCTGCAGTTGGCGAGCGGTCCCGTCAATACCGGGCCTCTGGGGATTTCGCAGCAGGTTTTACTCGAGCGGTGGTATCGCCTGGAAACCGAGCTGGATGTTTGGTACAACGGTCTCCCTGATACCTTCCGGCCCTGCGCGCGGCTGGAGCACCCTTTGCAGAAAGATGGCGATGGTGACGGGGACGGATCTGCTTTGTCTGAGATCTGGTACAGCATTCCCGTATGCTCGTCAGCTATGCAGCATTATCACATGGCCCGTATTTTGCTTTTGATCAACAAACCGCATGAGTCGACTAGTAGACGGAGTACGATCACCAACCGGCTTAATTCGTATCGTTCCATCGAGAGTGAGATCCGATTTCATAGTCGTGAAATCGTAGGTATCTCGATGGGTCACCCGGAAGGCTCGGTCCGGATCAACTCTCTCCAGCCATTGTTCGTTAGCGGTCAATGTCTCACCGAGCCTCGCGAACGTGAGATGGTTTTGCATCTGCTGCGTGGCATAGAGTTTGACCTTGGCTGGGCCACTGAGTATCGCGTAAAGCAATTGTTGCGGGAGTGGGGCTGGGATGAGCAAGCTAAGGTCGGGGTTCCTTGATCTCGCCAGGACTGCCGTTATTTCAGTCTTCAGCTCTGTCAAGTCCCAAGTAAATCCTACTTGGGTGTTGTTGCCGCGGGCTCTGCGCTGCCCCTGCGTCGACCATAACTGATGGTCACACATGCCACGAGAGATGCGGCTTCATGTCGGTCAAGGACCGGCAAGCACCTCACCCGGCCATGCGTCTGGATGATATCTTTTCGGACCGACCCAAACGCCCATGGCCGCGTCCACCCTCGGGGGTGATGCCAAGCTATCTTTCACTTCTGCGATTGCCTTGGATGCTTGTTTCGATGATTTGATGATACCACTGTATATGTACCTTTTGCGATAATTTGCCTGATTAGTCTGGGTTTGGATCTTGCGTTTGCATGAGACCAAGAGTGAATAATGATATCCTTTTATGTTTTGATTTCTCTTGCGTTGGAGCATCGTTCTTTTTTACCCACTGGTCAACCGTTGGATAAACCAGTCACCACCTGTATAGATTAGTTGAAACATATGGTCGAATAGATGGAGAAGTCGAAGTTGGCACGGAGAAGGTACAAAATAAAAATTCTTCACAGAGTTTTGAATTTTCCTTTTTTTGAACTTATTTTTTTTTTGTGGGGAATGTCCTCCAGAAAAAGAGCACAAGACTTGGGTATGATCTTCACACGACTCGGGGGAACAGGGAAGGTTTTGTTGACCATGGACTCGGCTGAGTTGCCTGAGGATGAAGCAACTCCCGAGGGCATCCGCACGTGTCAACTACCCGTTTAGGTTTCCACGCCAATAACTTGGCATTAAGCCCTATCCAAACGGGACCGAATAGACTTTTCTTCGGCTTTCACTGAGATCTCTGGTGGATGCTCGTCGGATGTGGGCTCGGCTTAAGGAGGAAGGTTTTCTCTTTTTTCCGTCTTGCTCGCTGGGGTCTTGAAGCCTCGAAGGGGTTCTGTCTGCATTAGTTCGGCCTATCAACTATCTCGACTGCCATTGCAGAAGACCATCGTTCGTCGCCATGGAAGGTCTTCCGATCAGGCCGGCCCCGCAACCTTGCCCTGACGAAAAAATCTGGTTCTCTGAACCTCATACCGTCATCAACCCGCAGTGATCTTCAGGATCGTGAGGATCTTCCTTTTTTTGCCTTCCGCTTCGGGCGGCAAGGCGGGTTTCCCCATCCGATCGTCCCGGACTTCACCGTTCCTCAAATGTTGCCAACTGGGTGTCAACAGTCAGGAAAGTTTCCCGATTCCGTAGAATATTCCTCTGAGACAGCGATTGTCTGTCCTCCAATGCCACCTGCGGGTTGCTGTGGACATTCGGTCTCTGGAAAAGAAGATCAATGTCGATCGCCGGGATGGCCTCGCCCTGAAAACAGGCGCATGGTTCACCGTCGGAAATGAACTCAAGAAATCTACGGGTGGATTGGGGGACCGGGCTTTGCCATTTTAGCAGACCCCGGGTCAACACGGATGCAAACGCAGTGTTAGTTTACCAATTTTGCTTGTCTCTCGCTGGGGCTATCGGCCTGGCACTCTGGGGTTCCTTGTTCCTCTGCAGCAGTACCCACAGGTGGGCCTTGAGGTCATCGCAACCGAGGATATTCCAGGATAACAACCTGCTTATAGAGTGTGACGTATGCTCACGATTTGTTGACTGACCTCACTACATATTAGATAAAAGCGATCCGAACCGTTTTTCACATGGGGCCGAGTGATGATTCTCGCATCGCTTGCCTTTGAGTCCTGATCGACGCGACAGAAATCACCCCCAGGCTACAGGGCACAGTTGCCACCCACCGCTCTCTTTCAAATAGAACCCCACCGTCAATTGTCCGATGGAGCTTCAGATATATGAGTTGTCACAACCGATCCTCGGCTACCTTACCCCGACAATTGAGGATCTGGGGGTGGCGTACTGCTATTTTATGGGTCGCCGACCCTCCAGTAGACGGCGATCAACGGCGGTAAAACTCACCTGTCTGAATTGGAAAAGTAACGCGGCTGATGAGGGGGACTCGTGATTTTCCGTATAAAACTGTTACAGATGAGCCCAAGGAGGGCTGTAGGGAGAATGAACCAGTCTCCTCCGTTCAAATAAACTATGGGGCAAGTCGACCGTGTAAATGCCAAGGATCCCGTCCGCTCAGAAGCTTAGGGTTAGATCACAAGAAGCTTCCTGATAATAGACTTTACTCAAGCTTACGCTCAGGACCTCTGGTAGAGGTCACTAGCTAGGTCCATGGTTGTCGGAACCATCCACTTTTATCTTAACGCTATCCCACGCCGTAATGATGGTAATTTGTTGGACTCTTTGGATTGGGAATTTTGTCAGTCACACTATGGAAATATCACTCGAAGTAAATAAATACCCCCTCGCGCATAACGACCGAAACTATGATATAGTGTAGGGTACTATCTATCAACAACACCTACATAAATATCTCATGACCTGATAACCCAATAACCAGCTCTGACTGCCGGATAATCATGCACTATCATCAGAACTGAGTACAGTAAGCACATAATATGGATTTGAAACACCCAGAAAGAAAGAAAGAAAGCAAGCAAAAAAAAAAAAAAAAAATCCCCAGGGCCTAGAAGTGCAACATAGTGGCGTCAAGATACGAGGGTAAGTTAGTTGATTTAATTTTCGAGTATGATATTCATTGATTACCCGTTCTGCCATTCTATTCGAATATGCTCCATAAGTATTTGAAAGTAACGGTTTAGAAAGGAGGTACGCGTGGAATCATAATATTTCGCAACTAAAATTCATAGTATTATTCCATTCTCACTACTGAAGTAAAAAGTAATACAAGCGACGTTGACTTCGCACTCACTACCGTAACCGACCTCGCATTCGTTTAATTAGTAGTTAGTTAGAGGATTGGGGGTTTAGGTAAGCAGGCTGATAATCCCCCCCCCGGGGCACTAAAATTGCAGTACAATGTAAGAAGACCATACCTGATCTGGGCGACCTACGCAGCACTCATGGGAACTAAAATTGCAGTACAGTGTAAGAAGACTATACCTGATCTGGGGTAACCTACACAGTACTACTAGATAGCGGGAGATACAAAGTTATTCCGATTTGTGGAAGAATATTGCATACTGAGTACCCGGCATGCTACCAAGTACTCGTGGGAACTAAAATTGCAGTGTTTCCAACTAGACGTGGCACTGGCATCCAACAGTAGAGACTGCAGACGTGCTATCCTCCGGGAATTGGATCGGTAGACTCCTACCCTGACTGAGAATGGCAGGGGATGATACCTCGGGGGAACTAACAGTGCAGTGTTGTGCTCGGACCAGACACAGTGGCTTGGACTATACATTGCCAGTAGAGATAGTTTATCACGGTGCTTTAGGGGCGCTAAGTTTGTAGTATATTGACAATTGTTACAATTTTTTGTAGTGGGGCTCTACTGTACGATAATATATTCTGGTGCTGGAAGTGGTGGCCTTAACCTTAAGTATCTATTCTGTTCAGTGGGCAATACCGAGAATGGTATACCTCAGAGGGGGTATAAAAGTGCAGTGTAAGTTGGGAACTTAAAACACTAGATTGCAGTAGAACAAAGTGGCACACTTGGTGTTGGACGTAATTTCCCGAGTCATTGTTCAGCATTTCTTGGTAGTAATCTTACGAGGTACTTCTTTTATGATTGACTTAGAAAGTGGATAGAGGTTTTCTTTGTACTGGAACTGAGAGGGTAATGTAACTCACTCTTTGTCTAATTTCCTTCGTCTGTTGCCTGAGGCAAGACTAGGGCTGAGACCTGGGGAGTGATAGAATAATTATTAAGAGGAAACTTGTCCTCTATACACAATACTGACCCTGATAATGCTTATAATGATTTATCCAGCATACAATGCCTCTGGGGAACTAAAATTGCAGTGTGGCCACTTACAGCTCAGATCCATGTTTGGTCTGGGTGGCTTAGACAGGTATATATTTCGATTGGTAGAAGCGTACCTGGTATAACCACTCACAGGGGCTAAAATTGCAGTGCGCACTTCTGTCCAAGTCCGCTTAGGGAGACAGCTAATAAACCAATGTACCTAAGTGTTTGCTGAACAAATGCCATGTTGGTAGTTTAGAGAACAGGCTTTGAAGGGAGCAAATGAAATCTACTTGAAGTGGTTGTGTATCTGAAATCGATCTTCTATCTCACAGTGTATTTTGGCCTCAAGGCAAGTCTCTGTGCATGTAGACACATACTTTGGAAGGTTGTCTTTTGTCTTCTTCGTATTTTACGGAGAGGATGAAGCAAATACTAAGTTTACAGTGCAGTAGTCAGCAAATGCAGCCACTCAGTCAGCGGGCAATCCTATACCGTTTCCCGTTGGCGGATATTCAAGCCGGCGTACAACAACTCCCGCCTTTACACTAAGATTGCAGTGGAGAGGGTTGGGTAATAGGAATGACGCTTGGGCAGACAACCCCTCGGAGGGGCTTAAAGTGCAGTACAGTGGCAAATTTTAGCGTCGGTTTGATCACAAGCTCATCTTTTTCAAGTGGCTGTTGGCGGTCTGCTGACGAATGATGTAGAGTACTAAATGTGTACCTATACGAGGCTCTTCGAGTTGGTAATCTCTCGCGGACTAAAGTGCAGTGTAGTGTGGGGCTGTTCGCGAGCTTTGCGGGTATACAGGCAGGGCTCAGGGAATATACAAATAATGCAGGCCACGTATATACCGCGACAAGACTATGTTGAGCTAGTAATCTCTCGCAGGAACTAAAAGTGCAGTACAGTGGCAAATCTTTCGGGTATACCCAAAAGATGCGGGCCATGTATACCAAGACAAGGCTATGTTAAGCTAGCCATCTCTCAGAGGGACTGAATCTGTAGTGTTGCTTAGCCACCGTCGCTGTTTACATAGGCTAAGTCCACTCTAGACGAGGCTACTTTAAGGCAAAACTTTCTCAAAGCGACTAAAAGTGCAGTGTAGCCTCCAGTGTCTGGTTCAGTGTCCGTTCGGGAAACCCTTGGGAGACACAATCGGCCGGTGGGGAGTGATCAGCACTAGTAACATAAAGCGGGAAAGCAAACATTGAAGTCGGATAACATGTATACACAAGTCTTATAGTATCTACTCTATTTACCAAAATCTAAGATTTTGCATTTTACTAGCCTGAATCTCAGACTCCGCGGTGCCAAACTGGATTATTGTACTATCATACCTCCATATGTGATATATCTAGCACAGGAGTGATTCGCTGTTTTTCTGATGCTAGAAGACTTCCCAATGAGGTCACTTTTTGGGCAATAGGAGCTTCCCAAGAAGTGGCGGACTGGAGGTATTCGAATTGGAAATACCAGTTGCTACAGGATTTCCCTGGGAGATTGAAAATAGTAATTGATTCTTTTATAGTACAAAATGGCCTATGCTTATACGTCGCCCATCTCGCCAAGCAAGCTATCGAGGTTCTTCTGAAGCTCGGCATGTTTGGCGGCCATGTCTTTATACTTGGCCTCCCACTGGTCGCAATCGGCCTGAAGCGCTTGGGCACGACGCTCATAATGACCGGCCTGGATATCATCCTCGTTGAATCTAGTCTCGTCAGCGGGGGGGAATTCCATCAGTATCCAATGGATTGAACGACACATACAGTCTTTTTACCTCGCGGACTAGCTTCTCAGTCTCTTCAACCTGTTCCTCGAGCACTTGGTGGCGGGTTGAGAGCGTCGCAATCTCTTCATCCTTGCTCTGATTATCCTGCTCGAGTTCTTGAATTTTTGCCGTGAGCTTTTCCACTTCGGATTGCGCTGTGTCGGCCTCCGTCTGGAGGGTTCTCATTTTCTGTGAGTTAGGGTTAGTTTATGTTGATTGTTGAGGGTTAAGGCAGTGCTTGCCTCGCGAATACGATCCATGATAGGCAGTTTTCTTTAATCTCTAGGTTTGGGTAGAAATCTTATGGTTAGGAGGAAGAATGAAGATCGATCAACCCCCCTGTCGATGATGACAGCTAATCGACTTCTCCACATAGTTTTTTTTGTGGGTCTCACCTGTTGCAATTAGTCAGACGGAGTGGAAAAAAAAACGTGATCTCTATTTGAACCATAATTTTCAACGTAGAAATTGTATGCGGTTGGGAAACAGAATGGATTAGTGTTTAGACTCACACCAGGATAAACAGTAAGCATGACCGGGATATGTTAGGGTGGCTGTGGCTGTGCAGGCAGGAGGATTTTACCCTCAGGCAACAGACAGTGGCGGATCGCAAGGGGGGCGGTGCAATAGAAGAGTTGTCATCGTATTCTCGTATGATTACTCCAAGCATGCTGAGCTCACTATTTGCCCGAGTGTCTAAAGGCGCCTCACTGGGGCTTAGATGTCGATGCACAGATGGCATCGGCTGATTGGTACAACCTCGGGAATGCAGTCAGCGGCAATTGGCTTTTAGTACAGGAGCTTCTCGGCGCTAAAGAAGCCGGTGTGCTTGGGGTTAAGCTGCAGTTTACCTGTGCAGTGTGCCTGGTGCCTGCCACGTCCAGTTCCTGTCCGTCTGTGATATACGGGGGCTGTTGATTTGCTTGATCTGTACCTGACTATCGGCAGACCAGCCCTTCAACTTCCTAGCCTGAAGCGACGCAACGAAAAATAAATGAGGAAGTTCAAGTAAACTATGTACCTAGTAGCTATTGTATTAATTTAGTAGAACATAGAGAAAGATGAGCATAAACTGTACTAACAGGATCAAAGTTTGACAATCGCTGCGAATGGAAGGATATGAGGGTATACATAAACACCAATCGATATCATAAGACCTGGGGGACCTTTACTACAATTGTGATTATAAAAATCTATAATAATACGAGGCGATACCGAACGCAGTGCCGCACGGTCGCAGGACGAATCAGATATCACGTTTCATGGCAGTGGCTGAACCGTTCAGCCTTGCCAACATCTTTAACGTGCGCTCCTCGCTCCTCGACGATGTTCTCAACTACACACCGTTATGGATGAGCGACATCGTCCTTTACGTCGACATGACTTCGAAGTTGCAATCATTTGCGCTTTACCACTGGAAACAAACGCTGTTCTCTGCTCATTAGACGAGATCTGGCATGATGCTCTTAATACCTATGGGAGGGCTGTGGGGGACGATAATGCCTACGATTTTGGAAGGTGTGGCAGGCACAGCGTGGTCGTCGTAACCTTACCGGGGATGGGAAAGGTATCGGCATCTACTGCGGCTAGCTATCTCAGGATGAGCTTCAGTTCAATTAAGCTTGCCTTGCTGGTCGGAATCTGCGGTGCAGTCCCCCGTACCGGCCGCACGGAGATTGTCCTCGGCGACGTGGTGATCAGCCAGAGCATTGTTGAGTTGGATCGTGGTCGCCGGTACCCCAATGGCTTCAAAAGAAAGGACACCATCCTGGACTCTCACGGGCGTCCTAATGAAGACATCTTGGGACTGCTGCAGCGTTGGAATGCAACGTTTCACTTGAAAAATTTACAAAAGAAAACAACAGAAAACCTCAAAGCCCTGTTACAGCACCCATATGCCGAGGCACGGTATCCCGGCGCAACTGAGGACAAGCTCTTTGAACGCGACTGTATACATCGGCACCATGTTGGCTGCGGGGTCTGCAATATGTCGGCGACACCAGACTCAGTATGCGAAGCAGCTCTAACAGCTGCCTGCGATGAGCTTCAATGCGATGAAAGCAGATTAGTCCCGCGTACTCGGTTATGTGAAAGAGGTACAGACTGCGAGATCCCGACTCCGCTAATACACTTTGGCCTGATCGGCAGTGCGGACACGGTTCAGAAGTCAGCGGCGCACAGGGACGAGCATGCAGAGTTAGAGGGTGTGATAGCGTTCGAGATGGAGGGGGCTGGGGTCTGGAACAAGTTCAATTGTCTAATAATCAAGGGCGTGTGTGACTACGCTGACAGTCATAAGAACAAGAAATGGCAGAACTATGCAGCCGCAGTTGCTGCGTCAGTTGCAAAGGAGATTTTGGCGCAGTACGTATCTCACGACCGACCGTCACAGCCGGGAACGCCGAATGGTGTGGCCATTTCCTCCCGTCCAATTGCCGTCTTTCACTAACGGAAGGATAGGTAGCTCCGGATATTCTACACAACATTCCATGATTTCCCGGGGTCGGTTAGAGCTTCAAGTAGTTCCCGAATGGCTACCCAATGATATGTTTCACAGGGCCACCAAGCAATTTAGAGAGGGCCTACCAAAGGAGCAGTTGGACACCTTCAAGGCCACAGACCTTCGTGCTTTGAAAAAGGAGCTGAAGAAGATCCAGGATGAACAGGGACAATCGCACTCATTGAGAAATCTTCGGCGGATCGAGCGCTTTATCCAAGCTACTGAACATATTGGGACCATTCTTGAGGATATCCTAGGTACTAGCGAAGAGATGTGTCTTATTTGGGGCCCAGTAAAGGCCTTACTGCAGGTATGAGTCTCTCATGGCCTCTCTAAGTTCTTGTCTAATGTGGCGCTAGGTAGCAAAAAGTAACGTGGATCTATTCGACACGCTCCTAGCAGCCTACGAGAACATTGGCAACGAACTGCCAAAGCTTGGCGCTTACCGAGACTTGTTCAAGCAACATGTGGGCTTGCAACGGGTACTGGCAAGAGTATTTGCCCTTATCCTGGAGTTTCATGAGAATGCGCTTAAACTATGCTCTGGGAGAGGTGGGATATCACGATTCCTACTTGATGAAGGATACTGACTTTCTGCACCACAGCCCTAAGAACCGTATTTCGACCACTCTGGAAGGACTTCGAAACAACACTATTTGATCTCATAGTGCGTGAAACTGGTTCCCATAGGATAATGATTGAAGATGAGACAATGGCTTTATACAGCCACCCGGGACACAGTGCAATGGATGCGCAGGAAATCCGAGACCACCTCGAGAGCACAAGCAACAACATGCGCTTATCCAAGCAGGAGCATCAAAAGGCACGAGAGAAGATGTACGATGAGGTCAGATGCTGGATTGCAGGTGCTGCAGGAGTTTCAGGCGTCGAAGACGTAGCAGACGTCGTAGGTGCCGAGACCGAGAGTGATCACAACAACATCTGTCGTGACCGAAGCTTTTACCCCGGTAGCGGTAGCTGGATTCTGGAGAACCAGAAGGTCAAAAGATGGCTATCGCCGGAGCCGGAACAGTCGTCCAACTCTATGCTATGGATCAATGGGCGTCCAGGGACAGGTACCACCCAATACGCCTTGCGTCCTTGTACATAACTCTCTAACGCATGCATACACCAGGTAAAACCTATTTAGCATCGGTCATAATTGAGGCTTCCTTGGAGGATTCCTCGTCTGTCACATGCTACTTTTACTGCAAGGAAAAGGTGAAGTCGAGAAACTCTGCGATTGCAGTGCTCCGTGGTATTCTCTTGCAACTTGCGCGTCAGCACCGCGAATTGACCCCTTACTGCCATGCGAAGATCAAGAGTTCTGGTAGCCTCATGCTATCCGATCTATCCACGGCAAGTGGTATTCTGGAGGTGTTCTGTGAAAGGATATCTCGATTAAATGTGGTAATAGACGGCATTGACGAGTGTGAAGAGCAGAGAAAGGATTTGATTGACATATTTAGAATCTTGGTCAGGAAAAACGAAATCTACGCGAAAGGGAAACTTCGTGTCCTTTTTTTAAGTCGGCCCATGAACGAAGTCAAAAACGCCATACCGGAGGCTGAGATGTTTGCTCTGGAACCGGACCACAACAGGCAAGACATCCAAAAGTATTGTGGGCACAGGAAGCGCGAGTTCCAAAAGTTTGGGTTTACCAATGAGTACCTCAAAGATGTTGTGCAGATTATCTGTACAAGGGCCGATGGTAAAAGTGGAAAGCGGATCCTGAAATATATGGTGACTTCTAACAATTTTACAGGGATGTTCCTGTTTGCTAAGCTGGTCATGAACAACTTGAAAGAACAACCAACGAAGGAAGACTTTCGTATTGAGACCACCGCTGCGATATTGCCCAGTGAGATCGACCAAGCGTACGTGGCCCTCTTCTGCCAGCGCCTGCATGTCCGTTGTCTAGTCCTTGGCTAACCGCTGGGTAGATATGCCCGAATCATGGAGCGCCTTGCGCGTGACCTAGGTTCAAAACAATATGCATATACAGAATTTTTGCTCGGCTGGTTAGTATGCTCGAAAAGGCCTCTAAAATGGACAGAAATCCAAGTGGCGCTATCCACCGATATTAAAACATGGGGCCGCTCGAGTGAAGTGAATCCGGACCGCAGACTAGAAGACGACGTGCAAGAATTGTGTGGATCCCTGGTTCAGGTGCTCAAGGGCAACCGGGTCGAGCTTGTCCACAGCACCGCCAGACTGTAACAAATCTCTCTTCTCTCTTCTAATAAAGACAGACACTAACATGAAACTAGGTTCATAGTCCAGAAAAGCAATATACGGATATCTTCAGCGGAATGCGACCTCGCCCTTCGCTGCCTGCGGTATCTGAGTCTTGACATCTTTAGGCCTGATATTTCCGCCCAAAGCCTCCGGGAGAATGCTCTGCGCGGTGATTTTGGCTTCCAGGATTATGCGGTGTCAGCCTGGTTTCTTCATATAGGAACATTGATAGAGAAGAAACATGATTTCCTGGAAGATATCATCGACAGCCAAGACCGGGTCGCAAGAATATGCCGAGAGCTTGAGCATTTCGTGAGCTTCTATTGGGCAAGCTTTCCACTGTACGACAACAACATTCTGGAGCAAGCGTGGATAGATTGTGAAATCTTCCAACAGTACCCCTTTTATAATAACCTTGTCAGAATCTGGAACCATATCTGCTGCGCCCAAAGGGAAGACTTGGAATCGCGCAACGATGTGAGCATTCCTCAGCTTAAGGAAACGCTGGCTCGCAACCGGAAGCTGCTGGAAGACCTAAGCACAGAAGATACAGTTGCTCTATCTAGACTCTATGATGAATACCCCTTCCGATGCCCTAAGGTGCTGTGCTTTTATTTCCACGAGGGTTTTAGGAATGCGATGGCCCGTGATAACCATGTCGATCATCACAACCGACCATACCGTTGCACAGTAGAGACCTGTGCAATGAATGGAATGGGGTTTGCCGAAAAAAGCCGACTTACGGCACACACGAAGAGATTTCATCCCGATGAGCGTGATCTGGGCGAAACGTTCACACCTTACAACCGGGCGAGGTCAGTAAGTGCCCGATTTGAATGTCCTGTGTGCAACAAACGCCTCGTGAGGAAGAATATCCTGGAGGATCACCAGAGAATCCATACCGGAGAGAAGCCCTTTCGTTGCTCTGAGTGTGGCAAGGGGTTTGCGAGAAATTATGACAAGAAACGGCATGAGAAAACCCACGAGAGACGGCGAAGATAGAGTGATCATCATGGCCTTAGCACCTATCTATCACTATACTTGAATTTCATAGTTTCTTTACCAGAGGGCTTTCATGGTCCCTATTCTATAACAGAGGGCCACTCACATCTAACGCCTAGATTACTTTTGACGCAGCTTTGAAAGACATCTCAATGTGCGACAGTCAAAAGTTATCCCTTAATTAAGTCTAACTACAGCCGCTTAGACTCAAATAGTACGGCATCACTCGATATCTTTTATCATCAAAGAATTACATAATACCAACACCCCTTCTGAGGCCTAAGACTGCAGTGAAGTCACCATTGGACCAATCACAAGCAGCTCCTTAAACACTCCGATATAATGTAGTAATTCTGGCGTGTAGCTTTCATATAGTGACAAGATATCGTCAAAGGCTTATCCAGATCCTCCCTCAGTCTCTGTACAGTGACCTACAATTGAGCACATATCTGGCAGGTTGAGCTCGCTCATGAAAGTACCCATAATTCCCACTCAATAGGGGATGTGTAAAGTACGACATAGTTCTTTCATAGCCAATCGATATAGCCCGCCCAGAAATAGCGCGCTCGCTATGGATGTACCATCCCAGTGTCAATACGAGTTGTGGCATTTTTATTGGACGATACAGCCATACCAACATCCTCTAGGGGACTAAAATTGCAGTGATACGCGGAATAAGCAGTGAGAACCCGATAGGTGGGAAGGAATAGATATCCTCTCTTGGGAACTAAAAGTGCAGTGAGAGTCCTACCCTGCCATTGGGTTAAGTGGATACAACAAACCCTCTTTTGAGAACTCATCGCTCACAGGCCTAGTGGGTGTGGGTCCGTGGGTCCGCCCCAGCTCAATGAAAATCCCGGCTTGATAAAAAAAGGTATTCAGAACTTATATACCTACTATTCTATTAAATATTATAGTATTTCAGTATCGCCTCGTAGAGCGAGACAACTACTTGGAGTATACACAGTCATATTTAACTGGATAGAACAGTATATACTATACATTATGTGACTCTGGTTACTGCCGCAGTCTTCTCGATTAAATATCAGGCCTAGTCTTAGGATAATTAGAGTATTTACTAGAAGATAAAGTAAATAATAATCTCTACCTTCGCTTATTGGAAGGTTAGGCGAGATAGGACTAGCAATACACCCTAACGGGTTATTTTTATAGCAGGTATTGGCTCATGATATGACTGTGGGCACATTCCGGTCAACAATTCACACCTTTCAAATCTTGTTGGTATCAGCTGCTGGACTGAGACACAATCATAAGCGAAAGCGTAGTTACTAAAGTGTGCCGTTGGGAATTAGCTTAGCAAGTAGTAGCGGAGTTTGGAGGCCGTTCGATGTGTTGAGCGCTGAAATCGAGCGCCAGATTAGTATAGGGTCTAGCACATCAGATTGATGCAAGTTCGGGCATTGACAGTCATGTACGTCGGTATTGAGTTTGAGCGGCTATGAACTGGAGATGATGGCAAGGGGGGTTCCGAAAATTGGCCATATTCAGTTGTGCTCTATATTAAACGTCCTATTGTAGATGCTTCGATGCTTGAGCAGCTTGACTACTGGAAAGTGGCTCTAATATACGGGGCATAAATATTAGAAGTTACCAGTATCTTAATCTGTCAAGTCGATCAACTCAAGTTCAACTCCACCTTGAGCACTTAGCTCCCTGAGCTGGTGCCTCAGCCTAGGGCGCCAGTCGTCGGGCTCATCATCTAACAAACTTATTACTAGAGAAATACGACAAAGATGCGGCGTGTATGCTTTCCAATCTTTCAGCCATGTTTGAAGCACGCCCAGAATGGTGGAATGCTCCCACTCCCATTGAGGCCATTCTGGTGCCATTAGGTCAGCATTTTGGTACCTCAAGTCATCCGTGATCACCAGAAATTCGATATTTCTTGGCATCAGATCCTGCCATCGTTCTGTTGTCCCTTGCGCGAACCCTACCAGGAATGGCCATGGGACTTGAAGTCTTTTGAGCATGTCAAAATTGACCATCGCATGCAACGAGCCCTGTATCTTTATACCAGGAAGGAATTGATCATTGCCTCCGATATCAACATCGGCTGACACTGTCAAATCTGTCAGAGTGCCTCGAACATGACTTATCGCGGCAGTAAACCGATCAAGATCGACGATAGGCGTAGTGAACCGATCTCTGACACCGTAATCGTAATACCATTGCCAACGAAGGGCCTCAACGTTCTGGGTGACTGCGAGCAGTTTGCCGAGATATGTTTCCCGGACAGTGGTTAGATCAAGTGATATAAGTTTCGATGGGACAGGTAAGTGTGCTGCAGGCCACGTAAATTCAATCGGGTTCTCAACGGAGGCTGACATGCGTTGGACACTCGGTAGATATAGAAATGGCAAGATATCTGTTGTATTTTTGATTTTCTGATCGCGTGCTTCGTCCTCGCCATTAGGGCATAGGAAAGAAACATCTTGTAGATGCCGAAAGTCGGACAGACTAGAATTGCCGGGCTCGCAGATGGCTGATCGGAGAACCATACCAATTAGTGCAGTCTGTCGAGTAAAGTCACCGGCAAGGTATAGATATTTTAAATTTGAGAGCTGTGCTAATAGGAGAGCAACAAATGCATCTATTGTACCTTGGCGTAATTCCTGGATCCAAAGGTCGCTATAGGGCACTCCAGTCCCCCTGATGAATATGATTAGTTGGTCTAGTTCAGCGTCAGAGACCGGAACTTTAGGAATTGTCCATCGAAATTTCTCTACTAATAGGTAGGTGTCGCCGTCCAAGTGGATGTTTGTGATGTAAGCAGCCAGCTGGGGCCTGGATAAGATCGTCCGTAAGAGCTGAGTGATTGGGGGAGGAGCGTGAGGGCGAGTTTTTCGCCAAGCCATCTTAATTTTCGAGTAGAGGAGTGGCTCAACAATTGTGTGGAATTTCTTATTGACAAGACATAGTGCATGGAGCTCAGGTGGTGATAGTAACTTGAATATCAAGTACAATATTTCCGCTGGGCAGCTGCCAAGACCAGTTACCACTTGATGTTTCTAGTCACTAACATCAGCAATAGCCCTGAGAATACCCACACGAACGACCTACAGGTTCCATAGCCAGTAACAGGAGTAGTGTACGTTCACTGCTCTATTGTGTATGCGTACGCAGGCTGAGGTGTCTGAACACTGAGGGATAGAAAAACTGAAAAGCCAGAAAGGTGTCCTTATGAAACAGCAATAATACTAGCTGTAACCCTAACTTTTAGTGTTTGGATGCATAAAATCACTGGGGCACTCCCCACTCATGGATCCACCAGGCTCAACCTCATTTGCAATCGAATGTCGAGTCGCTCATTTTTCCCAACTAGGAAAGACCGATACAGAATTTCTATAAATATTATAACTCTAGAACTAATGAAAATAACCAAACACCGTAGTTTAGTTCTGCTGTATGAGGTGGTGGGGTTTATGCTGGGCCATGCTTGTACGATTCGTTCTTTTTCAGGTTTTCAAATCTCAGAGAAAAGATATAATGGTTCATTGAAAAAGAAGGTTTGACTAGTTGCCTAGAGTATGTCCTCATATAATCAGAGTACTAGAGTAAATCCTTCAAAGCCAAACCACGTTTCATATATATGCACTTCATAATAAATGATAAATACTGCCCTATGGAAACTTGAATTGGTCCAACTAAAGACAGACATTAAGAGCCGAGCGGAGGGGATCTGAAGATTTCATGGACATAGAGGGAAGGTAGAAGTGATGATTGATAAAGATCCCAAAGCAACTGCCTACATTCTAAGACTACCTGAACTTCTTCCATGGGCTATTGATGTATCTCCAGTTTCTCAAGGCTATACCGTATGTGGTAGATCGAGACGTATTCCGGCCAAAAGTCCTATGGCCCTTGTATAACTCGAAAGAAACAGTCCCCTATGTATCTAGCTCGTTGCTGACTTCTCCGTCATTGTCTCCAAAGATCGCACCCATGCGATAGCGCACTCGACAGCCACACAATGACGTACAGTCTGTGTCCAACCGCACCAGACGATGATCTTGTGTCGCAATAACATCACGAGGAGGTTTGTTCAGCGTTGCTAGAAAATTCAGATATGATCCCTCATCATTCCAGATATGCTCTTCTTCTGTCCACGTCAGATATCGTTTAATGAAACCAATTTGATTCTCGGAATGCTGTGGTCCATTCATCCATTGTACCAATTGCAGAAGCGCCGCATTATCCCGTCCAATATCGATCAGGAATACGAGGATCTTTTCTGGCACTCGGAAGATGAAAGAATTGAGGCTGTATAGTACCCGTCGTGCCTCATCGTAGACCAGATGACTGACAGCCAGCAGAGCCAGAAGGTTGTTTTCAGGGCTGCGCTGAAGCCAGATTCCTTGCCGATTTGGGTAAACAAACGATGTCAACAATCGTTTTCCAAATGTGATCTTGCCAAAGCACAGAACAAACTTGTATGTCATGGATCGAAGTTTTAGATTGGACATTAGCGAATACGCCCCCTTCGTGACAACAACGGGGCGGAGCGCCGATTCTTTCTCTCAACAGTGAATTACCGACCAAAAGCAAGTCCAAGAAAAGGAAATTGTCCCTTCCACTGCCAGACCTTAAACCATTTCCTCTTCAAATCGGAACGGCCATCCTCGATCTCGGTGCCGCCTCCAGATGCTTTTCTGGGAATCACTATTTAGAACATCGTCGTACTTTGAATAAATAGCATGTTCAATAAAATTAAATCGCCTGTTGATAATCTTTGAGCAAACTGGGCATTGATACTGTCACTTTTTCCTTTTGTCATGGTCGAGAATTATTTCAATCTTCAAGACGTCGTGGATTCCATCGGCGGGTATTCGTAGATGTCCTGTGTAGCAGCGCAGGTGGTCACGGAGGCCGGTCTTGTGCACATATTGCTTTTTGCAGAACGTACAGACTTGCGCTTCCCAGGGCATACTGCTGTAGGAGTTTTTGTATTTCTCTTTGTTGAGATCGAGGCTTTTCAAGTTAAGGTTCCTGAAAACGAAGGTTTAAGGATGTGGTAACTCTTAACGCCATGGTTCGGATTTACTTCTCTCAGGCTCTGCCGCAGGCATCGACAGTTGCCTAATTGAGCAAATTGCACAAGCACTCACCGCCCTGCAGATCCAGAGCCCTTTCATTCAAGCTGCAGAAGCTATGGAGGACTTGCATTCTTCAATTGAACCCTAAATCATGCCAAGATCTACTAACCTAGATCAGATATGGCATGTCGAGACAGTATCTGATTGGCTAAGATACTGGATGCCCGGGTGGGCTATCCAAAATAGGGAAGAATTTCCATAACTACAATGATAGCCAAGGTAGTGAACGAATTAAGCATCCAACGACCCCAAGGTTCAGAAACAGTAAATGAAATGTAAAAAAAAAAAGATTCATTCTGACATGGCTAAATACTGCTAAAACAAGGTGCTAAATTCTAAATCATCATCATTAAATTCAATGCCCAAAAGTAATGCAATGGCAAATTCTATTACGAATGGATTTCTTTCCCTTTTCCGGGCGCCACCAGCCCCCTAGACAGCGATTGCCGTGGCAAGATTGGCATTGAGGCTGTCTTTCAAGTCGTCCCTCTCGGTGTAGCTGTCTACTGGTGTGGGGAAAGCGAAGGTGTCTTGAGGGACGGTAGAATCCTGGGGAAGATTCCGCTGAGCGGGCCAGATCTCGTGGCCAGCGGCGTCTTCCTTCTTGCTGTGTTCTGTGACGACCTCGCGAACGGTCTTCTGGAAGTGGAGAGGACCCAGCTCCATCTCGGGGTGGAGCAGGCCGTTGACAAAGACACCAGCGTTCAGGTTCTTCTGCGTGTGGATGCAGAGGTATTTGTCTTCAGACATGATTCGCTTGTACATGTCGCTGATAATGGTGAACTGCTCATCGCTAGCGTCCTTGTGCCGATAGACTTCGTAGCGCATGACCGACTTGGTGGGGCTCACAGGGGTAAATCGCTGCATGAAGAAGAAGTGTGGACTGGAAGAATAATTAGTAATTGTCTAAATTGTATGAGGAGGAAGCCACTTACGAGACGTTGAAAGAGGCATTAGGCCAGAAGTAGGTAGTAGCGATCCGGAAGCCCTTCTCAATCTGGTCGGGTCGCTGGGCACCGTAGTGCTGGATATGGCCATCTTTGGTCTTGACATAGTAGGAGTTGAGATCGGCGATCGTAGGGATATCGGGGTGAGCGACTTGGCAGTGGTAGCACTCATTGTAGTTATCGGCGAGGATCTTCCAGTTGAAGTCGCCTTCCATGTCCCATGTGTGGTCGAAGTTGTATTCATCGAAGTTGTAGTGCTGGAATCGGGGCTGCTCGTCGACTCCCTCGAAGTCGTCCTTCCAAGCTACCTCGGGAGTCTCGCCAGCATCCAGGTTGACCCAGATGAAGCCGTTTTTGTCAATGTGCGTGTGAGCGGGGGCGAGGTCGCTGCTGTGGCAAGCCTTGATGTTTCCTTGGTGATCCTTCATGACAACGAATTCGTAGCCAGCCGCGTCATACTGAACCCAGTCACCAAGGTTCGGGACGCGGGCCTTGTGTGTGGTGAGAAGCCACTTGCGGGAGAAGATAGATCGTCGTTCAAGTTGGTACATGGCCTGAGAGGTGTACCAGGAAGCGGGCAGAGCACGGATAGGAGTTTTCTCCTCCTCCTTGACCGCTGTAGCGGAAGTACCAAAGAAGTTCCTCAAGAAAGACATTGTGAAGATGATTTTGTTATTAGGATAACTAGAGAGATTGAGACTCTGATAGTTAGATTTTTGCTTTGGAGTTGCTGTTGATTACACTTGATCTCGGAGATGTCTGCCCTTCTATATAGCTATCTCAATCATACTGACACGAAGCTCAATAAACTCCATCGGAACCATATCCAGGTAATCACACCCGATACCGATACCCTATCCATGACAATCAGGTGGCCAACTCCAACGGGAGATAAAGCTAGGTGCCGGTCAGGTGATCGGTAGGTTCAACAACGGGACCGAACCGAATGGCTTAAAGGTTATCAAGCAACCCCTGCCTCAAAGCTCAAAGAGTCCAGCCCACGCGTGGTTCCCCACCATTGGCTCTCCAGAGTCCTATCTTGATCTAGAACCACGAATGGATCCGTCCCCGGCGGTTCGGTGATAAGCCGATCCACCCCCGGCGGTTTAAACATACCATAAATGGCAGTATTTATCATGAACCGTTCCCCAGGCCGGCGGCCACCTCAAATCCGGTTTTGCGGGGACAAGCCGCAAGGTGCTCCTAACAACCAGAGTGAATGGTCAGGTTACTGCGTACACCCAATGGCGATGGCGATGGCAACGCCCGTGCCGTATTAGTAGTCACGAGAACCATCAGGGGCTGAGAGGCTGCAGAAGTCATGCCCTCAGGTGTGTCTAAAATAGATTCCGGGGTAGATAACCGTTTTAGTTCTGATTGGTATACGGTCGCGCCTACTATCGCGGAGAGCTTAAGTGTGATACGAAAGAAGATATGGTAAGTCTGAGTCCCTCGTGTTCCTTATCATCACCGTTCTTTTAGTTCTCAGGGCACGAAAGTGCGAATTTCATACATGATTGAAGCTAGGGGCTACAGATTACTTCTGAACACTGTGGCGATACCAGGACGGACTCCGGGCACTGGTCCAGGGAGAGTTTGCTGTAATTACATCAAAATGATCTAACAACAATCAAGGGAAGTATGCAACCTTGGCCACTTGGGAGCTGATCTCACAGCACGGTTAACATTCCAGATCCTTCTCCTCCGAAGTTCCAGAAGTTCTCGAATGTGATTGCTGCTGATGCAAGAATACTTTATGAGGGTAAGAACGTTCACGTGAGGGACGCTTCCAGCGAACCACAAGTTTCTATTACATAGTCAATAACTTGGGGTACAAGGGCATTCAGCACAGTCGGTGGTTTTCAGTTTGGCAAGAGTAGGTTGTCTAAAAAGTCTGTTTTGGTGCTAACTAGAGCTCGACGCCTGAGCAGGGTGTAGGTGCATTGGTAACTATACCAGGCGATAGGGGTAGGGAGCATTTTGGTATCCTCTTCTGGGGGACGCTTTGGCTCAAATTGTACAATAAGTGCACGTCTGCTTTGTACACATCATTGCCTCGAACTGGTGCCCCACAGGAATGTGTCCTAAGTCCTACCTGGTGGGTCTATATGATGACGTTTAACCAATTCAGCTTCCCAGCCAGTCATATAGCATTTAAAATCCATAGTGATGCTCATTTTTCGCAAGCCTGTAAACTGATCTGAGAGATTTTACCAGTGTCTCTGAATCATTGTCGAGGCTCCGCGTTACTTGAAGGCTTACTCGGGCTGCAACAGCGTGGTTGTCCAGTGGTTCCTCACGACAGTTAATATGGGTCCCACGTTTAAGGCTATAAAGAGCTTTTCTTTTTCCTTCTCTTTTCTTTTGCCTTTATTAGTAAATAAAAAGTTCCGACCTTACCGGGAAAAGGCACGTTTGGAGAGAGAAACTGATACTAACCCCATTGAGTAATTTCTTTTTCCAGCCAGTAACGGGATAGCCTTCAATTAATTTTATATTTTGTGTCTCAAATTGTGTAATGATAAACTGGATTTGAATATAGATAGAACCGTCCGGGGCGTCCCGTAACCTGTCTCAAATGGTGTACAAGCCAGTCAAGAGTTGTATAGCGTTCACCACGATGAGGCGCTTCATCCCTCACAGCCGTCTTGGTGACTTGTGTTACACGCACCGGCCTGAATGGAATACCTGTGCCTGGTAATTTCCCACTCATTATATAAGCAATATGTAAGATGTTCCGTGTTTTTCCGGTGGTCATGCAACCGGATCACCCTTATACCAAGAGGTTATACGTATAGATACAGACCAATGAGGTAATCCGGCTGTCGTACTGGTAGAGGTATTGCAGCCTTTTCTCTACTATTTGGGAACTAAATCGATTAGACCCTTTTATTGGACCCCGAAAAAGCTCAGCCAACGTTATACAAAGAGAGCGCAATTTCTAGAGGTTGCTCACTATACCGTTGCCCGGTACGCCCGGTACGCTTGACAAAGAAATAAATCCTCTCCAGGTTCAATATGATATCCACATTATTGAACTCAGGGGCGGTCCTTGCTGGCCAGAGTGATTGGAATAATTAAAACTAGAAGTATCCAGGCGTATTTAAATCAGCTGAACGAAGTCATTGTAGGAGTGCTTTGAAGACTATCCGTTTACCTTGACTTTCGGCTCTCCGTGTATCCTTTGAATGCTTTCATTTGAACTCCACAGAGATGTATTGTGTCATATTTATTGTTGCCTTATATCTATCAGCTTTAGCTGCTGGTCAAGGCGCAGGCTTATCTACGCCGAAAAACCCTAAACCCATGTCTTCCGAATGGCGCAAGCAGTGTCCCGAGATCCAGATAGTGGAGGACCACAAACACAACCTAAGAACTGGCCCTGGCCGGGAACTCCCAAAGCAACACTTGCTCACACTGTGTAAGATTGTCGGCGGTAACGGGCAGACTCAATTGAGAAGGACAAAGATCCCCTTGGATAAATGCATTGGTTGGAAACCGAATACTTACTCAAATTCCAAATCAAAGTTCATTGCAAAGCCTGAGTATATATATATTCCCGTGATATTTCTGGATGCTGGCTAATATGCCTAGCGGGGATGGACCTACTAAAGGCAAATGCTGGCACTGTGTATACCAATTCTGGGCTAGAGAAGGTCAGCCGAATCTCGCTTGTTGGTGCAAAGACGCGTCTCCCCCTGAATTGGTTTACGAAGAAGAGTCTGGGGACAGGGGAGCCCAAAGGTTTTTCAATCTAGGTAGGTGTCCTGCATGATAGACGTTAGATTCCTTCCTAACCCCATGACTACAGATGAAGTAATAAGAGTATACAACGGTTACCTAGAGTGCCATGATTTTAAATCGTTGTTATACCCGAGACATCCTGCGGCCGAATTTGCTTACCAGTTAGGTCAATCGTATGGGTTATTATCACGGCCAATAGACCCGGTGGTTGTTCCTCCAAATCCTGCATATCCTGCAAATCTCGCAATTTATCCATATCACCCAAATGCCCCTAATGCTCTGAATGCTCCGAATTCCCCAAATCATCCCATGGCACCTCCGCCAAGGTACGAGGAAGCTCCACCGAGATATGAGCCTAGAGCTCCGTCAAGTTGACGACGTCAAAAGGCCCTGGTGGGAGTGGTCATGGAATTTCACCCATTTCCGAGGGTGACGCCCCTCTACATTGCGCTTAATGCCAGGATCTATTTATCTGCATATCTCGGGCTTGATGTATGTACGCGGTAACGTTGGTATCTGAAATTGCTTCGTTGAGGAATGAAAAATTGATGTATGTCTCCCGTACAAAACAAGTAATTTACACGTCTAAAGTATCACATGATTAGGGCTCGTAAACAATTATTTATTCGGGTAAAAAGGCACCGCCCTTGTCACCGCCCCTTCTCTTGCTGTATACGGAGAAAGCTTTTCGATATTTGGTTTTATTTTGTCCTGATCTCTGATAGAAGGACAATATGTGTTTCAAATAAGCTAATCCTGATTATGCTCCAATATGGTGGTGCTCTAGCCAAGATCGACATGGCGTTGCACCCCTTGTGGTTATCCGAGTGGGATCTCGCCAGGCGTGGTAGCCAATAAGGTGTGCAGATAATTCGGCCCGGTGGATAGGATGAAATTACAGACGCTAAGGGGGTCCTGGAATGTGTTACTATTCATAGCACCCCGTCTTCCAACGATCATCAGCATCTGTCCTCCCCCAAAATGCCAGTGTTGGCTGCCCCGGGCCTTCAGCGATCATACAGACCTAGAGCCAAGAGAGGCTGTTCAACTTGCAAGTAAGTCGGCCGACATTCCTCGATCACCTGTTATTTCCCATTCACCGTCATTTGTTGGGACTGGTTGTAATGACTGTTGTTCTGGATCTGACCGAGCGTCGCATAGAAGTAAGATAGATCAGGTGTTGTAGCCCGTGGGATTCCACATACTAATCTGGACTACGTAGAGCGACGCATCAAATGTGACGAAGCCAGGCCCCATTGTTTGAAGTGCACATCAACGGGTCGCAAATGCGACGGGTATGAGACGCCAAGTCCCCCGCCTCCCCAGCGGAACACTTGTCTCCGCCTGCCCTATGTCTACTCCCAGACCCTGCAGTACTCGGGCAACACCCGGGAAACCAGATCGTTCCAGTTCTTCTATGAACGTACCGTCCCTTCGTTGGCGGGGCTTTGTGGGTCCGAGTTTTGGTCAGGACTTGTGTTGCGGGTCAGCCAGCATGAGACCGCCGTCTACCATGCGTTGATCGCATTAGGATCCTTACACGAAAACTTCGAGAACGGCCACTGGCTGAGCCAACGAGGGATTGACACCTTCGCAGTTCAACAATATGTGTCAGCTATCAGGGCGCTCTTGGGATCTTCGAGCTCGTCGCCCTGCGTTAGTCCGGGCCTGCCAGCGGGCTCCCCGCGAAGTCTAACGGTGGATGTCTGTTTGATCTCCTGCATTTTGTTTATTTTCATTGAGGTAGGCGTGGCGTCTCTTAGTATGAGATCGATTCAACTAACCGTCATAGATAATGTCTGGCCATTATGTGTCGGCCGTCAGTCATGTCCGAAGTGGGATGAAAATTCTCAAGGATGTTCACGAGGACCCTCATTCAGGGACTTACCACCACCCGTCCTTGAAGCCATCGACAGTCACAAGCTTGGAAATGGACCACTTGCGGAGGATCCTCAACCGCCTCCAAGATCAGGCTCTGACCTTGGTACGTCAATCTGCGTCCCGTACACGGTTGACGATTGATTCTAATTATATAGACACGGACTGACGCGGACAAAGCTCTGAGGGATGATTTAAAAGTGGTGGGAAGCCGTCACGCCGAAATCCCCGAATGCTTTCTCTCCATATCAGATGCTCATGAATGCTTCGAATACCACGTTGGCCGACTATCTCAGGAGTATTCAGCAATGGAGTCAAACAAAGCAGACATGGCTTTGGACAAGTCTGTCAATTTCATGCAGCAAGCCGAAGCCCTTATAGCCAAGTGGTCGTCCGCCCTGTATCGTTTTGAGGAGTCTCGTGGTTCTCAGCTCACCTACAGGGATTCCATCGGTTTGAAGACCCTACGAATCTATCAATGCTGGCGACTGGTAATGTTAGATCGGGCCAAGAGCGGAGTCACGGATCTTGAGTCGTGGGATAAGTACAACTCTACATTTCAGATGATTGTCTCGTTGGCAGCGGCAGTGGTCAACACGACTGATAGCGATGCACCCACATCGACGACATCTTTGTTGCCGCCTGATTCTTTCAATGAAGGTTGTAAGAGGCCCTCCTTCTCCCTGGATATGGGGATCATATGTCCCCTATACGACGTGGCTACCCTATGCCGTGACCCCTTTATCCGCCGAGAGGCCGTTAAGGTGCTCCGGTCCGCCTCTCGCCAGGAAGGTCTTCTCAATAGCCACCTGTGCGCTGTCGTCGCGGAACAAGTGATCGAGCTGGAAGAGACAGCCGCCTTACGGAGCGGCACAGACGATCAGAGGTGTTTCGCATCTGCCGCATCACACCTACGAGGTCCAAATTCAAACAGTCAAACTGAGGTTTCCAGCCAGCACATCAAAAGGTCATCCGAGGTGCCTCATGCTGCGCGATTCGTCTATGCCTACCCCAATTTTGATCCTCTTTATAAACAGGCCTTTCTAATCCTGGCCGCTGGCCAGGCTGGGGAGAATCATACCAAGATCCCCCTACCAGCCGTGACTGCTATGCTGGATATGGAGTGACACTCTGCCCTGAATGCTCACTTATAATCCTCAGCTGTTGAACCTCTTCTTTGCTAAAGCGTCCTGGCTAGCCATGCTGATACCTATGAGCTGGATAAAGACGATATACGGAGATAACGACTCCACGTTTTTGAATCGCCAAGGAATGTCATATGCTGCCATGTTCCCTCCATCACGGTCCCATTGTCATAGTAATTGGAAACTAGAACCCCGGAAATCTTCCATAGCACAATTTGTCATACTGAAAAGACAAATTTGTGTATTATGCACTGTGTTTTGTCCAGATGTGATCGTCATTCCCAGTGGCGTCATTGACGTATTTATCGCGGAGCTGCTTCAAATCCACGGCCTTCATTCCGACTGGACTAAAGTCTACTTTTATGTGGTCCCAGGTGGGGATTTGTCCATGGAAGCGTAACTCTAACACGTTCAGGTCGCTGAGTATGGGGGCCAAGAAACTCGTTGGTGCAGTCTTGAGGAAGCCTATAGCTATTATCCCGTAACAACATGTTCAGCTCAAGTGTTATGGACCGTGACTACTTGAATGGCCATTCATCTGCACTAAGCAGAAATTGAGGATACCCAGCAAAATCTCTGAAACTCGCCCCATTGAACTCTTTGTTGGAGGAATATAGCCAATGTAACGAGTCGTTGCCCAGTACCTCAGCCCGGCTTGGCCACGAAAGTTAAAAGAATAAACATTTAATAACAACAAGAAACTAGCTAAGCTAGGCGCAGTATAATACCTAAGTTAAATAACTCAGGGCGACATTGAGGGGTACTATTCACCCTTACTTATAACAAGAGATGGAGGACCAGCCAGGTAGTCTTCATATTGCTTTCTACCGTTTGTTTTGACATCACTGTAAACCAGTGCTTTCCTCCGCAGAAATGCGACAGATTTTCATTATAATCACTTATTTCCTAGCTGGATTCGCTTGTTGTCAAGGCGCAACTGGGTCCTCCCAGGGAGGCATGCCAGGAAGTTATCCAGAAAGCCCTCCGCAAAGCCCCCCACACAGCCCTCCGGGAAGTCCTAGACCAGGTCCTAACGCTGCCGCCGACAAATCCCAGCCCCCGCTTTCTCAGAAAGCATTAATGGAAAAGAGATGTCGTGAGATTAGCATACATGAAGCACCTCGCGATGACTACAGAGGGAGTTCGTATGCCTTTGTGGACACTATCTGCACTAATGACCCGAAGAATGATCCGAATCATTATAAGGACGCTTCAGGGAAGGACCGACATAAGCCGAAAGAGCGGAGTTCGACTGTCAATCTGGACGGGTGTCTTGGTTGGGATAAGAACAATGGCGGGTTTATCAAAGAGATTGAGTATGTACACCCTCTCCGGTATATCAATCACCCTGGTTTATTGACCTATGGCTCTAGTGGGCATGCAACTTATTATGGACTCTGTTGGGGTTGTCACTACAAGCGAGGTACTAAAGATGGCGAGAATAATCTCTCATGTTGGTGTAAGTACGGTAAAGGTGAAAAAGCACAGGACCCAGTCACAAAGAAATTGGGTATTGTGACACAATTTGACTTGGGTGAGGCCCCCCTGTACCATGTATTATATAATTGCTCTTAACTAAAAGGTTTATAGGTCCCTTGTTAAAAGTCTTCCCAAGTGGCTCTGTAGGGTGCTCTCATTGGGACTATTCATGATGAGGTTCTTGTCCGGGATGTTATATGCAATACTCCCCTGGAGCTGGAACCCCTTGTGAAATTATTCGCATTGAAATAGTGGTAACAAACTTTAGCATGATAACTACATCCTCTTTGGCTGCAATGATGTTCAATTGTGATGACAAGTAGTGGCGATCTACACATAGCGCTAGGGTGTACGGGAATAGCAGAGCTGCCGCACCAAATAGTTGTACTTGACATTAAAGGATATATCAGTCTACGATTATGAATTATTCCTAATTGACCCTTCGCAGAGTAGCGCAGAGGAAGAACCTATAACTGTGAAAAAGTAACCCCCCCTCTTGTTATTTCTTCTGGAAAAGCGCTATAACCCCCTTTTCACAATACGCTCCAGGGTAATCTTGTGAAGTATCAATAAGTAATTTGTAAGCGGATGGAGAAGGGTTATTAAATCTAGCCTAGGGTTTCTTTGCTTATAATCCCCCTGGAACAAGTCCAAACCCAAACCCTCCAGGCATTTGAAAGATTCCACATACTATCCCTTTCCGTCTTGAAACGAAGAGCATAAGAATTGTTCGAACGCTGCAGCTTTGCTACAATGTACAACAAGCTCTCACAATCGCCGTTAACCACTCCTGCGGCTTTGACAGAGGCTTCGGTAACGGTGTCACCGTTCGTGAATGTTATAATCCTACAAAAAGACTCGCCTAAATGTCTAAGACTAACATCAGATCGGTACAATCAAACATGAATTTCTTTATAAACTTCAGAGACTTTAGGCTACCAACTAAAAGACTCCTCTAATAGTGTTAATTTCACCGCTGGATTCTCCCTCATCAGCCCTGCTACAACAAGTCGTACCTCGTCCGCCATTTTGGATGGACCACTGACAATCACGGCGACCTCTGTTCCCGCACACCTAGAGACTTCCTCCCGGAGAATGCGAGAAATATCCATACGACTATTCTGGAAGATCGCAGCGTTTAGTCGATCGAATCGATCTGCACCAAGCGACGCTGCCACAGAATCAGCCAAGGGCTTACTGCGTACTGCCCAGAACAACCTATGCCACCCCTCGTGGCGCATCAATATGGGCGCTAACGCTGTTACCCCAACACCGCCTGCGATCGCAATAATATTGGTCATATCTGAGACATTTGACCTTGAAAGGGCCACTGGATGATACGAAGATTCAACAAGAACTGGGAACTTCGATTTGGTGCCGCGGAGGTATTTGGTGATGCCCGACTGGGTTCGAATATAAAACACCAACCCTCGTTGATATGGTGTATTAGATATCTCAGTAAGAGACATCTTGTCCATATTCTCTCCCTTCTCAGTCCAAGATACAGGTAGCCTGCCCTTCTCGGTTGTGAGCGTCGTACTCGACGACTCCGTATCGCTACCACAACAGATATCCGTCAGTACCGAGAAAGGGTGATTCTCCCAGACTCGCCACGTCAAGGTCGGGAAATACAGATACACATCACCCTTGGCTGCGACTCCTGGGATCTCTAACTTAATGTATTCATCATCCACAATGGCAACGTGAGCAGTGCAGATCCCATGTCTAGCAAACCGCAGAATGCGCATCCCCCGCTCGAATCCCCAGACTGCCAATGCGACGTATATCCAGTTCTCATACCCCCATTGAAAGTTGTATCGATAGTATATGTGTAAACAACATCCGACCATCGCTAACAGGAAGAATATCACGTGCCAGGCAAGAAAGAACTCATAGAATCGTTGGCGCACTTGCAGCATTGACCCTGGAACGATGATGACCATCGCTAGCGTTGCGATAATACCCCAGTACCAGTACGCGAGCTTGCTTTCGCTGGAGTGTTCACCTTGTGCGCTGTAGATTTGCAAGTATATGGCGGAGTGGAGGCATGCTTCGATAACGCAAATCAGGGCAATCCAGCGGTGGAGTAGCAAGAAGGTTGAGTGGGACCAGTTAGTTAGCCAGAGTAAGATATTGTTACGACTAGAATAGAGAACCAGCAGTGGGATGTTTGCAAAGCTCAGAATCCCAGCGCGGTTACCAACATATGTGAGGATCTCGACACGGTTGGAAGTGTACCACGCACTGGGGTCAGCTGAGTTGATGCCTACCGCGCATAGAACCACGTTGATGATTATGAGATAGGCGATGAACAGCGCTTGCCCTCTCGTGGGCATGTTGAACGTGTTGAATAGGGGGACTTTGTGTCGGTATCCAATGAGTGGAGGGGCAACCACGTATGCATCAAGAGTCGTCTTCAATTTGGTGGGAACGGGAATGAAGCGAGCAAATGAGAGCCCAATTGGGATAATTGCGCCAGTTAAAAGAAGAACCAATCTGCGGGGTTTTAAAAGAGCAAATTAGCAGTGTGGTTTCGTCTATTGGGGCTCTGAACTTACCCGTATCTCTCATGTGTTGCTTCTACTTTCTCGAAGACCGCCAGAGTGCGCCAATTGAGATTGTAAAGCTCTTCTGACACGAGTGAGGCTGACCCCAATACCGTGGATACATTCGGCGTGATAGTAGGCTTGAAACCGATACTTTGTAGGGCCTGTTGATAAGCCTCTTTGGGCAGTGGCTGGTCTTTTTCACTACCAGCAACATTCATCTCCCAGTATCTCTGCAGGGTAGAGTTAGGCACCATCTCACAATGGGAGTATATGCAGTACGCGAGGGTCTGCAAGAAAGCATCGTTCGTCGCATAGCATTCTGGCCCTGGGGACCTCTCGATCTTCCATGTAATAACCATGTCGTTATCTGAGCTCGTGGAGCAGTTCAAAGGGTTTGTGATTGATGCGCGGCAGGCATGTGCACAAGGAGGTTTGTACATGGATATCCCATATCCAACAAACCCTTTTGCTGAATACGCTGGGCAGACAAGCGTTAGCCACAGAATGCTAGACGCGATAGAATAGATATGATGGAGCATCCTGTCAATTCAATCTGTCTACACCCTTCCCTTCTTTCCAGGTCCACTATTTGCCCAACTACCACTGTTGGTAGGGGGTACTAGAGTCTATATATCATATCCTTTGGTAAACACAACTCAACACATGTTTGAGCAGGATCTTTGCTAATTTGTCCAGGACCATGCTTTTCTTGGCAGAGATAGTGAGGTTTTCGGCTTATATGGCCGAGTATCACAGATGCCCTTTTCTAAGTAATATGATTGGTCTCCATGCAACTCGCTCCAAGAAAAGGCACGGGGCTGTGGACCGTTTTATGTCGGCAGAAACGACAAATTATCGTTGAGTGGAAATGAGCACATTTTCTCCCAAGTCCAAGTGGGGTCAACAAGTTAGCGGGCTCAGAAATTTGCGGAATCTTACTCAATTAATTGCTCATATTCTTCACCTTTACCATTTTCGCAGCATCAGATCGGACAATTTATGAGACAGGTTGGTCCCCAGATCTCAATATGGCACTGGTTGTGTTTTCTCGTTACCCTAAATTCCAATAACGCTAGCATCGGCTGGGATGACATCGACATCAATCTCCGTCTAGATTGCAGAGGATGGTCAGTCTTTTCATATATATACGAACTCCCCAACGCGCCTCCTGAAACCACATATTACACCTAGGCTGTCACTTCGAGTGGGTGGGGGTGGGGGTTGGAATCTTTCCCATCTTCCTATTCATTCCCTGTTGCTCCTTAGGGGCCACATCCGAGTCCGGGCTTGCATTCTTTATACTAGACCAAATTAGCTTCGTCATTGTGCGAGGACCATTTAGCCTTGGCTAACATGCTCCAATGAGATCCGCTAGGTATCTGGGGATCCGGCATATATCGTTCGGGGAATAGCCAATTAGCACCTTCTAGACCTATCGCACCAGAAGTGACCCTAGACCCCTAAAATCCGCTACAACTTAGACATCAAGGTCCATGTTCAAGAAACGCATCGGCGTATTTTTCACCCAATAACCGTTCACTTTGCAACTCGGCAATCATCCTGCCCTTGAACTTTAGTGACATCGAGTCCTCGGCTCCACAAAGCCGGCCACGACCATGTCGAGCACCCATAAAGGTCTCAGTTCTCCTCTCGCCTTCATTCCGCTAGCTCGCAGATTATATGGTATGATTTTCCAGATCTCGAGCCCCATTAGAGCGAAAATAATCGGCCGTATTGAACCTGGTCGGCAGCTACATTGCCGGGTAACGCTCAACACTTAATGTTTGCAACAGAGTAACGCCGTAGTATATGACTGGCTATAGCTATGGTTATGAGCATTCAAGGTTCTCCTACAATGGTGGGGTGAAATATATTCTTAAACTAGAGACCTTTCACACTTCGGGGCAGTCTTGGCATATTTATATCTGCAAGTATTGTGGAGGGTCAAGATCATAAGTCATATAAGAATTAGACTGCCATTAACCTAGTAGTTTTTGGTAATTTACCTTTTCTATATATTTGCTAATGATATGATCAGGGCATTGAAGACCCTACCCTATAACGCCGCCCATTATGAGACATCACATCTCACGTGACGTTCCCTTTCCCCCTCGGCCGCCACGACAACCAGGCAACTTCATGTCCAACAACAATTAAGCTGAAGGACTGCCATTGTGAGACACACGATCTACCCGAGTCGGTCTGTGTAGACCCAACACCTACCATCGGAGTGATTCTGGTTTACTGACTCACTTGCAGAAAAGCCTTTCGGTTTGTTTTGGATCAGCCAAGAGCCAAGACTTCATTTGACGTGGTTGGTCAATTAAACCACTCACGTCATCCTTGAATCAATTGATTCTCGTTTGACCGTCGATCTATCGCTATTAATTGTCCGCTACAAAACTACTCTATATCGCCCGATGGCGCGGTAACCTCTTCATCCAAATCAATCGGATGGGGCTAGGAGAGGAACGTGACACGTTTGATTGGCTTATCGCGTTAACGAGGATACGACATCACGTCACCAGTTGGATCAAGCGTGACGTCTGATATAGCACCGACACGTTGAATCCAGTTGTGAGAACATCCCTCATTAGGAATATGGGAGCATTCATGAGCAGCATGAGTGGCGGCGTTTTCTTACGGACACCTTCAGGTAAGTGTCTCAGTCTTCAGCAACGTCTCTTGGCAGAGAGGCTGATACCGGCGTAGTTGTACCCGCCAATCATTTCACTCCTTTCCGGTTTTGCCAGTTAGGCGATATCCAGCTCGGATTCGGGCAGGATGGTTGGAAGAATGACGTGCACAGAATGCAACTCGCCGCAGAGCAAGTCAACGATGAGGACTTCGACTTCTGCATTGCCGTCGGTGACCTAACCAATAGTCGGTGAGTACAGTCCTCAAGACTCTTGTCTCCAAGCGGCGAGCCACTCATCGAGACAGGCATCCCCATGAAATCACCGCATTCCAGCAAACATTTCCAAATTTCACGGTGCCCGTCCACCTACTACCAGGAAACCATGACGTCCACGACTTATCCACGCTGAAACAGTTCACCCAGGACTTCAACACGAGCGACCACAGCAGCTTCACGAACAATGACTATCGGTTTATTCTCCTCAACTCGATTACGATGATCACCGATCTAGCCGAATTCAAAAATCACACGGCAGACGAATGGAGCTGGTTCGAGCAAGAGCTCAAATCAGCCGCCCGCGCAGGCGAAAGGATTGTCGTCGCGCACCACCATCTCCCCTTTGAGCGTAGTGAGGACGAGCCGGACGGGTATTGGACTTTTCCGAATCGTGTGCGTCGCAGGTATCTTGATTTGATCCGCAGATATGGTGTGCGTCACATCCTTGTTGGACATAGGCATGAGACGAAGAATATCTATCCTGCTGATGGATTCTATACGATTTATGTCGTTGCGGGAACGGCGCGGTTCTTTGATGGAAATGGGTTCGGAATCAACTATTTTAATGTCTCATCAAGGGATTCGGCGAACGATGTTGTTCAGGAGTATGTTCATCTAAAGGGTGTTACGCACATGAAGAGATCTGAGGGCCAGCCGACTGGGTGTCCGGATATCTTTCAACATGATCAATGAGTTACGGTATGGGTTAGCATGGTAATGTGTGTTCAGTATGGTATCCCTTCATGACATGTGTAATGATACAAAGCCCTAAAATGTGAAAATGGATCTTAAGCTTTTGAACGGAAACAGATGCCTAGGATATAAGAACAAAAGCTAAAGAAATACTGGCAAGCAATGATGTGGTAATACATATACAATCCATGGTGCAGCCTATACTAAGCACTATGCAATATATCCGAAAGGCTGAACGGAAAACAACAGTGCTAGGCTCTCGTAACTTTTCCGGTATTGATGGTCAAAAATTATCCAGGCCCTGGCGACAAGTCCTTTTATATTCAACCACAACGTCACCTAACATACTAATAAACGGCCATAACCATGCTATAGTATCCGGAGACTTGAAGCAGCTTCTCCAGGAGCAATATGGCTGGCCATTTGGTTTTCAGGAGAGGGAATGGAAGGCTCTTTGAGGGTCATTTTAGAGCGAATCCTTCATGATGGTCCAGATTAGGGCACAAAGAATGATGGCTATGAAGAGATGGAGATCACTTTGGTGAAATGATGATCTTCTGTCAAAATAATCTTGTATAAGCCCGTCTCACATCTTGTTTTCGTAGATGCATGAAGCCTGTGACTACCTAGTAATACGCTTATATAGTGTGGGCGATCCTATGCCGCGGGCCTAGGATGCTAGTCGTTTACCAGGTAGCACAGCTGCTTCATGCTTGGAACTCTCTCCAATATGGAACATACGGCTTGGTCATTTAAAAATCCAATACTCCTTTCAGCATGGTGACAAAATGCACTAAGCATAGCTCCGACAGACGTCGCAGTCAGCTATGTACTCCAATAATGGAGTAGCTGTTCGATGAATACATAAGGGCGGTGGTAGATGTTGGCCCCCTGGAATATCCCGGGGAGGATAATACTATCTGGAGACTCTGGGACTGTTGTCCCTGCTGGAACCGACCGCTCGATCATTAACATTCCTTTTCTCTTTCGTCTGGCTCTGCATCTTCAGGCCACAACATCCGCCGTGTCCATACAGCCCATATAGTTGCCACACTTGCAATCAGCCATATTGCCACCTGCAAGATAGTCATAGCGGAAGCAACCCACAGCACCGCTTCAGACTGCAACACCTGTCCAATCCTTATTGTCGCAATCACGAACCCAGTATTCGGAAACACCATACTCCAATACGGAAGCGACATGCCAGGTGCCCCAGCACCTCCACAAAGCTTACAGAGCGCCAACACGCTGGCTATTGCGATACAAAGACAGAAAAACGCGATCGCCCACAAGAAAACCCCCGCTAGGGCGGCAATGACCAGAACAATATCCCCAGTCGTCACAGTGATAGTTTCACTAGAAGACGAATCCGCATAAGATATTATGTATCGGGACGGAAACTTCTCCACCGCTGCTTTCGCCATGCCGATCAGGGCAAGAGCTGTGAAGCTCCATGGACCCACAGCGATGAACATCTCCGGTCGCTCAGCTGGTTTCGGAAGGCCGCTTTTGTTCAAGCGGTAGAAGTATTCTCCGTAGACGAACAAAGACATCAGGAACCCGAACCCTTGTAATGTTGTGCCGCCAATGATAATGGGCAAGGCGTGCTTTGGGGGCTGCTTGGATGCGAGAACCGACGCAATTGTACCGGAAAGCATGGCTGGGAAGGAAGGTAGTAGTCGGACCAGTGCAAATGGCTGTTGACTGGCCATGCTATGGTGATACAGATACCAATTGTGGAAGACAGCCTCAATGATGGAGATAGCGACATAGATCCAAAAGATGATGTGTAGGACGGCTTGGAGCCATGGTCCACAAGCACTTGTACCGTAGCTCTCAGCTCCGATGATGATAGTTGCAAACGCCAAAGGGCAAGTGCCTACAAAGTGGGTCTCGTTTGAGTGCTGGAAGGATTCCTTCAGGGCCGATGACTTGGTAAGGAAACGGAAGCCCAAGCTAAGAGTTATTGAGAGAAAAAGAACCAAATTGAAGATGTATACAATCTTCCCAATGGTTTCGAGGCCGGCGAATTGGTAAGGTGTGTTATAGAGCAGAACCGCAATACCACCTGTAGCCATGGACATCGAGTACCAGCCCCAAGTGACCTGACATAGTCGCTCTTTGAGGCGCACATTTTGATTTTTCTGATATTCAGGGCTCATTCTAGCACGGGGTTTCACACGCGTGCTAAGCAAAAAGAGCAAGAATTCCTCCTTTATAGGGAAAGAGTACCTGCACATGTATCCCTGAAGCTTTCTATGCAATTATATGATATTTTCTGGCTTCCTTGGTGTGGTTCCACCGTTTATTATATCATATCAGACTCTGGCCTTGTCTTGAATGCAGTTTGGCGTCATCGGTGGATCCACTCGGTATAAACAGGGCCATTCTCGAACACTCATTATCGGGCCGACCCACGGTAGATGATGTCTCCCCATTCCGAGGCTGCACGTCCCGAAGTCTTTTTAAGCAGTTCAATCTCTCATTATTTAGTTCTGAAGCAGTTGGCATTTTTGACATTCGACGATATATCGGGGCTGCTCTCTCGGCAGGGTAGGTCTGGCTATACCAAAGGGCTCCCTTGTCGTCGTGACGGAAGCTAATGGATTTATCGCCAGCCATGTGGTCGATCAGCTACTTCAACAAGGGAACAATGTCCGGGGCACTGTCAGAAACGCCACGAAAAACTCGAGGTTGAATAACTACTTCGGTGCTAAGTATGGCCCTGGACGATTCTCTCTCGCCGATATGTCCCATGACGGTGCGTTCGACGTCGTCAAGGGTGCAGCCAGTATCGCCCATATGGCAACACCGGTGATGCAGTTTTACGACCCCAATATCGCCGCCCCTATGGTTGTCAACGGAACCGTCAATGTACTGGCTTCTGCCGCCGCTGAGCCCTCGGTGCGACGGGCTGTCAATACATCATCCTCAGCCGCGGCCGCCAGTCCACAGCCGAACAAAGTGTTCACTATGGATGAGGAAACGTGGAATGAAGCAGCTGTCAAAGCTGCTTGGGCACCTCCTCCTTACGAAGGATCGCAGCGATGCCTGGATATTTACTCTGCCAGTAAAACACAAGCTGAACAAGCCGCGTGGAAATTCATGGAGGAGAAGAAGCCACACTTTGTCCTGAACACAGTCCTCCCGAATGCCAACATGGGCACCATCCTTTCCCCATAAATTCAGGGCTATCCCAGCGCTGATGGCTGGATTAAGGCTGTATTGGATGGATTCCCTGGCGAAGAAGGGAAGGAGCTCAAGTATAACCCGCCACAGTACTATGTCAATGTTCAGGGTGATGCACGTGTGCACATCGCAGCTCTCATTTATCCGGATGTACAGAATGAGCGACTCTTCGCGTTTGTATACACCTATTCATGGAACGACATCCCTAGTATTGGTGAAGATAAGAACAAGGTCGCTAACCAGAGAGCTGAGGAACTCTTGAAGAGAATCTCGGATCTTCCTGCTTGGACAAGCCTGGGACAGTCGGTCCACGATGCCACTAAGACTTGGGTATAGGTAAGGATGAAATGAGGTCTGGGATAGATACCAATGCATGTACTTAGGTCTTCCTTTTCTCGCGGTGCAGCTGCTGCAATAAGTATGAATAAGATTTAAAACACATACACTCTCAAATACACACCTAGGGCGGCCGGGCTTCAGGTATTTTCGTCTCCATTGTCCAAGATACGGACAGTTCGTGTATTATGGATTGGTAGCCAGCTAAAAAATGACTCTCGTCCATCATTATAACTGAGTTATCTCGGCTTGTGCTGCTCTTATTGAATTGTAGGTCGTCAACTGTCAAGGCGATCTGATGTCCACTTCTGAGTAGATCTCCAAAGGCTTGCGTGGGATAGCTTTCAAAACCTGGTGTTGAAACTCTGGGACGGTAAGCCCTAGGCTAAGATCGTCAAGGCAAGTGCCCGGTGTTCTGATCTTTAATTTACCAGTGAAACTATAATAATAATTTTTCTGAATTTACTACGATAAGCGTTGTAATCGTTGTTAATTTGGAGACATTAAATCCTAGCTAAGAATAGGTTGTGGTGGCCGCGCCGGTGCGATGACACCATCGCGAGCATATCTGAAGCCATGCATTAGCAACCCCTCGGCCAACCACCGACTACCTATCATACCCCGTTATCTGAGATCATGTGGGATCATCTAAGCTTTTCAGGCTTGATGCGATTTAACCATTATAGCTTTGCTGTCACGCAATTGCATGGCATTTCGTCTCATTGTGGGGAAAGCTAAAACATATAAATGCACCACAGATCAACCCGAACGGACCAACCGAGACCCGAGGGGTATTTCGCACATCGACAGTGACAAGATGGGACGAGACGATGACACAATTACTTGGGGTAGGTAGGAACCAATTCGAAGAGGGAGGAGTACCTGCTCAGCTCCTTGCCCATAGTGCGTTCACGAAACGAAGACTCCGACAATGACAATCTCAAAGTGCAAGACTCCTTGCACGTGATTGAGTCGCATGTACTTCAAGAAAGGAAGATTGGCACATTCGGAGCAATCTCTCTAGTCGTTAATAAGATTGTTGGTGCTGGGTATGCTGTATCTTCGGTGGCTCGCGAACTCGCCGTCGCTAACCTTTACCAAGGATATTTTCAACTCCAGCAACCATTTATAAGCTCAGTGGAAGTGTTGGCATGGCTCTAATGCTCTGGGTTATTGCAGGAATGATCTCTACATGTGGTGCTCTGGTGATGCTAGAGTTTGGAAGCGGCATCCCGCGTTCCGGGGGCATCAAGGTCTACCTGGAACGATCATTCTCCCCAAAGCTTCTACAGACATGCGTATATCTCTTTTATTGTGTTTTCCTTCGTGAGTCAAGCATTTCAAACTCTGCAATATTCTCCTTACTTATCTTGATACTGGTCAGAGGTCTCTGCTAGTAACGCTATTACATCCTCCTCCTACCTTCTTCTTGCTGGGGGCGTTGAATCAACTACGTGGAAACTCCGTGGCGTAGCCATTGCAGCTGCTGCCTTTGCAGTGGGCCTTCATACTATCTCTCCAAGAGTAGGAAGAGGATTACAAGATCTCCTCAGCGCGGTCAAGCTCTTCACCTTACTATTCATCGTGTGCACTGGGTTTGCTGCTCTTGCCGGTCATCGTAGGGTGCCAGATCCTCATAATTTCGATATCCACACATCATTCAAAGGAACGTCGAATAATGGTTATAACATCGGCACTGCGCTTCTGGATGCCATCTTTTCATTCCAGGGATATGATAATGTCAATGCGGTATGAGCTATCCCCCATTGTGGGTCCTTCGGTCCTCTAACTAGATTATGCTGCTTGCTTAGGTCTTATCAGAAGTGAAGAATCCCCAGAAGACTCTTCGCGTTGCCCTTCCATCGGCAATGGGTATAATCACCGTTCTGTATCTTCTGGCAAACGTGGCCTACGTACGTATCACGCCCAACCACTATTTACAAGGGATTTCATACTGATGTATTCCACGAGAGTAGTTCGCTGCGGTACCAACAGAGGAATTTACTAACTCCAATATCACAATCGCGGCATCGCTGTTTAGAAATGTATTTGGAGACTCGGCCGCAACAAAAGCTCTTCCTGCCCTTGTTGCTATCTCGGCCGTGGGCCATCTGCTCGGCATCGCATATACAGTCCGTAAGTCACTACCTGCTCGCGATATGCTAAGAACCCTGAAGCTAACATTTTTCTATGTACAGCTCGAGTCCTACAGGAGCTTGCCAAAGACGGGATAACGCCCTTCCCTGATATCATGATGCAGAACCGCCCCTTCAAGACGCCCATTATTGCGTTGGCTGTCCATCTAGGGGTTACAGTACTATTCATCTGTGCGCCCCCAGCAGGCGACGCCTTCAACTTCATTGTCAGCTTGAGTTCGTATCCAACGACCTTCCTCTTGACAGCCATCACAGTGGGTTTAGTCAAGCTTCGACTCACCAAAGACGAGAGCTGGGCATCTGCATTTTCCGCTCCATGGGCGGTGATTGCATTCTACCTTGCCGGTAACATAGTGAGTTCTCCACCATGCCTTAGGGTCTCTTAGTTGTTCCCTGTCTGACTATACGAAGTTCCTGCTCATTATGCCTTTCATCCCACCGCCGAATGGAAAGGGAAGCACTAACCTTCCGTACTGGCTAAGCCCCGTAGTTGCTCTGGCTATCTTATCACTGGGCATCATATATTACCTCCTACGGTTTATTATAGCCCCTTGGGTCTTCAGATATACATTACAGCCAGTTGCTGTAGATCTTAGTGATGGATCCCAAGTTACTAGATATAGGATTCGGAGGGTTGGCGAAACGAGATAGATATTGATGGCTTAATGAAAATTCATGGTAACCTTTGCTCTGAAATCTCTAGGAAACGAGCAGATGACAGATATGAGTGATAAAAATTAGATTCGTGAGCAGGACTACTTAGTCCTTCTGATGCGCTCACTCGAGATAGCAATATATGATTAAGGGAATTACTAAGATGAGACTTAAACAGGGGAACAGGAAATATGAGAGGAAAAGTAACAGCGGCTACATATCAACCATTTCACACTCCTCAACCGGCCTGAGTCCAAAAGTCTTCAGACCACCTTGCCAACTCCTTCCAAGAGCCATCTTTGCAAACTCTCTCATTTCACTCTCATAATTATCAATCACACTCGCATCAACGTTCTCAATGCCACCAGCATCGACAATTTTCCTAGCCAGATCCGCCGAATCCCTGAGCGCTGTGACAAGACCCAAGGCTCCCGTCGGCGGCATTACGTGAACCGCATCGCCCAGCAGCGTCACCCGCGGTGAAATCTCCCAAACGGGGAGATCTAACGGAGCGGATGAGATTCTTAATGTCGATGCCTGTCCCCTACCCTGCATTTCAAAGACGGCCCGTAGCCCAGGGCTCCAGTTTTCCGTTATATGGATCGCCAGATCAGCTGCTTCATCACTGCTTAGACACAGCAGCTTCTCATCTGGGACGCCTAATCTCGAAGAATGGGCTCCAAGCACCCAATAGACATATGGACTCGGAAGCTCAGGCTTAGAGATAGTATCCGCATTCGGGAACCACGTAGATTCGAAAAGCAGAGACACCTGTCCCTCTGAAACAGAGTCATCAATGGCTATATTCATTCCTCGTTGGTATTGCTCTGGAAACCGCGCAAGAAACTCTGGCGTTATGGGCGTCTTTCCATACAGGGCACGCATGCCCGTATCGATAACCTTGGCTCCAGGGATAAGCTGCTTTCGAACACGCGATCGCACGCCATCCGCACCGACGAGAATGGCACCATCCTCGACACTCCCATCCGTGAAATGCGCAGAGACCTTGTCATCGTGCAGCGTGTAATGATCGAGCGCCTTCCCGAAGAACACATCATCTTTCAGCCCCGTGAGAAGTACTTTTCGGAATATGGTCCGGTCAACTGTATACGGTTTGGGACCTTTGATGGGAGGGGGTCCTATACGGTGTGCGGCATCCACGGGTGACCCGTCCGGTTTGACTTGGACCCCAAATGCGAGACCTGCGGCACATGTCTGTTCGAAGAGTGTGTATATTTCTCGAGTCAAGGCGTATTGGAGGGCGTAGATTCCGTCCTCGCTGATGCGCAGTCTGTACCCTTGTGGGCGATAGTCGATCTCTGCATCTTTTTCGAATAGCTTGAAGGGGATGTTGTGTTTTCTGAGGGCTTGTGCTAAGCAGAGGCCTCCTAGGCCGCCGCCGATGATCAGAATAGGCCGGGACATCCTGTCCTGCTAGTGTCTTGGGCTTTATCCTATCGTTGATGATGCGGTATGAATAAGCGCTTCATAGATATATGTATAAGAGCGCGTTCGCTACATGCTTGAAAAGAGGCTCAACCTACCTTTATGTCTCGTGAACGTCAGATTTAACAAATACTCCCGCGTGACAGACAATATCGGGCCGGTCTGCTAGACTCCGATCGAGATACTTTCAACCCCGACAGCCAATTACCGAAACAATCGCATTGTTGGGTCGGAGGATTTTGCCCGATTGCCCGACATAGCTCGCAGCGGCTATTGATTCAGAACTTCCTCGACATACTGGAAAAGGCGTAGAAGGAAACCTGCCTTGTTGCCCCACTTAATTACCTGCACTAAGAGCGCATTCCCTGATTTGCGGAATCCGCTCTCCATTCCAGCCTAACATGCCATTGATTGGTTCTGTCCGTACTCCGTACATGAATCAGGAACTCGGGTATATCGGGACGTTGTCGATCCGTTTGCTCTGTGAATGTTCAGACAGGTATAGCATTCCTCGAGGAGCATAGTGTATGAATCTTAACACATCTCCATTGATTGTTCTATTAGCTAGTCTACTCTACTATATTCTAGGACAATTTTGCCCCAGGAACAACTACAAATAGTATCACAGAAAACCATGGCTGTGCTCTGCGCCCGACGCGGAAAAAGCCGCTAAGCCCGTATTATGCCCGAACCAGTTACGATATGGTTGCATCTACCGCGAGTCACTGTATGGACAGACGATGGAAATCGGAAGAGACCATAAGGGGCTCTCGGGTCCTCGTGACACAATATCACGTGGCGATGATGGACAGTGGGATAAATTGCCAGCCTTACGTCTTGCATGCATGTCATAATCCTCTTGATCAACCTCTCGCTCAGAAAACGATATAGGAAATCGGGAAATATACACCTCTCAGCCAAAAATGTCCAAATCACAATACCGAGATGACGAGGATGCCATCCCCTCGTACGAAGAAAGTGTCCGATCATCCACCACACAAGCACCACCCTATAACATGAGACTCGACGTGGCGGCACCACTGCACCGTCATCTAGATACAAGTCGAGTTCAGCGCGTTCATTCTCTCCTCGACCAGTATGTTGATCCACTTCTTGCTGAGCAAGGGTCTTCAGGGCTGTACAAAACCGCCTTCATTTTCATTCCCTCCAATGTCACGTCCCTACAGCCCAGAGAAAAAACTAGCTACTCCGCGCCTAAAGCGCCAGAGCCGGTCGGATTTCCTACTTCCACGGTGGTGAAGCTTGTTCAGTTGGAGGGCGAGGCACATACGATGGAGTTCTGGAGACAGCCGGCCGTGTTGCGGGAATTGGAGTCCTCGCTTCGGGCTAGGCTTGCAGCGAGTGGTCATCATGTTGAGGGGCAGGATGAGAATGAGATCCCTACATCTGCTAAAGAAACCCAATCGCTAAAGTCGAATAAAGACAGTAAGCCTAAGCAGAAGAAGTCGTTCTGGGGTAGACTCACAGGAACCTCTGAGGCTGTTATTGTGGACCGAAAGCTGGGCTGGCGTGCCGAACCTGAAGAGATGACCGGTCGCAAATTGTCCAGGGACCAGGTCAGGGCTGTTGTGGAGTGGAAGGAGGTCTGCCTGCGCGTGGAGAACGACCTGGGTCTATATGATAATTGTAACGCACCGGGGATTTGTCTCTCTGTGGAGGTTGGGGAGTAGGTATCTGTTGTAGGATTGCGGTTGCGGGAGCTATAAGGGACCCGAAGCGGCATACGGGAAAATGTCAAGAGTTTCGCATGCATTTGCATTGAGCTTCAATGGATAGATGAATTCTACAGCTTAGGTCATCTTCATATATACAGTCAATGCTTTTCGCGCGTATTGGAAACACAGCTTGATTCATTTCTGTAGTTATGAGTGGAGACCAAACGTATATCATCTCCTCCATATACCTAACTGCGAGTGGGTCGTAATACGTTCATGTGCCATAGTTAAACCATTTAATCCGATTCATCTAAGATCAAGATGGATAAGAGTCTGTCATCTGCATCATGCTCTGCGCTGAACTGCGCCAGAAGGCTGCGAATGGCAGATTCGGTCGCTTTAGCATCCCACAGCCCGTCTCGGCTTGGGAGGTTGGGGTGTTGCAGGAGGGACAGCGCAGTCTTCAATGTGTCCTGACGAGTCGTCCTGAGACAGGCATGTAGCAGGCCCCCAACAAGCTGGGTCGATAATGTAAAGGGCCGACTTCTGTAAGCAGTATATTGGGGGGAGGTATCAAGAAGAACTGATATCTCCGAAAGTGCAGTATCAATCCAATCGTCGGGACCTGGAGGGCACCGAACGGTTAACGGCGATAGTGAATGGATGATGCTGGACTGTCCAGAGCATGGCAAAGGGAAACGATAGTTGATCACGCCGTAGTACATTCGTGCTTGTATACGCAACAACAGTATACGCTTAGCGACTTTTTCTTCGCTACCCTGATATAGCTTATCTACCGCAGTCAGATATCGTTGAAGCTGCCCTTCTAGAACCCTTCTCTCATGTAGTACGTCTGGAGGTATTTCTGCTAACGGTTTATGCTTGACTCGGGCATTAATTGCGAGGTGTCTGGCTATCCAATTCTGAAGCTTTAGAAGCACAGCCTCGCCCTGAGCGACATCCATAAAAACCTCGGGTACAACGCTGTGCGTGCCGCATATTTCGCTGGGGGATGTCAAGACGAGTCTAGGAAGTCCCCGTTGTTTATCGTAAATGCTGGCTTGCACGTCCAGACATGAGAGCAAAGCTGCCAGATGGGGAACGATATCATCGGGCTTGGACGTCGATGGAGAGGAGTCCTTCTGGCATCGTTGTAAGAGCGTCAGGCTAAGGTCGAGATGTTTTATTGCTTGCTGGGTATTGCCGATGAGAGCCTCAAAGGCATAAAACAGAACACTGCAGGTAAGCGCGACTTCCGGCAAGGCACCTGGGGAGGAAAGATATATCCTCAGCTGTCGATGACACTTGGCGATGCGCTGTAAAATGCTCATAGGTGGAAGATTGTCATTGTTGTAGCAAGATAACTCCCCAGATAGGTGATCTTGGTAAAGAGAGCTTAAGGTCACCAGTGCATTACGGATGACGGGCTCGTGATGGCTTCTTTGCAGGATTAAAGTGGTCCACAGGGTCGGATCGGTATAACTCGATAAGCTCTCTGCAGCCTGACAGCAGTAATAGTGTAACAGCTGCCTATCGGCCTGGCTACCAGGTACTTTGAATGGGATGCAATATGAGTCAATCGAGGCTGGCCTCCAAACCCGCTTCTGCATCAGAGGCATGTGGTCGGACGGATATCCGTCGCAGTGGCGGCCGGTGCTGGTGCATCGGAGGCAGCTAGGCTTTTGCTCATCACATTTTACCCGGCGAATCCTTCACAGTCCGGGACTCAAGTTAGACATGTCCAATTTCACACGGTGGGGAATGTATCGACCGTCCCTTACTTGCACGTAAGACAACCAGTTTTGACTTTCGGCGCACTTCGCCGAGATCTCTTTGTCAGTTCGGATATTGAACTCATTTCACGTATCCCTTTCTTTCTTAATCACGCTATGGTTTGGAAAATACTGGGGACATCTTCTCGACATGTCATCATCTTTCGGGGTCAGACGTTGAGGCTAAAAATAAACCCCCGCTTTACCTTTCCGAGCCACGTGCATCGCACGCAGCCCTATCTCGAGATTAGAGATATCGTCATCCTTCGTTCTTTGTCATGGGACATTCGAAGCTACAATGGGATCTTTAGGCATCACTAACTATCATATGTCGTGAAGCCATCCCGCGGGCCCTTGTAACAAAAATAAGGGGCATGAAGATACCCCAGCAAAGCACATATCTGAAACATAGCTTGTCCGGTATCGTTCACGATATTCGGGCCTACTAATTACCGGAGAGGGGCATAAGGAAGAGCCGGAAACGAAATCCAGCCCGGGGTGTTACATCGTGGAACTTTGAATCACGACGGCGTGGACCCTTAATTATAGAGACACAGGCTACGTACATTCTACTTCAAACTTACTGCTTTTGTCCAACGCAGTCTGTAAGGCAACGTGGCAGATCCACACCGTGGATCTCTTGAAAAATGACGGACCAATTGATTTTAGCATCCATTAAACAACCAACATCTTGGCAACTAAATATCGCCACCGCAAAAAAAGGGTATCGAGAGTATGAAGATCCGTCGTCATAGACATCCACCATCAGGAATAAATTAACAACAATCCGCACAGCAGAAGCATCCCGTTGGGAAACTTGGTTCATGCTCCGTTAGTTAAGAAGAGAAAGACAAGGAAACCAGAGGAAAGTCAGAAGCAGAAGTGATTTTACTAACCATGAAGAACCATGTTTTACACCGTCTTCCCCCTCCTTGTTGACGAGCTCGGTGTCTATAGCTTTGATGGCGGTTTCATATCTCCTATCGCACTGTTCCTCTAAAATATTCTTCGCCTGGCGAAGTTCTGACTCTTTCATCCAAGTCAACAGAAACTGTCCCAGACGTGGCCTTTGAATGTCAATGGCAGCTTCCATTGGCCCTTCAAATTTTTTTAGTATGCGTTGACGATCGAGGGTCTCCAGATAGCTATAAATAGAAGAGACGCAGAAGGAAATATAAGAGCGAAGAATCTAACGTACTGTTTACTGTTCTCATTTGCCGGAATGATTTCCAGATCTTCATCTGTTCTTCTTCCCGCGTATGCAGAAAGGCCTGGAATTTGAAAACCTTCTTTCCGACGCGCAAATTTTGCCACCAGAAATACTCATCGCACGAGAGGTACTGTTCCAACACATCACCTAATGTGTACCTGGCGAGTCCATCGTCGGGGTAGCCGAACCGATACGGTCCGAGACTGCGATCCATCTTCCCACCAGCCCGGGCGGAGTCAACACAGGAGCAAGCAGAACGGAAAAGGGTAGAATCAACAACATACACTGAAATCCTTTACAGTCTTACAGAAATCCACGCGTGGGGGTGGATCATAATATATGACGTCGTTTCAACAAGCTCGTTGCGAATCTCCTTAGGGTACGATCCCCTGAGAGAATATGGGACAGAGGAGGTTGGTCAAGGCTCTTGAGAGTCAGACTGGGCGCCAAGGTGCAGTACCTGACTAAGGAAGGTCAACCGTACTCGTTTAGAGTCTTAAGACTCTGCTATCGTGTTTGACTTCCCCCTTGTGATTAGCTTTTGTTCCGTCTTTTACGCGGCAGAGTTCCACTGATAGTCCCCACATATACTGCACTCAGTTTAGATCGCCGCTGAACCCTAGAGCTTAGTTCTTTTAGCTTCTTGTCCCCCTCTTTTGTGCCCTGTTCTCTCTTTTTTTTTAGCAATTTCACCCAGAGATCCTGCTCAACACAGCCCCGTCAAAACACCAATCATAACCGTGTTCCAACTGTTAACCATGCGGTACACTGCCCCGTTTCACTTGGCTAATCTCCCCTTAAATAATTTTGTTGACTGATTTTAAATCTGAATGTTAATTCTAACAATCCAAAGTCAAAGCTTTTTCACAATGTCCCACACGTTTCATGTTACAAATGAGGCCTGCTATTAAGTACTACGCGCGGTTAGGTATATCAAACCAGAAATATGACCTGCTCCATTCCCAGGGCGATGCGGTTCCCACCATTGGCTACAGCCAAGATAGATGCACCAGTTAGACGGTGATACAGTCTCGTCATACAGGGCACGACAAAGACACTCTGTACGTTCGTATAGTGATAGCCTAATAAAGTAAGAGTATGACTCTGGCTTTCAGGAGACCGCAAATCCTAGCGGAGAAGACCTGTTCATCGGAATGGTTGGTGGCCGATCACAGTCCCACACTGAGCCCTAGCATACGTCAACCTAAATCTCTTTAATGTGAGCTGAGGTCACTCGCCCCAGGGTCCAGGCGCACTCCACGAAACTGACCTCCAACGATCTCATCGCTCGTGCAGTCGACACAAATGACCGGTTCTTCCCCAGGAAAATTATCCCCGTTTGTACTTTGATTTCTTCCGGGCTCTTTTCCTATCCTCTCCTTACCTCAAAGCAGATATGCTTCTAATATCAATACTCTCGATACTCACGTTTCTTTGCTCTGTGCCTGTCTCTGCTTCGCGAGTAATCAAATCCAACTCTTTAGACCTATGTACCGACAACAAGAACTTTACAGCTACATTTTTCAACGTAACGTTTACACCGGATGACCGTCTCCTCTCCATAGGTTTCAACGGCACGGTAGCTATCTCCGGAAATGTGGTGGCGGACCTTTCGTTGACGGCCTACGGCAAAGAGGTCATCACGAAGACACTGGACCCATGCCAAATGAAGGAACAGCGCCTGTGTCCCATGAACATTGGCAAGCTTGAGATTCCGGCTATCCAGACGACTTTGCCGCAGTCCGTTATCAGCCAAGTTCCGAGTAAGATGCACCCGCCCGCGTCGCTGGTGCAACGCAGACTGACGAATGGATCCCGCTAGACGTTGCATACACCGTGCCTGATCTCGACGCATCTGTCCGCGTCTACATTAATTCCACAGATACGGGGGCTCCCATTGCCTGCATGGAAGCTAGCCTCTCCAATAGCAAATCTGTATACCAACAGGCAGTAGGGTGGGTCATAGCGCTGGTCATCGGTCTGGGTCTGGCATCCTCCGGGATTGCATCGATACTAGGATATTCACATGCTGCATTGCATGTCGCAGCTAAATCGCTTGCGCTTTTTGGCTTCGTGCAGTCTCAAGCCATTCTCGGCATGACCAGTGTCCACATGCCCCCGATCGTGGAGTCCTGGACTCAGAACTTCCAGTGGAGCATGGGCATTATGCATCTAGGCTTTATTCAAAAGATTGCCAATTGGTATCTTCGGGCCACGGGCGGCACTTCATCGACCTTACTGTCTGACCTTGAAAATACGTCCGTCAATGTACTCAAGCGGAAACGATCGTTGAATTTCGGCGCAGGCGCATTGATGAAGAGAGAGTCTGGAGAAGGCGCAGCGCCCGACGGATCTAAAACTATCTATGGCATCGTACGTGTTGGCTTCAAGGCCAGCATTGAGCGGACGGATATTTTTATGACCGGGTTCATCTTCATCATTGTCTTTATCGGATTCACGATGCTGATTGTAGGATTGGTCCGGCTTGTCTCTGGTCTTCTTGCAAAATCCGGGAAAACGGACAGTACTAAGATGGACAGCAGCACATGGGCAGTCACAATGAAAGGCATCCTGCTCCGCCTGATCCTCATGTGTTATCCCGCAGTATGCGTTCTCTGTCTCTGGGAATTTGCCAGTCATGATTCCCCCGCCGAGGTAATCCTAGCCGTTGTCATGCTTCTGTCGACGACTGCTATACTAGTCATGGCAGCTATACGCATCATACGCAAGGCAAGGCGCTCGGTTGAGGTATACAAGAGCTCAGCCTTTATGCTACAGAACGATACTGTGTTTTTGAATAAATGGGGCTTCCTATACGCACACCACCGCTCCCCGGCATACTACTTCTTCACGCTAATGGTGGTGTATATCTTCGTGAAGGGCATCTTCGTCGCGCTATGCCAGCCTTCATCATCCGTTCAGATTGCGGCGCTGTTTGTCATTGAGGTTCTCATGCTGGTCGCAGTCTGCGTTATTCGGCCGTGGATGGACAAGAAGACCAACATCATGAATATCAGCGTCACATCCATCAATTTCCTCAACACTCTTCTACTCCTGATATTCAACTTCCGAGAGCGCGACATGGCCACGAGTATCCTGGGCGTTATCCTGTTCGTCTACAATGCCATCCTCACCCTCATCCTCCTTATCGTCATCCTAATCGCTTCGATCATGGCCCTCGTGTCCAAAAACCCAGACAATAAGTACCAAGTGATGAAAGACGACGGTTCCTCCATCATGTCTCGCACACACATGACAGAATTAGATGCTCTAGGTGCCGCAGCGCGAGGTTCCCCCGACCAAAACCAGAAGGAGAACCCCTTCGCTCATAATGAAGTTCCTCCAAACCATGCCAACAGCCTCCAGCCGTCAGACCGGGCATCCCCGAACCATATGACCGGGGCAAACCATTCACCATCGTCTCCACTTGACCCGTCCGTCCCTCTCTTCCCATCCAGTGACACTCGCAGCGCATCGCCCTACGAGTCTGGCCATAATAATCTTAGTCCGTCTGAATACAGCCACCCAGGTGCCTCACCGGTCGATCGGGGATACAACGTCTCGCCCATTCGCACGCCATCGCCACATGCGTACAGGGCAGCCAACAATGCCAGTCCGTGGCAACGGGGAGCCGGGTACGAACATTAGCACCCTACTACGCGGTATGGGAAGTAATATTATTCCCCCTCACTAACCCCGTGTGCGCTTTCCCGTGAGGCACACCTAGCTCGGAGAAGAACTACAACAATCGTATATGTAAATGGCGATATGCATGATTGCCACTTGTACAAACTTTGTTTCTTCGCACTCGATCTTATCGACCCTTTAGAGGTATATATATAGCATACCAGTATACTACTGGCTAGACCACAGTACTTGGAGATATTGATACGGGTTTAATCATGGACATTTGGCCAGGCGTTATGGTGTATATAGCAGGTATTATAGAGTTTCCACAAAGATTACTACTTCAAGTCATGTTCCAAGAAAAGCATTACCTAAATTGTCTCTAGCATCGCCGAACAGCTAGGCAACGTTCAGCCCGATACCACCGTGTCGCCTAATTATGGAGAAACTGGGCAAGATTCCGGATCCCAATCGGCCGCCGAGAGGGAGAAGGAATCCGTCGGCGCGTATAGTACAACTCGATATAGGCGACAACGGAGCCATAGAGTAGGTAGCAATATCCAATGGGCTGGGCGCAATTAATCCTAAGTGTCGAACATGGAACCACTGTTAGTCTCATGATGAGACAGCACGGCAAGCGGTGGCCTAACCATGGAGATTGCCGCCTACATCTCGTGCCACCGGGTATGGAAAACGTCAATTGTAGATTATGCAGGATTGTTATCTTGTCAATAATCGGCCGGGTGGCGCAATGGTAGCGCGTTGGTTTCCGGTACCAAAGGTTTGCGGGTTCGAGTCCCGTCTCGGTCGAATTCTTCTTTTTATCTCTCTTCACGCTTCTCCTTCTCTGAGATGGGTTGTCTTTGTTCTTTTTTATTTTTTTTTTTTGCCGTTTTTCTTTCTTTTGGCTTTTGGGGACTCATATAATATACTACATCGTGTAAAATGGCTTTAAAGCTAAAACAGTGGCATAAATCTGAATTAACTGACAAAACCTGCTGTCAGCAACTATATTCACAAAGAAAGATATATATATATATTGACACATGATGGCTTGAACCCTACTTCAGCGAATCCGAGACACAACCACACCTTTTTCTTACTATCAATACGAGCTAATGCTATCATCAGTATTAAACACATCATACGCCAAGAACGCTAGAATGCAAGATAATAGCAAATGAAAGACCGGAGAAGGAATTTCAACAGTGTCATCCGATGGCGGGGTCAATCGGTCATCGAGTGATATCTTCATCGCGGAAATAGCCCACGAATCCTGTTAAAACAGCCCCGTCGCAATAAGACAATACCCCGTATTAAGAGTCCTATCCAGTTTCGGACTAGTAGTATAAGAGATATTTGTTTCAGACCAAGAAAGTATGTTTCATTACTATATACGAAGTACTAACAATCAAATATGCAATAAACCTAGGCATCACAGACCCATTTCTCCGCACGCTGAGGCAACCATCCACTGGTCCTAGGCAGAGACGTCTGGCGACGAAGGTCTCCGACAGGAATTCCCATGCCAAGCATGAAATTCTCATCCATGCGACACTGGTCCTCGTAGAAGGTCCACTGGACACAACCCTCCCAAGCCACGCAGGCAGCTTCACAGGCATCCACCGACTTCCAGGCACTGTGCCAGACTTGCTTCGATACTCCCTCTGGGGGCTGCGCGTCGGCGATATTGTCCGACCGGAGCTCGTAGCGGGAGGACTGATTGTCCCACCACTCCACCCGACGACGCATGTACGGCTCGATCATGGCCTTGAAGAAGTCGCGGTACCGCATCTGGCCCTTCTTCTCGAAATCCCAGCTCTGTTCGAAATTGTAGAGTCGCGCGACATCCTTACTATGCGTATGATGCCAGCTGTAGAGGGGATAACACCAGCTGGCGCGCCGGAACCAACCGCCCCAGTGCGGTTCCGGGTTGAAACCCCAAGAATACTCCGACTTGCCATGGGTCTGGCCGAAATTAATACCATAATCCTGCATGACATGGCCAAGAACATGGTCACCGCAGCCATGGGCCTCCGTAAAATCGGCGTATTTCGCGACCATGTCCTCTTCCAAGCCGAAGCTCTGCTCCCACGCACCCCGCGAGAGCACGAAGCCCGCACCACCGTGCGCGAAATAATCACCGTGTTTCCAGGCAAGACCGCCGAAGTACCACGGCTCCTGCCATGAGAACTTCTCTAGATGGAGAAGTAGGTTAGGCAGGAAAATGTATCCGTCGTCTTCGATGTAGATGTACCACTTCGCGTTTGGCTTTGCGCGGCCCGCGTGTTGGATGAGGGGGAGGAATTTGTATTTGTCGAGTTTCCAGCCACCCGCCGGGCCATTCCCGTCACCTTCTACATTCGCCATTTCTGCATAGACCTGTCGTGCCTCATAGTCGGGTTGCTGACGGTAGGGTTCGTAGTTGTCCGTTTTCAGGACCGTCTCGGTTGAGTTTTCTAGGACATCGATGACCTGCCATGAGCCGATGGTCTCGGGGTAGTCGGAATAAATGATCACATTGTCGGTGGGGATCCGACTGGGCTCAAAACTGGTGGAAAGGTGAATCGGTAGTCGTCTCCATAGCACCGAGGCGCCGGTTTTGAAGAGTAGCACGACATCATCTGGACTCAACTGTCCATATTGCTTCGATTGTGGCTTTTGTTGTTGCTTTGGTTTCGGCTTCTCCTGTTGATGGGTGCTCGGCTTCTGTTCGTCGGAAGAAGAAACAAGAGGGGCAACAGGGACAGCGGAGGGAGAAGGCTGGGCAGAGGGCAGTGGCTGTTGCTTTGACTCCTCTCTGAACGGCGATTGCCGGGAGGATAGATCTTGGGGAAGATCAGGAAGACCCCTAATCACTGGGTCGTCATGTTCCAAGTCTAGATGATAGAAGAAAAGGAACAGGACAAAGATCATAATCCCCAAAGGGACTATGCGGTTCTCTCTATGAAATAAAACTCGTGCCATCGTGTGTATGCCAGACCTATTCAGCCAGCATGGCCTTGGGTGAAGAAAGCGTCGCGCGGACTTTTCAAGGAGAAAGTTCCACGAGACTCATGCTGAGCAACAATCATATTATTAGAACGGCCCTGAATGTCCATGTTCCAATCGAGTGAGGCTGAAAGTCTCAACCAGAGTCTCGCGCATAGACCCCCCCTTTTTTTTGCATCTCGTTTTTGTTTTTTGGGTCATTTCTAATAGGAACAGTGGAGCCGAGTGGCAGTGGAGCACTCAGGAGATGAGCAATTTCCCGATTTTACAGAAGTTAGCGGATGATTAACTTTTCCGCTCGGATCCAACGCTTCTTTTCCACTTGACAACTTTTTTACCACCCAATAACGAGACTTAAAGTGAGTCAACTGTGCAGTAGTTCAACGCCATCAGGTAGACCATTGAGACACAATGTAACAGCTTTCTTGAGGTGGGTTCGCTTAATGAATGAAAACCATGGCCATTGGTTGGAAGTATAGTGTCAACCAACATCCTCAGTCGAGACCCTTGCCTTCTTAGGGCAAGGAGACTCCGACAGGCCCCGGCAGAGCCTCTTTTTTGATTGTATTTGGAAAATTCATCTACCCAATCTGGTGTGTCACACTGGGTTATACGATGTGATTCCTCTTCAGGAGAATGGATCTAAACTTTTCTCGGCCTTTCACCGGCAATTATTATCCATTAGCGTCGTATTTTTTTTTTCTTGGTTTCCTTTCTGTCCCTCCTGACCCTGAATTGGGGCTGAAAATGAGGCCGTAATTTAAGACAAGCGAAGGTTTGATCTGGGCTATTATTAGTTATGAATAGAAGGTCCTGGCCACTTGCATTCAGTGTCTCTGGCATTGAAAAATCCTGCTTGTCACCACGAAGAGTTCCTTGAGCACCATCGCGTCGCAGTGATGGAGTGGACAACAGAGAAACTCGCCGCAAGGCTGCCAGTCTTCCAACAGCGAGGCCCTGATGTTCCCGCTTGGCGTCAATTCCTTAACTTTCTGGGTTGTGTGTTGATTCTCCCCGTGTACTACTTCATCACCGGTTACAGTCGTCATCCCTTGACGCTGGACATCTTGATTAGCATCTTCGTGGCTGAATTCAATCGGTATGCCAACGAGGGGCGGCGACGCCGGCTATATGGCCTCGATGCGCCGACAAAGGCTAAAGAAGACCCCGAAAAGGCACCCATGTCTCCTAGCCCCCATATCGGCCCCGAATGCTTGGCGGTGGTGGTAGGCTATCGCGAAGACCCGGAGCTCTTCCGTCGTGCTTTGGATAGCTACAAACGTGCTGACGGTTGCCGTTTCATCCTGGTTGGAGTGGACGGTGACGAGAAGCCCGATATGGATATGGTTCGCGTCTTTCAGGAAGCGTATCCCGAAGACTCAGCCATCGTGCATCTTGATGAACCGTTTGGCGAGATCGCCATGCGCACGTACAAGAAAATCTCAGAATCTTGCTACGAAACCCCTGAGCGCTGTCAGGAGATGACCATTGCCCACTGTTGCCAGTTGGCCCGGGAGATTTTAATCGAACATGACCTGGGACTGGGCGAACTAGGAGGTGTTACCAAGCTCTGCTTGTACCAGCCGCATATGCACAAGAAAGCAATTATGTTCACCTCGTTTATCTTCTCTATCGTAATTTCGGACATTCTCGGCATTGAATACATGTGGTCTTCCGATTCCGATACCATCGTCTTTACAGATTCCGTGCGCCGCACCGTTGAGACGATCGCCGGAGATCCAACAGCTGGCGGAGGCAGTTCCGGATTGGTGGTGCACAATGAAGATGATTCGATGACAACGAAACTAGGAAGCGCAGTCTACTGGTGCGAGCTGTACATGACGAGATCGACCTCTGCGTCCTCGGGGACGAGCGACTGCCAGAGTGGTCCAAGTACCGCGTTCCGGGTGTCCGCTTTGCCCTCAATTCTATATCCCTGGTACACACAGACAGTCTTCGGTCGTCGAATGGTTAGTCTAATCCTCAGGCACTGCCGTTGCATTTGAAATGCCAGCTAACAAAACTCATAGATTATCAATGAAGACCGTCATCTAACAACAAACCTTCTCTTGCGCGGCTGGACGGTCACATACGCGTCCGACACATTAACCGCAACTGATACTCCAACAACATTCAGCCGATGGCTCCTCCAACAAGTCCGTTGGGGTCGAGCAACGCATATCGAAAGCTTCCAGCAACCAAAAGTCTATCTCCTCAATCACCCTGTCTTCTTCTGGGCCGCTATGAAGAAAGAGGTCGGCCCGCTCCTCGTCTTCCTCTGTGTGCTCTACTACCTCGTCACCGGCCAACGCTTCGCCTACTTCTCCTCCAATGACGCTTTCCTCCGTATAGCCTACACAATCGGCTACAACTGGCTGCGTAACCCAGACCGCGGGCCGCGCAACGCCTGGGTCTGGATCGCCCCGGCGCTAGTCTTCTACAACATTCCCCTCCCCAGCATTCATCTCTGGAGCATGCTGACCGTGTTCGACGGCGGATGGGGTACCTCAATGCGGTCGAATGCCGAGTTGTCGAAGCGCGAGCAATTCTGGAAACGTGCTTATGACCTGGGTTTCTTCGTGGTGTGGATGGGTATCGTTGGGGGTACCGCTGCACGGATACTATCTGGTTATGCGGGCTGGGATGCAGCTGGTACGGCGAAGGCCATCTTCTTGGGCGTTTTCGTTCCGTCCGCTGTGTCGTTCTATGGGTTGTTGGTTCGTGGATGATTTTCTCTTCTTCGGATATATTTAATTCAATAGTATTATAATTTAGATCAAATGACCAGTTAGAATATGCACATATATTATTCATGCTTAATGCTCGATATTGCTTTGCCGAAGAGGCGATGAGTCTGTAGTATAGACAGTCATACGCAACCTAGTTGCGGCACATCTACAAGTTACGAGGACGCGAGTATTAGCTAGTACCGGGGTGATTGAAACTATTGTCAGGAGCACATTTTACTGCACTTGTCCTTACTATGGTCCTTCTAAAAATTGCAATCCTTCCACTTGACCATCCAATACACATGAGACACCGGGCTACCTCGGAGACAACTCCTTCTGTTCCAGCAAGCTCCGCTCAAATGCCATCATATATTCTCTCACCCATAGAATGAGAATAAAATATAGTTTAGCCATGATTTCTCTCGAGAAGCTTAGTCGAAGCCACGGTCACGCCAAGCCACAATGAGCGATCTGCATTGACTCTACACTCTATAGTCTATACTTATAATCTGTGCCTTTGAGCAAGGAGGGCGAGGCTGGCCATGCATGTAGATCGATAAACTATTTGTATATGAAACACATACGATGAACAACCTTGCATGGATGTCATGCTCGAGAAAGATGGAACGCCAAGGATCCAAATTTACTTAGTTGAGACATGTCTCTGCAATATTACGTCTGTCGATCGATCCACAGCTGAAGATAGCCACGAGTCGCCCCACCCATCCGTCTAATTCGATGATAACGGTGATCGTGGCTTGCTACCTAACTTAAATCCTACCGTCAGCTGCATGGTCTATCCTATAGTGTACTTTTAGATACTGTTCAATTGTAGAAGATGGGGATTTATCATTAGGTTCGACATGGACCTCTCTGGTTGTTGCTTACCATTCTCTATGAGTATGTGAGCTCTCAGCTAGGGATAGGCCCCACTGGGGTTTATTATTGGGGACTATCGCCATCCGTGGAATCTTTGGATATTGTCGCGAAATAGTGTGGCGGGACGATCAACACCCCTAGCGTTTGAACCCTGAGAGAGACGGGTATGTATCAAGCGAGGAGCAGGTCTCTCGGTAGCTTATGCTCTCCACCCATTGAATATCAAATTGCCCGAGTATGAGATGCGTTTGGCGGAGTTTATGGATCGGTATGCAGGTACACGTAAGACGCATTGGGAAATGAAATAGTTGCGTGGAAGTATCGCATTGAGTCAGAGATCGGTGTTGACTCATAAGGAGGGTAGTGTAGATCTTGCTACTTCTCAATATGAGCTCACATGTTTGCGAATTCCATGTACATCAAATTTCATGAGCGAGTTAGGAAATTCCCTAGGGCTCAACAGTGTCAGCATACATAATTATGTATCGCAAGCAAAGTAAGCAATGCATACACAACAGCTTTATACATTCACATGTGACTTTTTGGTCCCTGGATGACTCAGCTTGACTCTCAGGGCATCATGTGATTTATCAGTTCCATCACGTGCCACATCCCGCTGATAACGCATGAATTTTTTGGAGATCAACAAAATTCCCGCGGAGACAAAATAATCACCAGGAATTGCGAAATGGGAAAAGTTGCTCGAACCAAGCACAGCAGCGGTGCCAAAGGCCCGTACCAGAAGCCCGACCAGGGGCCACTGGGTAAAGCAGCATCTGCGATTTTCAAGTTCAACACCGACCTCGGTCAACATATTCTCAAGAATGGAGCGATCGCCGATGCCATTGTCGACAAGGCTAATATCCAGCAGGGCCAGACGGTTCTGGAAGTCGGTCCCGGTCCTGGTGTTTTAACGAACCGTATTCTCGCGAAGGCTAAGAAAGTGGTGGCAGTCGAAGTCGACCCTCGAATGGCTGCTGAACTCACCAAGAATGTACAAGGGACACCGGCGGAGAAGAAACTCCAGATTGTCCTCGGTGACTTTGTCAAGACGGATTTGAGCCAGTTGCCTCCGTTCCAGATTTGCATCAGTAATACCCCTTATCAGGTATGTGTGCTGTGTTTTTCCTGGGTGGATTGTTGATCGATATGAATGCGGGGCAGACAACTGACGATTTAATTACACGATAGATTTCTTCCCCGCTTATCTTCAAACTCCTCTCCATGCCTAATCCTCCCAAAATGTGCGTTCTGATGGTTCAGCGCGAATTCGCCCTCCGTCTTATTGCCCGGCCCGGAGATGCCTTATATTCTCGACTCTCGGTGAACGTGCAGTTCTTCTCGCGCGTCCAGCATATCATGAAGGTCGGCAAGAATAATTTCCGTCCTCCACCACAGGTCGAGTCCAGTGTGGTCCGAGTCGAGCCCAAGTCCGATCGTCCGGCGATCAGCTGGGACGAATGGGATGGTATGCTCCGTATATGCTTCGTGCGTAAGAACAAGACGCTGCGTGCGGGCTTCATGGGAAACAAGACGCGCGCCATGATTGAAAGAAACTGGATCACTTTTGCCACGATGTACCCGGAGAAGGTTACGCAGGCAGATATAGAATTCATGCTGGGTAATGGGGAGCCAGAGCCCATGGAGGACGTGGAAATGGATACCAACGACGCGGAAGCCGACGATGTCCCTGAGATGGACGAGGATGATATTCTAATGGGTGATATGGCGTTCGAAAAGAAGAATGTCCCGGAAATTCCCAAAGGAACTCTTCTGACTATCGGCAACAACAAGGTTTCTCGGATTATGGTGACCAAGTTAATACAGGCCAAGATTCAGCGCATCCTGGACCGGACTGAACTGGCCAATGCTCGTGCGCAGAAGTGCGACGAGAATGATTTCCTTCGTCTTCTTCACGCCTGCAATAAGGAGGGCATTCACTTCTCATAGTCCGGTGACGTTTCTGTGATAATTTGATTTTCGACGAGCAATGAGATTGGTATGTATGTGGGATGGGCACGCTGTTACGGGATAGCAGCCAGTTAGCGAGCACATTTTTTAGAGTTAATGATATCCTAAAAGTTTTTGATGAAGCAGTCAACTTTCAGTCTTGAAGTTATAGACTTGGGCACGGTCTAGAGCGAGCGAGGAGAGTTTATCATAGCCAAAGCTCTTTGTATACGAAATCGGGCGATGGATCCTACACGTAATGCGAGGAACAGAGGTTACATTCTTGTCACTAGATAATTGAAGAAAGATCCCCAAACCTGAACGTATCATAAGCAGCAATCGATCAATAGGGCTGAACACACACGTGACAGTCCTCAAAGGAATTTCTGAATAGCGACAGACATCAAGCTAAGCTCGTGCCATTTCTTGTGTAGTGGCCTGGCTTATTAGATACAGTCAGACATGAAATAGACCAGCCAGGATCAGAAGCTTTGATTGACAAGAATATACCCTGCGTGGTGGGCTGTATCACGCAGTCGTGGGGGACAATGCAGCCCTACAGCTGCAACTAGCTCTCTCCCTGGAACTTATCATAGAGGCAAATTCCCAAAAATGATAGCCATGCGCGGACCGGTTTCTATGACTTGGGGCACGAAGCAGTGATAATCTGGAAAAAAGGAGGACCGAGGTCCACGTCAAGTTCACTAGGAAGTGGCTCCCATCTCAAGTTGTCGAATCCAGCCTGAATAGCACATTCGTCGTGCAACCACGGTTCAAGCATATAGCAGAAGAAGGATATCGGATCCGTAGTGTCAAGAATAACTTGAGTGCGGGTTCCTTCTGTGACCCGCTCGAGCACTTTGTAAGTCACTCCTCCAAAGTGGTATTCCTGCCCACAGGCAGTTGTCTGTAGTATTTCGTAATTTGGAATGACTCCGACAAACCGCCCACCGGATTTCAGGCTGTGAAAGATGTTCTGCCACATCGCCAACAACTCCGTCTTGTTCTTGGCATAGTTCAAAAGCCAGACGCCTAGGACGAGATCAAATGTTCCCATGTTGAATGGCGCAATGCAATCTACAACATGGAATTCAGAGGGATCCTGTGCCCGGGTCTGAAGTCGTGCGTTGTCCACCATGGCCTTAGAGATATCCACGCCAACAACCTTCTTCGCTCCCAAGTCAATACTTTTTCTGGACCAGTACCCGGTTCCGCAGGCTAAGTCAAGCACCTCGAGGCCGTGAACCACACCAATTTGGCTTTTAAGGATGTCTTCTACTAGCCATAAACCAGGAAGATTGGTCACATCGTTGTAGCGCTGTCCGATCTTGTTGAATTGGAGAGGATCCATATCTCAGAACTGAGGGACAGGACCTGACTTCTGCCTATAAGCGGACTGCTTTGGAAATTGACAAAGTGCTGTCAAGCACTATAATCAATTATATCCAGTCAACCTGGGGAAGAGACAGCTCTGTAACCCTGACGTAATTGTGTGCGCTCACAAGATGGTTCCTTATAGGAAAACCTGGAAGATAGATGAATTTAGCTTTCGCCATGACAGCCTTGTGCGATGCGATAGAGTTTAAATATGACTTTGCCAGCAACCTAGTAACTCATCAATGCATAATACAGTGCCGTTCTTATCTAAAGCCGTGCGATGAGTTGTATATCTTTGGTTTTTTTTTTTTTTTATCGTATAGTCTTTGGTTGGAGTTTCCGTGGAGTGCAAGTGACAGCCATCGTCCGTTCGTGGAGCCGGAAGATCAAATTGCCTAACCAATGGAACCTAATTCATGGGTGCGACTTTTGTTAGTGAAGCGGCCGACCTGGTGGCTGAGCTTCCCCAAGCCATCTGCACCAGAGGGTGGTGTTGAGCCGGGTCTACTAAAAGTATTCTTTCTTCAAGGCGGGCTTCAGTAGCATCCTTACTGGAGATGAATAGAGAGCTGAACAACGACCTGGTAGAAGTAGTATTGGCACTAGCCCCCACTAACCTTACCCAAAAGTAAGCACTAATAATTCATAAATAAGCGCTAATTGAATCCTAGCACAGGACGTGGAAAAGATGAATTGTTGAGCACCTTGAAAGACGCTCCTTATTTATATCCCTGACATGTTAGTCATCAGGAGTCAGGGCTTTCGTTTGCTATATAAAACTCGACGTGTTTGCGGGAAGCTATGTACGAACAAGATAAATTCTTCCATTTACCTTTGGCATTCAATAGCAGTAAACAATCCAAATTGAACAGAATACGTGATTGGCCTTCCAAAATGGCAACACCACAGGAAAGACACCCAGAGCTGTTTAGACCTGTGAATAGCAAGTCCCCAAGAGGGATGAAGCGAACGGTACCTCTAGAATGCCTGTGTCTGGGGTTTAACCGGACGGGAACGGCGTGTAAGTCGAAGCCCGCATTCTTGGCATTCCCATGGAGGCCTGGTGTCTTCAGGGGAAGCGTGTTGCTGACCGAAACAAGCCATGTGCAATGCACTTGAGATACTGGGTCTACCATGCTGGCACTCCACCCAGTTCATGTCGACGCGATTTGGTGACCTCGAGATGTGGCAGGAGGCGGTGGATAGAAAGTTCTTCGGGGCAGGACCCAAATTCGGGCGCCAGGAGTTTGACCAGCTGCTGCATGACTTCGGGGCCGTCTCGTCCGACACCCCGGCGATTGCGTTTGCTGACGACCTAATCGAAGCGTATCCGGAGGCCAAGGTCGTGCTGGTCGAAAGAGATATCGGCTCGTGGTATGAAAGCTGGATGAACAGCGTGATTAAAAATACTTATGACCCGTTCGTCACGGTCATCTATCACATCGATCGCTTCTTCACTCATCCAATTGGGAGAATCCACAAAACAACTTTGCAGGGTTGGTTGGGAATATCTAATCCCCAGGATGCCTGCCGCAAGAGTAAAGCCAAGTACAGACAACACTACGAGCTCGTCCGGAGCATAACCCCCAACGACAGGCTGCTAGAGTACAAACTGTCGGATGGATGGGAGCCGCTGTGTGAGTTTCTAGGGAAACCAGTGCCGGACCAGCCCTTCCCCCGTCTTAATGAGAAGAAATGGCTCGATGAGAAAGTCCTGCTCGTGCTCTCTCAGGGAATGAAACGTTTGGCGTGGAAGGCTTTTCTTTACTTCCTGGGTCCGCTGATTTTTGCTGGGCTGATATACTGTGCAATGTAACGGCGTTGTATATCCTTCGTGAAGAAGCTCAGTCCCAGAAAACCAGTGTCCTTTGGTATATGTTTGTTACTCTTCATATACTCTGGAAAATAGGAAAGCATCCATCTAGCCCAGGCTCAGCGAGCAGATTAAAACGCACTTTAAAAATTGACATCTAAGTGCAAGCGATATGAATTAGTTAGGAGTTGATAATGCATAGAATGCTTCAATATTCTATCAACTAGTCGAATGAATGCCAACAGCTAGCCCGTGACGTCTTGACTGCCATTGAGATCGGTCTGAAAGTGCTCGAAGGTACCTTCACCGCGTGCATGGAGTCGCGTGTCGACGAGCTGCGTATCCAACACTACCCGCCTCTGTCCACTAGGTGACGGCCCCTGTGTCCTTCAAAACCAAGCAAGATGGCTTCCTGCCCGAGCGGTACACCATCGCGCTGTTTGCCAAAGCCGACCGCCACGCCAACATCGGCCCCCTGCCTCAGTTTATCACTACCGAGACGCCCCAGCGTTTCCCTGACCTCACTGCGTTAGATCTACATTACAAACGAGTTGGTCAGTTGTATGGCGCCAGGCCCAAAGCGCCCACGGCTGTTGTTTGATTCTGCGGTGGTCCTGTATCAAATAGTGTCTAGATTAGAGATGAGGCTCATACACCTGACATAACATCAATGGAAAGGAGTTGTTTACGCTGTATCGAGTCCCGTAACTAAGTAGTAGTGATGAGTGTTTTGATTTCAACCAGCATTAGATTAAGACCGGCGGTATTTCTGGTGAGAATGCCAAATTCAAAATTCGTCTAGGATGCGGACACCAGTTAGGCATGAGCAAGAATTAGCACACATGGCATGGATAGGACGGAAATCCTAGTCTGCGTTCAATTCCTATAATTGTTGTCTTATATTACCCCAATGCCTCCCCGCTCCTACTCCAACTCTCCCGATTTCCTGCCCCAATATCTCTTTTGTTCCTCCTTCATCTCCAACAGCTTCCTTGGTCGCGCAAATACGATTATAGAATCTAGCATGAAAGCTATCATACTCCTTGCAGAAGTGTAAAACGGAAGACTCGAGGCTTCCTCACAGACACCTATTGCTCCTGTCTCGCTTTGGATACACTGCTACCTACTCTTCTTCCCTATGGCACCTGCACAGCAACATGGAGGACATCAACAGGTGACAATACAACGAAATCGTGGCGAGGATGAAAATCCTGTTTCCGCAGGATGGCAAAATAGTATTGAAAATACAGAAAATCAAGCAAATGCCCAGAATCATTCCCCAACTGCAAGTAGTGCTTGGATTTTGGATCGGTTCTTCTGTTAAAGAGAGACACTAAGAGGAGAAATTATAAACAGGATACATCGGGAGAGTTAGACCCAACAAAACCTCTGACCTGGCTCATGCGCCAGAAGTGGGTTATCACGATAATTGCTTCGTGCTTCACACTCATCCCACCAGTCTCATCAACCATGGTTGCACCAGCCCTCGCGAACATGTCAGCGGATCTTGGTATCATAAATGCCGTGGTCTCTCAGCTCACATTCACAATTTTCATGCTTGCATACGCCATCGGGCCATTGCTTCTCGGTCCCTTATCTGAAACCATTGGACGATCGCCGGTTCTGCTAGCATCGAACGTGTTCTTTTTGGCCTGGACTCTAGGCTGTGGATTGGCAAGAAACAAGGCAGAATTGATTACTTTTAGATTCCTGGCAGGAATCGGTGGAAGTGTACCATTGGCCGTAGACGCTGGTGTGATCAGGTACTTTTCAATTGCAAGCCATCTTTAGGGTCACCGACTAATAGGGGAAAGCGATCTCTGGGCTCCAGGAGAACGCGGACAGGCAGTCGGTATACACAGCCTTGCGCCGCTCTTGAGTCCCGTCATCGGGCCCCTTGTCGGTGGTTGGATTACTGAGCGCACCACATGACGATGGATGTTTTATTCCACGAGCATTGCCGCAGGTGCTGCCGGAGTCGTCGGCTTTGTCTTTATACGCGAGACATATATACCAGTCTTGCTCAAACAGAGACAAGACCATGAGCCCCCTGAAGGAACCTCAGGCAGTAATACTAGCGAGTCTCTAGCGACGCGGTTACGATTGGCATCTGTTCGCCCCTTACATTTCTTTGTTACGGAACCTATCATTACGGTGGTCGCCATTTACATGGCTGCTGTGTTTGGTGTATTATACATCCTCCTCTCTACGTATCCCAAAGTCTGGACAGAAGAATACGACGAGAGCCCTGGCATTGGCGGCCTAAATTACATCTCTCTTGGTCTTGGCTATATACTCGGCTCCCAAATCAACGCCGGCAGCAGCGACGCCATATACCGTCGCCTCCAGGCGCGCAGAAATACTAATGTCCTGCAGAGAAGCTCAAAGGGGAGCCTGAGGTCCGGGTGCCCCCTATGTTCGTCAGCTCTGCCTTGATTCCTATTGGTATGTTTTGGTACGGGTGGAGCGTGCAGGCACATACACATTGGATTATGCCGAATGTGGGAAGTTTCATATTCTCCTTGAGATCGATCACTTGTATGTAGTCTATGCAGGCGTACGTCATTAATAGCTACGCAGAATATGCGGCGAGCGGTCTTGCAGCAGCTGTGCTGCTGAGAAATATTGCCGCATTTGGGATCCCTCTATTCGCACCATATATGTATGATTCATTGCACTATGGATGGGGCAACAGCGTGTTGGGATTTGCCAGTGTTGCTATTGGGATCCCATCACCATTCTTGTTTTGGATATATGAAAAGAAGATACGCGGGATGTCAAAGTTCGCAGTTCAATAAATCGTTCTGTTATCCAAGGCTGTGAAGGTTTAACTCAGCTGCTTGGTATTCTCAAAGGAAACACTCTACACTTATAACGATTAAGCTCGGATAAACCTGCATGGGAGTGTACAGCACCATATAAAAGCTGTATTACCTTGTACGTCCCTTCGTACTAGATTCGTGCTATTGATCTTACCCAACCTTGAAGCCTTGGTATTATAGAGAGGTGATGCCGTTCTAGTACTGCATTGAATTATCAATATAGATGACTTGGCCTTAGTACAAGGATGACGCTCCTATATTACCTGGGTTGGAGCTGGACATCAACAGACAACATCAAAGAATAGCAAATATGTATCAGCACAACTGGTATAATACCATTATACATTATACGAGGCCTCTCTATAGCAGGGATTATCTGGGACAAGAGGAAACTCTGATGATTCATCAAGAATGACTGCTGCTGGTCTGGAAACAAAGAAAAAGAATTGTCTTTCTTTTCCCCCGATCAAACTATCTATCATTGTATTCGTTTTACTCCTACAACAGTAGTTGCAAGTGCATCACCACGTCGGTAAAAAAAAAAAAGATGGCAGCCCGCTCGGTCAATCATGAGGAGCCTGAAGTTCACCATGTCCAATAGCTTACCACTCCAGTGGTTCAACGACCGCCTCGGCCCGGCTAACGGACTTGTCAAGCTCGGGGGTGGCATCGGTGCCACCGTCATGGCACTGGTTGTGCAGCAGCTCATCGATAAAGTCGGCATCGCCTGGACCTTCCGCGTCACGGCTTTGACCTCTCTGACTAGTGGGTTTCCGACTGCCCTGCTCATTAGGGAGAGGCGCCCCCCTCCTCCTCCACTATAAACATGTCCCTCTTCGGAAACCTGACCTTCTTCCTATTCATAGCCGGCTTCATTGGCATTTTCGCCCTTTGCGTCACTTTTTTCTTTCTGCCTACCGTCGCGACCTCGATCGGATTGTCGTCTGCGACTGCTGCGGCTGTCATGGCCTGCTATAACGCCTGCATGGCCGTGGGCCGTCTGGCCTCAGGCATCGCCTGCGATAAGCTCGGCTCCACAAATATGCTGCTACCATGGCTCTCAACGCCATCACTATGTTGGCGATCTGGTCCGTTGCATCCACCTTAGCTGTACTCATCGTCTTCGCCGCTCTAAATGGAATCGCAAAAGGGCCTTCTTCGTCACTATGCCGACAGCCATCGGAAGGCTACTGGGTCCACATGCAGCGCCTGCGGGCATAAGTATGGCCATCACCGGATGGAGCGTCGGCGACCTGCTGGGCAATCCGATTGCCGGCTTCTTGATCGCTGCCACGCATGCAGATCGTGCGAGTTCTATCGGGCCATATCGTGCGGCCATCTTATATGCAGGCGGAGCAGCAGCCGTTTCAACAGCTCTCGTTCTGGTCGCCCGGCTGAAAATGGATGCCAACCTTATCAAAAAGCTTTAACTCGCTCTTAGCTGAAGTTCTCCTACTATGGCGCATTAGCGCAACTCCATATCTTATATTTCTTACATCAGGTTATGATTCGTTCGGTTCAACGCAGTGTCTTTTGCTTCTCTGTTTACACTTTTAGCATCTACCCTCTATTCGATGACCTCAATTGGAGCACTGAGGTACTAGGGTCAATACCACTGTGTTGCTGCCCGGAGCTGCTGCTCGCTTCGACAAGTCTTGCGAAGAATATTTATAGTTGGCATAGACTGATTAGAAGTTTGGTAAATCTTATGAAGCTGTGGATGATCAAATCATGGTCTAGCTTATATCAATTTCAATTTGCTCCACGTTCATTCAATTCAACATCATACCTGTTTGGACTAAGGGGGGTAAAGGATATAGTATTATGTAGGACGATGGAAAGGTGGGCCCGGTTATTGGATTTTAGCAGTAGCTCTACGCCAATTACTTTTGGACCTACAGCCGCCCACTGAATATATTGAAGGAGTTCTGTCCGTATAACATAATAAATTATGTAACAGTCTGCCGTTTCCCCCTCCCATCATATGCCGTGTCTCATTGCCAAGTAGAGTAATGATTCAATGGACAGACCGTTTATGAATCAAAAGATGTTCTGATATGGCTTCACGCTTTACCCGTGCCATTTAATGTAGACCACCTATGGTTGCTAAATACTAGACTCGGATGCCAAATGCATGCTTACTGAAGGGGAGCAGTGAAGTTAGCTGTTAACCCTTGAAGAATGTGAAAGCGTAATTGCATCGTAATCTGAATGATAGATGACAGGTCTTCCTGTGTAGCCGTTGCCTTGGACAGACTGAGGTTGGGGATATATTGAGTCTGCTCCTGGTACTGGAATCGTGGACCACAGCTGGACGCCGCTCCATGGGAAGAACCAACGATCTTGAGCCCGAATTTGTTTATTCTGGTATGCATGAGGTGTCAGAACAATACACCGTCGAGCAGAAAGGCATCCTCAACTGATACAGGGCATTAGTTGGCTTCAGATGCTAGAGGATGAAGGTTGGTGATTCAATCGTCCCCACCGTCTTCTTAGACGTGTATGTTGTACTGGAACCAAAGGTTACCCGTTCCGTGTTGGAGGGTCCGCGATCATTCTATTAAATGAAAATTCGTAGTGTTTCTTGGGTTCAGCGGGGAACTTGTACTCTACTCTACCCCTTCATATATTTAAGAATTCTAGTTAAGATAGCATGGCCGTCGTATCGTCTTTTTATATATCTAAGATAAGAATAGTGAGAGTATGGTGAGGTCTATATCCAATCTGCTCTCTATTGTCATTGTTTATCTCAAACTATGTTAACAACGGTATCTTTTGTGGCCGCCCCAGAAAACAACTCGCTAAGTAAAGGGTCTCTTCGTGTTTGAGAATCAGTCTCTGTTGGATCAATTCCCTTCGGGATACAGCTCACTTCTAGAATAGTGGGGTGCCATGTTTTTAACGAGAACTTACCGCCAGAACGAGGGCCAACAAATCTGACAGCAATGTCTGTGGCGGCCCAGGACCATGATGGCGCAATCCAACATGTAGGTCTTGACACGGGATCATGAGCTACTCGCCACAAAAGAGCATGTAGTAGGCTTGGACGCGATATATCAACTAAAAAGTCTATTGTGTTCTTCTATGCTTGAGCGTCCGTCCTTGTTCGGCAGAAATTCATAATGATTATGACTATCAGATCAAGGGACTCCTTTACCAGGCTAGACGGATCCTCAACCGGGGGCACGGTATAAACTATTGCCTCCGGGCCAATTAAGAATTTCTAATAAGAAAAGGATCAAGAGCGAGAATAGCATTAATTTTTGAAGAAAGATTCTCTTGATTCAAGCCTTCACCCCGAATTGCTTCCAAAATATATACAGAATTGTCAATATGGGGGTATGGGACGGGCTATATTAGTGAAGTATAGGGGTCAACCGGCCCTCTCGGCTTCAAGCGGTTTCAAGCTCTATATAGTACATGATGCATAAAAAAATAGAATCCAAAGTGATATTCCATCTCACTGGCTTTCCCGCTCCTTTGATTCTGAATGGCATAAAGGCAAGGATGAATAGTGGAAGTCAATCCGCTTCTTCAGCTTGCTTTATAAAGAATTCCAAGACTTCGTGCCAGCCTTTTACCTATTCACCAGCATAGGCAATCTTGGAATGCAGCCCGTGCCCGGGTTTAAACACGGCACATTCTACCACTTTCCGAGACGGTCCACTCATCAGAGCCAACAGCCGTCAGCGCGTAGAAGATAGAGTTAGGGTCGTACTTGGCCTTGATTTCGCGGAGCTTGTCGTAGTTCTTGCCAAAGAATGCAGTCTTGAAGTCAGGCTGGCGGAAGTCGGCCTATAGATAAATTGGTGAGCATGTGTCAAGGCTGGGCGGGAATCAACGATTGAAAATAAAATTGTAGTCTTACCTCGTTCAAATAAGCGCCAGACTCCGGGGCTAATCTGCTGAAGGCAGGAACCAAGACCTCGGTCATCAATTTCTGCGCCTCAATCATTTTCTCTTGCTGGTTAAACTCCCAGCCGGTATACAAAAGCATGTGGGCAATTGCATTGCGCCATGCCGGGTTCACGGCGTTGTCGACATCGCCAGCGACTTCCTTTGACACCTTGAGACCCACATTGGTGAAGTTAGCACCCGTAGAGAGGATAGTCCGATAGGACTCGGTCAGGTCACGGTTAGTGCTGGTATTCTCGACGACAGACCGGGGGAGAAGCCAGCTGCCATACTGGCCCACTGCAATTTCAACGAGCGGCGCCTGGGCATTGAATTCGTCGAGGTAGGTGGGGAAGCTTTCTGCGTGATATTGATACTGGATACCAAGCGTCTTCAGTTCATTGAGGAATGGTTGAATGAGACTCTCGAGCTTCTCCAGGGGCATACCAGGTGCAACCATGGGGGAGAGAGAGAAGGAGACGTTGGTCATGAAGTTCAGACTCATGATCCCCTCATCCACGAAAGAAGGCAACTGAGCATTGTAAAACTCCACGGCTTTGTAGAACGTGTCGTCAGAAATGCCACTGGTGGTGAAGGTCAGGTTCAAGCCAGATACCTGACTATCTTGATGAGCCTTAGAGGTCATAGACCAGACAACACCATAGGTCCCACCACCGCCACCACTCAGTGCCCAGTAGAGATCACTGTTCTGAGTGCGGTTCGCGACGAGGAGCCTACCAGTACCGTCGATCACTTCCCACTCGAGAACCTGGTCCGCACCCAGTCCATACATCGAAGACAGGAGAGAGTGACCGCCTCCTTGACTATATCCGCCGGCAATACCGACCGAAGGGCACTCTCCACCTACCACGCGAAGCCCCAGCGCGTGCGCTGCCTCATAGGCCTCGAATCCTTGGACACCCGCACCGAGTTTGACAGCCTTTCCTGTATAATAATCGTCCTTCCAATCCTTGAATTCGATATCCTTAAGGTGGTGTGTCCAGACCGAAAGGGCACCTGCACCGGTGGATTTTCCGTTGTAGCTAAGATTCGTCAGTTCCCACCGGGTTGAACGCAGCTTCTGGCAAGTTCAGGGGGGCGTTACTCATGGCCGGTGTTACGAATAACAAAACGGATATTGTGCTCATTGGCAAATTGCAAAGTCTTGGCCACATGGGTAGGCGTGGAGACATTCACTGCGTATCGGACGAAATTACCCAGGGTACATGGCTTGGAAACAGGGTGGTATGGATCGCATGTGCCATTTGTGAACCATGGAGCCATCAGAGATGATGAGGATTGATAGCTGGTAGCTTGTTAATATTCTCTGATATTCCATTTCGTGGGGGAGGAATCTCAATCCAAGAACGTACTGATCCTCTGGCAAAAGCCAGTCGCTTTTCAAAGCTGCGCATTTCTTTTCATCGTAGTTGGGATCGTGGCATGAAGCTGCGAGAGGCACGGTGGCCACCAGACGTCCATCGACAGATTGGTTGAAAGCATTCCAAGTTGAAACTGATGGCCAGCAATCATCGCCAGGGAAACATCGGCAAGAGGAGCTGTCCGATGCCTCAATCGAGGGGGCAATGGCAAAAAGGCCAAGGACAGCCCCGAGTTTGAGGGTAGTCAAAGAAGGCATTGGGGAGTTGTGGTCTTGCCCGGTATTGCTTTGGCAAGGTTGAAAATTAAGGACGAGTGTCGAGGAGCCGTTTCGGTACTTAAGGCTCTCGGCTACACACGACTCAACATTCCGAGCTTGGGCACGTTCTCCTGACTAGCAAGCTAATGCCACTAATGCAGACGGAACATGGCCCAAACCCTTGCTAGTGAGATGATATTGGAACTCTAGGAATGCCTCGGCCCCACCACGAGGCGGTATTTGCCTAGTTGGAACTAGTACGGGGGGGTGAAGTTATGCTCGAGGTATGAATAATCAAGTTATTGCCGTTTACCAGGTTGAATTAAATTAAACGGCACAAGGGAAAAACATAGATCCCGGTTTGAGATTTGATATGCATGGAATATAACCACGTAGGGTTAACCCCGGCCAAGGGAACGGTTTCCCGCGATCTCATCTTAGTTTCTATCGCCTTACTAAACTTGGGATAACCAGTGGGTCTGTAGCTTTTGGCCCCCATGCCTCTCGAGATGGCGCCATTACGTGGCTCTGGGGGGAGGTGAAGATGTTAACACCTTCTCCGGCAAAAGTTTCCGGTCCATGCCCGTTTTTCCACCAAAATCCATGTGTTTATATGATAGTAATAGTATTAGGTTACAGGGCTGATTAAATGATTTATTTTCTATATCTATTTGACATCTAGGGCTTTCATGACAATTCGAGATAAATTCTTTTTTTTTTTCTTTTCAGGCTTTGTACTTATCACTACAATCTACTAGATATTAGATATATAATCATATATTTATTCAAAAATATAACAATTACAACATTTAGATAATTAATGAAATATATTTATTTCTGAAAATTGATTCTAGTATCATCGGTAGAAATCTAGTGAAAAATCATCAATGATTTTTTATTTCTATTTCTTTTTTTTTTTTTTTTTTTAGGGATTGCCGGTTGGACTTGATCTTTTTTTCCCTTTCCTTTTCTTTTCTTTTTTGCTTTCACTCTTTTTTTTTTTTTTTTTTTTTTTTTTTTTTTTTTTTTTTTTTTTTTTTTTTTTTTTTTTATTATATAAAAATAGGAGTTGAACGGAAACTTTTGCCAGGGTATTCCGAAGTTCTGCAGGTTTGCCATGCAGTCGGGAGCGAACTAGCATGACCTGCATTGATAGCTCCAAACTCTGTCATGTCGCCGAACTCGCCACTTGGGTCCAGAAAGATTCAGGGACCGTGGACTTATATCAGTCATAAAGTAGCCAAAAGCTTACTTTGAGGATCTCTCTCTTCTTTGTGCCCATTCTCCATCTCGCTCCCCTGGTATATCATCAACAGCAGCTACTATGGGGAGCATGACTGGGGTTATGCCTCCACCCCCCGGGGTGACGCCCGATTTCGACTATTCTAATCCTAAGAATTTTAAGAAGGAAATGATCATTTTTGGCATTGGGCTCTTTCTCAGCACCATATTATTGGCCATGCGCGTATTTACGCGGGCAGTTCTGTTGTCAAAGTTCGGATGGGACGATGGTATATACAGCCTCAATCCTCCTGGAAGAAACGTATCGAGTGGAATTGCTAAGCTCAATTAGTATCAATCATCATAGCCTGGGTAGGGAATATCGAGATGCCAGGATCGCTTCCGGTTTGCTAACGACGATGTCTTATGGAAATAAAGGTCCTCTCTCTAGCAACACAAATCGCGTGCATACGTATGTGATCTCCTGTTCCGGTCCCCTAAGATTCGGGACCATTCGCTGACCTGATCCGACCAGTGAGCTGCGTATATGGTGGAGCTGGAATCCATATGTGGAATGTGACCCCGGCCATGTTCGATGTCTATCAAAAGGTATCTGAAACAGTCCCTATCTCTTATCGACATCTGGTTAATAGGTTTCGTCCGCAAAGACTATCCTGGCCGCCGCCGTGATTTATCTGCCTGCCCTCGCATTCGCCAAAGTCGGCCTTATTATCCTCTATCACCGTATCATCAACAAGCAACGCGGCTATAAATGGGCGCTTCACATTATCTCGGGGATCATTTGCGCATATAGTATCGCTATTTCCTTGGCCTTGATCTTTGCGTGCAACCCCATTCAGAGGAGTTGGGACTCCTCGATCACACGGGGGTCTTGTATAGATCGGGCTGGCTTGTACATTGCAACGGCGGTCACCAATATCGTTTCGGACTTGGCTCTGATTTTGGTTCCTGTTCCGCTGGTGTTAGGCCTACAAATGCCGCGAATCCAAAAGGTTGGGCTTCTCGGCATGTTCATTGTTGGTTGCGGGTGAGTCCTTTCGTTGCTAGGCCCTGCTGATCACGATTTCCTCCGTGATAATCTAACAAAATCGTATCCAGGACGTTTATTACAAGCATATTGCGACTCACCACCTTGATTCCAACCCTTACGGCCACGGACGTTACATACGCAATAGCAGAGGCACAGCTGTGGATGTACGATTCCCTTTTTAACCTTTTCTTTCACCCTTTTCGAATAACGCGCAGAGCTCACACACCTCCCCTCGTCTATAGTTATGTCGAAGCGAACCTGATCATTATTTGTCCCTGTCTGCCATTCCTCCGACAGTTTCTGCGAGCCTATTCACCCGCCTGGATTGGTGAAGGCAGCAGCCGCGGCCGACGCTACGTCGGTTACTATGGTTCGACGGCGACTCCGCGCAGCCGTCGCAAGCAGGGCCTCACTCTTCTCCAGGATGACATCGCACTCGCCGAGAGCACGACAAGCACCCACAGCCATTCGCATATTGTCAAAGAGGTTCAGTGGCAGGTGACAGAAGAGCGCCGGGACGTGGAGTCGCCACCCAGTCTTGGTCTATCTCAGGAACCTCATGCACCTCATGGACTATAGCACATCGATTCAGGGGGTACCACCGATCTGGATTTCACCCCACAGATATCGTTTCATGGCCGAAACTACTGAATAGTTTCGCAGCCTCCCACTCGGGGCCCATGTTTGCGGCCAGAGGCGATGACATTGATCGGCGATAATAATAATCATCAACGCCAAGATCCGTCACCTCCTGGAACCGAAGTTCCAGTCAAGCCACCAGACGCCAGAGACCAGACTAAAAGTCTCTGGCGCAAAGCTACCAATGCAGCGAAAAACTCTTTTATATGCGTTACCCTCTCATTGGACGATCTTCTCCAGACTAGTTTTAGTTCAAAAGCCACATTACATAATAGCCCTGCGTCAAGGGAATAATATCAATACTATTGAATGGATATATGGGATTATGGGATTACATTCATGTCCGATCTGGGGCTATTTAGCGCGGGTGGCTGGTTTCGGAAATAGCCACTCAATTCAACTATGCCGATCATGCTAGTGGGCCCCGGGCAGGCCTGCTCGCTTCGCGTGGTCATTGGTTTTTGATTGAGAACCGTCTGCATTGGCCTTTAAAAGGATTCTCACCAGGGGTGTCGATGGAGTCGCGTGTCCATTTTTCTAACTCTCAGGTCGGCGTTCAATTTTTACCGCCAATTAGCGCCGGAGAGAGAGTCTTTTTTGTTTTTCCAAATCCAAATCCAAATTGTTCATGCGCCGAGACATTCTCGAAGAAAATTGTGATATATCAAATGATCACCATAATCTTGGCATGCATGGCTTGTGTAAGCACTCTAAAGTATGCAAGAAAAGAACAACTAGAATATGTCAAGATCTGCTCCATCTCCCCCAGGGTTTATCGGAGGAGAATTGACTGAGTAGAAAACATGTCCGGCCGAAAGGGCTGTGGACGGTGGACACACAACGATCTGGAGCGGATCAAGATTCAAGCGGGCCAGCGCGGCCCGAGCGCCACTGAAACCGGGAGCATTCCGCGGGTTTAGCGTACCAGCCGAACCGATATTGCGAGGGTCTGCTGTTTGCCGACGCAGGCGAGTTGAGTCCTGGCATACGGGGTACTTAGGGACATAAATTGAACTGTTCTTATACGGAGGGCTAATTGCCTGATACGGGTGCCGCCGCTTTATGGGAGCAGCACGTGAGCGATCGGTACTCCGTAAGTGCTTCGGCAGCGCTCTGGGTCCACCCTGAGTGTTCTTCAAACATGCACTCCATGGCTTCTCAGGCGACTCCCAGAGAACTCAGTTTCCCTTCCGATTTATTCTATAATCCAGCACGTGATAGTATGAACAATAGCTTGGAAACTATATGCACACTAAATTCAAAGGCCTACAGCACTCTACCCACCACTCTATTAGCCCTTGTCATAATTAGAGACGAACAACCTAGCGTGAATATTCAATAATATATATAATATTCGCTCTTGTAAAGCACAACTCTGGGTAGAACTCTGAGGAAATGGATACAGTCAACTCTAGCCTAAGACTATATTTAGGTGTAGGCCCTCAGCCCTAAATATATAAACATGAATTCAGTATACGCTCCCCCATGTACGTTTACTTTGCTGTCTTATTTTTATTACCATATTAGAAATAACCTTCTTTAACATTATTGGGTTTACTATCTCTTTGCTCTGTTATCGTCTTTATGTAACATATGGAAACGCTCGAACTTATAAAAGGCTGCCTGGCCGAGAGAGAAAAATCAAAGGGGAGATGTATGGTGAACTGCGTGAATCAAGGAGGTATGGCCCGGTTACTCATTGAGAAAAGGACTGACAAGGATGGTCTCCACAAACGAAGATACCAGATTATCTCTCAATACCAAACTACGGTAGGTTCACGCACCCGCGGCCACCTGGTAAATACTAGTCTAAAGCATGGCATAGAGCCCTCTTGCGAGCACAAGATTATATAAGATAATAAGATAACTATGTGTGTTACAATCGTGGTGAGCCAAACAGAGATAGTGTACAGTATATAGTGCCTACAAGCTTTTATTAGGTAAATTTATAGCTGGTTAGCAAATGTTGAACAAACAACGCATGGCTTAATCTTCCAATAGTGATTGAGGGGTAAAATCCCCAGATGTGGGGTTGTGGGCATCACGTGGCTACCAACCAACCATACTCCGGGAAGTACACCTCGAAACAATCTACTGTACACTTGGGCTTGGGGTAGAGACACCATGCCCCGAACAGAATCAAGGAAGGCATGTCTGAACTGTCGCCAGCGGCATCTCAAGTGTGACCGAGAGCAGCCATCTTGCCGTCGATGCAGAGATTCAAAAGTGGCTTGCAAACAATCGGCGGTGCATTCATTTCGGAATACTGTCCTTGATGGAGACTTCAATCGATCTGAACAACGAGTCGACACACTACCGGGTCAGGATACAGAGCCAAGTGACCAAATACAGACACGGTTTGTCGACCAGACACGTTCCGTGATCGAAGCCCACAGAAGACGAAACTGGGCGGTGGACACTGAGTCAGAGCCAGGACAGCCCTGGGTAAGTGTACCAAAGGCTTTACAACCTCAACAAGGCAACACTAAGTATGTTAGGATGCCCCGGCTAAGCCGCAGCCACCAGAGCTGTCACCTTCTGCTACATTCTTCTTTAATCACCCCCCGTCGATCATTGGTCTGCCGTTGGCGGCAGATGTGCGTCATGTCGGTCCTCCTTCCATTGGTGGCAGCCCTAGTCCCTTGGACCCATTTCTGTCAACGTCCCCATACCTGAGGGGTAGTTCAGGTAGCACTCACGGTGGTGCTGGCAACCTAAGCAGTCTATATTTAGGTCCTTCAATGGAACGGTTTCATCCACCGCAGTCAACTAGTGCTGCTACACCGACTGAACCAGTGCCTGTCATTACGCATCCCAGAGAAGCATACCTCCTCAAAGTCTTCACACAAACATGGGGACCAATATTCGACTGTGTCGATCCTGATTTAACTTTCACGAAATCCATCCTTCATATAGCGATTCACTCTTTCACGCCGCTATATTGGGCCGTGCTGGCGACTTCGGCCCTGCAATTATCGCGGGTATCAAATTATCCAGTTTCTGCGGCCAGGTACTATCGTGAACGATGTTCAAATTCTATAATGCCGATTTTACTCCAATCAGCTCAGCCTGAGGCTAATGAGGAAACGCTCTTCGCCACATATGTTCTCCTTCGAAACTACGAGCACATGACTGGTTAGTGTGTTCTTGAACGTGAGACTGAGGATGGTATTAATTTTGCATTTTCTAGAAAATCTTATGGAGAAAGACAGCGCCAGCTTGTTTACTGCGTCCCTGGCCATATCCGTGAACCCTCGGGATACGGTGACTGACAAGATGAACCTAGGCCGCGCTGCATTTTGGGTCCATCTTCGCCAGGATATTCATGTTGCGCTCCTCCTGCAAGTCCCCATAAACGTTGATTACCCACCCTGTCTTCAAAGAGACAAAATCTTACAAGATGTCGAAAATATGACTTCAGGAACGACTCTGCTCCCGGATGACGTCATCGACTGCGCATGGACTAACAAAGTTGCCCTGACTTTGGTTGACATTATCAATTATTGTTTTCAACGTCAGCCTCGCCATGTGGAATCATGGATCAATCTCCGTGGCCGGCTGGATCACTGGATCATTGGAAAACCAAGACGGTTTCATCCTTATTACGAAAGAGCAGCAGACCTGGCAAACGGACGCGTTTTTCCTGACATATGGATTTCGTGTGATTGCTACGTCCTGGCGTGGCTCTATTATCATACAGCGTCTGTCTTGCTGAAGACGTTCTTACCGTGTTCAGATGCTCTCGCTACCAGGGCCCAGCAAAGCAAGTCACCAATCCTCAATTCCATCGTGAACAGAGAGGAAGTCTTGATTCATGCCAGAGCCATATGTGGGATAGCAACCACCAACCCAAACGCCCAGGCTCTGATTGTTGTCTGTCACATGGTTACAGTTTCCGCAGTCTTTTTCACCACTGCTGATGAACGAAACGAAACAATCAGATTGATAAGGCTAGCCCATACGCTGACGGGCCATCCACTACGTGACATTGAGGAAAAGCTTCAGGATGCTTGGAATCAACAGAGAAACATATCGGATACAAGCCTGCAAACCTGATTATCTCAATCAATACGTCGTTTGTCGTATGTACTCAGACAGCATTAGAGGGCACTCTTATGTTCAAGGTGCTCCACTTGCTTGATGTCTTCGCCCATCTTCTCCTCATCATTCACGCCACGCGAAGCCGAAAGCCTGAAGGCATTCTCACGTATGATATCCTCCATGTCTCGGGGGCGATCTGAGCTCAACCCCAACCGATATCGAAGTTGATGAAGCTTGTTTGCTCCGTGGATACTGATTGGAACAGCAAAGACCATGTCCAGCTCCTCGAGACTCTTTCCCCGTGTCTCCGGGATGAAGAAATAGGCTAGAGTCGCGCCAACGAAGCACCAAGCGGAATACCAGCAAAATGCGCCAGTCGATGTCATTGCATTCAGCTGCGATGGCCATGCAAATGTTAGAGCAAAGCTAAATGTCCAGGTGGTTGCGGTTGAAAAGCTCATTCCCAATGTTCTCATATAGAGTGGGAATGCCTCGCTGGCATAAACAAACGGAACTACACCTTGGCCGGGGGCGTAGGTAGCCTCGTATAGGTAACTGAAAATCACATAAGTCTATTTCTTCACAATATGGAGATTCATATCAAGGCTTACATTCCGATGGCTACCATAACCAGTCGCGTTTTTGGGTCACTCGCAAGGAACGAGAGACCTGTCCATAGGGTACAGGCGCCCATTGATACCAGCGACCAAATCAATAATGGCCGTCTGCCCCAGATGTCAATGTATTTGATTGCCGGTAAAGCACCAATGAAAAGCAAAGCACCGGCACCGATGGACGCATAAATAGCGGTGACGGCCGTGGCACCCGTATCGACAAAGACTTGGCCCGTATAATATGTCATCCTGTGGGGGATTAGAGTGTCAGTTCATGATCAATTATCTAGGCGAAGAGGATACGTACGCATTGATTCCACAGAAGTTTTGCATGAACATAATGAACCAGGATGCTAGTGCAGCATAGCGGACCCGAGGATGCTGGACAACATCACGGATATCGGAGAACAGGGTGCGTCCCGACCGCAAGTCTTCTTCAAGCTTCACCGACTGCACTATATAGTACAGGTCTCGGGAAGCCTGGAGCCTTGTGGCCCGCAACCGCAATAAAGATCGGAACGCAGCTGCGTATCGCTGCCGTGACACAAGATACCTTGGTGACTCGGGGCCAAAGTAAACAGTGGCAATAACGAAGATCGGCGCAACTAATTGACTCCCGATCATGAGTCGCCAATTCAGAGGATAGTGCACATGGACGACTAATCCATCCGGGGGTCAGCAAAGTGGCACAAAGGCAATGCTTTTTGTTTTGTCGCTAACTTACACGCTGCACTAATGATGTACCCCATCATAATACCGAAGGAAACAAAGACTTGCCACATCATGACCAGTCCCCCCCTAATAGATGCGGGTGCACACTCGGCTGTATAGACAGCAACCGTTGCAGAGTTCGCACCAATGCCTGTAAACCTTGAGCTACAAAGTCCTGTCCGGTTAATCGAAAATCACTTACAAACGCCTAATAACAATCTTGACCCAAGGAAGGACTGCCAGGAGGTGGAAACTGCCTGCCATGTAGATGCTCCGATGGAAACAAGAGACCAGAGAAAAACTGTGCCTCGACGCCCAAGGAAATGGTTCGATGGAATGGCTAACCAACAGCCCACAGTAGCACACATCAGATACGGGCTCGCATTGATGAGTCCAGTCAAAAGGGCATTATCTTCGAGGCCAAAGTACTTTAGAAAGTAGAGCTGGGCGCCGCTAATCACGGTTTCATCCATCCCCTGGACCGTTGCTGCCAGGGCATTCACAATGCTCACCCACCAAATCGCAAAGGGCTGTTTGAACCTGTTCACTGCCTCGGAGAGAAGGCTCTGCGCCAAACAAAATGAGCATGGGAGATTTTGATCCGCTGAGTCTGGGATCGCGCACCTTCTTTTCGTCTTCCGAGGCGTCGGACGTGTAGAATTGGACCGGATCATGCGCAAGCTAGGCGCCTCTCTTGAAGGTCTCCCTGTCATCATGAAGACCTGCATTCACAACAAGCTCTGTGACACGTCGGGTGATCTCTTCCCTCGGGACATTATCATCCAGTCGTTCGGCTGCCTCTGGGATGAATTCGTGATTTTGATCGCTCCCTCGGACCCTAGGAGCACAGGAATTTCGGTTGGTAGTGAAATCAGGCATAATTGATCATCCAATGATGGTATCTTATGTGAAGAGCAAGGTACAGAAAAATAGGACTTCCCCGGATTCTCCAATGAGTAGTATATATACCCCACAAAAGCCGGTTCGCCTCATAAGAGTGACCCCCAACCGTCTGGGGTACAGCGGGTTGGGGGTGCTTCAAGCCGACGCACGGTATAGCAGATGGATAGACTCATGCTGTTTTTACCTAATTCGGACTGATAGTCGGAAGTCTAAGCCAAGTTTCGAATATGGTTTCCGAAGCGTGCGAGCTATGCCTATTCCGTCCGCGTCGGGAACCATATTCTCCAAACAGGCAAGCCTGTGCGCCAATAGGAGACACAGAAGCTATACTAGAAAGGGTATCTTCTCGACCATGTTTTCCTATTTCAGCCACATTGCTTTTATAGTTCAATTGGGGCGAGCTTCCTATCCACGTGTCGCCCAGTGATCAAAGATATCAAAGATGGATCACAACATCATGCGTCGGATGAAATTACCGTATGAAAGGAAAAGTGTAGGAACAGGCCTCCATGCGACTGGGCACCATATGGTGGACTCCAGGCATGTATCGCATGATAAATAGGGCCGACCAATTCGTACGTCCCCCTGCCAAAGAATACGTTCCAGCTCAATTGAACTCCTTTTCCCTCAGAAGGCTGTTCATCAACAATGATGCTCTTCTCTTCCTCTCATGCGTATTGTCTTTTGGGTATCTTTGTTCTCTCTTTGCTTCTCAGACCTGTTCTGGTCTATAGCAGGGATCCACTAGGTCTCCGAAAATACCCTGCACCTAGCTGGTTGGCAGCTCTAACGCCGCTCTGGTTGGTCCGTGCTACATGGTCTCAGAATAGGTCTAGGATCATCCATAGAGAGTTTCAGCGACTTGGAGATGTGATACGTGTTAGCCCCGACCACATCATTTTCAACGATCCGGCTGCGGTGAAAGATATCTACGGTGTCCTGGCCAATTCCCAAGGTGTGCACAAGGATGCCTTTTACGACCGAGTAGCCAGTGACACTCATGATCTCGTACAACTACGCGACCGTGGGGAGCATTCCAGCCGTCGTAAAGCGATTGCGAATGCGTTCGCGGCCAAGACGGTGGTCAATATGGAATCGGTGATCAGATATCACTTCCACCAGCTCCTCAGAAGGATTGACCAGGAGATCGAAAAGGAGGTTACTGGAAAGGAGTCATTCTTGAACTTGCGGCTATGGTAGGTGATTCGGAGCCACTACTTCTACCTTGCCCTGGACCTGATCCCTCCTTCGGATTACCTTTGTCAATGAACCCACTGACACTATATAGGTTTAACTATTTCACGCTTGATGTCATCGGAGATATGGGATTTGGCCGCCCGATGGGGTTTCTTCAAAGCATGTCCGATAGGACAGAGGCAGAAACCCAGGACGGGAAAAGATATCTGGTGATGAATATGATCGACAGCCTTCACAAAGGGGTGCGGTACGGGTTATCTATGGGAAATGTGACCTCACATCGCCTCATCCATTTCCTGAAACGTGTTGTGGATCTCTTCCCACCTTTGGCAGTTCGCTTGGGAAGCACTGGTGGCAGCGACTTCGAAGACATCTGTATCCACAAGCTCCGCACACGCCTTCTTGAAGGAGCGCCAAACCGTGTGTCAGGGGATTTCATGAAATATATTTTGGAGGATAAGAAGCGATCGAGCGAGAGCAACTCCTTCTCGCACGAGCAGTTCCGCTCTCTTGTTGCGGACACAATGATGATGATGAATGCCGGCTCAGACACCACCGCGTCCGCACTTACCTCAACTACTTGGTATCTGCTCAGGCACCCACAAGCATTGACCAGACTACGTAAAGAGCTCTCCGACCATATAGGGCGTATGGAGACAAGCGGACTCTCAGCGGACGAGTCTATTTTCGCCTATGACGTCGTAAAGGATCTTCCCTTCCTGCGCGCTTGTATTGACGAGTCTCTTCGCCTGAGATCACCATTAGCCTACCAGCTGCCGCGCCTCGTGTCTCGTCCCACCATCATTGCCGGACATAAAATCATGCCCGGTACTGTGGTCGCTGCTGCTCCGTACTCTATTCACCGCCACGCTTCTCTTTTCCGTGACCCGGACGAGTATTGCCCGGAGCGCTGGGTCGACTTTGACGAAGATTTTCCCAATCAGATAGAGGACCTGAAAAAGTATAACATCGTTTTCAGCCAGGGAAGTCGGGCCTGTATTGGACGGCACTTAGCAATCGTCGAGCTGCAAATGCTTATTCCCACGCTTGTGATGAGGTGAGTGTTCCCCAAAGTTGAAGCTCTTGTCTGTAGAGGTCATTAGGAAGGATTTTGATTTTCATGACCTTCCCCATTCTCATCAAATGCTAGGTACTGAAACTTCATCTAGGTATCATATGGAGCTCGAACAGAAGAGTAAGACGGAATTGAAGGTTTTTGAGAGATTTAACAGCAACCCTGGGCCAATGCTGGTGAGTCTTAGAAAGAGGACCACATCTGGGTAAGTATGTCGCTAGTATTTATGGCTGTCGAAATCTACCCGTTTCTTGGTCTTTCTTATAGGTTACTTCTACACACGCTATTTTGGGGGTCTCCAAATCGCTGTGGACATCGCCTTAGCGAATTAAGGGGTATTATAAAATGGACAGCCACTGCCGGGTCACCCAAAGGACGATGGTGTACTTGTGCACCAGCCTGGGCTGACAACCAATTGGGAGCGAGGCGGGAAAGTGGAGGTTGATAGTTGCGAGAAGCGACCTGTTGAGAAGGCGATCTCTATAAAGACAAATGAATAATAGTATGAGAGACCCAGGAGATGACCAACCAAAAGGAAAAGCTGCCATTAGTCTACGTAAAGACGAGCCTATCAGAAATTGTATATGGTTATATAACTCCGTCGGTTGGTTAGTTTCTGCTATGTGTATCTGACTAAGGTATAGGATATCAACAAAAAGCCGGAGTCAACTATTGCGCAATCCTCCGAAACCTTGAGTTTAAAGGATTGAGAATACGAAAAGCCCTCGCTTGGAATTTAGTCTGTTGTGCTTTGCATGTTCAATCTAGCAGTATGGCCTGGAGTACCAAGGGGCCTCCAGGGACTTGAAGGCCATGAGTCTAACGACTACCAGATAGAGTGGCCTGGGAAAGCTGATACCTGGTTACACACATTCACTGATTTTACTTGGCGATTGGAGAAGAAATCATGGCCATTAGAAAAAAGAAAACAGCCTCTGATCGCACAAAATTTACATTTATCAATATTGGCACGACACATTGGAGAATGCGCAAGCAATAATCTGGGTACACACAACGAAGGCTGTCGGTCCTATGTCGAACGTATCTTCTACCGGGCAACGTTCTCATCATTTTCCGAGAAAGCAACAACTTCCCATCGTTTGTCGTAAGGTTTAGTCTTGTCCACAAACCTGAGATCTGTAGAGGCTCGAATTCGGCCTGTTGGCGATCTGTTCTGAGCACCAGCATGGACGGTGTAAGGCGTATGGAAAATGACATTGCCTGCCTCATAATTTCCCTAGTTTCCTCGGGTCAGTAAGGGCGGCCGGATAACATAGTAGAAGCTTTACGTACCACAAGCCAAGCGCGTTTGTGTCCTTCCCCAAATCGAGCGGCATCTCTATTCAGCCAACCGCCCCTCATCATATTTTGGTTCAAAGCTGACACCTTCTCCATATCGGAGAGTCCTGAGTTCTTCTCTGAGAAGGCTTCTTCATACTGTACACCTATATCGTGAGACCGGTCAAGATAGATCAGCCCACCACCTTCCAGTTCCACATCGCCTAGGGGAACCCAGGCTGTCACGCTGGTTGGTGGGCCAGCCCGGAGGAAGATCTGGTCATAGTGAACCGGGGTGGTATCGCCACCCGGAACAGCGAGGCGTAGGAGGGAACGAGGGAGGCATTAGGATTGATTAAAGCCCGCGAGCTTGCCAACAAAGGGCTCTAATTGTCGGCTAATGTTTCTCTTAAAGTCAACGTACGGTTTCCACTGGTGTGCGTGATTGGCCTTTTCGACAAATGGACCATCGTTCGGAATGCCAGCCGCAACTCGCACCCCGCCGAGAAGGAATTGACGCCAGTCCGCGTCAGGGTTGAATATTCCATCTCGGCTATCAGTTCCATCCTTGAGCATGCCGCTACCCTCGTTGATCATGGCAAGATACTCTCCGCGAAATTTGTTGATCATGTTCGGGTCGAGAAGATTTTTCACCTAAGTTATGCCATAGGTGAAGAATGAGTTAGCAAACATCTTGGACCTTTTCCACATGTCTTGGGTGTTGATGCTACTGTGTTATTAGTGCAGGCACTGCTTGACCTACCCATAATACGCCATCCTCCCTGTATTTCCGTTGCATTTCCTCTATTGTTGCCTCGGCTGAGTAAGGAGTCAGGCGTCGGACATCCTGTAGTTCCCCGTTGTTACCGTAAATCATGGTGCTAAGATTCGTGGGGCCTTTGTCGGAAGTTTGGCCGGGCCCCATACTGATGTCTGGATGTCTTGTCATGTCGTATAGAACCAACCTGGTAAACAGCAAAGAGGGTGGGGGGAAGCAAGTGAACTACCACGACGTCAAAGTCCTCGTCACAATACCCAGTTGTTTTCCTCCTATTTATATCCAAAGACAGGAGACTTTGTGAGGGATCTTATTTTAACCCGGAGCCACAGAGCAACCTTTATTAGGAAGTATTATAGCGAGCCCCGGCGTGAAAATAACCGTAAATTACGACGTTCCCCGATTGGGTAAATTATTTCGGGGCAGCCAGTAGTAAATTTACCACAACGGGACATCCGGGCTATGGCCCAAGATATCGAAACGCTGATTATTGCCCTATGTAGATAAGTAGATCAGACCATCAATGAAATGCGTTGGTATATCTGCACCTTTCATATACCTGCGAACGGTATAGATTGAATTGACCGCCCTCTTCCTTCATCATAACTTCCCTGATTTTCAAGGTAATCGACCCACATGTTCTGGTCCAAGAACAAGTTGGACCACGGCCCTCCCAGATCTAGCGTTGGTAAGTCAGCTGCTAGAACATCTCCGCCCTGTGGCCACCGGACCATAGATTCGGGGATATCAGGAATATCGGGCTGTTCATGGTGGTTGGATGTGATGCGACGAAATTCGCTCAGGATCTCGATGTAGCGCTGTCCGATCTGATCGCCTTCCACCCCAACCGTAAATTGGGATCTCGCTTCCTCGGCGACCTTCCAGACACGACCAGCATGGGGCCAGAGACGATAGTACATGTAGAGCGTTCCGATGGCAGTAAATTGAGCATAATTGACCATCCAGAATGCTTTTGAAAATAAACCGTGTTCCTGAAGAGATTGGCACTCGGAGACAATCATGTTTGCTGCTGCGATGGATTCATCATGGCAGCGTTTGACCCACTTTCCAAACTCTGCTTGCTTTACGGAATCCACCATTTCTATGGAGTGCAACATGAACGGACGATATAGGAGAATGTTTGCGTATGCATAGGTCAGTTTCAACGTAGACACCTGCCTGTGTAATGTGACGGACAGAGCAGATGTTGGCAGCAAGGCAAAGTTAAGATACTTCGGAAGAGTCGACTGCCACGTAGAAAGCGCTGCTTCAAAGGTGATGGCCATGTCATAAAAATAGGACAGCGTTTGCCGCTTGGCCGTCAAGGAGTAGAACTGTCGAAGAATTTTCCCCAGAATGTGAGCCAGCCGGGCGTAGTGCACAGGCGCCGCAGCTGAACACAAAGTGTTCGGTTGCGCAGGACGACAGGCGGAGACGGATATATCCTCATCATTGGAAAGGACACACTCCTCTTGGTCGACATCATCATCATGTATTGCACAGGGCCGACCGAAGATACTGCTGAGTATTCGATCGTTAATATAAATGACCCAAAAAGTCCGCTTCCGGAACTCATGGACGATGCAATTATGCGGGACTTTCCTTGCCCGATAGTGAAGGCCGAGCGCCTGAGCATGGCGCACGACCGTCCCAAACAATGACCAAGCCTCATGCATCCTGGAATGGTTCAGCAGATAGTGAACTGCAAGGAGGCGGGCTTGGACAGAGGTGAGGGTAATCCGACTGGGTAACGTCGCAAGCTGTTGGTCGGCCATCTCGTAGAATTGCACGCTATAAAAAGGTCAGGTCAGAGCCATCGATGGATTGAGAATTTATATAGAGAATGACCGAACCTAGCTGAGTAGCCGCACCAGACGCTGTCATATCTAGAGTAATGCGATCCCAATGCCATGATCATATAGATTAAAACTAGGCTGTCAGGCTGCAGGCCCTCACCAGAACCCACAGAGTACATCAATTTGTACGTCAGCCTAAAGGTGGGCTCGTGAACAAATCGAGACGTGCTTAGCCCAAAGTCGAAGTAATTTTTGACTAATTCATCAGCTACCGCTTTGGGTGGTAGCACTCGAGGTAGCGCTCTCGAGCTGGAAAGAGGATAGTCACAGAAGTCAATAGACATAGACGGCAGGCTTGTCAACTTCTGTTTTGCAATATTCAAGAAGGCAAACACCGAGGAGGTCCAGTGGACATGTCCATACTGGTCTTGCTGCAAGGGAGCATCGGACGTGTCTGTACTTGCGACAACGTCATCGCCACCATCACCAGCAGCCACATTGGGCTCGGCGCCAAGGGGATCTATCGCAAAGTCTGGAGATATGCATGGTACGCGGGGGCTGGATCCTGTACACTCGCCTTCAATAATTTATGCCGGAAGAGCTGTCATGGAAGACGAGCCTGGCCTCTGTCTCTCATTGGCGACAGTAGACGTAGAGCTAGTTGGCCACATCGGAGACATATATGTACATGTCTGTTGGCGGTGTACGCATCTGTAACACGGTTTGTGTCCAGAGCACCGAGTCTTCTTCCTACCTTAACGTAAGTATAAGCCAAAGAAGGGTATGGTGGATTTAGATGGTGGGGTGGGGGGTCGTGGGTGTACACTCTGCACTGGTGGCATGCATTTTTGATCTTCGAGGCAGATCTATGAGGGCTTGAGAGGTCAGCCTTAGCTGTATTACCAACTTGCCGCCTTCTGCCTCTTCGAAGTGGTCGGTCAAGACCAAGATAGGGTACAACCGTTAGAGGAGAGCTTTGTTCCATTTCTAAGAGATTGTGGTAGTGGTAGTGGTAGTAGTCATGGAAGTGTGGTGGCCAGTAAGATCGACATGTAGAATAAATCACAAGGTGGTTGAGGCCGCAAAAGAGATGCTTACTAACTAGTTAGCTGAACTCAGCCGTGAAATCCCCACCTTTTTATTATCAAGTCTCATCAACGGGTCAAATCTTCACCTGTATAGTATAAAATTCCATTCTTTCAAAGAAGTAGTAGGGCCATAGATCACTATTGCTTTCTTAAGTACTAAGGTAAAGTTACAATTGAAAGCTACTAGAAATTTTGGAGCACCTTAAAGCACTCTCCACGAGTTGCTTGCTGGCTTTGAACCATGACCAGATTCAAAAAGAGAGAAAAAGAAACTTGGTCGAGAAGACTCACTTTATCATTGCCAATCCTCTAGAAGAGAAGATCAATCGGAGGGAACACAGATTTATTTGATAGATTTATCCTAAACGTCCACTGATTAGTTGAGACTGACTAGACTGGGAGTAGTCCAGCCTTGATTATGCAGAAGATAATGTGGCTTTTTACTCTTCTCTTATCTTCACTTCATATTGGTGTATGGGCTAGAGGTCTATATAACCTCGACACTAGCTATCTATAAGATTATACTATTTCACAAGCCTATCCCTGATAACATGGCAAATCGACTCCCCCTATTTTAACAACTAGAGTTGATTTGATCTACTTGAACTTCGTCCCAGTTATAACGAACTAATCTAATGACTAGTCACGTCGTCATGGGGGTATTAATAACTGAACTATAATCGATGGATATGCGACATTCATACATCGTAAAGCAAACTAAATCAATTCCTAACTATCATTGTAGTACATGGCAGCCTCAAAATATGCCGTCATCAGGCGTCTTTCAACAACTGTTGGAACCATCCAACCACCGCATTCTTCCCTCTCTCCATCGCCGCTCGCTCACCCGGCTTATTCTCATCGCCACGCACAAAGCACGCATGCACGACACCTGGAAAATGCTGATAATCAAACGTCACACCTTGCCGCTGCAGGGTCTCAAAAGTATGTAACTTCAGCTCCAGCGCATACGCCTGATCAATCTCCGGCGCAAGCACCTGCACGGGAACGGCCACTTCATCGATATCCTTTTTTGTGAGCAGGGACGGATGGCCGACGGCGATACAATCGACCAACGGCGAAGATGCGTGTTCCTTGGCGCCTAGGCGAAACGATGCCCATCCGCCGTAACAATATCCTACCGCACCAACTTTCTTATAACCCAGTTCCTGCTTTAGAGCACGTGCACAGTCGAAGATCTCCGGCTCACGCTGTTCCCGACCATTGCGCGTGATGAACCCCGGGAGATCGATCTGGTCGAATTTCTCGGCGGCAACAAGACCGAAATCTAGGATCTCCCCGCCGAAGAAGTCTGGTACGAAGACTGTTGCGCCAACTTCGCGGGCATAGTGGTCTGCAAGGAGGCGGACGTTGGGGAATGTCCAGCCAAAGAGGTCAGCGATGAACAGAATCGCCACGTCTGCGTTGTCGCCGGTGATGTACACATCATTGTTGGAGAGTTTGCCGGTGCGTCCGGTGGGTGTGCCTTGCCATGAGAAGCCTTGGATGCAGCACTTTGAGAATGACATGATGGTTCAGGCGTTTTGCAGACTAGCGGATTCGTAGTTTACTTGGGTTGGCCTGGCTTTCTGACCTTTATGGGGATATTTTAATCTTACGTCCACAGCGTCAGATTTATAGGACAGTCAGGAAGTAAGCTTACGTCCGCCGAAACGGTTCAAGGTGGCACGCTATCTTCCATCCAATGACGATAGCATCTCTCTTTCTTAGTAATTAAACGCGTTGATCCCGAAGGGCTGACAAATGCGTACTGCACATATATGAGGAGATCTCGGATATATCGCCTGCAACGGCGGAATTAATTCAATCGTATCAGTCCTTCCGACCTCGACCCATCACCACCCCAGAGAGTCTGCCCGCCGTGTGGAAGATGATACAGATGTCTGCTGATCACACCCAGCCATGACAAACACCCCGGAAGAAGAGACAGCGACGTCAATACCCAACCAGGAAAGATCAGGTAAGCGGAGGAAGGTTCGCAAAGGGACGCGATCTTGCTGGGAATGTAAGCGGCGGAAGATCAAGTGTACATTTGCATCGACCGAAGATGTCACCTGCATTGGCTGTGAGCGCCGACGTGCACCCTGTGTGGGTCAGGATCTGCCGGAATATTTGTCTCCGGCAAGGAAAGGCAACCGGAATCTCGTTGAGCGCATCGCAAGAGTTGAAAAGTTGATGCAGGACTTCATTGCCAGCAAAGATGTTGGTGCGACGGGCCACTCCACGAAGGAGGCACGGACAGACCGGCGTTCAAACTCGGATGCCATAGAACCTCGCTCAAGGGACTCGGTGCCTTCACCAATTCGAGCTCCTCTCACTTCGGTGGAGGTATGCGAACCACTTACTCGTAATTATGTTGAATACCTTTCCCTAATAATTGCCTAGTGTCTTCAGAGATCCGTTCCAAGCTCACCACCACTTATACTGGACGCGCAATCTGTATCAGGTCAAACCCATATTGAAAGATGCCTGGATCACTTACTTGAAGCCTTTCCAGGTGAAGAGGATGCTAAGATACTCCTCAGAGAGAGCTCCAAACTCTCACTTTACATCGATTCCATCAACCATCAGCCACATAGCAAGCTAACATACGAGACGCTCTCGAGACCATACTCTATAGCTGGGCTTCCTCGCCTTGACACCCACCCGGTCATCTTGGCCAAGCAAATGCTGCTGTTCGCAATCACTCTACAGAGCCCGTCTGGGGAAAAGATTATCGGCCTTTCTGAGCCACCAGGCGTGCTCATGCGTTGTTTGATGACGGCTGCGACGACGTGGGTAACAGCCCAGGAAGACATGCACGGAACCGTCGAGAGTCTTATTTGCATTATGTTAGAAGGTACATACGAGGTAAACAGCGGCAATCTTCGACGGGCCTGGGTTGTTTATCGCAGGGCAATGACAGTCGCCCAGTTGATGGGTCTACATCGGTCTCCCATGCCACCACTGAAACGCATCGACCCAGGGCTGGATGCGGACCCAGAGTTCATGTGGTTCCGCATCGTATACATGGATCGTTATCTCAGCTTGCTGCTTGGCTTACCCCAGGGCACAACGGATAGGAGGATGGGCACGATGTCCGCTCTGCGGCACGAACCGCCCCTGGGAAAGTTCGAGCGATGTCTTACAATCATTGCATCTCGCATTTTGGAACGCAACGAACGAGCCTTTACCACGATTGAAATTGCGACAACAAAATCCATTGACGCCGAGCTATTAGGAGTGTCGAAGGGTATGCCCGCAAGCTTTTGGCGGCTGCCAGATTTTCAGAACCTCACACCAGGATCTCCAGATACCCTGTTGGAGACAGTACGCCTGAGCGCCCAGGTTTATTACTACGGACTTTTGATTCAGCTCCATCTACCGTATATGATACGAATCAGTGACGATACCAACTATGAGTACTCAAAAATTACTTGCGTTCATGCTAGCCGCGAGATCATGACGCGCTATATTGCTCACCGAAGCTTCAACCCCATGTCGTCCTGCTCGCGGCCCGTGGACTTCTTTACTCTCCTGGCGGCGATGACACTCCTGCTGGCGCATCTAGACAATGGTGATCACCGAGACGTAATCAGCCTCCTGGCCCACCAGCGCTTGAGCGACCGCGCCTTGCTCGATCAAGCATTGGAGAGAATGGACATAATCAGTAACATGAAACATGATATCATAGCCGAAAGAAGCGCCGAACTGATCCGACAATTGCTCCAGTTCGAGGCAGACACAGCGGAAGGCAACAGCTACATTACCAGAAGCTTAACAGATGATCATAATGACGATAACAGGGAGAGAGGCGAAGAGCTCCATTTGCATATCCCGCACTTCGGCGTGATTAAGATTGGGCGTGGACGCCCTATAACTCGAGAGCCATCAGTTGGGCATGTGACGGCTAGGTCGCATCGGACGCCGGGCGACTTCACACATAGAGAACCATCCGTCACTTTAAATAATGGAAACGCGCCCCTAGCTCATCCGTCGCCTACAACTAAGAATTCCCTTAGCAATATGCATGGTGTAACTCCAGGCTTCGCCCCTTCAGGCAGCCTGGCCGCATCGGAGCCGCCAAACGAGCAGTTATACACCCCCGGGTATGAGCAGCTCCTTTTGGACAACTCGGGCTTTAGTCAAGACGTAGTTAGTCAGCAGTCGCCGGTGGGACATCCTGCATTCGCGGCGGGAGGAGATGCTTGGACTTTACAAGGTGTCGACATGGCTTTCTTCGATCATCTGATGAGAGGAACATCCTGCTTGGATGCTGGCAGCTTGGAACAGTAATGCATTGAGACCACATATGTAGTGGAAATTTCCTGCATTTAGTTCTCCCTTGATGACAGAGTTGCTTAGATTGAATTCAATGAATCAATCAATCAAGATTCTATTAATCTGTTCGAGCCTAAATACTGAATATCTAGCTATACAGGTGTGTCAAAAAAGCCTAGAATCTAACTATAAAATACTGTATATCTACTTAAAAGGTTATTAAAAGTTTTTATTATAAATAAAATTATTTACTATCTAATAGTCTCTCTGAATCCTATCATCTAATTTATCAATTGTCTAATAAGAATGAAAAATACTGCGGAATTGGTACAGCCGAGATAGTCTCAAGTATGATATCAAAATTCTAGTCTATAGCCATCGTGTATTATCATGTCTAATAAAATTCGATGAAATGTCAAATCTACAAATCCCTTCTATATCATCTATTAGGCAAGGCTATTCAGTGCCAAGTTGTCACATGTACACCCCTGGAATCGCTCATGGGCTTAGATCTGATGGCCAAACATGCCTTGGCCGCTTCTCTTCACCTGATTGCTACCCAGTCCTCGTCTGGCGACAGTAGAGTTTCCGCTCGCCGCCGCCAGGAGTAGCTTTGCGTACTCGAACCCGGTCATATCGGGCTCGCACCTGGTGCCGACCTCAGGCAGCTTTCCCTCGTCGAAGTATTCCTTAACAATGTTCTGGCTGCATGACGAAGGGTGGTTCATGAATCCATGCTGTGATAATGTTAGTATACATTCGGCCCACGGTTTAGGGAGGTAGAAAATGACTTACTCCATGTCCTCCGTGGACCACAACACGACTCCCCAGGTAGCGAGCGGAGGCCTCCAAGGCATTGCTCAGCGGTGTGACCGGGTCATAGGGACTGTTGATGAACAGAATGGGATAGCTGGTGTTGATGCCGTGGTACGGTCCTTCGAACTGCTCGGCGGCCTTGAACTTCCATTGGGCACACGGCCACACCTGCGGCGAAAACGCGTCGGCAAAGGAGCCTGTAACAGCCTGCGATTGAACCAACGAATACATGTCTTCGGGCTTATCGGCGCGGAAGTGAGAGTCCGCACAGGCAATCCCGTGGAAGTTGTTTGGACCCTGGTTCCATGTAGGTGGGATTGTGGCGGCGGCCTGCGGGGGGTTGATCACGATGCCGTAGTCGCGGGTGAGGGCGGTTAGAATATACGTGTAGACGGCGGGGTACTGATCCGGTCGGTAGAGCAGGCTGAAAATGGTATACTTGAGTTCCGTCAGAAGGTCCATCCCACCGGGTTGCCACCACGGAAGCGGCTCGTAATCATCCGGGAGCGTGACCGGGTTGTCGATAAGTTCTTGGAAGGCTTTGTGCATTTCCTTCATGAGATCATCTGGGGTGGTGGCAGGGCCTGTAAAGTTCGCAATGACAGGACAGTCAGTAGGACCGGCGTTGATGCATTCAGTGAAGAAGTTGTAAAGTGCATCCTCGGCGCCTTTGGTGGCAGTGATCCAGTGACCGGCGTGGTAGTCATCGTTTAGGACAACACTGTCGAGCAGCATGCGGTCAATACGGTCGGGGAACATCGCCGCAAAGGTCTGTCCAAGGACTGTAGAGTAGGACCGACCCCAGAAGCGCAGCTTGCCGTCCTCATTGAGGGCATCGACGATCTTGAGCATGTCTCGTGCGACAAACGTCGTGCCCAGGAAGCGTGCGGTTTCCTGCTGATCCTCGTAGCAGGCGTCAACCAAGAATTTAGCGTCGTTCCACGCTTTGCGCTTTAAGAGACTATACATGTCGGCTTGTGGCAGAGTCTCATTGCTCCGACGAGACAGGCTGCGCTTGATGCCCGGATGTGGCACATCGCATGCAAAGGGGATAGTATGGCCAGTACCCCTAAGGCTTCTATTAGTCGGTGCATGATGAGTTCAGAGATAGCAAGACCTACCGGGCGTCAAACCCGACCACATTCCAGTGTCCGCCGAACAAGCTAGGCATTCCGTTAGCCATGTTCATGACTCGGTCTGGAGCGGTAACTTACTCGCGATACACCTCGCCCTTCCCCTGTAGGTAGAGCTCATCGATGCCAGAGGATCCCGGTCCTCCCGGGTTGAAAATAATGCTGCCCTTGACGGGCTCTTTCGACGCACTGATCTTAACCAACTGGAGATCCAGTGGCTTGGAGTCAGGGTTGGTATAGTCCAGAGGGACTTCCAGGGTTGCACAGTCGACGGGAACGGTACTTGCCGGTTCTAGACCTTCAGGGAGGTCGAGATTACACGGTGCCCAGTTTAAGCCATCGGTGTCTGCCCTCTTGGTTCCGGCATGGGGCAAAGCTTGGGATAGCCCTGCGGAGGCGAGAAGTAAAGAAACACTCGAGATCAACATGATGAGAGAAGATTCTGAATGCTTTATTTATCCGTGAGGAGAAGATACCGAGCATCGTGGATGTTCGAGCTCTATATATACACTTCGTGCCGCTGGCGGAGCTGGAGAGATCATCGTCAGTGGCAGATGGTGTAGATGGGAAATGTCGCTGCATTTATCCAAAAGCGGCCGATCTGCAGTTCCAGATGAGGTGGGCGAGTAAGAACGCTGGATGAGGACAATTTGAGTTCGATGGCTAACTCAGTTTGGGGAGGATGTTCTGTGGACTCGGGGGGAAGAGTAAATATAGCCTGGCCTTGGTAGTAGACGTCGTTGTTGTAAGACGCTTTCCCCAATCACGGCTCCGCCGCAGACCTCCGTCCCGATCAGGCAACCCACGGCCACATCCATCCTCCAATCTTTGATGCATCACTTTGGCTTGCCTCTGCCCAGCCCTTCCCTCCCAGCCAATCTCGGTCCGCATCGTTCTCACGTTTGAAGACCTCATACTCCGGAGTACAGGATGCCCGACACAACGCCCAACAGAACCCATACAACAGTTGCAGCGCCAGCACCGTCGCACGGGCAGACAAAAGCTGCCAAGACTTCCGTGATGAGAAGCACACACTTCGTTTCTATTAGGTGCGGCTGTATTGAATCTCACTCTATGAGACCAAAATCGCATAGGGGCAGCAAAGGCTGACAATGTGGGGACGGCTTGGCGGAGGCTGAGTTGCCCAGGCTCGTGTGCGATCCTTGGAATTTGGGGCCGGCGCGGCATTAAACCCTAATGAGGAAGCGTGAAACTTACTGAACATTGGCATGGAAGGCTGAGGGTGGATCGTCTTTTATCCCCACTTATTATCTAGGAACCATGGAACCGATACCCTAATATATTGAAATCATGTCTTAAAACTGCATGTCGTTCGAATCACAAACTAGTTGTCATCCTCAATTTGCCAGGCGAGGTTGACTGGGCTCGTGCCCAACAGCTCACGAGTTCGCTTCCATTGAAAGACCCACTTCAGATACAAAACTCAGTAAATTTTAAGCTATTTCCAGTACAGGATAGTACTATAATTGCAAAAAATTAATGCTGTACTTGAATCATTCCGTTCACCGAGGTAGAAATCTATACGGGTGCCACAGAAGCTCAAATAATTCTATTCGGAGATATCGCTCTCCCAAGACTGCCGGTGATACATGCGGTGGGTAGTAACTTATTAGGACTCAATGTCGCCTAGTGAACTACTAATATAAACGGAAATACATACCATTTACATACAAGTATAGAATACTGAATCCTACTACTAACTGATGTGATGTGAAGATCTTTGTTATTCTCAAGCCACCCACCGAGTTTGACTGGTGCCTGCCATCTTCAAATTTTGTCGCCGATAGTAAAGCGTCAAGCCGACAGCCAAACTTGCAGCCAGAAAACTCATACCGGCGTTGACGCCATGGCCCAATCGGTATGCCGGGGCATCTTGGGCTCTATAAATCCAGACTCCGATGATTTGCCCTGGGCCTGAGAAGGAAATGTTGAGTGCTGTTGTTATAGATCGCGCTGTGGTAGTATGAATGTTATCTCCTACCCAGGCGTTAAGTGAGGGTAGTCCCCCAAATGTCCCGGTCGTAGCAATGACGAGGAAGGCATAACGTGCAGTGTATGCCTCGGCTGGCAAGCATGCTAGGAAGGATTTAGCATTGTACTGGGTGTGAAAAGAGAAATGCGATGGATGATTCAGGAACGGAGCTCACCCTGGATAATGAAAGCCACTGCAGCAGCAATTTGGGAGCCACATGCAATGGCTCCTCGGCATTTCAGCCGGTCTGAAAGCCAGGCAAGTCCTAGAGTCACAACGTAAGCAACAGCGTAGGGAGGAACGGTGAAAAGCTGTGCTTGGATATCCGTATAGCCTAGTCCCGCAATAATTGTCGGAGCAAATAGGGACAGGGATGCAACCCCGGCCGATATAGATAGGTATGTAAGGTAGTGGATATAAAGTCTTGCTGATAGGAGAGTTTCCTTGGCGTCCTTCCAGTTGAGTTTGTCTTCGCTTTGGAGTTCGACCAAATATGTCAGCAGCCCTTCCTGTTTAGAAATATTCAAAGATAACTCACCCCGAGGAACCATTAGCTTCTAGACGAAGGGCTTGGGCTTCCTTTTCCTCATCCGTGAGCCACCCTACCTTCTCCGGATAGCTTGGCAGAAAGAGAAACACCAACAATCCAGCAGCAACTGGGAGAAGTAAAATAAATAAGGAATATATCCGGTATCGTGGTCAATGGACTTACTAGTGGGAACTCCTTCCACCAGGAAAAGCCATCGCCAGCCCTCCAATCATCGTGCCCCATTCAGGTGGCCCACGCCATATGCGATTGCACTATCATTGTCAGGAACTGTAGCACCTTGAAGCCGAAAGGATCATTTATACCCGCCAAAGGCGCCCGACAGTGTGGCACTGCACATAAATACCGCGATTCGACTGGCGCGTTCCGCGGGTTTGTACCAGAATGTGAAGTAATATATCATGCCTTGAATATAGCAAATATTAGATTGTTATGCAGGAACTTGGAGAAGAACAAATAACAAGAGTGATATGAGTCAACCGAAGTGTAGGAAAAGCAGTACATACCTGGAAACGCACCGGCCTCCGCAGCGCCCAAGAGAAATCGGAGGGTTGCTAACCCTGCAAAATCGTGCGTAAACCCAATTCCAGTGCAGAAACAGCCAAAGGCAATGACAAGTAGCCCCAACCACCTAATCATCCGTTAGACACGAGTCTGAGATCCCATCTGTGTCGGGTATTTTGGACTACGTCACCTGTGCGGTTGAAAGATCTTCAATGCCAGATTGCTCGGCGCTTCAAATACGGAATAGGCCACGAGGAAAACCATCATTGCGATTGTGTACTGGTAGTTCGAGACGTTGTTGCTGTCCATTAGGGTATCATTGGTTGACGAATTCAGGATTTTCGCGTTTCCTTGGACATGTCAATCAGTTAGGGTGCTGGAACTCAAAGATCTGACACCTACCAATGTTCGATCTGTCGAGGTAGCATAGAAGGTATATTACTGCGGTGGTTGGAAGGAGCCGACAGTCAATCTTCCGAACAATTCTTGTCAACCCTATATCAGTAGGATGTCTCGAGTAGCTTGAGATGATACTTCCTATCCACGACTTACCTCCTTTCAAGTTCTGGGTCTACTCTGCTAGCATTCTCGACTCCCTCCACATGTTCAAGCTTCGAGTCTCCATCGAGACTGGCCTCTATGTCGCTTGGGGCCATGCTTTTGTTCAGTGGAGTAGAAAGAGACAGATATGGTGGGGATTGAAGACAGTAGGCTTATCTGGCCGCCCAAGGGGATTAGCAAAGCGTGTGAGATGGAGAGAAGTAGTTAAAGCCCATCATGCACCTGTGGAACTCATTTGAAAATGAAATCAAGTCGTCAAGCCTAGTGTCTGCCATGTCTTCCCCGCAAATCCAGGCTTACCCCAGACTTTGACCCTGTATGGGGTATATTTCACCGGCGATTAGAACAAAAGCCGAACTTAGAGGAAAGAACAGAATAGCATGACATTACTGGCTCTGCAGCTGCAAGGATTTGATTACAAGTGGTATCATAAGCTTAAACTCCAAGGTGTCGGAGAGGTATCCGATCAGCATAACGCTCTGAGCTTTGCGGGGTAGGGTTTGGTCTACGAGAGCTGCAGGATCGCACGGTCCCCTCGGTATATCTGGTCTGGGCATGGGGAGGAAATGCCCACGTCACCAGTAGAGAGATTGGCGCGTAGACAGCAGACAGCACATTACGAGATTGACTTCATCTAGGGTAATGATCCCTTCCTATAGGTTCAGCCGACGAGGAGGGATGCCATTTCTAGGCGAGCTTATATTCCCATTGTCGGAGATGGTCGTACGCTCCCCGGCTTACTCTTGCCACCTTTGATATCGCCTACATGATGCCTGTCGACTTATCAACCCCCGCTTCAGTCGATGAGCAAACATGCTATCCCCGCAAGTGGGGTTCGTTCGGATCTACACGTCAGTCCCACCATTTCCTCACCACCATCCAAGTGGGGTTATGATGAAAAGTACGAGTAGCGCGTGGTGCACATTGAACTATCATATATGACAATATAAGACCACACTACTTCCCTAATGGTCGTTTCACCTCGTGCAACATCGGAGAGTTGCTTCACAACAGCCAATATGAGTTCGAACGAACTAAAAGAGGAAATCCTTGAGCGTGCAAGATCGCGAACGGTGATCATTACAGGAGCAGGGGGAGGTATTGGGGCGGCAACGGCCAGGGAGTTTAACACCCGCGGTTCCAAGGTTGTTCTTGCAGATATCCCAGCCCGCGCAAGCAACGCAAAAGAGATTATTGCTTCTTTCGCATATCCTGCAAATGCTGTATTCATTGCAGTCGATATACGTGATTGGCAGCAAATGCAAAGCCTGTTTAAGCAAACAATTGAGATCTTCGGAAGTGTGGACACCGTTGTGGCCAATGCCGGCGTCATGGAATCGGAGCATGTTCTGGATATGGAGGATGTGGATAGCGAGGGAAACCTGCGCGAGTCCAAAGAAGCATCTAGGGTCATTGATATCAATCTCAAGGGGACTTTGAATAGTACGTACCCTACGCTTGATGATGTTACAGCAGCTCACGGGTTCTATTGCCTGACTACTAGCATTGCGGCTGGCCATGCACCATATGCGATTTTCTTCCACCACAACGAACGGAAAACCGTCGATCATTTTAGTAGCATCTACATCTGGGTACTTTGGCGGGACCGGGGTCGCGGCATACATCGCTTCTAAACACGGTGTTATTGGACTATTGAGGGCATCGCAACTAGCTGCAAAGAAATACAACCTTTCTATTACGGCCGTGGCCCCATTCTTCACACCGACTGCGATAACATCTGGCCTATCCGAGCGCTGGAAGGCAGCCGGATTAGAAGCCAACACACCAGAGATGGTGGGGAAGGTCATACTTCAGTCGGCTCTAGATGACAACAACAGTGGCAGTTGCCTGTTGGTACGCAAAACCTCGCCACATTTTAGCAATCATCTCGCGTTGAACTAACTATGAACAGGTTGCTGGAAAGTTTCTGCGTGAGCTAGAGCTTACGCGGGGCGAGGTGATTCCACAGTGGCTAGGAGGGGATGTGAAAGAGTTTATGGACAGAGCGTTTAATGTAATTCAAGAAACAGGTGGCTACCAGCTGCCAAAGATCAAGGCCAAAGTCTGATAGACTGTGAAAAACTAGAGATTCATACATGCAGACCTGGCTCAATGGCAAAGAGGTTTACGTTGTGTGTATCCCAGTTGCAGCTTTTGGAACGATAACGAGTATCCATGGACCAAATAAATATTTACTCCATCTTAACCACTGGGCGTCTGTGGACTTTACCAGAGTCATTCTTGGAGAACATTATAGGTCTCTTTTTTAGACCATAATATTGGCCTTGTTACATTCACACATCCTATTCCACCTCATCAACTGTCGGGACCTTGTTCATTCTCATGCCAAAAAACCGAGCAACACGTTGGATACAGTCCCACAAAACCTGCGTATCTTCCCTTGACACCCCAATTCTCCTGGATTTCCTTCGAAATCCACTGAAAGTCACGATGGGCGTCAAATAAACCCAGAGTAGATTTCTCGTCTCGAGTATGTATACCACGATGCCATCTCATGCCCCTCTCATGGTTTGCCTGATCGCATTGCCAGTTCTCCGGGGTCAGGCAACCTGACTAATGGCAATGATGGCCCGATGGGCTTGCAGCAACCCACGATGAAGACGCATTTGACTAGAGCTTCACGGCCTCGACGCACGAATGCCTGGCGCGCGGCTGGACTGGAGCTTTCCTGTTTCTGGACAACGTAGAGGCACAACTCCTTGGCTAACTCGGGCCCGGGACTACCGGATAGACAGGCAATAGTGAGGAGGTACCAGCTGTCGGGTCCTAAGCTTGTCGACTGGAAGCTGGTCTCAATGTTGTGGAATAGCTCGGCCACAGAACTTTGGATGGGTGGACTTGGAGAACTCATGGTTGCAAACTGTTGAACTGGATCGGATGTGTAAGTTTTCCCACTTTGTCTACATATTTGTATTAATACGTATTTGCGCTAGTCCGTCGACTAACTTATGCATTATCAAGGCGACTGACCTAAGAATAATAGTTATGTGAATATATGATGGCCCGGAGAAGCCCCGAAACCCCGAAACATGGCAATCGTGGGATAGAGCCTGCTACAGTGAGTGGAAGAAAAACCTTGGAGAAAAGGCATTCCATTCGTCAGCTATTTCCTGTGACTATTGGATGTATTCCTCACTTGCAGAGGCTCCGACCCTTGCGGGGATCATTGAAACAACTCCGGTCAATGTTCAATATGATGAAAGAGCAACCCCGCAGCGCTACTCGGACAACTGGCCGAGAGTGGTGATTACGTGCCCTCTGTTCAAAGCACGACAGACTATTGCTTAGAATACGTAGGTCATTTATAACTAATAAACCTATCGGTGCGACGAGGCGAATTTTATACGACATCATTTTCCAGCAACGCTTCCACAGGTTTCAAGATTTAGTTGTTTCTACCGTTTACAGCAAGGATGTCCAATTTCCCAAGATATCCAGATCTCGACGGTAAAGTCGCCCTGATTATGGGGGTTGGCCAAACGCATGTACCAGGCTCGGAGGCATGGGGCAATGGAGCTGCCATCGCTCAAAGCCTCGCCCAAAATGGTGTCCAGGTTTTCGGTTGCGATGTGAACCTCCAAGCAGCAGAACGCACCGCTTCACGAATCCACGCAGCAGGTGGAAAATGTGACATTGCCCAAGCCGATGTGACGTCTGAAAAGGACGTCAGAAGGGTCGTGGACGCCGTGATGTCCAAGTACGGGCGAATCGATATCCTGATCAACAATGTGGGCGTTACAGTAGCTGGGGATCCAGCCAGCATGTCTCCCGATGTATGGGACAAACAAATTGACCTCAATCTGAAAAGTGTCTACTTAGCCTGCCATGTGGTGCTCCCGATAATGGAAAAGCAACGGTCAGGGTGTGTGGTTAACAATGCCTCCATTGCGGGTTTGAGGTACATTGGAAAGCCACAGGTCGCATATTCTGCAGCAAAAGCTGCGGTGATCCAGTTTACGAAGGTTACAGCGGTTATGTATGCACCAAAAGGTGTTCGATTGAACACAGTAGTACCCGGCTTTATCCACACACCTTTGGTCGATAACTTCAAATTCAACGGCCAGCAAGAAGTCTATGATAAGATAACACAGCAGCCCGTCCCGTTGGGGCGCATGGGAGATGCGTTCGATGTAGCCAACTCTACCGTGTTTCTGGCTAGCGATGCGGCTAAATATATCACTGCACAGGTTTTGGTTGTGGACGGTGGGTTTACAAGTTCCGCTGCGTCTTTATGATGTGCACAAATATCTACAGCTCTTTCCCTGTCTCGTGATGGATGTATAGCAGAAGGGAGAAAGAAGGAGCGATGACCTCCCATTGCAAGCGACAGAGATGGTAATAATAAGATCAGAGGCACAGAGTGTGAAGGAGCAGACGATGATCTCAATCAATTGCCAGTATGCAGAACAAGCCGTTGCCCCAGAAAACAACATGAGATTTGCTGCCCTTTAATACCCTATTCATAAATAAGCATCGTGGAAATCAACCGCGGAGTGATCTTGCATAAGTTTATATCATGTTCTATAGGATTCATTAATTGGTTGTTTGTTGGTATGATGCCCTCCTTTTGGCCCAACCGAGACTGAGTAAAGCCACCTCGGTCACATACTGGGAGACATGAAACGAGTATTGCAACAAACAGTCCAACCGTTTGACATTTGCTGGAAATAGCCGAAGCCCACGATTTCAACATGTGGGGAAAGCAACTTCGGCAGTTGGCTCGGGGCTGTGCGCCGTTGGCGTGCACTAGCTGTGACTATCCACAGGTCTAGAGTGGTTATATAACGGTAGCGCCGGATTGCCTCCAACCACTTGATGAAGCGGAAGTGGGCCTAGAGCGAAGGATTCTCGCTACCATGGTTGAAAACCATGAAAATATGAGGGTGTACATTTAGCCTCGACCGTTAATTACGCATGCATTCTAGACAGCTGGTGCCCGCCTCGTCCGCGGAGTTCAACATTATAAAATGGATCTGTAGTTAGCTCTGGATAGGCTAGGTACGTAAATTAATCTCTAACCACCAACCCTACACATAAATAGACTTGATCGTGGACAATCAATCCAACGAACCCTTCCTCACCAGTACTCAGAAGCCGCTTTGTCACCATGACCTCGTTCGATGAAACCGTCAATTCTATTCGGAACCCATCTGGGGAAGATAAGCAGCCCCTCCCTCGGGTCACGTTGGGCGCCGTTAATAGAGATGGTATAACGCCTAGGAAGTCTCTTATGCTATCAATGCTCCGCGTGTGCTAACCATCAACCATCAAGGATCCTTTCACTACGCCAAGGCTTTTAGGGATGACCCGGCCGACGTTGGGGACACTGATGCCGTACATTGGATCGCCTCCGCCACAAAATTTCTAACTACCATTGCTGTGATGCAGTGTGTCGAAAGAGGGCAATTAGACCTAGACGCCGACATCAGTAACGTGCTACCGGAGTGGCAAGACGCCCAAATATTAACAGGCTTTAATGAGAAGGATGAGCCCATCTTTCGACCGGCCACCAACGCCATTACTCTTCGGTCAGTCATTTTTACATACTGCGGTCAAGATGAGATTAGACTTATTAGCATGCTAACGGCTCGCAGGCACATGTTGACTCATACCAGTGGCATGGCCTATGTGTTCATGCACCCGCTTTTGGGTCGTTACCAACAACTACAAGGAGAACGGCCTCTTATTCAGCAGACTGTTGTCAGTAGACCCCCCTATTCTGATGGACAAAGCTGATAGAGTGTGTAGAAAGAGTCCTATCACCCTTTTCTATTGTTCGAACCTGGCGAACGCTGGCTGTATTCACCAAGCGTGGACTGGGCAGGAGTCGCGGTAAGCTCGGGAACTTCTGATTCGGCTGGAGTCTGGCTGCTGACGATACAAACTCAAAGGTCGAACGAGTCACTTCCATGAGGCTCGGGGAATACATGAAGCGACATATATTCGACGTCGTTTCAGCCAAGGACGTTACCTTTCATCTCGACGAACGAGAGGACCTTCGGGCGCGGAAGGCTAAGAACTGGGAGAGAGCGGGTCAGAGCCTAGAAGAGGAAAAGAATCCTGTAATGCCCGACCCAGTTGCAGAGGACCAAGGGGGCGGCGGTATCTACGCAACAGTCAGCGCGATGCTCAAGATCTACCGCGGTGTTCTCACCGAGAAGCTACTACGACCTGAGACTATCAAGGTCATGTTCCAGCCACAATTGGAAGATGCCAATAACCTCGGCAAACCGGATCAGTACCCACCCCCGGTCCGGAATGCAATCTGGAATGCTGTGCCACACGATGTACCTGTTAGCTTTGGGCTTGGTGGTCTTGTTAACACCGCTGCGGTCCCCGAACAGCGTGGGTCGCACTCGCTCACCTGGTCTGGCATACCGAATTGCTACTGGGTAAGTCCTTGCAATGCCAAATGAGATGAAGACTCTAGCTGACCCTTTTACTCATTCCAGTGGATCGACGTTGAAAATGGCGTCGCTGGCATATATCTATCTCAGCTTGTACCTATGGGGGACCAGCAGTCTGTTCGGCTGCTTACCGAGTTCGAAAAGTTTGTGTATTCAACATTAAACCTGTCCAAACTCACAGGTACACAAGCGCACTCGCACTTGTAATAGCCTAGATATACATATCGATCGTTATATCCCTCTGAGGCTCCACGTGCAAGATCAAACCTTTGGATATTCATATATACAACAATTGGCTAGCTCCCTTAGCAGTTGGTAACCATTTGTGTTGTCAACAGCCCTAAGTAGGTACCTCAACGACACCACATGCAATCGAATTATCCTCGGGTTTGCCCATATTGCCTCCATTTGCAAAAAGCAGTTTCTTCTCACCCTGAAGGGTGATTATCCTCATACTCCGCGAGTAGGCCGACCACATACCCACGTCGACAGTCTTCCATCCGCCAGGGTCTGCTGAATCCTCATTCACAAAGACTACCTCGTGACTGAGCGCGCTGACAATAATCAGTCCGGACCCGTCCGTTCGATCAGGGTGTGGCGTCCAGATCACATACGGCGTGTTGTGGGGCGTGAGCGGGCTCGTATCGTTGGAAACAAGCGGAATCCCTTCAACCGAGTCGAATTCCAAGGGGGACGAGGCGAGCTTGTAATACACATCACAATTACCCTGACCACAATACTCGTATGTCATGATGTAGGAATCCGTTGATTCAATGTGCGCGACTGTTGTCATGCCGGGTCGATCGGCCTGTCTTGAGTATGCTACGTCCGGGACGGGGTCCGACCAATGCCGGAGGTCAGTGGTGGTGACATGGACCAGCTTCTGGCTGTGCAGTGGATCGCGCTGATCAGAGAAGAAGCAGACGATCTTCCCGTCATAGAGCATCAACCAAGGTTCCCAGAGGGCGGCGTTACCGTTGGTGATGGTCTCTGGGCCGGCGCCATAGGCGATGTGGCTGACAAATGTCCAAGTTGCGGCCTCGTCTTGACTGACATAGAGGTCGATATAGACGCCGCCCTCAAGACTGAATGGAGCCGATACACCCGCAGCGAGAATAGATCCTGCCGCGTACCCACCGAAGTCTACGGGCAAGGTAAATAGCTCAGGTTGGAACCGCATTCCCCAGCCATTTTTCTCGTCAACGACGGCAGAAAAATTGGTCCATGTTGACCCTCCATCGACGGATTTGTAGATGGGGTGGTTCACCAGTGGTGGTTCCTTTGGGTAGTTCTCCCACGTAATAAGTAGAGACTCGTCTGGCAGCTGGAGCGAGCGAGCATACAGCGTGTGCCATTGCACGGCGTCGGTTTCGGGATACCAGATGATATAATTGGTGAAGTCGCTGAAAGGCTCAGGTTTGGGATTGCTGATAATCTGGCAGGAAATAAGAGGTAGAAAGACGGCAAATACTTCAAATTTCCACATTGCGATGGTATATAAATTTCAGACCGAGACCTGGTCATTTAGGCACATGTATGATAGGAATCATAGCCGTATAAATATCCCCTTAGAGGTATATACCTTCGTATGTTGATAAGACTGTTTTCGGAGTGTCTTAGTCTGAGGCGGCATCGTATGATGGTGATAGTTCGGTAGATTCGATGATGCGCTAGGATTGTCGCGGAGTGTCGGGATAGATCAAGCACGGCGATCGACGGCACGCGGAGTATCGGGAAAGCAATAGGGTTATTGGGGAGTATCGGGATGGCAGCCAAGATCTGGGGAAGTGTCTAGTGACACCATCTCCACAGGAGCTTCACCACTCTAGATTCGCTATTCGTTGTTGTGTTATTTATGCTTCAGTCTCTATAGATAACGAGGCGGGGGATAAGTATATCCCAGGAGGTTGCCTCACCAGCAACGGGGATATTAGCGCTGTGACATTTTCTACACTATTATCAACACTACAAATCGTTATCATGTCAGTCCAGGGGAAAACATCTGTTGAGCATGTCGAGCTAGAAGCTATCAAGACACTTGGGCCTGAGGCGTGCCATGATGAGCAGAAACTGACTTTTGCTCAACTGCTGAGACAACATCCAAAGATTATTGGGTGGTCGGTGTTCTGGTGCATGTGTGCTTTGGGGTGTAAGTCATTCTTGCATCCACTAAAGCTGTGGGCCTGAATTGACTATATCAGGGGGGTTTGACACGCAGGTAAATGGTGCCATGGTCAGTGTACCGGCATTTCGTGAATACTACGGGTAACTCCTATTTTCTTTCTTCCTCTCATCACGCAACCACTAAGAGCAGCAGATATGTGTATCAAGGGAACCCCGTCATACCAGCCAACTGGCTCAGTGCCTTTAATGTCATATCCTCCGTTGGACAGTTTTTCGGCGGCTTTCTTTGCAGCTATGTGGCCGATCGCATTGGCCGCAAGAAGAGCCTGGCCGTGGGAGTTGTTATCGCTACGGGCGGTATTTTCGGTGAGACCTTCTCAAGCAGTGCAGGGGCATTTATCGCTAGCAAGCTCATCCTGGGATTCGGTGTCGGATTCTACTTGACTCTGGGGCCGATCACTTGTTCAGAGATCTCTCCCGTCGTTCTCCGTGGTCTTTCCTCAGCGGGCATCAATCTGGCAATTGCAGTTGGCCAACTCGCCTCCAACGCGGCCACAAAGGGCTTCGGCAATCGCAATGATGTCTGGGCCTTTCGAGGACCTTTTCTTGTTCAAATTCTCTTTTCCGTCATTCTCCTCACCGGAAGCATCTTCTCCCCAGAATCTCCGTATTACCTCGTGCGCCAAGGTCGCGTCGACGAAGCGAAGCATTCACTCCAAGCGCTGTTCGGGACACAAACCGACATCACTCCAGCCCTCACCACGATCCAGAGCACAGTGAATGCAGAACGAGAAGCATCGACTCCGAGCTATATCTCCGCCTTCCGTGGCACCGACCGAATCCGCACGCTGATCTCAATCGGAGCATTTACCTGCCAGCATCTAGCCGGAATTGTCTTCGTTCTCAGCTTTTCCACTTACTTCTTCCAATTAGCAGGTGTCAGTACTTCTAGTGCCTTTGATTTAGGCGTCGGGGTCACTGCCTGTGGCGTAGCTGGAAACTTCTGCTCCTGGTTCCTGGTCAACCGTGTAGGCCGTCGTCCCATATTCCTCGGCGGAATGGTCGGCTGCACGACTCTACTTCTCCTGATCGGGATATTAGACGTCATACCAACCGGAGCGGCCAAATGGGCCCAGGCCTCTCTCACTGTGGTGTATTCCTTTGTATATTTTCTCACCATTGGTGCGGTGGCCTTCGTCCTTTTGGGCGAGGTGTCATCTTTACAATTAAGAGCGAAAACAACAGCATTGGCGACCGCTACTCAAGCAGTCTGGAGTATTGTTATGAATTTCGTGGTGCCGTATATGGTCAACCCAGATTCCGGGGTGAGTCTTTTGGTTGTGATATCCTCACTGGTCTCTGGACTTACTAACATGTGGCCACAGAATCTGAAAGGGAAGGTCGGGTTTATTTTCGGGGGAATGTCGTTGGTCACGACGCTACTGTGTTTCCTTTATATTCCCGAACTGAAAGGGAAAACGTATGAAGAGATAGATGTTTTGTTTCGCAGTAGGGTGCCGCCGCGCAAGATGGGAACCTATTAGTTAGATCAGGCGTGAGAGATATGTTTGGTATATGTTTGTAGCATAGTTAATGTGGGGAAAGCCATATATTGACGGCTAGGATGGGGATAGGACCATTTCTGGATCATCGTAATAGGAAGTGAATAAACTTATGTGCTGTGTCAAATGATCATCTGCAACAAAACCCTATATAAATTATTGAAAGTTATCTGAGAGATGTGGCATGGGACATATGACACAGAACCTCAAAGCCTCTAAGCGCAATCCCATGAAGCAATGATATATGATAACATAGACCGAATGCATCCACGGTAAGAGCGCAATATTGAGGGTCACATGTAAATTCTCTTGAATAGGAAGTGTAGCCCTAATTGCTTGCGTGCGCGTCCTCTTGTAGAGAGGCAAGCTAGTTTTCAATATCTCTGTAGATCCTGTATGCAATGATTCACTGTCCGAGAACAATGACACCGCAGTGCATGCATGAGAGGGAATGGGTAAATGCGACTCATTTTGGCTAAAAAGCCGCGGAGTATCGGGACGTAGCATCACCATGCATGAAGGTTTCTTGACGTCCATACCCCGCCTTCCGATACAAGCTATTGTTACCATGGAAATATAAATAAGGTCATACAGGCAAGGCCAAGGGTATGTTACTACAGCTTCAGGAAGTATATTCAAAATGGGCTCCCACGCAGAATATACCTTCAGCAACGCCATCGCCGACGTCAAAGCCGGACGGTCTCTGGCCGAAACAACTCAAACACTTCTATCCCAACTGACAAGAGAGGAACACCTTTCCCTGCTCGATGGGGATGTCGAATTCTGGCCCGGTTTACGGTCGATACTATGCGACCGCTACAACCGAACACCCTACGTTCATGGGGCCGTCCCACGGAAAGAGATTCCCGGGATCAAGTTCACCGACGGCCCCCGCGGCGTAGTTATGGGAAGTTCCACGGCCTTTCCGGTCCCCATGGCTCGGGGAGCTACTTGGGATGTTGAGCTGGAACGTCGCGTGGGGGATGCCATCGGTCGCGAAGCCAAAGCCCAAGGCGCGAACTACTTCGCTGGGGTCTGCGTGAATCTCCCGCGGCATCCCGCCTGGGGTCGCATTCAAGAGACCTACGGAGAGGATCCGCTTCTTTTGGGAGAATTCGGATTGGCGCTGACGCAGAGTGTACAGAAGCATGTCATGGCATGTGTGAAGCACTATGCGTTGAACTCGATGGAGAACGCGCGATTTCGGGTCGACGTGAGTGTAGAAGAGGCAGTGTTGCATGAAGTCTATCTAGCACACTTCCGGCGCATTGTCAAGGGGGGTGTGGCTGCCGTGATGTCGTCCTACAATTCGGTCAATGGCGAGTGGGCCGGGCAGAACCGACATTTGCTGACAGAGATTTTACGGGATCAGTGGGGATTTGATGGGTTGGTGATGTCTGATTTTATCTTCGGCTTGCGCGACGCGGCAGCGTCCGTCAAAAATGGCATGGATATCGAGGCACCGTTCAGACAACAGAGAGCCAGGAAGCTGCCAATTGCTTTGGAATCCGGAGAGCTGGACTGGCAAGACGTCGAACGTGCTTGTGAGAGGATCCTTCGGAAGCAGATTGAGTTTACCGTGCGCACGGAGGATAGCCAGCCCAGCCCCAACGTGGTGTTTTGCGACGAGCATCGAGCACTGGCGCGGGAGGTCGCTGGTCGGTCTATGGTCCTCCTGAAGAACGACACTGTCGATGGGAGGCCTGTGCTTCCGCTTCAGGCTGAATCGGTGTCTCGTGTTGCTGTTGTCGGTCGCCTCGCGAACGTCGCCAACACTGGGGATAAGGGATCTTCCCAAGTGTTTCCGCCCGGTGTAGTTACGCCACTTGACGGAATCCGAGCGGCGTTGCCAGGCGCAGAAGTCCTTTTTGCGGATTCAATCACCGAAGCCGAGCAGCTTGCCTCCCAGGTCGATATCGTGATCTGCATTGTGGGCTACACCCACGAAGACGAAGGCGAGTACGTTGTACCAGCCCTCCAGGACAACCCGGCCCTGCGAGACACGCTTCCGCCGACGACTACTGCGGAAGAGCGCGAGACTCTCGATATCTTCGAGGGTAATTCCGACAAAGGTGGCAATAGCGGGATTGAGGCGGGTGCTGGCGGCGATCGCACATCACTAAGACTCCGCGATGAGGACGAGAAGTTGATATCCGCCGTCGCTGCCCACAATCCGCGTACTGTAGTATCTGTCATTACGGCGGGCTCTGTGATTATGGAAGCATGGAAGGACAAAGTGCCAGCCCTCTTGATTAGCTGGTACAGTGGGAGTGAAGGTGGGCATGGTCTTGGCGATGTACTTCTAGGAAAGGTGGATGCGAGTGGCAGGCTCCCCTTCTCCATTCCCACTAGCGAGACGCATCTGCCTTTTTTCGATCGGGACGCAGCTGAGATTTATTATAACCGGTGGTTTGGACAGCATATGCTGGATAAGTTGGGGGTCAAGGCCGCATTTCCATTCGGATTTGGGTTGTCGTACACAACATTCGCGGTAGACAATATAGTCGCCGAGAGAGTCGATACCGAGTCCATCCAAGTCGCGGTCAATGTCCAGAACACGGGAAACAGGCCTGGGAGGTTCATCGCTCAAGTATATGCCGTGACTAGTATTCCAGATTTCCCAACTCGCGTGCTCGTTGGCTTTGCACCAGTGGATCTATCGGTGGGGCAGAAGACTGCCATGAGATTCTTGGCTTCTACCAGGCCGTTACAGCAGTGGAAGGCAGGCACCTTTACGCTCCGGACGAAGGAAGTTCGACTCGAAGTGGCGTCATTCGCTGGTGATAGAGGTTCTGTAGGTACGAGTGTGTCTTTAGTCTAGCCACATACCTTTACAGCAGGATCTCGATAGTCTAGACCAAAGAACATGTTGTTTCTCTTGCTGATCATCCCCGCAAAATGCGGGGCAATTGAACCCTAAGTATTTAACCGCGCTCCCGACACTCCGCATTATGCAGCTGTACATAAACTTGAAGATGAAGCGAGTAGCTCCCACTAGTAGAAGCAGCGCGGCGTATCCCCGCAAAAGAGCCGTTACAGCCTGTCAGGTGTGCCGTTCTCGACGCACAAAATGCGATCAGAAGAAACCCCGCTGTTCATTCTGCGAAAAGACTGGCGCTGAATGTGTCTTCGATCCCACGGCGTTGTCTACCTTTGATCCGGCGAGCCTCGCGATTCTCGAACGCCTAGACACACTCGAACAGAAGATCGATTCGATCCGACCCCAAGCACAACAACAACAACAACAGCCTAGCTCACATCTGGTCCCTTTCCCAACATTCAACGCCAAGAATGACTCGAATACAGCCTATACGGTGGCCAAGGGGTCTCAGCGCCCAGATAACTTGCTTCCAGAGAATCTTGATGATGTCCTGAAATGGCCGATCTTGCAGGATATCAATCACCAAGCCACCGAAAGCTCTCATATTCCCAGTCCACAAAGCGATCATACCTCGCCCACTCAGCCCTCTTTGGATGGCGATGAACTAAACCCCGGCATCACCAATGGATACCTGGACAGCTTCTTTGCCCACGTTCATGCGAAGAACCCAGTGCTCGACGAGCCATATATCCGTCGTCTTGTTCGTAAGGTCTCTCTAGAAGGCCCAAGCTGGGATTCCGAATCCTGCCTGGCGCTATTGGTCTGTGCGAACGGGGCGATCACTGGTCCTTTCTTGGCCCCATCCATCTCTGCTGAGGAGCTGCGCGCGTCCCCTGGCTGCAGGCTCTTCACAGCAGCGTTGAAGCGTATTGGAGCGACCTTGGACTCTGCGGGCGTTGTCCAGGCCCAGTGTTTATTTTTTGCCGGTGTATATCTAATGTCCTGCCTCCGACCCTTCGATGCATGGCGGTCGTTCTTGCAGGCATTAGCCGTATGCCAGAGTTTCAAGTTCATGGGCGAAGCCACCCAGACAGGCACCCCAGCTGAAGAGAGCATCTATTGGTCATCATGGAAGTCCGAACGAGAGCTCCGCTGGGAATTAGGTCTCCCTGACTTCGGTACTCGAATCTCCTTGGAACCACCCCAGCGCTTCCCGACTCTACCCCTTACAGATGATGAGGAGATCCTCCGCGCGTGGTATTTTTATCTCTCTGAGATCTCTCTCTGGCGACTCGAGACAGAGATTAGAAAAGATATGATTACTCGCCTCTTCGAGCCAAACAGCAACACCCTCGATGATCTAACTGCCATCAGCGAGATTTATAAACAACAACTGGTCGCCTGTCTTCACTCTCTACCATCCACGGTCAGCATCGCCGACCCCCCTTGCCAAACATCCGAACCCGATGTTCTTCGCTTCATCCTCCAAGGCCGATCAACATATGTCAATGAACTGATTACTTGGCCATATATAGCCTGCGCGGTGAATGATATCGCGCTGGGACAAACAGCGCAGGAGTGGGTTGCAAAGGGCCTCCAGGCTCATTTGGAAAGGTTGGAAGTCAATCGGGTCGGGTTTTATCACCGACATCATGGAACCTGGCTAATGATACGGACGTCCGCCAGAAGTGCGTGCATTTTGCTCGCTGTCGCAAGGTCTAGCATGCGGGATCTTCTTCCTGTTGGTTGGGATGAGGCGGTGGAAGCGACGGTTAAGATGCTCGACTTTTGGCAGGCTGATGTTGAGGGTGTGGCTGCGTTGGCTCGCTTTTTGTGGTATCTTCTGTCCCATGTTTCTTAGAATATATACTACATCTTCCTAGACAGAACAAATGTTTGCGCTTTTAATGTGATGTGTTAAAAAGAGAATGATTATGCATTTATATAACCAACTTATCTAGACTACCAGGGTATGTCTAACTTCACAGATCATTTAATTCAGAAGTAGTATAGATCATACAATAATCGACGATGCCTTTATCCATCATTCATACACCCGAATCATGATGGACTACGCTTTGAGCAGCGACATACCGCCTCCAATTTGCGCAGGTCCGGTTAAACGTACCGTAGTCGACGCTGATCTCTGAAGCCCGCTCGAGTGGCTGTATCGCAAAGCCCTCGGAAGTATGCCAGACAGTCTGGCAATACAATAAGGTATTGTACAGGGCCAGGATTACGACCAATCACCTTCATCAACTACCGGCTCATGTCTGTCTGAAGCGTCCATGAGCTCCTTGACAGTCCACGGCTTGTACGTGTAGCCAGGAGGTACATTGGTGTTCTGGAAGGGAGCCCCAGTCAAGAGATGATTCGCACACTTGCCATAGTTATCGTAGGCGTATTGCTCTGGGTTATGGCGCATAATCCAGGTAGCAGTAGTCTTGCTGAAAATGTCCGGATTCTTCGCTACCGCATCCCAGTCGGTGTTGTGGAATTTCTCCCGGTGGTGGAACCCCATCTTTTGGGCGCACGACACACGCTCGAACCTATGCAGGCGGGGTAAGTATAAGGCTTCCCAGAGGCGTCGAATCCGTTTACTGCATACCTCAGGTGGTTATGAACTCGCACGGCTAAGGCGAAGTTGGACTTGCCGCCCAATTGTAGGCACGTTGCTAAGGAGTACGCGTCTTCCATGGCCATTGCCGCTCCACTACCAGACGTTGGCAAGAAGGAGTGTGCCGAATCGCCAAGCTGAATGACTCGAGCCTTAGGCGAAGCCCACTTCCGCTGAGGGTTGCGCCACAGCAACTTCCAGTCCGTACAACGGTTGTTGGGCGTAGCCTTGATCAGCTCGGTCAGGAAAGGTTCCCATCCTTCAATGTATGTCAAGGCCTTCTCAGTGGAGACAGTCTTATCCCAGTCTTCCTCGGCATTGTGGTCGTCCTGTGTGTATAGCGTGATCAGTCTACGTACGCACCACGAGCCTGTTTGCATGCTTAACATTTCATTCGACATACCCTGTGTGTCAACATATAGCAAATTTGCCTTGAGGTTTTGCCCACGGCTATATGTGCGCCAGGGCCTGCATGAATGCAAGCACGGTCGACGTAACCTTCAAACTCCTTGGCAATGATCGGATTCTCCAGTGCTGGTCCAGTCGGAAAGGTCGCCCTGTAACAAGCAAATCCGGAGCTGATGGGAACGTCTTTCTTTCCCAAGACCAAAGACCATGCCTTGGAACCGACGCCATCAGCGGCAACGACAATATCGGCTGTGAGCGTGCTTCCATTGGCAAGAACCACCCCACCTGCCTCGTCCGTTTCGAAGTAGTCCTGAACAGTAGTTGAGAAATCGACTCGAATACCTAGCTCTTGAACATACTCCCACAAGGCAGAGTGAAGCTCAGATCGGTTGAAAGCCATTGATATGTCCTTTCCATCACCTAGCGGCCAGGTTCCAACCCACGTCCCGTCATACTTCTTGATGTTTCGCTGGGTCTTGTATGAGATGGCCTGCAATCGCTCATAGAACCCGGGCCAATGCTTGATGCTGTGGAGGGCATTGCATTCTATCATCAGAAGATCGCCTGTGTCCATTATTTTATTAGTGTCTGGACTTGTGAACACCAGACTACTACTTACCGTAACCATCAAAGTTTGGGCGCTTTTCTATGAGGCGGACATCATGGCCTTTACGATATGCCTCGATCGCAAAGGTGAGGCCACCAATGCCACCCCCCGCGATGAGGATGGACAACCCGCTCGGGGGGTATTGGTCCCTCATGGTAAATGCCACGGAAGTTGCCATTGCTGCTGCACGAGGTGTCCGTGATGGTTCAATCTTTCGATTTGATGCGCTAAATTGCTCGATGATATGAGTGATCTGAAAAGGGTTTCCAGCCTTTATATATTCTTTAGGAGGCACATTCTCCACTACAGTTCTCTCAGTACTCGGAACCTGCTTCTTTCCGGAAGGATGTACCAAATTTGATAAAACTACATTATCCGTAGCTCTATAGCTCCAAATCGGGCATTCGAAGGTGTAGAAGTATACTCAGTGCGGATACGATCTTCATGTGTGGGGCTTCTGAGTAGTGTGGCTGAGCTTTGATATGTAATTTTATATCACGTTATCTATAAATCAGTAGATCCCTAAGTTCCAGACCTAAGAAGACAAGTATCGAAATTCTTTTATGTTTGTATATCATATACAGCAGGCTATCCCTAGGACCCTAGCTATCACAGGCACTTCTTGTTGAGAGGATTCAAGATTAATCGTATGGTACGAATTCCAGATCTTGTTTAACCGTGTATAACTTCCATAGTTTTAGGTTCCTTCCGCGAAGGACTAATATTGTTTTAAAACCGGTTCTTTTTTCTCTTGCGATCCTTTTACTGTAGACAAGGCTGCTGTGGAGTAGGGCAGACCAGCTCCGTGGAGTACGGAACTTCGGGTTTCTGACTTCCGCTGAGTCAGCGCCATCGTGCTGGGGTTTTGAGCCATCGAACACTTCATTCTCGCGCCTGTTTAAAACTATGCAGAATCCTGTAGTATATCTCGATGCTTAACACTTTAAGGAGATGCTATTTAATAGTGAGACATGACCCGCATTGTATGCCACTTTCCTGCCAAAAAATTCTACCCGGACCAGGGCTTGACCTGCCGTTGAACTAGTACCTCAACCAAAAATATGTGTATAAGTCTTTCCATAGTCCCCTTGGGATAACACACTTGGGGTTATGTCAACTTTTTTTTTCTTTTCTCCTTTTCATTCTCTACCACTGAGAGACCAACGGGCACGACAGTTCTATGAATACCAGAACAATAGGCGCGCTCAACGGAAACCGTTTGACCGAGGTCTCTTCCTACTGCTACTCTATCATTTTACATATAGCTACTAGTAGGCTCTCCAAGCCGCCATTCTCCATAGCCTCTACTGCTTCACTCCTTTTGTCCACATTGTTATATTTGACCACATCACGCTATCTTGAAGGACTGACAAGCATTAAGAATATCTTTGAAAGGAATGAACATAGAGTGAACTTCCTATGTCCGCGATTGTGCTTGGAAAGGAGATGAATGAATCGTTCTGGAGGCCGGAGACGCACATCGGCAGTTTTACTTCTTTTCTAGCCGATTAAGTTGCGATTTCTGCAAATGCGAAGACCCTTCGCTTTCCGGGGTTCAAATGCGGAGAGTAGAAGCCGGCGTTCCGGAATCGACCCGATGCTCTCCACATGCCGAGCTTGACGCATCCTGCGACTGACCTACTAGTAGTTGTAGGTCCACCCGTGGCAGTTCCTGCAGCTTTCTGCTTTCCTTTGGAAAAGTATCGGTCTCCATTGACAAGTATTTTGAGACATGTTTAACTCTGGAAAGCGAAACAGGGATTGATGATCGCCGTATCAGCACCTCAGGGCCCTCCTTCCTCCGGTGTAGAAGTTAGAATGTAACCCAAAATATCTGCTCTTCTAGGCCTCTGTCGGGGGTCAGGACATGTTATACTAGTACCGGTATAGTTAAAAGCCATTCTATTTTTTCAACCAATTGCAATGACTGTATTCGCCAACCGTAGGGGCTAGACGCGCCTGTATGCACTTCTCCACAGGTGAATAGCTTTGTAGATTCATTATTGATTCTATTAAAGTGTATATTATGCAGTCACCTAGCGACTAATAAAAATAGAACACCGCACCTGATAAGTTGAGCAGACCCAAGAATAAGACTTACATAGCGTTGAATCGTGCTGACCCTAAACGCTGGAGCAGGAGTGGAACTCTCGGTACGTGGGCTGCATGCCAGTGCGTCATTTGCTATTACTAGAGTAAGGGTGTAAACTAGTGACAGAGACTCAAAACATATGTGATCGATGTCCACAGAAGCAGCATCCGTGCGAAACGACTATGTAGTACAGCTACATGGGCTCATGCGTCCATTTCATACTCTAGCAAGAGTTAAGTACACCTCTTTGCCCTATCTTTGGGATGGAGACAACTCTCGTCAGATTAGCTCAACTATAACGGCTCGGGTGCCGGGTACATATCTGACTCTGACCATCTACCGAGTATTAAATAAAGTCAGCGTTTATGTTGAGAAAGATGCTTCGGTAGAGCTATATGTGGACATCATCGGCTTTGGCGTTGCGGGTGTGGAGCCGAGCCCTCAAGAAAAGCCGAAATGCATACTCTAACTATCCCCGCAGTTAGGTTCAACAACTTCACGTATCATGTATCCTGCCAAATGAGAGCCCGCGTGAATCTGGGGTAGCGGTGCCCCACTTGATGCCAAAGACTATGAAGGAGGGTCCAATATTAGCTTGCCGCCTCCGCATATATCGCTGCGAGCAGTTCCTGCTTCACCAAACTCAGCCTAATTGATCTCTACATTCGATCACTTGGGTGAGGCATCATGAGCGGATTTAAGCACGCCTTTTCCATGACCCGGAAGGAGGTCCAGGATGCGGTACCTCCTGGGACTATTGTTCTATCAAGTGAGTAGCTTGTGCGCCACAGCATGACACATGCTTTCTAGACTGTTGAGTTGGCTAACGTTCACCAAATCTTCCCGAATCTAGTTTATTCCCAAGAGTCCGCTGGTAGAACACATCTGAAAAATAATGGCGAAGTGGTTCTGTCTCCTCAGCCATCAGAAGATCCGCTGGATCCGTTGAACTGGCCTAGTTGGCGCAAGTTCGCCGTCCTTTTGGTTATGTCACTGTATGCCGCCATTGGAAACTTTACTTCTGGCTCAATTGCCAGCGCGTTTCCATTATATGCCACTCCGATGGCTTTCAATCCACCCGTTTCTATTGGGAAGCTGGGTCATCTCGTCGCGGTTCGTGCTCGATATGAGTATAATATTCACCCTTCTTTGTTCTCTTTCTACATTGGAGACTTTTCTGTAGGTACCTGCTTGGATGCGATGGCTAAGCTGTATTAGGTCAACGTTCTTATGATGGGTGCGGCAAATATCCTGTGGGTGCCGTTGGCCAATACGTTTGGCCGCCGGCCCATCACATTATTCAATATTCTCCTCCTGATGTTATGCTCCGTATGGGCCGCACGCGCTACATCATTTGGAAGTCTTCTTGCTGCCCGCTTTTTCATGGGGGCTGGCGTCGCTCCAGCCGATACGAGTGAGTTCCGATCGTCCTGCTCAGTAAAAGGTTCTATTACTAATGGTGTTGCTAGTTGCACCGAATGTCGTAGGCGAAATCTATTTTGCACATCAGAGAGGAAAAGCGATGGTAGGATACATACCCTAAAGGATCAGGAATCATCGTAGTGCTTGAGACTTATTACATGGTTAGGGATTTTATACGGTATTCATCTGCATAGGCCCTGTTCTCGGCGGCATTGCTGGCGGCTACATAGCTGGAAATCTGGGCCTGGCATGGATTCACTGGGTCAATGTTATCTTGTCCGGCATTCTGCTCGTCGCTTGTTTCTTCCTAGTTCCGGAGACGCTCTATGCCCGTGAGACACCAGCTCCATCCATAGATCCTACTTTGGATGAAGGCGGCAAAGGTGAGGACGGAACAAGTTCGATCAAAATTGAAGATATCGCCCAAAATCATACCACAAGTGGTAGCTATTCGGAGCTTACTTTCCTTCGCTCACTGAAGTTATACACCAACCACGGGAACCTTCTCCAGAATTTCGTTTCGCCGTGGTTAACACTGCGCCTTCCCGGGGTATGGCTGGTGATGCTGTGGTATGCAGGGCTCGTCGGTGGGATTGTGACAATATCGACAGTAGGCCCGACACTTGCTGCACAGCCGCCATATCTGTGGGGTAACAATGCAGGTCTCATCTTGGTCGGCGGAGTTATCGGAGCATTAGTCGGTGCAGTGGTGACGGCGCTCTCCGCAGATCGAATTGTTACCACGAAAAAGACATTGCAGGGAGAAAAAAACATGGAGCCCGAAGCTCGCTTGCCCATTGCCCTTCCGGGGCTTGTTCTGGCAACAACGGGGTTATGGACCTTTGGCTTCTGCGCCCAGAGCTCAAATTCACACATGTGGATTGGGATGCAGTTTGGGCTAGGAATGCTTTCTTTTGGTCTCATGCAGGCGCCGTCTATTGGGTTTAATTATGTATGGTCTTTCGTTCCCAACGATAAACGGGTTGTTCCAATTTCCAGATAACTAACAATTTCTCTTACTAGATTATCGACTCCTATGGTAGCGTGTCAGCGGACTGTTTTGTTGTCGTGACGTGCATGCGAGCGATTATCAGCTTTTCTTGGACATTCTTCGCCAGCGGATGGGTTGAGAGTGCAGGTCCAGCTATTCCTTTCGGTGTCTTCGGAGGGTTGATGGGGCTCTTTACTTTATTCACAATCCCGCAGTGGTTATGGGGGAAGAGAACGAGAATTGCTACTGCTGATTGGATACCAAAATGAACAGGCCTCACTGTGCTAGGGAGTATCTTATGGCTATGAGAGGATCTGGAAGAAGTTGGTGTCAATTTGCCAGGTGGTAGTTTATGAGAATTTTCTCAGCGACTATGAGTCGGTCTTTACTATCGAAACGTGGCCTCTGCATGTCTTATTAAATTAGAAATATATCTATCTACAGTTCCAAGACCTCGTACATAATGTTGATTAAGTATAGTCTGCCGCTGTAAACCGAGCTACACCGAATGCCATCTTAGCGACACGAGATCGGAATATCACATCGCACCGCCTCCCCTTATCCATTGATAGATAGGATAGGATGGTGGCTTATAGATACTGACGACCGTAACCATTCCCATCCCCTCGTACCGTGTCAGCGTAGGGCACACGCCCATACTGGTAGTCGGATAAGGAGTACTTGCTCTTCAAGACGGGGTAAGGTCTTTGCTTCCATTCAGCCTGCACTTTCCTGGCCGTCACCAAGAATCTCTGTTGAACAGAAGAATAATTCTCAACTATCAGGTTGCGGTCTCGCTTAACGAACTTCCCATCGACCAAGACATGTTTAATATCACCAACATTCGAGTGAAGGATAACAGCAGCGACTGGAACGTCTCAGCCAAGCATACCAGGCGTCATTCTGTCCCAAACAACAATGTCCGCCTTGGCTCCCTTGGCAATGACACCCAAATCTGGCCGTCGAAGTGCAAGACCTCCATTACGTGTGGCAAGCATGAAAGCTTGATTCACCGACATGGGATTTTTAGAGGGAACGCGCCAGTTCTGTACCGCCCAGGGGTATAAGGAAAATAAGCCCATCCAATATGGCCCAGCTCGCCGGTTTCTCACCGCTCTGAACGGAAGACGTTTGCGTCAGGCCCATAGATATTTCCTTTCGATAATTGACTTATTGTGAAAAGGCGACGAGCTCTTTTCTTACAAGGATGGGACTGCTTGCGCTTTCACCAGCAGCAGCAGCAGCAGCAGTTGGCAAGAGAGTGGTTTCTTTCGTCTCGCGGTTATTTAATGGAACAGGCGCGTAAAGGCGTAAAGCTAGTTGCGGTTAGTGTAGGGGGTAATATGCAGGAGGGCAAATTAACACTTTTTGATAACACAGTCTAGGTATGACATGCGACTGATCTGGTCTTCAGTCAGGCATTGGGACTGTCCCGTGATGGAACATATTTCATCTCGTAAACGACATATTACATCCTCATGACGGACAGGTAGACATCTAGGTGACATTGAATATCGTTCTAGACAAAGCTGCAACTAGCAGGTACGTACAGCATCCATGAGAGGCAGTGCGAGATGGAGCCTCTTCCAGCTAAAAGCAAGTTAAATAATTGGTCACGAACGTCTGTTTTACTAATCGACCCCCCCGAGAAAGCTGCTTTACAAAGCTATAGGCCTTACTGTTTGTTTAGTCACTATTGTCTAGCTTCAGGCCATCAACATCATGCTCAATAAATCGGTACACATCAGCGCAAGCTCTTCGAATCTTTGGCAGATTGTAGAGACAATGAATTGGACCTACTCGAAAGCGCTTAGCCAGCCCCTCCTGGGCGATTGAAACTTTCTATTGGTGGAATCTTGGTCGATGTCTACCTTCAAGCTATACAGTGATTTCTCTAACAGAAGTGCTATTGGTATATCAAGTATGAGGTCGACAAAGCGCGATTGAAGATCAACCACTGTGTTCAATGGCAATCGAGCTATTAGATGATCAATATTCTCGTGGAAATGCACCTGTCTCCGCCTCTTTATTTGGGAAAGTGTCTACCAATAAGACCTCTGGAATGTTTCCATACCAGCCCTTTTTAGTTAAAAATACCATTACCTAGGAGCGGCGCAAAGTTTTCTCGCCGTGCACCGAAGCCATAGTCTATTTATAATGAGTACCATATCCTGAAATTGGTCATCTGGGTTGTCCTCTTCTACCTTCAAATTTGGTGGACAGAATTGCCTCCACATTCTCTGGGCGGAGAACATGAAACGCCCGCGGCCCTAACAACGAATATTAGGATAGGCTATTTCCGGGCTCGTATTGCTCCGCTACGGAGCATCGAAACGCAAGCCGGCCATCTAGTGGGCAGTTCCGGTGGAGGCTGGCAACCATGCTGGTGCGCGAACATACGGTCTTTCTGTTATTAGTTAATTGATTTTGTCCGGAATTCCTCGGTATCGCCAGTTGACCTACTTGGTATTATCAGTATTGTATGGACAAAAAGCAATACAATATCTGACCAGCAGTCAGCAAGATTAAGCAATAGATAATACTTCCAAAGTCTATTGTGGAAAGGAATGGAATCCTCACAACCCTGACGCGTTGAAGTCATGGTGCTTTTGTCCCATTTGCAGCAAATTTATGCCTCCCAACCAGACAAAAAGCTCCAAAGGAATGCACGTTTTACAAACTATCGAGTGAAACCCTCAGTCTAACTCTTGATTTTGAAGTTTCTTTCAAGGGGAAATTAGCTTTCGGTCTTCCCTCCCCTGTGGTAGCACAGATCTCAATGGAAGATAAGCATGAGGCACGAGGCATGTCTACCTGTACTAAGGACTGTGTTACAAAGAAGGGTGTTACCATCCTGTTAAAGGCTAGTAAGCTTTGACTTAAAAGTTTGTCAGAACACCTTTCAGGATGCAGTTGTCACTACCATACGTTAATGCCCAGTAAGAAGACACATGCGAGTAACGTATTACGTCAATTAGGAATAGGCTATAAAATGTATGATTGGGTAGTAAGGCCAAGACGTTCCATGCAAGGAGAGACTGGATCAATGGGAATTTTGAGAGTCTTTAGTCCTCCAGAAGGACCTATATTTCTGCCAAGTTCATTTCGTAAGTTTTGAGTCGTATACTACAGAAACTTAAGAAATGCTCCCACTTCCTTTCATGCATTTACACTATATAGTATGAAACTATTCTAAGATGGCTGGTGGGGTCTCGCATATTAAGTCCAGTGCGTCTCTGAAGGTAAAATGCTTGAACAGTTGTGCAAAGGATTTAATGAGAGGCTAAACTTTGTTCTGTTTGACGTAATATTTATTCCTCTGGGTACGAGAAACCACAGGGTCAAGATCGGCAGTCCAGCCATATTTGCAGGGAAGAAATGTTACTATACAGTATAGGGTGCCAGATATCTACGTGTGGAATACGGTAGCGATGTAACTTCGTCGCCGTTTGCAGTTGTGTCGATTTAGGGTTGTTGTTGGAACGTTACAGGCGCTGCACGTGACCCTGGAACATTGGCCCAAACCCAGTTAATATCCAGTAAATCAGAGGGTTTACGTGGTTCTTGAAGTAATATTTACTGTGAATCTAGATTACTTAGGTGGAGAAATTTCCGATTTCACTGTTGTGTTGTGGGAAAGACCAGCAACGAGGATTTTCACACCTAATATGCTGCTAACTGGAGCCCTCCTTCCACCACCACAGGTCTAAGCATTCCTCCAGACGTCTCTCATTTTATTTGACACTTACAAAAATGCCTAACTGGATTCTTGGGGACAAATTCAACACCGTCTATTCGCACAAGGGCTCTATCAAGACCCTTTGGGAAACGCGTTGGAAGTTTGCCGTTAGTTATCCGCTCATTACGCTACAATCAAAAGAGAAAGGACTAACAGCAGATTCAAGTGCCAAAAAGGAGTTTATCCATTTCATGATGGATCCTACGAGGACTTCGAGCCAATATTCCAGAAGCTTATATCAGTTTGTTCACAATTGCTTACAATTTCTTTTTCGAATCTCATTGCCACTGACCAGAGATACTTAACGGTAGGAAAACATCAATGATGCCAGCACGGATGAATATACGTCTACATTCTTTCCTATCGCATCAGAGCTAGAATCTCAAGCATCGCAGGCTTTGGACTCTGGTAAAACAGACCACGCAATCGACCTGTTCCGCCGCGCCGCGGTAGTCTATCGGATCTCGCGCTTTCCCTATGTCGACATAACCCAACCAAACTCCATCAAGCGAACTGCATTCGAGCGACAAAAGCAGGTATACCTGAAGGCTGCTTCTCGATGGGATTCACCGATCAAGGAAGTTATTATCCCGCACAGCAGTCGCGGTAGAAATGACGGTCAAGAAATCCCGATCTACACTCGCGTACCGAGCAACGCTGGCCCAGAGAACCCTGTCCCCGTCGTCCTTATTATGACTGGACTAGACGGATACAGGCCAGATAACAGCCAACGGACACACGAGATCATCGGCCGCGGATGGGCTGTCGTCATCGCCGAGATCCCGGGTACAGCGGATTCGCCTGCTGATCCTGCGGACCCATCATCTCCTGATCGGCTATGGGATAGCATCTTCGCATACATGGCGACACAGCCGATGCTGGACATGAGTCAAGTTGTGCTCTGGGGACTCAGCGCGGGAGGGTTCTACGCCATCCGAGCCGCCCATACACACGCAAGCCGACTACGTGGGGCTATTGCACACGGTGCGGGATGCCATTATTTCCTGGACAAAGAGTGGCTCAGTCGCGTTGATGACCATGAGTATCCTTTCTCGTGAGTTGCTCCTTTCTTTTTATAGTGGGTTCATGGGTTACGCGCTAATTCCATGCAGAATCATGCGGGGATGGGCAAAGAAATACGGTTACGACGATATTGAGGTCTTTGTGCGAGAAGCACGACAGAAGTTCTCACTGGTGGAAACGGGTATTGTCGATCATCCTAGTTGCCGATTGCTTTTGTTGAATGTATACAACTACTCTCCTGCCCAATTGTATGTGCTATATCTAACGAACGTATAGGGTGTCGACGATGGGATTACGCCAATTGAAGATTCTCTGCTGCTCTTTAACCATGGAAGTCCGAAGGAGGGAAGGTGAGGCCCGATACTAGTCCATGTTGATATTACCGTTGCGACTAATCGGGAAGCAGGTTTTTTGAAGGCTTGCCACATATGGGGTACCCCGACAGCTTGCCTGTCGCTTACAAATGGCTGGAAGGCATTCTGCCCTGTGAACCAAAGCAAAAGAATTAGTGATCTCCCATGGGTATTGTACTAGGGACATGAGAGGTTTTGAACAATTGGAGAGGATTTCTGCCTTGGAAGCACAACTATGGTTGACTGTTAAAAGTACCATCTTTTAGATCCGAAAATCTTGGAAATAACATAGTTTTAATGCACGTTTATCTTTCTAAACTCGGTTCCATTGCTCTGCTCGTTCGAGCGATTGATCTCTGGAGAGTCCACGTTGACTTGTCCATGCTAGTTGAACCTACTGTGACTCCTTGCAGAGCCTTAACCATTGGATCTATAGTTGATGATAGATAGGTGGTGTACATAAAGCACCCCGGATTGTTACTAATGTTTTAAAATGGATTTATCATGGTATTTCAGCCTAGCCTGGCTGTTAGAGGGTGCGCCAAACATCCCAACCCCTGGAATAGTAGAATGACGGGGAACAATTAGTAAAGGCCAGCAGTTATCATTGTATTAGGGGATGCCGTAGACGATATGGGGTTCCTTATTGCCTTTAATGACGTTCTGTAGCTCAGCTGGCTGTAAGCGTAATATTATAGCTCCTGATAGCCTTTTATATAGTCCAGGGCTGTCAAAGGAGGCTTAACAGTAATTATAGATCATATGCCACAGTAGTCGAGTTAGCCTCATCTGTAGTATTTGACTTTGCCTGCTGGGTTTGAATTGGAGGGGAAACTACAATAAATGCGATTCATCGGCATAGAAAACACCAATAGGCTAATTACAACGACATAATGAACAAGCACGTCGTTTTAAGAAATGGGAGACTGCCCTCAAAGCGGTATATAGAATTTAATTACGCAAAAGAGACCTGTATACATGGGAATTCTAAGGTTCGTCAAGCTCTCTGCCTTCAGGCAATGTAAAGCAATATATCATTAGCTGAACGCCTACTATAGCGCATTAAACCAATGTCCCTTCTTCACCTTTTTAGTGATACTTGATAGTCATAATTACCCAGTGGTAGCCTGCATGCATAGGCCGCCGTTCGATAGAAGTGCGCTGTGCGGGCTTTACTCCCTAGTACCGTCCGCTTTGCTCTCGCCGATCACTGCAACACTAGTGAGTGGTATGCCACAATCACAAAGATATCTGTGTAAACGCGAAGAGGTATAATATTATATCATGACTATTGTTGACCGTTGGTGTGGGTATGACGAATGTCAGATATATTTGGTGCATATCCGAACCATGGGTTGATAGACGCACCTTGATGTAACTCCGAAATCGACTGCTCAAACGCCGTTCTATTCCCTCGTGGACGAGATGCCGAATTACTGTCTCGGGCAAACCTTCAGTCTTCCTCCGTCAATATAATATGCTTGGAATATCGATGGAAAAGAAAGCTAACCAATACAATTTCATTATGTGCTACTACTATTACATTCCTGTGACGCGCTCACATCCGAAAACAATGGTTTCAATATTGGGTGATGTCAACAAGGATCATGGTGGTCAGTCGTTTGATCATCGATGAGGTCAGGTATTAAGGGCCATGTACAGTTTTCCACTGACCGGGAGTCTATAAATGTGGTCTCATTTCCGAGTCTACTTTTTTGAATGTCACTCAACCGCACAATTGTTGTCACGATATCTCTAATTTCAACTACCCTGCAGCGTCGATAGTTCTAAGGCTATACAATTGACCTCCGCTACGATGACTGATACGAAAGATTACTGGACCCAAGATGCACCTTTTTATGCTCATTGGACATTTCAACGCAGCTCAGATGGGGTCACGGGCAAATGGTTTCGATTTCTCGTGACAGCTGCCTCACGCGAGGACGCAAAGACCTTCTTCCGAGGTGTGGAAAAGTACGCTAAGACCAAGGACGCCAACATAGTTTCCGTGAAGGCCGTCAATCTGGCGTGGTGGACCTACGACATCAGCGGCGGTGACGGCTGGAATATTATGCGTCTTGTCCAAAATATTGATCAAATGAAGGCATCTCAGTACGGGGATATTGATGAATTACGAGACAGCCGGGGCAAGATTCTTGTTTCGATATTGAACGATGCGGATGGCGGTAGCAGGTCCTGGCCAATACTTCCTGCTCAAAATGTGTCTCTCCATGACTATCAACATGGCTAAGGTCTACTTGCAAGCCTGGAGTGTATTGTTTTGTGCCTTTGTCAAACCCTGTGGGCACTCCAGCTGGCATGATATACATTACTCCATTATGTAAAAAATTGAGTATGTTTCTACCTTGACTGATAATTATGGCCTCTGTTGGTATATGTGTGATACGCTTGGTATAAAGCAGATCTATGATTTTCAAAACTTTGGTTCATGTATCTGAAGACCTCTCTAGTCTTGGGCCCGGTACTGGAATAATCCTCGCACCGCTTATATGGAACGAATATACTAGTATGAAATCATTCAGATTCTATAGGAGCAGATGCATCACCCCGTAGTGGCAAGAGAATATATATAATAGCAGTATTGCGCTGCAGATAGTGAAAAGAGCAATAAGTCACAAAGAGGAGCACTTAAAACTCCAGGACTAGTTTTTGTGCAACAGTAGGCAAATTTAGAATATGGATCTCATTATTTTCATGTTCTGACTAGATCCGGTGACAATTTGATGAGGTTGAATAAGTCTTTATGTTCTCGATCGTCACAGAAATCTAACAGGGTGCATTTACTTCAGTCTTGGCAGCTTATGTAATTATTGGACCTGGAAAACAAAGGTTATTTAGTCATATCGACTGTCCAGTACGACACCTTACTTTCCTATGGTAAGTCTATTCAGTGGCAAGAATCGAAAAATGATTAATGGCGCCTATAAAGCTGTTGCAAAACATGTAGATGCCACTTGCAGAGTGCTTAGGGTAGGTACAGACACCTGATTCGACCTCGTCCCGACCCTTAACATCCACGACCCACAACACTACCAAGGATTAATATTCCGAATCCCCCACCTCTTGGCTTTAGTATTCCCTTCACGAGCGTACATACAGCAGAAGAAGCGTTCAAATCACAGGATCTCACCCTTGGCCAAGTCACAAACACATCCAGATCATCCACATGGCCGCCTCACAGAACCCGATCATGACCCGCGATCAGCTCGCGGGGCTGGCGCAAAGCTTCTTCAATGCCGTGGATGGCAAGGATCTCGATGCAGTGATGTCGCACTTCTCCCCGGACGCGACATTTACCATCAAGACTGCCCATGTCACATCCACGGGTCCCGACGAGATCCGCCGCTTGTTCACCGACTTCATTAATAACACCAAGCACATGCTCCATGACATCAAGAGCATTGTGGTCGATGAAATACATGGCAAGGTCTCAACTGAGCATCACTATACCGGCGAACTGGTGGACGGGACGAAGAACGAACTGGACAATTGCAACTTCTTTGATGTCGGCGCTGATGGAAAATTCACGCGTGTGGTGGTTTTTATGGCTGGGGCGAGCCCGATGAAATAGGCGGAAGGACTGAATTGTTCTCACGTGTATGCTAGGGTCCAGTAAAGGCTTCAGGGCCCCAATGCGCATCAGCTCTTGGTATTGTGGTTTCCTTACCGACTCTTATAGCTGTACGCTGACAGCTTAGTTAACCTGCTCGGTACGCCATTTGTTCAAGAGCGTGACGTCAACGTCATTCACGATATAGATTTAAGTGCAGCAATACCAGAATGAGATGTTTAATTCTAGGGTTATAGTGATTTATCCGACTGTCTCAATACTAGTAACAGTGCTTATCTCAAATATCATCGATCAAAGTACAAAATCCAACACCATCCCAGCTCGGGTCACGTTCACAGACCTTTACCATTGTATGATCCAATATTGGGTCGTTGGTCGGAAGACACTACGTTATTCCAAAAGTCTCTCCCTCCATTCTCAGACACAACAACCCCTTTCAGCAAAGCAGGGCTACCCGAGCGCAATTTATACCCATCTACTGAGTCAATTGTGTCTTTCCCGGTACCTGGATCCATGAATCGTGCATCTCCAGCGGTCCCAGCTGTATCACCTGGCTGTGGCACTGTCTGGAAAAGGTTTCCATGCCACTCAATTGAGTCCCCAGTCGGCAAGGTTGAATCCTTCGTCCCAACCCAGATATTGTTGGACAGGTTCGTTTGCGGCGGAACAGCAATCTCGAACTTCTTATCTGGACAATAAACAACGTTATTGTAAAAGTCCATCTCCACGTTGTCTCCGTTGCTATACATGCGACAGTCATTTTGAAAAATATTGTAGCGAACGATTTGCCTCGCTCCACCAGGCGTACCACAGCCATCACAATTCAGGAATATACCACCGGCATTGTCATGGCTGTAATTATACTCGACAGTACAGGTACCTTCATTACCCCAATCACAGTCAAAGGCCTCACTGTCTATATCCGACATGAGAGAGTCATGGACCGCATTAAATCGCATGACCGCATCACGACAGCCCAGAACCCAGATTCCGGCGAAATTGCCGCCGGTCCACGGATACTTTCCATGTCCAAGGAATCCGCAAAGATTACTTTCGATGAGGGGTGAGACGCCGTAGGATACCACGATTCCATCGCCGCCGACATAGGAGATGTTATTGGAGAAGACGTGTACCCCTTCGCCGCGATTGTTCATCTGACCAACGCGGACTTTGATACCACCGCCACCACAGTCGTACACTGTATTGTTGAATATTTGGACATCGTCGTAGCGGCTGTTATGCTCGGTTCCGTTGACCAGAATTCCGCCGGAGGCGATGAAGGCATCGGATTGCTTGGCCTTGTTGGTCTCACCGGCTACATTGTAAACCGTGACGTCGTGAATGTAGAGGCCCCGGTGCACGGTCCCATCGGAAGATGTTGCGAGAATTCCGCGGCGCCAGGCGATCTCAGCCGCCGGGTTGATCACCGCTATGTTGGACACATCCCAGTAATCCTGATTCGTAAGGCTCACTGCTTCTGCTGCCCCAGAGCCATTGATGATGGGTAAGGGGCCGTCGCCATAGCTAGTAAGGATGATCGGCTTTTCTTGTGTACCGCTGCCCTGTGGTGAAAGCGTCCCGGAGCATGTAGTGTCGGATTTGATGCTCAGGCTGTCTCCTGCGCTTAAGACAGCTTTATTGGCCTCGTTAATAGAGCTGAATGGGTTTGATTTGCTGCCATCGCCATCGCTGTTGGAAGAGCTGCAATCGAGATACAAATCCTTGGCAGAGGAGAGTTGCAAGAGGCATGCGACGAGCGCGATGAAGCTACTGTGTCGCAAAGCTTTCGACGCAATCATTTTGATGTAAGGGCGACTGTGATAGTATTGGATTGGTGAGCTCGCATCAAGGCATGCAAGGGGTTATTGTAACCATCTATATAGCCTTGCTCCCTTGCTTGCAGATCCTAGCTAGATCAAGAAGCTCGAGAATAACAATGCAACCCTAACGCTCACCCCATGAAGGCAAACTCCGCTCGGGGGATTCATTCGGCCGGTGTTGTTTCGACTTCCTTCCCCACAGTCGGTGGAATGCTCCTACCGGGGCTCGGCATTGCACGATATCAGGCACTTGGACAATCAACCCGAAACAAATGATCGGCGGGAGAATGTAATTCTTGAGCCAAGCGAGATAGGAAGGGAGCATTTCTTGGCAACAGTACCATTTAAAGGGAGGAGCATGATGAAGCAACAATCACAGCCCCTCAACATTTCTCGCAATCAGTAACATCGCAAACATGAGATCTTGGAAAGCTCTTCCGTTCGTTGTCGCGGCTATAGTCCAGCCGGGATCTGGACAAGACATATCAACGACTGCCTCAGCGCCGTCAAAATGGGTCCATCCCGGAGCAATGATCAGCCAATCCCAATTGGACTTCGTCAAATCTAAAGTAAGCAAACGCGAGCAACCCTGGGCGGATGCCTACGACGCACTTGTGGAGGATGAATATGTCAGCAATCCCCAGGCCCCATCGCCGCATGTCATCGTCGAGTGTGGTCCTTACTCGGACCCAGATGTTGGATGCAAAGCAGAGCGCGATGATTCCCTAGCCGCGTATGCCAATGCTCTGGCGTGGGCGATCAATGGCACTGAGGCGTATGCCCAACAGGCGATCCGCATTATGGACGCATATTCATCCACGATTGAAGGCCATAATAACTCCAATGCACCCTTACAATCAGGTTGGGTTGGCTCGGTATGGGCACGCACGGGTGAGATTATTCGCTATACGGACGCCGGGTGGTCGGACGATGGCATCAAGCAGTTCGAAGACATGCTACGTAATGTGTATATGCCGCTCACCGTTAATGGAACGACGGAGACTGCGAATTGGGAACTGGGTATGCTATTAACTCGTATGGTAAACTGATGCCAGTGGTAGCTGACGAGGTGCGGTTAAACAGTTATGACAGAAGCGGCTATTATGATGGCTGTATTCCTCGAGGATGCCGACTCCTATAACACCGCGATGAACTGGCACTTGAAACGAGTTCCTGCCACGGTATATATGACAAGTGATGGAGAGTACCCGGTAGCAGCTCGCGGACATAGTTCTTCCCCGGATGCAATCATCGATTGGTGGTTTAATCAAACCACATTCCAGGAGAACGGTCAGTCACAGGAGACATGTCGGGATCTCGAGCACACTGGCTACTCTTTTGCCTCTATGGCTCATGTGGCAGAGACCAGCCGCATCCAAGGTACCGACCTCTACAAGGAGGACTTAGGAACCCGACTGCGCTATGCGTTAGAGTTCCATTCTCAGTTTGAAAATGGGGTATCAGCCCCATCCTGGCTTTGTGGTGGGGAGCTTAAGTTATCGTTGCGTGCGGTTACAGAAGTTGGGTTCAATGCGCTGTCGTTCAGAATGGGAATCGATATGCCGCAGACAAAGAACCTCACTGTCAAACAACGGCCGGCTGAGAACAATGGTCTTTTTGTGGCGTATGAAACATTGACGCATGCACAAAATGATGCTTGAGAGAATAGTAGTGGGTGTATATAGGAGAGAATGCCGATTGATAGAAAATAACATGCAAGCCGTCCCACAGTTGGAGTGTAAGCTACCTACTGTACGATTACCATACATGGTGTCAGGGATAGAGTAGTTAGAGCACAACCTTAGTGACATAGTCATAAGATGTTTTGGTCAAGGGTATTCAGATATTATGATACGAGTATTCAGTGTCATCCTTAGGGAGCAAAGATGGCATGAGAAGAAACAAAGGAAGAAGATGCAAGAAAAGTAATAATAGTGTGGGAAAGGATATTAAAAAATTAGAAAGAAGATGAAGAAGAGGAAGTTAAAACGCACGCAATTCTGTAAGGATTGATACAAACATACTTATAAGATAAAATGATATCTAGTGCTTTATCGGCGGGACTGCAACTCTATGTAATAATTATCAAAGGAACCCCATATCTAAGAGCCGATTCCCCAGCTCAAGAAAGTAGTAATCCGCATAAACCAAGCCATGATCCCAAGCACGATCAGCGTGGTTGCCGTTGAAATTCGCCGTTGACTTTTCAAGGATCGCATCAAAGCCATGTCCATTGCTAATCTGGTATGATTCGACCTTAGTAGCCCCATCCTGTTCGTAAAGCCTCAGCCGCCTCGTATCTCGATTATACGCCAATTCCACAGTATCTTTCGCGATGTGTAGAGCATAGTCCAAGTAACGCTTGGCCGCCGCTAGTTCCCCAATACCTGCTAGTTGTCCATACAAAATCAGCATCCCGTTGGCAGCAATTAATGCTGCGGAAACATCCCGCAATGGGCCTTGGTCGCCGTTGATACCAGTATGCGTGATTGGCGCGTCGAAATCCCATAGCGGGACGTAACGCCCGGAACCGTGTTGTTCCACGATTGCTGGCGATGATTCCATGCGCTGTATGAAATAGTCCGCAAGCCCTTTAGCAGCATCAAGGAACTCACGCTTCTTGGTCCAAGAATATGTCTGAGCGTATCCTAAGATTGCCCACGCCTGGCCACGGGCCCATGTCGAGCTGTCGGCGTAGCCTTGCGCGGTGAGTTTCTGCTTCACTTTCCCTTCGTTCGAGGGAGAGAAGTTCACGACATGATATGTGGAGTAGGAGGAGTCAACTTTCAAGCCGGACTCAGGTCGGAGATGAGTCGATAGCAGCGTAGTAGCATGGGTGGATGCAATAGAGAGTAGGCGTTCAGAATGGAGATAGTTTCCGGCGTAAAATAGTAGATCAAGATCTAATATCGCATCAGAAATATTCATCTATTTGAATTTTGAAATGGGAAATCGTCTTACTGCAGAGACTATCTATGATCACCAAGAAGTCATCATCCATGCTGTTGATGTCATAGTGGGCATTACAAAATCGATCCCAGCTCCGAATCGCCCCGACTCGTTCATCAAACCTAGTAGCGAGGCTTTCGGCTGCAGTGAGAATAGAGTCTAGACTCCGTTTGTTTCCGAAGAGCTCCCAGTCTCTTTGAAGGGCAGGCTGGATGATGAACCCAATATCATGGGTGTCTTTTCGGAAGGACATGCCGTGCAATGGCTCTGACCATCTCCGACAGAGATCAGTAAGATGAGAAATAAGGATATCATGATTGAGAGCTACTGTTGCATCTTCAGTCGATTTTATTTGCGAATCCCCTGGGCTTGCGAGATTAGGCAAGCTTGCTGCAGGATATTTTCTCACACGTTCAAGCAAACAATAGAGGTTACCAGGGAAAAAGCCGCAAGTCCAAAACTCGGCGTCTCTGCATCGGTACACTCCTTTGTCGGGAGTTGTTTGTGGTACGGTTTCAGGAAACCTGGTGGGAGGGTCCTTGAAGGAAACTATAAGCGGTTCTGCGATAGTGATTGAGGATATCTCGCTTACATTGTTCTTTAGGAGAGTTTCAGCTACTCCGATGACCTTTGCAAGGTTATTTTCATGGAAAAGAAGGGCGAGCTGAGTTTTGGTATCCCTGTTCCCGTGTTCTTGTAGAGGTGGCCGCTTGATGACTCCCTTGTGTGTCCGGCCTTCATCCATGACGGGGGAGGTGCTGAGGATATGAGGCGCCATAGTGATAAGGAAAGGGATACGTAGTGGCGGTTGTAGATGGCTAGCTTAAGACGAGATATCAGAGAAAATACGACTAATCTTCCGGTTGGCTACTTTTTAAGTGGAAAACCTCTATCTGCTAGACATGAAGCCACCGCGCAGTTCGGGTGGATCCATCGCCCGACCTCCGAGGATCTTGATCGGCTCACAAGCTACGTGAATTCTGCTCATAGAACAAATGGAAGAAAATACACCTCCTAAGTCGGCTGCAACGTGCAAGAAAGCCGATAAAGGATTACTGAAAACAGAACAAATGTTCCATGTATTAATGTCATACACTATCCATGATGCCGCTCGTTACTAATGAGTAAAGGAATCTTGAAAACTGATAATTCGGTCCATGTCAAGATATTGAGGATCCAGAAGGAAGTTAGACAATGCCACAAAGCTGTCCGAGCCATCGAGGGGCGAGGCCTCACCGACTGAAGGAAATAGACCATCCAATGGTGCCTGGGAGCCGGTTTGAGTGGGATATACACTCCCAGCATGCACTGTACCCATATGTTGTTGAGTTGGTATGTGGTTTCTATTCCACTGGCTCGTCTCCCTCATTGCTGGGCCTGGTGCTACCTGGGGGCTAGGAGGCGTAGCGTTCACAGATGATGTTACGTTCTGGTGCGATGCCTGGTCATGGACGGTACTCTGGCTGGATCTGTGCGCGGAAGGAGTACTAGTCATATAATGGGACCGCTGGCCATTAACAGGTATGATGCTATGTCGCTGTTGGGCACGTCGTTCCCGGACCCACTGGCTCTCACCTGAGTTGGTCGGTGGGCTACGTATTCCAAGGGCAAAGCTTACTTCAACAGCATAGCCCAAGGCGTCCAATTCAAAAGGGTCAATGTACTTGCACCGCTCCTGCAGCCTCTGAAGCTGAGAAAGAAGGGCATTAGCAAAGTTGTCGTTTCCCTGTGTCAATCTTAAGTTCGGGTTCGACGAAACCCATCTCGCTGACATCTGCTGGAGACTCCACAGAAGAATGTCGTACCCTTCCGGAAGCTCTGTGCGATGGAGGCGTGAATGAACTAACAACCACAGTTTAGCGAAGTTAGCCAGAGGCCCTCTAAGTGATACTTACCAAGCATGACGCGTGCGCTGACGAATGCGCAAAACACGAACTGCGCATTGACAAGCCCAACAAAGGGTGTATACTGAAGGTACTTCTGAACAATATTGGCTGTTTCTGTCGCGGCAAGCTGGCACGTTTCAGCACTGGAGATACTTGCTTGTCTCAGCTTATCCACGAGGCTGGCCCGTGGGTAGGCAATGCACTGATGTAAAAGGATCATTGACGTATTGTGGGTGATGTGAGCAAGAGTCAGGTTGGGATCCATATGCACAAATGCAGGCTCCTTAGAGATATTAGAGTCTTTCCACCGTCGAGGGAGAAACATCTTCCAGCTAGAGATGTTACAGATTATCAGTCAGAACAAATAGGCCATTGTAGTATAGGGCAAGGTTGCGTACTGGATGAGCTGGAGATCTAACTCCTTGAAGCGCGTTAGCCAAGCACCGAATTCCTGTTTGCTCTGGAAGTTGACTGGTCGTTGGAGAAAGTACTTGGCAATACGATTGAGCGATTCGGTCGCTTCAATACAGTATGCAAAGGAGCCAATAGTTGATAGGTCTACTGTCCGGGTTCCAGATGTCTGTAACACCGGGGATACACGCTCGGATCTTGAGGGAGTATTATCCACATCTTTGTCCTTGTCGGCAAGCGAAGAAGTATGACCAGGGAGAAAAGAGACTGACTTCCCTATCTTTGCCAGGGATGTATCCCATATGTTAAAGAATGGCGTAGTGACTGGTTCCTCTTTAGCCCAGTACGTGCCATCACTGGGAAGACGAAGCCTCACGTCGTCACTGGACAAGCTCATATTCCATCTAGTGCATGATAGGGGAGTAGATTTAGTAAGGGTAATCATGGAAATCAAAGAAATGCATTCCATACCCAGTAGTGAACGAGCAAAATCTGTATGCTAGTGAGACGATAGCCACTATTCACAAATGGTGGATTCCGTACCTGTCTAGAAGAAAGACATTCCAGAATACTCGACGTCGCTCCTCCATTTCCGTCCATACCCGGGCTGTTGGCAGACATTGGAATGGTTGGACGCAAGGATCTCCCTGCTGGCCTTCATCTGGCTCGCTGTGGAGTCCCATGTACACAACAGCTCTGGTCAGTGCTCCGACAATTGGCCACGCTTTGTTTGCGTTACCGTCGCATATATGAACAAAGGCAATAATAATGAGGGACTGAGCGCTTTCTACAGAAAGGCTATCTATGCTTGAGAGAACTACAAAATCTCTAGATTTCTGTAGTGCGCCTGGATGGGATGTACTCCACTCTGCAGCAAGTCGCTCGTTAGGAACATACCGTAACGCACATACCATCATGGCATGAAGTAAGGAAATCAACTTTGGCCTCTCAGCCGGATCGCGCAACCGGGATCGAAAAAGTGGTTCATGGAGGATTGGTATGAAAGGATGAACGACTGAGAAGTATGCATCCAGGATACCATTGATTAAGCTATCCGGGGGTAGGTCCACTTGACATGTGGAATCCAGAGAGCTGCTAGAGTCTGGACACGGCCTTTTTCGTGAGATCTCAGGACTTGAAGCCGGCATTGTGGAGTCATGCACATCCCGATCTGAACCGATGTTGAGACGTTGGTCTGGAGCATTAGTTGGGAGCATGTTATTCTCTCGCCACTCCTCCATCATTGATGAAACCAAGCCTCGGAGAGCGTTTACATCCTGAATTGTGCTTGCAGGACTTGGAATACCACTAGCAGCCTGATGCTGGGCCCTTAGTGCTTCTAGTTGAGCTTCCAATGATTCTGGTTACAATATATCAGCGACATGGTCAGCCCATAACTTCGAAACAGCCTACATACCCACTCGCTGAGTCAGAGTCTGAATTATGCCCACTTTGACTCCGGGTTTATTCTTTGTATAATCATAGTAACAGTCCACACCTATCACAGCATTAGGTTACACACCTCAACAACCAGCTAAGGGAGGAATTAACCAAGGCGTTGGCATCGTGTGCACGAGGGAAGATCCCTTGAGCACCGCAGCTTACGGCTTCGGCATGACTGGCATGCGGGCGTTTCTGTGTCTCCATTGACAGGCGCTGCTCGGGCGTCGGGAGATTCCATCCTGCGGCAGATGGCCGTGCGAACATCGAACACAAGGAACAGAGCATTAAAGGCGGATCATGGGAGCAATGAAGACCCTTATGCCAGCACCCCCACCTTATGCGGGGTTTAATCTGGTTAAACTCGTACTTTTTTCCGAAATCTTGGGCAATTGTGGGGAAGAATCTCATTAGCGATGCAACTCTGCCATCTCGCGGACGAAAGAACCCGCCGATGTCACCCTACTAGTTTCTAGTCTGATACCGAGGATAGCGTGGGGATGTATTCATGGCATGATTCCGTAATGACCAATGTCTCACTAATTGCAGCACGGTATTTCCATTATAGCACCTAGCCAGCACGGACGTTCTGTCTTTTACAGGACTCAGACAGGATTCTGGGACTTCAGGCCTTCACAGATATCAATCAAAACACCAGGGCTTGTGAACCCACTCAAAATCAATGCCTCCTCTTCATGGATTTTCTGACAACCCATTCCGTGATAAAAATGATGTGGTCGTCGCGACTAAGGCTCTTGTCCAAGCTCTTGAACCATATTTCTCGCCAGGGCGAGCGCGGGTACAACTACCCATTTACTCAGGGGCACATTTCGATGAAGCAGCGGCAGACCTGGAGGGATTTGCACGACCTATCTGGGCTATAGCTGCTGCGTCCACGGAGTCCTCCAATACGGCGGACCCAACGCTCAAGGAGTACGCGGAGCGCTTGGTATCAGGACTTGTCAATGGAGTTGATCCAGCCCATCCCGAATACTGGGGGGCAATAGACGACTGGGACCAACGCATGGTAGAGGCGGAGGCAATCTCATTTGCCCTCCTGTTAGCTCCGACGACGTTCTATCAGCCTCTATCAGCTCACAATCGCGGTCATTTGGTCAAATGGCTCTCCGGCTTGAACGGGAAAGTGATGCCCAAAAATAACTGGCGTTGGTTTAGGATATTTGCCAACCTTGCTCTGCATAGGGTTTGTGGTATTCCTTACGAGAATGTGAAAGAATCAATCCAGGAAGACTTTCATCTTCTCGACACGTTTCAGCTGGGCAATGGATGGGCTGCAGATGGCCCTTGGAGAAAGGATGCGACCGAGGGAGAAGAAGCGTATGGTCGCCAGGCCGACTATTATTCCGGAAGCTTTGCCATTCAATTTAGTCAACTGCTATACACTATCTTTGCGGCTGACTTAGATCCCGAGCGTGTATCTCGATACATCCACCAGGCGAGAGAGTTCGCAAATCAGTTCTGGAGATATTTTGACAAGGATGGTGCTCCCATTCCATTTGGTCGATCTCTCACCTATCGGTTTGCCATGGGCGCGTTCTACGCAGCATTTGCGATGGCTAAAGCCTACGATTCCTCAAGCCCTTACACATCTCCCGGATTTGTCAAGGGAATGCTCCTGCGTCATTTGAGGTGGTGGGCCACACATTCTGACAATGTCTTTGCTTTGGACGGAACCCTCACCATTGGCTACCTATACCCTAATATGTTTATGTGCGAGGATTACAACTCACCGCAGTCGCCGTACTGGGCTATGAAGAGCTTTGTCATACTCGCATTGTCTACCAATGATGACTTCTGGATGGTAGACGAGCTCCCCCATCCCTTGGCCTCCGTTGGTGAAACGAAATCACTCGCGTCGGGGGTGCAGTTGCTCTCACCACCTTTTCAGATATTGTGTGATCACCCTGGGGGCCAGCATCATTTCATGATCTCCGGTGGTCAGTATTGTGTCTGGCCCCTCAAGGCCACGCAAGCCAAGTACAGCAAGTTCGCGTATTCCTCTGCGTTTGGTTTCAGTGTTCCAACTGGGCTATTATTAACACAGATTGCCCCGGACAGCACCCTCGCTATCAGTGGAGACAATGGGGAGACCTGGATCACTCGATGGCAAACAACTGCCAATCCTACTATTGAGACCCTCCTAATCAACAATCAGGATGTGCAATGTCTACGCAGTGGATGGAGGCCCTGGCGGTCAGGCAGCATAGAGATCCATACACTCCTTATTCCTCCATGCGATCAGCGGCCCGATTGGCATATTCGAGTCCACCGTATTCGCAATACTCAGCCCGGATCTTCTGCCATGGTAACGCTTAGACTTGTTGAGGGCGCCTTCTCGATAGAAGTCAAACAGCCACGTCGCATGCCCATCTTGACCGAAGGCTGGGGTGCAACAGCAGACAGCTTAGATGCCGCCCTTGGGGGTCGCATGGAATGTGACACAAGTTCACTAGTTATTGGTGACGGCGACATTAGCGGCATAAAGAATCTGTTCGCTTCGGAGTGTTCACTAGAAGGCAAAGTGCTTAAGCCGGATCCAAACACGAATTTGATGACACCGAGAACGTTGATTCCAACTATCGAGCATGAGATCTGCAGTATACCAGGGCGGGACACAGTCATCGCTAATGCTATATTTGCTATTAGCAAAGGGCAGAGACGGTTTAGCCGGCAGGAAATGTTCGAGAGGTGGTGCCAGCCTCCTCAATTGCCAGAAGAAATCTTGACCCTCTAACACATGTAGTGCAATCAGACAAGGCTTTTCATCCGCTAGCATAACCCAATACCTCCTCCAATTATCTTTAATTTACTCCTCTTTGCTATTCATGTAAACCATGTAGGATGTCTGCACAAAACCTCCGTGATGTCAAGTCTATTCCGTCTTCTAAGCCAAACGATGTGATAGGATAGACTGAGTAGCAACCAAGGTACTGTATCCCAAAAAGTTCCATTTTATTGGTGGTAATTCTCTCAAAAACTAGGCAATTGATTCGATACGGGGGTATAAGGTCTACGTAACGGTTCAACGGCTTCTGGGAACCGAGAAACGGTGCACATCGTCTACCGACAAATGGCCCTACGTCACAACATCTAATTTACTACCTTTGTATATTCTCGGGTAATCTATCATGACATATTTGTGGGGAACGAGGGGAATCCAGGTGTCGGAGGAAGCCTTCGCCCGAGCATCGGAAGAATCCCCGCCCGAGTATTAATTCCCCTTAGGGTTTAAGCTTCGGTTGAGAAACGTGGAGGTGGGCCGACTACTATAGTGACATCCTAGCGCCTCGCATTCAGCATCCTTCGGTCTCTCCACGGCCATTAAATAGGGGATGCTAGCTCTTGTTTCATGGGGTCACTGTAAGAATGGTGTCGGAGAAACGGCCGCTAGCTACCATTACAAATCTTCACCATGGCCACTTCGCATCCGAATGACGAAGAAATGATCGACCAGAAACTTGCTATCGAGACCACCACAAGCAACACCAAACAGGCTCCTAGTCGCCAGGCCCTGATCGAGGCTCTGCAAGCGGAAAGGCCGTCACCATGGTCTCCAAATCTAAGAAAGTTGTACATGTTCTGCGTAATCGCTTTTCTGTGCTCGAGCATGAACGGTTTGTGATTTCAGAGAACGACTTGGATGAAGCGCATCTGCTAAGTCTATGACAGGTTATGATGGCTCTATCTTTGGATCCCTGCCCGCTCTGGAATCGTTCCGAGACCAGTTCGGGGTGGAGAAGAACGGTGCGAAAATTGGGTATATATCCGCCATGTATACGGTGGGTGGAATTTGCTCGCTGCCATTCAGTGGGCCAGCTTGCGACTTTCGTGGTAGACGATGGGGCACTTTTGTCGGTTCCTTGATTGTCGTGGCCTGTACCTTCCTCTCCGCACTATCCCATGGGGTTCCTCAATTCGTGGCTGGTCGTTTCTTTTTAGGATTCGGGGTGAATATAGTCCGATCAACCAGTTCCATCTGGTGTGCTGAAGTCTGCCCGCCGGCATATCGTGGAATCATCATGGCGTTTTACAACTGCACCTATGCGGTTGGATCGTTGATCGCTGCGGGGGTAACCCGAGGGTCGGCAGGATATGCAGGCAATAAATCATGGCAAATCCCATTATGGTGCCAAATGATCTGCCCTGGGATTGTGCTGATATCTGTGCTGTTCTTCCCTGAGTCTCCGCGGTGGCTTTATTCCCATGGCCAGGAAGAGCAGGCACTGGAATTCCTTGCGAAGTACCACGGGGAAGGAAATCCCTCCCATCCTCTTGTGCAGCTACAACTCCAGGAATACAGGGAGTTCATATCCCTGTCGGGGTCCGACAAACGTTGGTGGGACTTCCGCGATTTCTACAAAACAAAAGCAGGAAGATGGCGTTTTATCAACGCTTTAATAACCGGTATCTGGGGTCAATGCTCGGGAAACGCTGTTGTCACCTATTATCTCCCTGCGATGCTTCTCACCACTGGTATTACCGACTCTAATCAGGTCTTGAACGTGAACCTTGGCTATACTGTGGTTTCCACAGTCGCATCCTACCTGGGGGCGAGTCAAATCGAGCGGATGGGTCGACGGCCAACCATTATCTGGACAGCTGTGGCCTGCTCAATTTGCTTCGCCTGTATTACCATTGGTTCAGGTATATTCGATCGTACCCAAGCTACCCCTGCCGCCTCTGCCGGAATTGCATTCATTTTCATTTTTGGCTTCTGCTACAATTTCGGGATGACACCTCTTCAAGCACTATATCCAGTGGAGGCGCTCTCGTATGAAACCCGTGGGAAGGGTGTCGGCCTTACTTTCTCCATTGCGCATGGTTTCACCTTACTCAACCAATTTTGCTTTCCTATCGCGCTCAAGAATATTGGTTGGTATACATACATTGTTTTCATTGTGTGGGATCTGTTCGAAGCGGCGGTCAGCTACTTTGTCTCCGTTGAAACCAAAGGACACACTTTAGAAGAACTGTCAGAAATTTTTGAAAGCCCAAATCCTGTCAGGGCTTCTCTCCAGAAAACTATATAGGAGATAGTATCAATTACTCATGTCATTAGTACGGAAGTAGTCGCTTATACATGGCATATTCAACAGCCCTGGCATTTCAAGTTTCCACTCTGTTAGAGGCGGTGCTAAATCGTTATAGAAGGATACAACCAAGACGTTCCTCAAGATTCAATCATCCTTAGGCATTATTTGCACAGCGAGGCTATTACAGGCATATTAAAAGTATCAATTCCTTTTCCATGTCACATCGATACCAGACCCGCCTTAACCGCAGGATATGGCGAAGTTAGGCACTAGCCTGCGCGGCGCTTCCCCGATGGACGCTTGTCAAGCTCTCGTGGAGAGCCTTCCTGATCATGCCCTCTTTTATTTGTCTTACTAGACTGTCGTGGTACTTTTTCCGGTCGTACTTCTGGAGTCTCGATGGATACAGATTGAGAAGGCTCAATTGAGCTCGTATTTTCTCCCCTTTTTGCTTCCTTTCGAGATTTGACCTGCCGCCTATATTCCTGGAGTGTTTCTTTTGTTACAGGGTCCAGTTTCCAACCTTCGCTCTTCGACAATCCGCCCCGTGACTGTTGACTTGGTGGTTGCTGACGTCGCGGAGGTTGGTCCTCTGACTCTTTGCGACACGGGCTTCGACTATTTGTACCTTGGCTCTGTGATGCTTCATCATGCGATTTCTGCTTCGAGGGTTTACCCTGCGAATGTTGACTTGGCAGCTGTTCACTCTGAGGCTGTTTAGATCGCGACTGCCGGTTGTCCGAATAGCGGCCCTCCGAGATTCCATCCTTGAACTCTATAAATTGAAATTTCAATGGCTGGGACATCTTGACTGCCACCTGGCTTGTTAGATGTTAACGGAGGCTGCTCTAATTTGTTCTGCTCTGGGACGGTTGTTAGCAGCTTATATAGTTATTACAACACTAGCTGGGGCGGAGTATAACTGCCATTTTTCCATCAAACTCAACCGACCGCAACCTTTCTACGGAATTTATAACGAGAAACTGGGGTATGGCGACTGTTGTATGCTAAGCTCCTCGATTTGATCCAAAAGTTAGCTGAGGTTATCGGACGAGTCCATGCATCCTGGGCAAGTAGAGGCTATGGAACTATCCATTACTGCTTTACACGTGGCCCTTTTGTTGTATCCGCAATTCAACGGGCTTCCCAGTGGAATCTTTGTGCAGGAATCCTCCAATGTATTTTCATTTTGTAACAGATAATCGTTTGTTTCCCCTTTCATTGTCGTCCGCCACTGAGATTCTTGGCATATTGCGTTGGAGATTGCCGGGCCTCAGGTTGTGTGATGTGGTGAAAACCTTTGTCTAGTAGTCAGAGCGTCAGAGTTAATATTGGCTATTACGATACTTCTAGTAAAATGATCGAACATTCTGTTGTCAGCTGATTATGATCTGCTATCTCTATGCATCTTATCCTCCAATCTCAGGGGTGGAGGTGGAGGAGTAACCGAGGCTTTTATATAAGCAGCCGTTATCAACCCCGAAGTCAAGTCCAACAGTCTCTCCAACTTAGTCTATAAAAGGATTAAATCCCTCCAAATCCCCCATGAATTTCATATAAATCAACCAGACTCCAGCCCCGCTTCAACCCATCTTGGCTTCCACACTCTTTCGCTATGCAACTGGCCTACCCGACCAAAGCTAGATTGCGCACCAGGACAGGCTGTCTTGAATGTACCTTGAATAAAACTCTACGAAACAAAAGAAAAAGAATTGAAGGGCGCTAATATCCACCAGGCCGCAATCGTCGTAAGAAGTGCGATGAAGTCTCACCACAATGCGGAGGCTGCGCGAGAAAGGGCCTCAAATGCACTTGGCCTTCGCACAACAGTCAAAGTCTTGATCGTAGGCGACGGGGCGCAAATCTTGACACTACGATCAATGAGAATCTGGGTACCCAGTTCCGTTGCAAGACTTTCCGACCAGACGACCACATTGACATGTATACCCATTTTGCCACTGTGGTACTGCCAAGTATGGTCCGGCCGAATTGTGCTGCAGAATACAATGATCAATCCTATATGCTCCAACTTGCACTCGACTTTCCTCCGTTAATGGCGATCATGATTGGAATTACTGCTGTACATCTACAAAATGAAAAGCTGGCCTTAGAAAGTTACCTTTTCTCGTTACATGGCCTACGGAGTCGCATGGCGCATTGTGTAGATGCTGCTAATGAGGATGCCATCTTAGCTTCGACAATCCTTCTTTGTGTTATGGAGGTAATAGCATTCTCACCCTCTCACTGCTGGACAATGGCGCTGATTGATGCTTAGAATCTTCGCTCTGGCGCAACGCCCAACATCGGCTTACATGCGACTGCCGCTGGTGTGATATTGTCTCGACGAAGCTCATCGGGGATAAAGCAAGTTGACCCCTTTGAACGCCTCTGTGTGGAGTCGTTCCTATATCACAGCACGCTTATGATGCTGTTTGAACCATCGCTCGATACATTGCAGCGTGTGAACCCAACGATGGACCTTGCTCGATATTTCACCGAGCTTCCTCCCCCAACGTCCCAGCCCATTCTAGACGCATCATATCCTTTTTTCTTTCTTATTGCCGACGTGACACGGTTGGCCCGGAGTACGCATCCATTGACCGATACCGAGATCCTGATGTATTCGCACTTGTTAGCGAGTCTCTTGCATTACGATCGAAACTTCAATGATGGCAGCCCCACCATGAGGTTGTATTTGCTAACCATGCGAATATTACTGCTAAAGGTGGATCCTCTGTTATCCACTGTTGAGGCGACAGAGCAAATCCATCACATATCATCGAACGGCTTTTCAATCCTAGACTCCTTGAACGTCAACCAGTATCTCCTCGGATTTTCACTGTGGCCTGTAGCAGTCCTGGGATCTATTGCAACCACAGCCAACGAACAAGACATTGTGCAAGGTAAGATCACTTCACTAGCTCGGAGACAGCACGGACAAACTACGCGGTTACGGGACCGGCTCAAGACAATTTGGGCGACGCCGGAGGCTGAGAACTCTGAGTTACTGGTGCACCGACTACACATGTTAGTGAAAGGAGTCTGATTCTTATCTACTCCTGTGAACTATTCCTTGGCCAAACCTGTCAGAAATATCCCAAGCTCATATCGACTTGCTTGCAAGCACGCTCTCAACGATCTTAGCGTGCTGCATCAACCTTTCATCCTTCAGTCTGCGACCAATGAGCTGCACGTGACAGGGGGCATTTTCAACCTCTTTCGGGCAATCTATCAAGGTCAATATATCATGTCTAAGTGCCTCGTGATCTCAAGCGAAAATTCTTACATGGAGGGTTATAGGTGACATCTCGCATATATTCCGCATCAGCGGCCTCGTTAGCCTTTCCGAAAGGAATAACACAGGCAGGATACTATTTTCATACGATTAGCTCGAACCCCACCAGCAAGGAATGACAAACACTTACATCCACTAAGTTTGCCAAGACTGTGTACACTGGAATTCCATAAGTATCATGGGGCCCAGCACAGCTCTGGTTTCCTGGGCCGATGATCACGTCGAGTCGGTTCTCCACATACACACGGCGCATGATCGCCGCCACGTTGGCTCGCGCCACATTCAGATCGAATAAATCTCGCAGTGTCGGTTCTGGATCGTTACCTTCCAGGTTGTACGTGTAACGCAGGGACTTGATGAAAGGTTCTCCACTTCTTGAGACGTGCTGGACCTGTGTTTGGTCGGGATCGATCCGGAAGAACTGAAATGATATATCAGATGCTTCGTTGATGCACTCGATCTGACCGGAGAGGCCCACAATACGATGGCCCGCCGCTGCAAGCCTTTCAACTGCTGCTTTCAAAGTGCGTTGCATATTCGGATGCAAGGGCACCTGCGGATCTTCGGGTAGAACTCCGATAGTAAGGGTTGGGGTAGCTAGGGGAGCCGGTTCTACCCAGGGAAAGCCAAGAACATTGTCGTCGAGGTCATCAACCGGCGCATCCATCACCACCCGCAGCAGAAGCTCGGCGTCACGAGCTGAGTGACACAATGGTCCCGCTACTGGTGCTATGCCGGTCATGCCTGGACGGGCCGCGCTGCTCTGGCCTGCGTACGGCACGCGACCGACACTAGGCTTGAAGCCAAACGTACCGCAGCACAATGCTGGAATCCGGATGGAGCCTGCGATATCGGTGCCGATTCCTAGAAGCGATCCACGCAAGGCTATGAGCGCTCCCTCTCCACCACTGCTACCGCCTGCCGTCAGGTTGCGGCGGTGTGGGTTCAGAACACGACCAAACACGTTGTTTTCGGAATCGGCCGTCATCATCGTCTGGGGAACGTTGGTCTTGACGTATAGTACAGCGCCCGCAGCTAGGAGGATCTCCACCAAGGCGGAGTTCTGGGAGGCCTCGGGTCGGTCAAGGAACGAAACCAGGCCAAGAGAGGAGTGCACGCCTTGGACATTGAATGTTTCCTTCAGACTGATTGGCAGGCCGTGCAGTGGGCCCATCGGTTTCCCGGTCCTCTGGAGGTACTCATCCAGTTCTTTAGCCCGTGCCAGTGCTTGTGGAAACATGGTCTCCGTCAAGCAGGAAGTAATCTGTTGGGCAATGGCGGCGCGCTTGCAAAATGCAGTGGTGACCTCCACGGCCGTCAGCTCTTGAGAAACAAGCTTGTCTCGTAGAGCCGTAGCATCAACGGTTTCCGTGATCTCCAGCTCTTTGGGAGTGAGGATACCGCAGCGCTGAGGGATAGCTAGCACTCCTTGCTCGTTATCGACATCCTGTAGGATGCTCTCGGGCACTCGCCATTCCTTGGGAATTTTGGCGACGGCTTCGGCCTGTTTAGCCGCGGCTTTCTGTTGCCAGTCGGGGATAGTCATGGTTTATTCTGTTATAATAAGGAAACTTGATCAATGTAAATCTCTATCAACCGACTGAGTAGCATTATTTATACCCGAGCATGAACCCCGCAAGAGTTATTTCTTGGTTGGAGATGTTATACCAGCCAATCATAGACTTTTGCGCGAGAGAAGTATATTTAAGCCCTTCAGCTTCTCAGATTTGCTCGGATAGCCCGGTCCAGGACCCACCATACCAACGAGACAACAAACGCAAGTCCAGGCGTGCGGGGTTGGCCAGAACTTCGTAAAGTAGCGTCCTATAAGTGGATACGCTAGCCGAACATCACCGGCCTCTTAGCTTATCTGCTGAGTGGCTTATCATCCAGGATGTAACAGTCCTTAGGGTCTATCCGAGCCCTAATCCATGACCTGGGTGCTATCCGAGTAGTCCGGGTAGTGTCCAGCCACCGTAATATAAACTAGCTTCTTGAAAATTTCTTCTTCCAAAGTCTTGAAGACACACAAAAGCCTTTCACAAAAGTTGGGCAATATAAAAAGACAATGACGGCGATAACAAAGCAAGTAGTCCAGAAGGCGATCGACGAATATATTGCGGGGTTGCAACCGTCTTTGCGCGAGTTGAATCTCAAGGTAATAAATAGCTATATGACATCACATGATGCGGATACCCTGGTTTGGCAAATTCTGACAATCATCCTAGATTCACGAGAACCCAGAGTTGGCCTACAAAGAACACCAAGCCCATGATGTACTATGCGAATTCCTCGAAGCCCAAGGGATTCCAACGACCCGCCATGCCTACGGCCTGAAGACAGCATTTGAATCTCTCTCGGGTAATTCTACCGGGCGCTGTGTCAATTTTAACGCCGAATACGACGCCTTACCTGGAATCGGACATGCATGCGGCCACAACCTCATCGCAACCGCCAGTGTTACCGCGTTCTTGGCCTTGGCCTTCGCCATTCAGAAATTCAATCTTCCAGGACAAGCGCAGTTGCTGGGAACACCCGCCGAAGAAGAAGGTGGAGGTAAAATCGATCTCATTCGGGCGGGTGCCTATGAGAAGGCCGATGTATCTCTGATGATGTATGGCATTTAGTATTGCGACCACTCCTGATTTCTAGAATATGCTGACATATTCAAGGCACCCTATCTCGGAAGAAGAACTCATCTCTCACAATATCTTGGGTATCGCAGGCCAACCATCAATCTCTTGCTATGATATCACTGCCGTCTATCACGGGGTTAGTGCCCATGCGGCGGTCAATCCCTGGGAGGGTATTAACGCACTCGATGCCGTTGTGGCGGCCTACAATAATATCTCAATGTTACGGCAGCAGCTCCGCCCCGACGAAAGAGTGCATGGGGCGATTTTACAAGCACCGAGTATCACTAATGCCATTCCCGAACTCACCCGCACCGTATACACTATTCGCAGTCGTACGATGGAGAGAACACGACTCCTCGGTACTCGGGTGCGCCGGTGTTTAGAAGCGGCTGCCCTAGCCACCGGATGCAAAATTGAACTCGAGGAAGATCAGGTCTATGGTGACCTTGTAGTGAACCCACCGCTCTGTAAAGGTTTCGCAGAGTACATGGACGATCAGGGAATACGTGTTGTGGCGACCGATGACACTTTGATGGCTGGGTCTACCGATCAGGGGAATGTGTCCCAAATCATGCCAGCTCTACATGCTGTTGTTGGTATTCCGGTGAGTAACGGTGCTAAGAACCATACGCACGAATTTACTGCTGCTGCTGCGGGTGATGAGGCACATCAAAGGACTATTTTGGCTGGGAAAGCGATGGCTATGACAGGGTGTAGAATTCTGGTAGCTGAGGACTTTTACCGAGAAGTCAAGGACGCCTTTTCGGTGACGCAGAAAGATACACGCTAAATACTTGTTTCTCATTGAGGGTTGAAGATATTAAGCCTCAGACGTCAATAGAATATAGTGGAACTCTTTCTCTGATATAAGATTGCAACTGCCAATCAGCGATATTTGCGCGAGAAATCATGTGGAGCAGGTAGTAGGGTGCAGAAATCTTCTACATCCACTGCGTGATGCCGACACATACACCTTCTCCATGACTGCCAGTATTTCACCGCAAGCCAACGCAAGGGCAATCTACTTAATATGACAATAGGAATCGGGAAACATACCTAAGCTCTGCATAGGCAATTTGCTGCTGCTGAGTGCGAGCATAGTAAGTTCAAACAACTCTGCCGGGGCATCATAATTATCTTCACGCTCTGAATACTCCACTCCGTAGATAAAAAGAGAAAGAGATACCAAGCAACCATGGGAAGCAATTAAGTTCTCCATTCCTCGCACTAGCAACTGAGAGATATCATAACACTCGTGTATCATATTAATTCCGTACAGGGGGCTATTTCAGCCCCCGCTATTCCCGATCACGTTGCGTATTCAGTTGTATCCGTGACATTCGAGACACCACCTGGATGGTATAAATATTGACTCATGGGTGACAACGATTAAATCAAGGACCAACCCACCGTATGATAAAGTGTAATCTAGGATAAAGTGAATATGCTACCTAATGTCTCAACAAGGGTTCATTCTCCCTGTCAGCTGTTACCATCCTCTTCCTTCTTGAGACAATCAAGAATAAGATTCCCTGCACGACGGCAAAAACAAATGATCCACAGCCGCCCAGCCAACGAGCTGGTACCAGCTAGTGAAGGACCCCCATGTCTTAAAGAAATCGGACAGATTATAATCAAGGCGCACACGATATACCCAACACAAACTTAGAACCCCGAATACCACGCTTTGGCTTGCTAATCCGGTGAGGCTTAACGCTGCATGACTGTGTCGCTTTATCTCTCGAAGTTGGGCTGGTAATGCTGCAATAGCGAGTAGAGTCACGACAGGATTGACGAAGATCAAGTGTGAACCTATGAATATGGAATCCTCCCAACCTTGGCTACTACAGCTTGCTCCGCAAGGGTTTGAGAGGACATAAAGAGTGGCAGCAAGGAGGGAGACAGATAGGAATGCGATGTATTATCCTATGACGAAGACTTGGCGACCAAGACGAGCTGGGAAATAAAATACTCCGAGGAAGAACCTTATGGGATTAGTATCCATCACTCTGCGTGTCGATGTGTCTTACAGTATAGACCACTTCAATCCCCAAAGGTGACTGTAAGAACAGCGTCTCTGGGGCCTTTAACTCTAGCGAAACCGCCGGCACACCAGACCTGTCGAATCAGGTATGTTAGCTGTTACTCGATGATTAGGTAGATGGGTTCTCTCTAACTGTTGGCTATGTTCTGCTTGTGGAAGGTAAGGCCCAAAACAAGCATCCGTGTTCTTTCATATCAAGTACTATGGTACTTTGAAGGCGAAAAACTCAATTTCTTTGACGATTCACAATGATATTAATTATTGGTCCCACATTGCAACAGCTTCAAGCTGGCTGATTTGGGGGAAAGTTCGACCAGAGCCTTAAGACCCTTATGGAGTAATCGCTGAGCTAGGCAGAAGGCTAGCAAAACTCTAGTGGATAAGCTTAGACAAGGAATTCAAGGCATCTTCCCGCTGAACTACTACCAAGCGTGATGGGGTGCATCGTCACGAAATGCTAAAATAGTAGTTTGATGCATCTATTCGATATTGCCGAGCAACTGGTGACTCTCAGCCCTTTTTGCCTCAGGCCGCAATGTCCCTTGACACCTTCATTCTCTCAGTCTGGCTGCCAACCTCACCAACCCATCGCTCTCTCTTCGTTTTTTTTTTTTTTTTTGCATACAATCTGAGCCGGATCATACCTTTATGAATCCTCGTCAAATTTAAGATAAATGAGGTTCTCGTGTTAGATCAGACTACTCGTCACCACTCGTTGGCTAGGATTGACAAGACATAGAATTTGCGCATAATTCCGCGCAACTACCAATGATGTAAACTGTAGTCTACACGCTCTAGACGATGATAACAGGAAGATGGCGGGACTTCTAGTCTACAACTTCCCATGCGACAGCGAGGCTAGTGCTGTTCAGCTATCCATATATTGGCAGAGAGCTCTTTGGGGAAGTCGGGCCACATGGCGGTCGTTCCAAATCACGGCCTATGAGGCTTTTCTGGGCCCGCGGAAATTTCTGCGGAAATTATCCTAGTTACCATTAGGTCGGTAGGAGAAGCCATGATGCAGCTGATTCGTCAATCAATTTTATGGAATTCAGAATAAGGTGGACCATAGAGGCTGAGCGCTCGCGAGACCAACAATTCTGGCTCGAATTTGAAAGTCGGAGTCGCCTGAGGAGCTGGAATCAAAAATCTATATAAGAAGGTAGCAGGGACCGTTGATTGAGTATATATCTTTTCAGTCAACAAGGAAGATGCATTTTACGAGTCTTTTGCTGCTTCTTGGTGCGCCGTCTGTCTTAGCCAAATGCAGATGTGTACGTTCCGTCACTTCTACTTGTATGGTCAGAACATGCATAGCAGAGGCCAAACTAATTTGTGAAATTCATACAGACCCCAGTCGATGACTGCTGGCCCTCAACTTCCAAGTGGGAGGGTCTCAACAACACCGTTCACGGACAACTAATCGCCAACGAACCTCTTGCCACATCCTGTTACGATGGGCTGGGCAAGAATTTCACGCAGTGTCAGAGAATCAGCAAAGTCTACCAGGAAGCTTTTTTCCGGGAGGCATCTCCCATTGGATTCGCATATCCCGTTGTTGACACCTGCGCCCCGATCAATGCCTCCATAGCTGGAAGCCCAGTGTGTGATTTAGGTAGCGCATCCGTCTACAGTGTCAACGCAACCAAGCCAGCCGACGTTGCAGCTGGTATCAAATTTGCCAAGGAAAACAATGTCCGACTGGTGATTAAGAACACTGGTCATGATGTCAGGGCACGGTAAGGGATCCTTTTCATTCTTGACAGACACGAACTAACAACCCCGATCTAATAGATCCCAAGGATACGGCAGTCTGTCGATATGGATGAAGCAAGTCAAGCCTGAGCTCCAGTTCCAAGATACGTATGAGCCGTCCAACACTTCATGCCGGTCGAACTGGACCGGGAGTGCAATTGTTGTGGGAGCCGGGTATATCTGGAACGAAGTATACACCTTTGTGGCTAAACATGACCACATTGCTGTGGGTGGTTCTTCCAAGGTAAATATCCAACCTCCTGGAATATATGTACTAACGTTGCTAATCGCAAGCTTCAGACTGTCGGTGCTGTCGGAGGCTACCTTCAAGGAGGTGGTCACGGTCCCGCTAGCCATGACTTCGGACTGGCAGCAGACCAGGTGCTCGAATTCAAGGTTGTACTCGCGTCAGGTGAGGTTGTCACCGCTAGTGCTTGCGAGCATGTAGACCTCTTCACTGCCCTCCGCGGCGGTGGTGGCGGCACCTTTGGCGTTGTAGTGTCGGCCACTATCAAAGTATACCCTACGCGTCCCGTTCTGAAGCATTCATTAACTATCGCGGCATCGAGCACTAACATGTCCTCTCTAATGAATGCCTCCGTGGCAGTTCTCTCGAAATACCCCATTCTCTCGGATGCGGGTTTCTCTGGAAACGGACAACTAAGTCGAGTGCTTGGAACAAAATCTGCCTACAGTCATAATTTCGTGAAGATGCTCTCAAATTCCTCCTCTTCCAACTCTTCTTCCGGAATTGAAGAAGCAAAGAGGCTCATAAATACGCAGTTGGTTGAATTCCTCCGACCACTCTACGGGACCGAACTCTCTGTGACCTCGACATTTGAGAAGTATGATACATTCCAGGATTACTTCGACAGCGGGAATCACGAGTCACCAGCATCAAATAATCCCAGTCCTGTCATGGTGTCGCGACTTTTCGATAAGGAGTCGTTGGTCAACAACCAGAAGAACCTCACGGCCATGTTCCACGCAATCTTCCCTCAGAGTGTCTCTAAGGTTCAGGCTGTGGCATCCTTGCTGGAGTTCTGTCTCGTCGGCGGTGGAAAAGTCCTACAAGCCCAGCCACATACAGCTATCCACCCCGCCTGGCGGAAGACATATATGTTCGCAGAGAACTATGATGTGCCGCCATCTGATAGCGGGATGCAGGGAGTGCGACAAGTCAGGGACTACGCTACATCGAAGAAACTTGAGGCGATGAAGGCAGCGGCTCCTGGCACGGGCACATACTTGAATGAAGCCGATCCATATGACCCAGACTGGAAAGAAGACTTCTATGGAGACCAATACAACTGGTTGAAATCGGTCAAGCAAAAGTATGATCCCGATGGGGTGTTCTGGTGCTATCGTTGCGTTGGCTATGAGGGCTGGGAGGAGATCACAGGCCCGACACTTTACGGACCTCTGTGCCAGACAAAATAATTCTGTCGAATTCGCAAATCCGATATCATTTACAATTGGTTGTTTTTCTTGTACTGTTCTTCTTTGACTGTCTTCCTTTGATGGCTGTCCTCGGCGACACCATTTCACTGTCATTTACGATGTAGAAGGTGGTGAGATTCTCACGTTTCTGGAGTGTAATGAGAATCTGTATGGGAAATCAAATTGATCTCATCTCGCGAGGTTTTGCAATATCAAACAAGGATCTACATCAATGATACTGGTATACATTAGTAATGAAGCAGTCATGAAACGAATGAATAAGGGTCCGAATTCTGGAACTAAATTGTAGCCGTTTAAGGATTACAATCTAGTCCTTTTGGATACGCTCGTTATCACCCTAAAGGTAAGGCGTCTATGGATTATCCTGGTTGCGATAGCGAACATATTGGTTGACATATTCCCCTTGAAGCTAAAGCTGCTCGCCTTCGGGCAAGGGATCAGAGAATCGTCATCCTACTAACTCCTGAGCCTCTAACCAAGCACCGTGCATTTTCCTCTTATTCTGCTCTTGGCTATCCCTCAACATTGATAGCGAGTGGGCCTATTCTCAAGCCTCTGGCTGGCTGAAATCGTTCAGCCTCCAAATTGCGCGCAAATTGTGGACCGCGCAATTAATTCCAGCCCAACAGCGCAAGTTCGCGCAAATTAAGTGATCGGCTCCACCATGCGCGTAGCATGTGGAGTTCACCAAGCATAAACTACTAAATTGTAATAAGCCGATCGAAGGCTTATTTGCGCACCCAATTGCGCGTGGCGGAGTCATTGCACGAGGTTCTCGCTGCGCTTCCTCCCAACAATAGTTTAGTGTTGAGGGCTAAGCTACGTGAGGTGTCAGGGCTGAGCTTGGCCTTTGCATAATACAGAATACAGATTGGCAGCACCCCCTCATCATATCAGATTTGTGTTGGTAGATATAAGGTGAGTGACTTCGCAGTAGTTCCTTGTACTCCATCTTCTTTTGAACAAGTCATTCATTCATTCAGCGTCGTGGGTCAAGTGTTTGGCTACTATACAATATGGGCATACTAATTCCGAGAGCTGGCAGCTTTGGCTGTGCTATACCCGATCACCTTGAACAATGTGAGTGATTGTTACATATTTTTCAGGTTAAATGGAATCGCTGACAAGTGAGCAGATGGCAGCGACCCCTTCGTGGGGAATCTCACATTCTACCAATTTAACATGATCGTATCCGGAGGTTGCACTGTGATAGTATTAATTTTGATCTTTGGCCTGATGGGGCGACATGCGATGCGGATGAGTAACCCTAACGAACAACTTAAGTAAAGATCCCTGACAACGTGGGAAAGCCTCTAGCATGCTAACAGAACTGCTTATAGGATAATGCGAATCTGCAATCTCATCCCCTCCTACCAAATTCTATCCTTCATCTCAATCTGTTTTCCAAACTCCTACATCTATCTACAGGGGTTCACAGAGGTGCTCCAGGGTGTGGCTCTATACGCCTTCCTCATGTTACTCTGCGATTTCATGGCTCCCGATGATAGAAGTAAAGTGAAGTTCTTTTCTTCCCTTGAGACAAACAGACAGTGGCAGCCGAAGAAAAAAAGGAATGGTCTTGCGTTCTTGGAGGTCAGTCATTCGGCCACAAACGAAAAAGATAAAAGAATTACTGACCCCTCGGTTGATTTAGTTGACTTGGTACTCCGTGCTTCAATATCCAGTCATCACCTGGATTACCGCGGTCTCCCAAGTAGTGACACAGTCACTACACGTTTACTGCCTCGACAGTACAGAGCCTCATTTCGCTCATGTTTGGGTATGTACCATCTTGTCATATAGGCATTCCCGAGTTCTAGCTAACAGAATCATTAGCTCCAGGTAGTTACATCGCTATCGACATCAGTAGCCATCAACGCCATACTCCAATTCTATATGAAAATGAAGGGATACATGACACAGCACAGGCCACTACTCAAGCTGATGGCATTCAAGCTGACCATCGGAGTAATTCTCTTGGAGAAGGTAAGCATCTACCCCAAGATGCAGCGTGACGAAAGAATACTTACCAGCAATCCCAGATCCTTTTCCTCATCCTTACGGGAACAAATGTTCTCAAGCCCTCCGCCTCAATGACCTACATCGACGTACTGATGGGCCTCCCTACAATGGTAATCTGCGTGCAGATGGTCCCACTCTGTTTCCTTGTCCTCTACGCTTATCGCACAGAGCCCTACGAGATCAAGATCTCACCGGGCACCCTCCGACCCCGAGAATACCAGACCGTCGAGTCCGATACCGACGAGGAGACCTTGATGAGCGGCTTCCCGAAACGCTACCAAGGGGGTCGCTGGGGATTGTATGCCTGGGCTGTCTATTTAAATCCGCTGGCGCTATTTCAGGATGTCAAGGCGGCTTATGATATGATTCATAGTGCGCGGGCTGTGCAGAAGGCTCATGCGAAGCAACCGGCGCAGGAGATGGCAAGATATGAGACGCGGCATGAGAGTGGCGAGGGCGCTTAAGGACCTATAGCGGTATTCTCTCGGAGTTGCTCGTGTTATAGACTTTATTGATGCATTATGAACATTGGCCAATCTTGATTTAACCATATGAATCGCGTTATTTGTTTCAGCGAGCGAGCAATAACATCTGTGCAGTTACACGTATCTGAAATTTAGCTGAAACTCATCATGCTTCCACTCATTATCGTGTCTAACCCACTTTTTAGATATCGCTTTACTATCGTTCTATGAGTAGATACGTGCTAAATTTTACAAACATTATAAACTACAGGTTATCCGATCTCCCTCATACTGCCTGTGCGTATCTCTCCTGAATCCTGGGGTGAATTGTTCATTCCAGCGCATTTAGCCTATATCCAGTTGAACTGATTCGGAGTAGCAGATGAAGGCTCTTTGATTTTATTAAGGTCTACATAAAAACCAAACGCTCGTCATGACACACGCTGTCTGATAATATAACCTTCCACACCATGCCCCTTCACATCCCAGGAATATTCATTAGCTCAGGTCCACCGTCATAGTTCAGACCAGGGCCCCAACCAAATAGATCCAGTGAGGGATCGAAAGGACTAAATGATCCAACATGGGGCCACAAGTTCCATGCGTCCCAGAAGGGCATATCGAAATCCACACCGATCGAAGAAACATCAATTGAATCAGGAGAGATGTTGAACGAATTCAATGCCTCATCGCACTTTGTGCCTTTTGACAACTCTGTTTTCAATCGTTCCAGAGTATTGTATAACCCATAGATAATCTTGCTACTCGCGGCATAGACACAGCCAGTCGCAAAAGCAGACTTTGTCGAGCTCCACGGTGAGGCTGCCATCTTGGCAATACATCTCGCACATTTAGGAAACAGCTCCAACTGCTTCTCGAAATTTCGAGCCAGGCGTCCGAAAACCCGTACTTGCACGAAGTTGTTTTCGACAAGGTTTTTGCACACAAAAGCGATTGGATAGACTACATGTTGAAGTGGAGCATTGACTGCAATGCCGTTCATTTTCAATTCGGCGCACTCTAGGAACGTCTCTAGCACGCGCACGAGTTGTTGCGGATAGGCTTGTCCGAAGCGTCTGAGGAATGCAGATAGATACTGGCCCGGAGCATCGGGAGGGCTATTCACGCTTCCGGCGACTTGGTCGACGATTTGGAGGGATTCTTTTGAGTAGATATCTGGATCCCCGTCATTCTTTCCTTCGATAAGCCTTGTTCTCAGTACTGCGGTATAGAGTAGACCTAGACCACATATCCCAGCAAACACCCAGTGGAATTTCATCTCTAGCAGACAACGAGCAGCTGATAGATCTTCCCATCTTTCCTGACCTGTAACGTTCCCTAGTAAAGCGTTAGAGACTCTGATTTGCTCCTGGCACTTTCTTTCCACCTCTTCCACAACCAGGAACAAACTCTCTGGGGTACTCCAGCATTGTTTTGCATTTATCAGTCCCTCGAGCAGCACATAAAATGACATGTTCCATTGAATGTGAAAAATCACTGTTGGTGAGCACTCGCGGGATTGTAACACATGTCGATAAGCATCGATATGAGGCTGCATATGGCCAATCATGTTCCGCATTGCAGGTAGAGTCTTTGACAAGAAGCCATCAAGGCCACAATCGAGGCAAAGAATCTTCAGTTCCTGCACGGAATCGGCAAAGCACCGATCGAATTCTGGATTCTGTGGGTTCATGAGCTCATTAAAAAAGGAGGCATGTGGTCTGGGTAAAATATTGAGTCTTTCTGCGATCCTATAAGCAAGATGGACGTACACCTCAGGGCTGACGGCCTTGTGCGCGACAAACTGTGAGGTGGCCAAGAGAGTTGGTCGGAATTCGGCTAGGAAGAGACAGACAGCAACAGAATCTGGATGCGTGGGTGGGGAGACGATGAATTCTTGTCCGTACGACGAAACAGCCAGCTGAAGGTTCTGTTTCAGCTGTGGATATTGCTGAGCAGGAGCTTCGGCAATATCGAAGGATGTTAAGCAAAGAAGGGCAAACAAGAGGTTCGTGGCAGAGTTGGTAGAAGAGACTTCCTCTAAGATTAATCGATTTCTCAGATCCACCAGAGTTGGTGTTTTTGGAAGAAAGAATCGATACCAAACTAGGCTTGACATGGTTTAGTAAGGCAAGGATGCAAGATTATGGGTACACTCACTAATTATCTAGTAAAATGGCGCAGTCATTACTGATGAGGTCCCAAAGAGGTTGGCTCCAGCGCGACGTTGCGTGAAGTATTTCGCATCCAAATGCGGCATCTTTCTCTAAGACAGAAGATATAAAGGCATTTGATTCGGTCATGGATCGGAAAATAGCCCTTCTGCCTGGTTGTTGCGGTGGTTGAAGCAATTTGCCGCCACCTTGTGAGGGGATATGCTCTTCTCCCGTAGTAGCTTCTGAGAATAAATATTCCTTTATCTCGAGATCTGACAGCCCCGTTGTCACTTCATCCTCTTTTTCTTCTGATTTCTCAAGAGGTGCCGATCGTTTGTTTTGTGGGGGTTTGCGCTGGCTGGATTTCGCAGCTGGACGCCCCAGAGTGTTCCGCTCGATAATACATTCTAGGTTGAGATTGCGACACCGTTCGCAAGAGGTCTCCGGCGGCTGGGGAACACCCAAAGGGCCCATACCCCCGAGATTGGGTAGAACACATTTAATCTTCCTTGATCTGCATCCGTGACAGATTAAGCGCGCATATCTGCCTCGTGGACCCCGTTCAGTCCTCCGGTCATGCTGCATCTAGACACGGTATTTTGCGTGGGGCAACAGCGGGGTCGAAAGAAGTAGAGCCAAGTTCGCCTTGCGAGAGAGAATATCCGAGTCACTAAGTTGGATACAGCCAGCCCTGTCTTCGCAGTGATAGGCAGGAGGATACCTGAAGAAGTTCCTCTGGCGCAGACTCCGTGCAGCTTTTGGCCCCCATGTCGATCTGGTGGAGGATGAAATGCTCAGCTCAGCTCAACATTAGTGTCAAAGATCAGCGCTGCTGGGGGATTTTAAATCTTCTGGACGGAAGAAAGAACAACTTATTCGCTCTGGTTTATTCTTGGCATTCATCTTTGGGAGCCCAATGTCTATTTTCCTATTCTGGTGATTTCATGCCACACACAAGTACTTAGCCTAGAACAAGATATGGATGGGCCTCCGTGCATCTTCCACATAGGCCAGGCGTCGAGTCCTTTGGGATTCCACCGAATTTTCATACAGTAGCGTATAGTGCGATCTAACATAGCAAGATATTGTATTATATAGACATATTTAATCAACGTAATCCGTCTGCAAGTAAATACCCCAGCTATATAGCCACTTCACCCGTTTTCAACAACGCTTTAAGAACCTATAATTTCTAACCACTACTTGTACCACTAAAAGCATGGACAAAGTAAGTAATTCTAATCAGTAAAAGGTCAAATACGACTGGTAGTTTCAGTTGCTACAAAAGTGAAATATTTATACTATAGCTAGAGCAGTAGTATCTATCTTGATTCTGACAGCAAACAATGGGGTTTACTAGTGTATGTCATCAGGTCAATTGTCAATTCTATGACACGACTTTGGCCAGCTAAGCAGCAGTTACGCTGCCAGTGGAGGACTGAGCACGCAACCGACATTTTGACAGCGAATGGGACGGCCCGATAGGGCTTTGCTGTTCTCCACAGTGACGATCACCTTCCATGTGGGAGCTGAACTGAGTGAGGGGTTTTCTTTTGAATTACAGCTGAGGATGTTTTCGCAAACAGCTGAAGATCGAGAACTCCACCCAGCTAATATAATTGGCTGGTTTTGATGATGATCGTGGTGGTCCATCAAGATCTTCTCCATTCTCCCGGACGTGTCAAGCTGTTAGTTGAAGGCAACCGATATGTGGAATTAAACGCCTGGTGGGGCTGCAATAGATCCAATGTTTATAAAAGGGCCAGGTAGTTCTGGGTAATACCTAACCCATCTTTTCTGTGCCCAAGCTGTACATATACATCTATCATCAAACATGACCTGGACAAGAGAAGCAGTCGAAACTCTGCCTCCCCTCCCAACAGACCTCTCTTCTGTTGCACCTGGGAAATATGCTGTCAAATGTGAAATTTCTGACGACGTCTGGGCTAATGATGGATATATAAAGGCTAAGGTCTGGTTCAAGCTACCGGTATAGTTCTCTACTTGTGGATACCTAGCGATATTATGCTAAAATGCGCAGGTGCTGACGGACTCATTCATCGACCGTCTCAAAAACATCCAACTTTTTGCCAAGTCTAAAGACCAGGGATTTGTGAGCGACCGAGAGGCTGGTACTTGGACCTGGTTTGAGCTTGTTCTCCTGGGCGATGGTCATACCAAAAGCCCGCTTATCAGAGATAATGTGGAGTATATTTGGAAGAGTCATTTTAACCCAATGGAAACAGAAAAATACCAATGGGTCAGTCTTATATTGGCATTCAGTTGGGCAGTATCTTGCAATCTCATATTCTTACATATTGTGGCTATATAGAATGAGAGTCCGGTTTTCGATACCAAGCATAATTTACTACGCTCGCTTCAGGTATATCTATACCCTTATCTGACAGGATTGAGCTGATGGTTTATGACTAGCCTGGGCAATTCATTGGTGTTCGTATCTGTGCTCGTTTCCCTGGTTGGTGGATATTTGTGGAGAAGGGGTACCTGGCCGTTGAAATCGGTGATAAACCAGGTATGAATTTAGTTGAAGGAATACGAACCTCTTACTGACTGAATATAGTCACGCGCTTGCCCCCTCAATTCGGCGAGTTTAGCCTTTTGCAGGATACACTACAAGAAGTGAATGAGAAATTGCCAACTGAGTACGATCTGGCTGTTCCCCCCATGCGTGCTGATGGATTCGATGCGGGTACCGAGAGACCTTTGCGCGTTTTGTCTTTGGGTAAGTTCTATTCTTGACAAAAACTATCTTCGTAAGTTTATATTGATACCATTAGACGGCGGAGGTGTTCGGGGTCTCTCCTCCCTTTACATCCTGCGTGATGTGATGCAGCGTCTCAATCCAGGGGGCACACCCCCGAAGCCTTGTGATGTGTTTGATATGATTGCTGGTACCAGCACCGGAGGGTAAGATCACGTATCCAATCTACAAGCAATACTCTATACTAAATGCATTGAGAATAGTCTGTGCGCCATTATGTTAGGCCGACTGGAGATGTCCGTTGACGAGTGCATCGAGGCATACAAGAAATTCATGAAGAGAATCTTCAATGTTGCTGGATGGAGGAAGAACTCGCGTCTCATCTGGAAGGGCTCCAGGTTCGCTGCCGAGAATATTGAAGCCGTTATCAAGGAGGTCATGCATGAGAAATTGGGTGATCCTGAAGCACCTCTCCTTAATGAGCACGGCAAGTGCAAAGCGTAAAAGTCTCTCACATTATTGCAAAGAAAGAATCCATGCTGATAGTCGCCCTAGTTTCGTCCTTGCCGTTCGTCAAGACGCCGCCAACAGCAAAGGGCCTGTCCACCTGCGTTCTTACGTCAACACACAGCAGAAGTCTCTTCTGCCCAACGTAAAAGCGTGGGAGGCTGCTCGTGCAACATCTGCTGCTCCTACCTACTTCCCGCCCATGGAGATCGCCACCGATAATGGGGTAAAGCACAAGTTGATCGATGCTGCTCTGGGTGCTAACAACCCTGTTGGATGGTGAGTCCAAGCACAAACTTCCCCTCACCCTCCCTTGGCCACCGCAATACGTCTCATGTACCGAGTATTCTCTAACCGTCTTATCTAGGCTATGGAATGAAGTCCTGAGCGTCTTCGGTGCTGGCCGTCCCATTGACTGCATTCTAAGCATTGGCACTGGTATCCCTAAGAACCAAGTCTTTGGTGAAAGTGTCAAAGGTGCCATCGCTGGCCTAGGCAGTGCAATTACAAACTCCGAGCTGGCCAACATTCTCTTCCGCACACTTATCGATGCATACGCCCCAGAGTCTAGACGGATGAAGTATTTCCGACTGAATGTTGGTCGCGAAATTGAGGATTGGCCAGAGGATGCTAAGGAAGAGGAGAATGAAGAGCTTGCTGAGATGGATAGTATTGAGCAGATCGATGGGTTCATTGAAAGAACAGAACAGTATATCAAGGAACAGGAGCCTCGGATCCGTCGGTGCGCCGGCACCTTGAACAGGAATTTGTTCTATTACTAGATTTTATTGTTGTGTCATCTTCAAGACATGTATGGAAGGAACTTACTTTGAGACATAGGCCTAGATTATCATATTAAAGAACAAGCTTAGGAATAATTAGAGTGGGCCATGAGCCGGGTTCAAAATCTACCACTAGACAGCCCCAATACTACTTCCTACTCCTGTACTCATTAGGGGTTTATTCTACCATTCTTCGACCATTCTGATGCCTGACAAACTACAGTCTTCGTTCCATTGCCGTGGTTGTGCTGAAAAGTCCCTGCTGTTACTTAGATGTGGACTTCTGTATAATGACACATACCATGCTAGGGTATATACATTAATGCTTGGATTGAGGATCCTTGAAACAAATTTTACCAAAAGAAATTACGCATATCCAACCACTTCCACCTAGATATAGCTAGACACAACGCTGCAAATATAATATTACTAAGAAACCAGTACCAACGCGACTATATTAGAGACACCGGACGAAAGTCACCGTTACGCATCGCTTCCCCATTCATGATTCCATGGACGTAAGTCTCTCCGATAAATGTCCGGCATTCGCTTTCTGCTATCGAGGAATTTGAACCTACTTTCAGGGGCCCTTCTGACGGTCGACGGAGAATAAAAGGCGTCCGTGCAGTAGCAAACAGCCAGATTTCATCTCCGGGTTGTACACCCACAGGCCCGAGACCGATATAGCCCTTTCTAGTCCGGAACAGGCACCTGGACCTGTAATACCGCTTCAAATAAATGTCAAATATCCCTTTAGAGCTGTATTCGGGAGTCACAAGTTGCAGGTCCTGCATTTCTTCCAACTTCCTCTGTCCTCGCTTCAGGGACACCTCTGCTAGTTTTCCTTGTTCCTGTCCTAGTTCTTGGACTTTCTGCATTAGTTTTTCGGTCTCGTGCCTTGCTTTGTGAAGCCACTTCATTGTTTTGTCGATTGTATACTCTTGAGTTTGGAGCTCCTGCATTAGTTTGAGGAGCTCCTGCTTGTTTTCCTGGAACCGCTGCATTCGTCCCTGGAGTAGATCCACTGTTTTTAAGAGCAGAGGAACCCTTGTCAGGAGCAACTTCTTTTGTTCCAGGAGTATCTGCTCTTGTTTTAGAAGCTCCTGAAACGAGGGCAGATATTTTCGTGCGCCAGACTTGCGCAGGTTCGTGAGTATCGATTTCAATTGAGGATTCATGGGACTCTGCGACAAATTCCGTAACATAAAGGCTCGGGAGGCCTCACGCACGGAGTTTCTATTCTTGTCTAGTTTACCAACGGTTAATGTCTGCCACAGGGCGTCCACACAGTTGCCCCTTCCCCGGTACATCGGATGCAAGGCCTGTATTAATTCCAGCCATGCCATTACCTGGGGCTGATGTACATCACCCCTGTTTTGCGTCGGCTCCGTTTCTATAATATCGTCTACTATATGCCCACTTACGCACAGAATTTTGGGGTCCGAATGGCGAAGAACTTTTGGGCTGTTGGGTAAGCCTAAGGCTGCACTAAACTTCCGGGACCAGATGCGACACGTTGCAAGATTCGCGCTGAAGTTCGGAGTCCAGGATGGAAGTTTGGCTTTGTAGTCTTTGAATTCCGGATGAGGGTTTTGGGTGTCCTGAACGTAGGCGAGCCCCTCCAGGGGCTCGAAAAAATAGCATTCGTCAATGTGTAGGTCCTGGATCGGCTCGGGTGAGCCTTGCATGAATAAGTGACCATATTGAACAAAAAGCTTATCAGTGGGTATCGTGTAATCTATAATAATCCTCTGGTCCTGAGGATCTGGGCGAGCAATCCCTACTAGTGCGAAGACCTTGTCTCTCGGATCGCGGGCCTGGGACCACCAACTTAACCTTCCTAGGTTTTGGAGGCTTAGCCTTTGCCCCCAGAAACCTTTCGGAACCGCCCGCTTCAGTTGTAAAGCCATCTTCAAGAAGAATTCCCGCTCTCTTGAGTATGCAGAGGCTCTGAAACTGATATCTGCAAGCATAAGTGCTTCGATGCCGTGTACCCCTGAAAAAAGTGCGCTCTCAAAGGCAGCAGTACCGTCTATAGCCGGGCTAACCTGGTCGAATAATCCCAGAGAGGGAACATAGCATAGCATGCATAATATATAAGCCGTTCGCATCGGGTGAGTTGTGAATGGGCCACAAACGATCAGAGTACGCTTCGCCAGCGCCAGCTCCTGGATGACCCAGGTTCGGGACCACCATGTCCTCGCCACAAGCTTCTCAAAAGCCAGTGCTTCGAGTATCTCTTTAGGACTGCAACGCTCCTTCATGGCGCCCACTAACGACTCCAACTCTCTCACTGAGATCAAGGCTAGCCAGGATGTGGGGTTACTATTGAGGAGTTTTAGTGCAAGAGGGGTGTGCTCGTCCTCCACACCCAGCCACACGACGACTGACATCGCCTTGCTATATATATCTGACATCATAGCGACTTGTTCATTGCGCTCGGCTGTATCTTTCTGGTTGATCGAAATAGAATCAATCCACATAGGCCTCTGTGCTGAGACTCGCAGGCCTCTCGGTAAGCCTTTTCCGCCAAGGTCTTTGCTGAGGGACTTGATCAGCGCAGCCACGTCTTCCTTTGCGTTATCCAACGGCGTTTTCCCTTCTTGTGTCCGCGCATAGATATCTGCACCATGATATACCAGTATCCCTGCGAGTTCAACATCCAATATACTACATGGAAGCGCGTAATGGAGTGCCGTCTTTCCATGTTTATCTTGTGCCTCGGTCTCAGCGCCTAGGGCGAGCAAAGCCTCTGCCAGATCGACCCTTCTATCTATGACAGCGCGCATTAATGGAGTCCGTCCATTGGTGTCCAGCCCCGTCGCAAGCAATCTGGCGGCCTCTTTCCTGAGATTCGCGTTGGTCTGCTGCTGTTGATTCAAGAACTCCCAGAGGTTACGTCCAATCTCATGTTCATTACCATTGACTATTACTCGCTGGCGATTATTCTCGTCATCGTAAGCACTTGATCTTGAGTCCTCTGGAGGGAATGGCGATCCCCAGGTATACGACAGTGCCTCATAGTGCGGGGCATCCCGCAGATCCACCGTACACAGCGATAGCTGGAGCAGCGGCTCACCTTGGGTCAGGGGAGGAGGACAGGTGGCACCATCCTGAGGAACAAAGGATACCAAGCGGATGCAGGTTGGCTCCGGCAAAGGGTCGTATTCAAATCGTTCTGACATGATGGGCTCTTCATATGTGGGAGGTGGGAAATCTTCGTAGCCTTGCCTTCGTATACAGCCTTGTCTAGAAGATCTTCCACAATAAATAAGGCGGTCAGCTCCTTAGTTAGTCATCTGACACCTGACGCTTTTGCAGTGGCCAAGGCGCGAAGGAATATAGTACGAACTTTCCATAATTTCCGCTCTGGTTATATGTTCCAAGCGAACGCTACCAACCGCTTCTACTGTAAGATTTAACTACATTGTGATGGCTAATTTGGCTAAGATACATTGAATTGAAGTACTGTATCCTATCAGTCCATTGGCCTTTCTTTAAACATCCTCAGGGGTTGCCTGCTATGCCCTGGGTTCATTAGACTACCCTATTGATTATTATGACCTCTGGGAAATGTGAATAGTAATGTCTCGGAACCCTGTATACTTTTATATTGTACTTGGCATTACAATATGTATTATATGTAGCGCTGTCCTGACTAAACTTATATTATTGAACTGTTCTTATTCATATCAATGGATAGGAGAATAGTCCTGAATAAATTACTGATCGGGGTCGTACGTGGTTGAGCCGATCTCCCCATTGACAACACTCTGAAAGAACGACTCGAGACTCGTGCCCTTCTGAAAACTTGGGAACAGCTTCCAGAAATCCAGATACCCGAGGTATTCTGCATGCTCGGGTGTGTTATCGCCTCGTACACACCAGGAGATGCGATACTCGCCCATGTTATAATTGGCACAATCCATAATATTATCTGGATGGGTCATTTTATGGGGACTTTTCTCCAGTCTCTCTCGGCAAGCCTCAATGATCTCGTGTATTTCCGCCACAGACACCTAGATAAACAAGAGAATTAGTCGGTCATGCGATATCCAGTGATATGTTGCTTTCGCGGACAATTTTCATTAGCAACATACATATTCCTTCTCTGGTTTTTCGCCCGTGACTCTGGCCATAGTATCCCAGATTTCATTCATACTAAGCACCTCGGTGTATGCAAACACGTGCTTGTTGATAGTTCTAGGGTCCGCCACAATCTGCGCAACATACTTGCCAACATCCTCTATATCAGTCAAGGCAAATTTCTGATTTCCATCCTCCACAATACGGGTGATCGATATAGCGCATGTGAGCCTTATCTGACCTGCCGGACGGGACCTTAGGAACAAAAACGGAATACCAGCAGCCGGCATCGATAATAGTATAGGGTAGACGAGCCCGTTGGATTGCGCCGAGGATTTCAAGTTTCTATAAGTTTTCTTAGTTAACACGGCTATAGCAGCACCTCAAGAACGAATACAAACATGGTCTTTGATCCAGTGGACACCTCTAGGGCATGGTCCCACCCATTCCGAAGGAACGAAACGTTTCACTCCAGCCTCCTTTGCTGCTTCAATCCAAGGAAGCTGCAAGTCCAGATGTTCCCAGGTTATACAGGAGATAAGAACATTGATATTCTTTAACTGGTCAACAAGCTTCTGGCGGGGACCGCTTAGATCGTAGCCGACAATACAAACACCCTTTGCTTTGAGCCTTTGGTTTTCCTGGCTATTGACAGAGGACTCTCGGGTGAAAGATGTGACGGTCTATACAGCAAGGGTTAGCACAGCTCAGAGAACAAGGGCAATATAAGGTAGCGTACGAAAGCCACTGGTGAAGATAGCAGACCATTTACCACAGTCTGGCCTGCGTTACCGGTTGCACCGATAACGCCCACGGTTATTGCGGTCATTTTTAAGAGATATCCAATGTCGTTGTGATGCAGATGAAAAGGAGGGAAGTCCTGGCAAGGGCAAATCTGTTGAGTTATATAAGTTTCACCAAGAAATTCACACCACCGCAACCAGTGGCCCTCAATGATGATTAATATAATTCGGCTGTATTATCTTTTTTTTGGAGACTCACAATGAGTAAGACTTTGTCTTAACTATCAGTTTTCGTCCGAGCCAAACGTCGTGCTCCAGTCAGAAACCTTCCTCGTCCGAAGTTTATTTTCGTCCGAGGAGCTAAAGATCAATTCGGACGAAGAGGAAAGTTCTTCGTCTAAAGTCATTTCGTCCAGTATGTCGGCTCTTGTTTATTATTCCTTTTGTGAATCAGAATGAGTCAGTATTTCTCGTAATGAGGTCCACCAGAGACAGATATTTCTAGGAGTAAAGGCAACACATCTCCTTCCTTTCTTTCATCCTCTCTTCCGTTACTCTACAGAAGTCATCATAGCCAGGCCACGAGTAATAAGTACTTTCTCTTTATATACTACACCGGGTCCACTCGGTAGATAGCAATGTTTCTGAGCTTTCTTATCTGCGGGTTTGCCTCATTTGGCAGGATAAAAGGCGGCGGGGTCTGGACAACTGGAGAGGCTGACCCTGCTCAGAGACACATACTGGTGGCAGATGACGAGATGGACTAGGTAATTTCGAATTATCAATCCATTTTGTATTTGCTATACTTAGATACTTAAAAATACGGAAGTTGGTCCTATTCAGCCTCATAGTGAATATAGTATTATTAAGAAATGCAATGCATCCCACTACCAGCACAAATTCAACGCTCCCTCATCCATTAGGGAAACCCCATCATCTTCAAGCTTCAAAACACAGGGTATCTCAGGCAATGATCGGCACACAACGGCCATTATAGTCGAAGCCGCAAGGAGTGTCCTTCTCAGAGATGTCGCAATTCGCTCCGCATGTCTCAGTGTTGAACAGCTTGTCATCGCAGTCCCCAAGTCCGACGATCTCAAATCCGTCCCAGAGCACAGACTCGTCGGTGGAGACATATCCAGCGCACCGATCGTTCAGCCCAGTCCTATACTGACATACGGAAGTGTGCTTAGAATCCTTCAAAATCAAGTCCGCTTCCCAGCCGGCGTTGTGGTTCCAAACATAGCCCTTGTGGCCATCCTCAGTAAGATGGACTTCGTAACGATCGTCTTCGCCGCATTTGAATTCCCATTTGGTTTCTCCGCTAGCGAACCGTTTTGCTTCTCCATCAGAACATTTGAGGTCGTAGTTATCGTAGATCTTAATGCTCATGCGGTCACCGATGACGATATCATTGCTGAGGTACGCGTGGACTCGAATACAGGCTTCGGTACCTGCAGCGAATGCAAGGAGACCGCAGCCTAGTGTTGTTGCGAACTTCATGATGATTGGCTAAATGGAGAATAAGCAAGATGTGCTATTGGTAGAGAAGAGAGCAAGGCTGCTGAAGATGAAAATTAATCGTAAACCCACTTTTTGGCGGGGCAGTACATCGCAACTTTATAGATGTTCAGCCATACACAGGTTTATGATCCCCAGCATCACTGGCGCGAAGCTGGACTTCTGATTTAGGCATACGTTGCGTTGAATTGTCGCTTAACACAGCTCGACCTGATAGTGAACATTGCCCAGACATTAGGAATCTTCAGCTTCTGTACTTGAGCGAGGCAGATTTCTATTTTCATTCACTTGGCGCCAAGGGCGGTTTCCTGGCCTCAAATACAGAATAGGCTGTGGTTGGCTTGGAAGAAGTTTCCTCCCCTTTACGACGATTTAGGCCCCCAGCATGGGCGGCCGCAGCCGCTTGGCGAACAGACACTGGCTCAAATGGGCTGTGCGGATGTGATGCATGTACGGAATATTTAGAAAGCCTCAATATATCTGCATATGGCTCGCGAGGGGTCAGGGTAAATGAGATCAACCCAACCAACCAACCTTGTATCTAAGTCCAATCCATTGTAGGGGGCTATGAAGAAGCCGAAGTTTAAAACGCTGTTCTTGTGGTATAGTTTTCGTAGCATGAAACTTACATGTCAGATTGCGAAGAAACCTATCTCACGAGGATTCTTCTCAATATCTGAACCAAAATATGATTGGTATATGACTCTCCTGGTTATTATCGTTAGACTGTGCTATATAGATATCAGAAAGTAAACAGAATTTACAGTAGCAAGCTCTGATAGGAAGATAAAGGAATGGTGGTCATGCAATGGTGGGTAGTTGAGGCACCTGTGGGTAACCCTACTGATTCCCCGAGCCTTAGCTACTGGCCTAAACCAATACCTCAGGCGTCCTACTTGACCAGCTCATGCTACAGAGTGCGTGCATAATTAGTGGATACTCAATAGCTATGATTATTTAGTGAGTTTGTCATACTAGACGGGCATTGTCCCTCGTGCACTACGCCTAATATGCCTATATGGGTGATCCGTTGGCTTGCTTCCGATATTGGGACATATGATCTACATGGATTGACTATTAGGTGCAACCTCAATCCCCCAATTCCAAGTCCCAGAGCTACATGTCCATTGGTTTAGACAATGGGGTACCGGGTAGAACGCATTCCGTGTAGTAAAGTTCCTTTTATACCAGGAAAACTCCCTCGCTAAAGCATCAGCTAACCGAGGGCTAAATCTTCCACGAGACTGTACTCATAGGCCTGTCTATTTACCAATTTCTCCCATCAATAACGTATCCCGCTTCATTGGATCAGACCCCACATCCCAAAATATGAAAAGTCCCGAAGACAATATCCTAAACCCAAACAACCCAACCTGTATAACTCCATAAATAGCCATTCCCTCAACACATAGACGCCCGATTCCCATACGAAACCCGAAACTCCGTAGTCTGAATAACCCCATCTTTAGCCTCGTCCATGATTGCCGAAAAGCTGTCCATCGACCTTGGTCTGCTAGTAACGGTATTCGTCCTGGTTTGTCTTTGAGATTCCCCCACATTGCTGAAATCGTTCAAGGCCTGTCGCGCGCCGCTTTCTTTTGTGTATCGATCATCGAGCTCGTGTTCGTAGGCGCGCCTATTCGTGAGACCGGTGCTGCCGAAGTAGACTTTGAACAGTGATCGCATTGCCGGGACCGAGGCACAGATGAGAGACATGTTAATTTCGAGGCAGGTGGTGAGTTCGGCAGCGGACCAGTTCCTAAACGTAACATTGGATATGTGAGATGATGATGCTGGGGATGTGTGGAAGATGTTAAAGCTCGGACAAACCATTGGAAGTCTCTTGATCTTAGGGCGATCACTGTCGTGACCTGTCTTGCGATCGATGCGCAAATAGTAAGGATACCAATGCCGAAGGCAATTATTAGGCCGACTATTATTTTTTTTAGTATTCTTGCTCGTGTGTCTCGGTGACATGTTCAGACTCACTCTTGCGGCGATCGTTCGTTTGCAGTTTCTTCACGATTGGGATGGGGAGTAGCGCCAGTAAGATATCCGTCGTAACATGGAATGCGCCGTTGAAGTAGTTGAAGCTCATCATGTCGAGGCATCCTTTGGGGAATTCAGGTTTCCATAATATGGATATAGGCTCACAAATAAAGGATGCCACCTAAATGTGTTAGTTGAAGGATCGATGCGTTTATCGAACGACAATGGTGTGAACGTACAAGAGTCGCAGCAATTCCATGACTAAGTATAACCGCTCCGACCCCGTAGAGAAACATAATATGGGTTTTGTTGGAAGCCAATCGTATGTATAATGCGACCATGCTACCTTTCGCTAGTCTAAGTATTCGGTTCATGTCAACGTTAGCTGGGGCCAAAGGTTGTGGCTGTTCATTGAGGGTTGAGATATGTATAGTACCCGAGACTGAGAAAGTAGAGAACTTGCGATATCCACGCCCACTGAGGCGATAGTTAACGTCACTTCCGAAGTATAGTAGTCGAATTCATTGAAAATCACGGACCTTTCGCGTACATTCATGCTGTTTCGGGGTCAATTCCATAAGGTGACGGCCAATCCCACATTCGTACATTGGCGGCACAGTTGCCAACTCGCCGATAGACACAAGCTACCAAATCCCAATAGAAAGCATCATCAGCCAATAGAAATGAATAGTTATTGATAGGCTTACCGAAGCTAAAATAATCAAGATGTCATCAGGCCCAAGCTTGCCCAGCAAGAACTGCCTCGCATATAACCTACGCAATCATCTCAGCTACGTTAGTGATGTTGTTGGTTCATCTCTTCCACCCACTAGAGACCACACACCTCATGCCAATCATAATCATGGCAACTCCAAATGTTACATAGCTTCCAATTTGAAGGTCTTGCTGTGACCCCGGCTGAATGGAGACCATTCTGGGCAACAGAGTATCACATTAAGCTGAAGAGTGCAGTTAGCTCCACAGGTAAAGTCAAGCCTTATAGATCTCCGCACGTGGGTGCTGCATGACTTTATACGACGGCATTATGCTCGGAAAGGGTCCGGTTTAGCTTCTAAATGTGGGTTAACAAGCGCAGATATGTGCATTTAAACCCTGTAGTCCGTTTCTTGAACTGTGGGCCATACGTGCCTAGGGACCCTACACTATACCTTAAATGTATCAAAGGTCTCGGATAGATTAAACCCCCACTATCCGAGTTTACGATTTCGGGTTAAACGCCTGCCTGGTATAACCCCTCTTGGGTATTCTTCAACCTCGACCTAAACTAAATCACCACAGTATGGTATCCGGCGAAGAGCAAGTAGAGCCGTGACAATTTAAATTTACCATCTTAGAAATTACTCATCGGAGTTCCTCGAGCAATCCGGTCGATTCCACATTAATGACGCTAGGCGTTGGAGGCAGGATCTAGGGTTATCTTTATGTTGTCCCTTGCCACGTGGGGTCCAATGCCCTTCGGGGTCTAAATTATTCTAAGGATTTGGAAGGTATGCTACTGGAAGACTAGGAACTTAAAACCCCTCCTAATAGACCGTTAAGGATCAATTATTCAACACGGCGACGTGGTTAAGGGAGTCGATGCGGAACTTGATCCATTACCGACACCGTGGCGATCATTGCCAAACCATGGTTTTGCTGAAGGATCATGAGACGGTGAAAGTTTGGGAACCTCGGAAATTCATAGGGGTTTTTACTACCGGCTGATCCGTAGCATATCCCATTGAGCAAGCTAATTTGAGGGGGAGTCTAACGTGATTCATGTCCATGGTGTCCATGGTCAAGCCTCCATCAGCTATGGGTCCTCCGCAGCCAAGATCTGAAGATATACCACGTCGTACACAGTATTTGCAACCCCACCTACCGTATAGACAGTTTTCCCATAGGTTACCTACATTTATACAAGATCTACATATCCAGGGCAGGAGGATCAATCCTCTATACACAGCCTCACGAACGGTGTTCCTCTAGTCCATTCATACAAGCGTTTGTCAGATCTTTCTAACTAGTCCACACGGGCCAAATATTGCGAAGGCCTCGGAGTAAATACTACTAATAGTTTTCATGATCCACAACTCAATAGACTACTATACTCCGTAAATAGAGTTGCATAACCGAAGAAGGAAACACTATCTCCTTTCTATGCTGTGCACCGGCCAATCGACTTCTCAATTCGGCTTCCTAAAAGAGGGCACCCTGCAAGGCTTTTACTTAAACGGCTACGATTTTCCTCTTTCGGGGGGTGATTGATCCAGGACGAAACAAGTGGTGCGCGTCTTACATCCTAAACTATCGTGTTAGCCATGCTCTAGACGAGCAATCGGGCCATCACGAACCAATAAACGAATCTTGGCTTTTTCGACGGAAGGTTCACTGCGGAACCCTAATCTTTACCGTTAGCTATTATTCGATTAGTAGACGCTATTAGGATGACCGAGGTAATACTGCTATATCCTTTCCATTCTCCGGACTCATGCTTTGGTTACCTGTTATGCTCCGTTGAAATCAAATACCGGCGATATTGGTGAGTTGATACGACTTTACATTTAGGGGTGTATTTAGAATAGTTAGAAGTGCCGCGGGCAGACACAATGCATCAGGTTTCACGCTGCTTCCTGGAAATGAGCTGGAATTCGGAACCGATGCTTCCACAAGGGGGGGAAACTACGGAGTAATTTTCACCGGATTTTCTCCGACGACGACGCCATGCAAAAAGATATATATAAACCAAGAAGAAAAACAAAAAAGAAACGACCGAGACGCGACTCGAACGCGCAACCACTGCCACATTCCGGAACCGGAAGGCAGCGCGCTACCATTGCGCCACCCGGCCATTTGTTGAGATTTGGCGTCGTTTTTTGCTTTATGAGCCAATACATAATGCTCTAGTTCCCGAACCACCTCCGTTTTCGTTGAACGTTTCGAAATTAAACATTCTTGGGTGAGTCGCTTTATTATCATATTGAGAGATCTTCTCTTCAGTCAATGACATTTCCAACCACTTTTTATCAATTCTAGGTATGTTGTTGGTCTGTTTCTGCATTTTGTTGTGGCCTCTCTGTTAAGGGCTGAAGATGTGTAGTTGGTTATATATATCGTAGCCCTAAACTCAGTGCTACTTGTCTTAGTAGCAAAAGTACCTTTTGTAGTTTCTTTGCCTCTTTTCGGCCTCTAGCCAAGTCTCACTCGATTGCAACATAGGATATAATATTGTCTAACCTACAGTTACATAGTAACAAGTGACCACGCTGAGTATGAAAACTGAATAAAGTCGAAAAGATGGTTGTAGGCTGTAGCAGCCTCATGCCAAGGTAGCCATTGCTCCCAAGCCAATAGATTTGCGAGCTGATGCTCAACGCTAGTCCAGAATAGGAATGTACATGATATCAAATGCAGATCTGGATGGAAGATTGAGAATGAATTAGCCGCAATTAAAGAGGATGAAAATTTCAGCCCACACAATGATGTATTTGATTTATCTCAAGTGAGAGAAGGCCATGCCATGTCTGTAGTGCCGGCGCAAGACTCGACCGACCCGTTTTTATCATGGCCTTATGATATACGACTCATGATGGTTGGTTTCCTTGGATCTCGTGATATAGCCAGTCTGAGGCTTGCTTCGAGAGTGTTCCGACAACTCCTGGTATCCCTATAATATCGTCTGGTCCGCGACGAACTGCCCTGGCTGTGGGAGGCGTGGGATTAATATGAATACACACCTTCAATCTGGACAACGATCACTGCGAATGGCATCAAAGATAATTTTCCCACATGAGGGCTCTACAATGAAGTACTCGAAGAAGAGTATAATAAAGGCGAGCTCGGTCCGGTGGTCTTCGATATCATGGCTCCTCTCTGGTCTCCAACGGTACCGCACCAAATCAAACTGCCGAGGGGAAACACAAATTGGTATGAAGCTTACTCTGCGACTACGCGGAATTGGGATGAGCTCAAAGACTTGAAAAATCGCCGGCCAATTCGGAAGGACTTTAAAGAGATTATTCGACGCGTTAAAAAGTATCAGGGGTGATCCTGCATGGTACTCGAATGAATGTTCCATGAAATGGTTTTAGATGAAGTTCTTCCATACTCATGCGGTTAGTCTAACCTATTTAAGTATAGCTCAACAACAAGCCCTGAGGAGTATTTTTTTTTTTTTTTGGAAATCTCTGCCTGCTGCAACTGCCATATTTATATTCATTCACTCTGGACGATCTGCAGAAGTCAATCGACCAGGTGCAAAGGTCAAAAGGAATTAAAAAGCTGAAGAATTCACTTTCCAACCTTCCTCCAAGCGGATCCTTCCCGCATTCCTGTATTGGTAGTAGAATTGGCCCAAATACCAACACAAGTCTTACAGAGAATCTGGATCGTATCAGTCAATGATAACTTGACATCTTATCATCAACAAACATTAGAAACACCCAAGTGCCACTAAGTGTTTGCATTTTCCTCAAGCAATAATTTGCAAGTTCCTTGAGATATAGAGCCTAGACCGTTATGCAAGGTCCCGGAAACAACGATGGCGCCCAGCCGTACGCAACCATGGCTGGGAAGCTGGACTCTAAACTTCTTCAAGCCCTCAATGTGATGGGATTTGAGTACATGACACCGGTCCAACATCGTGTTTTAACAGAGCTTCCAAACTGGCGCAGTGACTGCCTGGTCCAGGCCAAAACTGGGACAGGAAAAACCCTCGCCTTTTTGCTACCTACGTTACACTGTTTACTCCAAGGTCAGTCGGCACTACCAAGAGGTCAGGTCGCTATCTTGATCATTACGCCGACACGAGAGCTTGCCCAGCAAATTGCAAAGTCATGCGATCAGCTTACATCGCAACTCGCGACGCCTCGTGAGTGCCACATTGCAGTGGGTGGAACGGCTCGGGCATCCGCTCTGTCGCGTTTTATGAAGGGGGCACCGTCCATTCTTGTAGCAACACCGGGGCGACTAAAGGATTACCTGTCCGAACCCTCTACAGCTGAAAAGTTGTCTAACATTCAAACATTGATTTTGGACGAAGCCGACACGATGCTTGAGAGCGGCTTTCTAGCTGATGTGAAGCGAATCCTCCAACTAATTCCACCAAAGAGTACTGGCTGGCAAGGTATGTGCTTCTCAGCCACTGTTCCACCCAAAGTCAAGGATGTGGTCAGTGTTGTGTTGAAGCCAGGCTACACGAGCATTTCGACCATTGAGAAGAATGAAGTGCCAACGCATGAGAGAGTACCCCAGTACCACGTGTTGATGCCGTCCGTGGCAGACACCTTTACTACACTCGCTTCCCTTCTCAATCTGGAAATCAAGAACAGTTCGAAAATCATTGTCTTCGGGGTCACTGCAAACATGGTCGCTCTTTTCGCTGCAGCCTTCTCTCAGGGCTTGACTCCTTTGAAGGTGTTTGAGATCCATTCCAGGCTCAGTCAGAGCGCTCGCACGAAAACAACGGCTCTATTCAAGGAGGCAGCAACCGGAATCATGTTCGCCTCGGATGTTATTGGTCGTGGCATGGATTTCCCTAATGTCGACCTAGTCATCCAGGTCGGTCTGCCATCGAATGGCGAACAGTACGTGCATCGTGTCGGTCGTACAGCCCGTGCTGGCAATGATGGCCGCGCTATCATCCTGCTCACAGAAGCCGAGTCTTTCTTCATGAAGGTCAATCGCCACTTGCCCATTCAGCCTCATCCCCAGACTGACGCGATCAATGAGAGCGCTCCTTCATGCGCCGGTGCCGTCACTCAGGCTATGTACAGCATTGGTGAAGACACAAAGCAACGCGCTTACTCGTCCTACATAGGTTTCTTTGCTGGATCGGGTCTTCTGAAGCAGCTTCGTATGGATAAACCTGGCCTTGTTCAACTCGCGAATGAGATGGCCATAAAAGGCATGGGATGCCCTGAACCCCCACCAATGGATAAAAAGATCGTTGGCAAGATGGGTTTGAAGGGTGTGCCTGGATTCAATTATGCAAGTGGAAATGATTTGAGCGGGGACCGTCCTGCTAGACCGCGTGGTCGTTCTGGGAATAAGACTCGTGATGTATTAAGTCCCGGAGCTGGTCAAGGAGACCGTAGAGGTTCGGTTTCGAAGAAACGTGGAGGACGTCGCGGTGGAGGGCGCGGAGGGCGTGGAGGAAAGCCGAGAGCAGCATAAGTTACTTAAGCCAGGCATTCTCCTGTACCTTCTCTTTCGTCCTTGTATTTGCATATCGGCAAGCATGATTCCCTAAAGACATTATAATACAATTCTAGCCGGCCCTCTTTTTTCCCTTTGTGCAATCCCCTTTCATGACGAGATCTCTAAGCTGATAAAGCCAAGTATCATTTCTGCAACTATTCCTGACCATAATGTTGCAAACGCGGCTACTAGGGGTCATTCTCGGCGCTAATTCTACAGGTACTTGAAACTTAGCTAAATGTATACCTCCGCATCAGATATGTTGGGGTGGTAATCTACCTTATCAGCTCTCTAGAATAATTATCCTTCTTCCAGGGCCCCGGCTTGTGCATACACGTGAGTCCAGACGTCCATCCGGACGTCTAGTTGTACAGTCATAGTACATGAAACGTGACTCTCCCCTAGTATTTTGCTGGCGATGTGTCTTCAGGCAATAGAAAGTTATCCCATATTAGGCCGAATTCAGAAAGTGGCGGCTGCGAGGCATCGTTCATTGAAGCCGGAGCCAGAGGCGGCGGATCATCGCAATAAGGAAAAAGACAATTCGATTCAGGTAGCGACACTAGCCCTGCTTCCTGTCTCAAGCTTGTTACCCATTTAGGATTATCGGCATATGTCTGATCAAAAGGGTCATTGCTTCCGTATGCTATCGCACGAGCTTTGTCTTGAACCATCTCGTCAGTAACATGATTACCCACGGCAGCCTGTTCACGTATATAAACGATGAGGTCGCGTCTGAGATTGACATATCGGCTTAGGGCATTGGGAATATCATTGATGAAAGGCAGGACTTCGTTCCCCCCTGTAGCAAGAGCATCGGTTGTTTTCCACGGGTCCATCGTTTGCCGCTCATGCCCTACGAGGTAGGGAGGCATGGCATTTTCCACTAATTTGGTAATACCAGGCTCGAAGCCCCAGCAACCCTTCCATTGGATCATATCTGCACCCTTCTTGAAGTGGTCTGCGACATGATCTACCCTTTCTGGCCATGTCTCAAATCTTGCTTCGCAGAACCCACAACGAGACTTAATGCGCGTTAGAGAATCTCGCCACTGTTCCATCGAAGCGTGATAGTCGACATTGTGGGTCAGCCTAAGGTGCTGCCGAAGATGATCCTTTCGAGTAAATGTTCGTTGCTCTGATGATTTCTCTCGACAGGCGAGGTAGCCATGAATTTCGAGATGATTGAAGTCCACGTCTGGGGCCTGGCAAAATACACAGAAGTGGGTACCATCAACTTCGATAAGCCCGCCTTGGGGCGCGCAAATCCATCGATCCACCGGTAAGTGAAGCGCCTTCTCATGTCGCTGCCAGTCGTACTTAGTATTGAACGTATCGGAACAGAACGTGCATTGATACGGTCTTTGGCTCTTCGACTTCCGTTTATTCCAGGCCTCGTTCGGATGTGGAGGCTTCCGGCGTCGACGATGGCGAGGTCTTGTATTAATACTAGGGGTGGGCGGTCTTTGTGAAGTTCGATTCGACCGATTGAACGAGATGTCAGAGCCAGAGGACTGACTGTGTTCGTAGCTGCTGATCGAAGGAACCCCTACCACGAACGAAGCGCTTGAGCTATTGCTCGACACAGTATCCCTGTGAGCCGGATATGTGACGCCGCCGTCGGAAGTATATGGGATATCTTCCAACGCTCGTAGAATGTCAGATGTCGCAGCGGGTTCGCTTTCCGGGGGTGAGTTTTGCCAGCGCTCAAGAGGTGATAGTAGAGAATTGTCGGTGTGGTGTGCCTGTGGTGTAGGTTTACTACCGACTATTCTGCGGCGACGTGCATTGGTGAACCAGTTCGAGATCTGAGTTATATCTAACCCCGTCCCATGCCCCAGCTGCTCCTTTTCTTGCTCGGTAGGATACGGATAATCCTGGTGTTGGTCGAGCCATGATTGCAATATACTCACTGCAGTAGTGGAAAATCGTCGATGCTTTCTCCTACCCCGTCTTCTGCTGCTGGGCCCTATGTTCGTACTGACGGTAGGCTCTGGTTGAAGGCTCTCACATGACGAGCTTATGTGTGAATATCTTTCAGATATTACATCCGAACCTATTTTTTCAGAGAGCCCAGGATAATCGAACGTCGGTAAGTCAAGGAAATTCCCACTCAAGAGGTCTTGATAGTGATGATTTAGCTCCCCGTATGACTCAAACAGCCCCGTCGGTAGCTGCGCCTGTATACTTGATCTGTGAGATGCTGCCTCAGGCTGTAGCTCGTCGAATGAGGCATGGCTTGAAGGCTGGCCAGAATGTGCAACTATCTCTTCTTGGAACAATCTGTAATCTATTGTACCACTAAGCAGGGTATCATCCGAGCTTAGAGGTGGGAGTGATAAAACGTCTTCGCAGTATTTGGGAGCATCGCTGTGAGCGTGCTCCATCCGAGCATGGAGAAGCTGGAAGATACTACGTATAACAACCAGTCCTTTTCTCGATTAGAACTCGTTGAATAAAATTGAAGCACAGGGCTTACGCAGTGTGCGGTTAAACAATATCACGATATTTTTGGATCGCTGGGTGGTAGCCACGAAAGCTTTGAAAAGAAAATTCCACAGTAGCCAGCTAATACAACATGAGACCGATTCCGTGGTCTTTCACGCCCTTTAATTGACGGGTCTTTTGGTTCCACAGGTGTTCGGTTGCTTACTCTGGTTGGTCCGTAGAGCGTTGACCATGGATCAGATCTAACGGACGATACTAGTTTTTTGCCAGAGCTATGTGATATAACTGACCATTCAGGCTTCTGAATTGACATGACTAATCCAGAGTATCTCTAGGAGTAGCAGGCGGTAGAGTATTTTTTTGTCTTGACCGCCTGATCCCATGACTAGACCGCGCCCTGTGTCATTGAAGAGTCTCCACATCCACAGTGATCCTCTCAGCGAAACCCTGCAGCTAGCTCAGATGTTGAAGGTGAACTTGAGTCATCCCACCGATGGTTTGGTAGGATAACGAAGAGCCAATACCACTCGACGCCATTGACATATCGCCGCTTTTTTTCCCGCCCTATTTTGCTCAAGTTCAACTGTATGACTAATCCGGTGTGGTTCGGGCTTTGCAAGTTGACCTCGACCAAGACCTTAATGAGCGGATCTATCCCGGGCGAAGAAGATTAGTTTTTCTTTTTTTTCTTTTTCTTTTTTTTTTTTTCCTCTGTTGTTTCTTACATCGTACAATAGCTCTCGTTGGCTTCGCCACCCAGTATACGCGTCAGTCAAGCCGTTAAACTAATCCAGCCAGTCCCCCAAGGATTCACTGCATCAGAGCAATGGCGACAATCACTGAGTCAGTGTCTACAGCAGTCGAGTTGCAGGAGCACAATCAGGTTGGAGGGAGATTTACTAAACATACGGGCGATCCAACACCACCGGAGAATTCAGATGAGATATTGCAGGCCTCACTCGCAGCTGATGCCGAGGTTCCTGATGGGGGCTACGGGTGGGTAGTCATTTCTGCATGCGCAGTAGTTACCTGGTGGTTCATTGGAACCTCCTATTGCTGGGGTGTACTGCAAGCGGCTTTGGTAAAGGAAGGGCTATCGTCGTCTTCTACTCTGGCTTTCATAGGCTCGGTTGCCACGGCATGTATTTCCTTTCTGGGAATAATCAATGCGAATGTCATCCGGAGATTAGGCACTAGGATTTCGGCCCTACTCGGTATCTTCTTGCTCGGCCTGGGAGAGGTTCTGAGTGGCTTTGCCACCAAGAATGTGGGTGGCTTGTTTGCGACTGCCGGTGTTCTCTTCGGCCTCGGAATCAGGTAAGCAAGTCGTTTTCTGCTCAGCATATTACCATATAGCTAAACCGTGACAGTATCTGTTTTATGGTTGTCTCTGCGATCCCTGCGCAGTATTTCAAGGCAAAGCGTGGTATCGCTAATGGGATCGTTTACGCTGGGGGTGGCCTCGGGGGTACTGTCATTAGCTTTATCATGAATGCCTTGCTTGGTAAGGTGGGCATAGCGTGGACCTTCCGGATCATTGGTTTCATGATCTGGGGTACGGGCTTGCCAGCAGCGTGCTTTATCAAAGAACGGGTGCCAATCCAACGCACAGAGTTTGTTGAGTGGCATGTTCCCCCTTAAAGCTTTTCGGATTTGCCTAATGCATGACTCCGTTTCTAATCTTTTTGCAGGCGACTCTTCCGTGATATTCGATTTGCTTTGCTGTTCGCAGCCGGCGCAATTGCAACTTTTCCGCTTTTTGTCCCCCCGTTTTTCCTTCCGTTATACACAGAATCGATGGGGATGACCTCGGGAGTGGGTGCAGGAATGGTGGCTGCATTTAACTTCTCTTCTGCGGTGGGGAGGCTGATGTGCGGCTTCTGTAGTGACCGGCTGGGACCGCTGAACACCCTGTTTATGTCACTTTTGCTCAGTGCCCTCAGCATGCTGATCCTCTGGCCCGTTTCGACGTCTATCGGCCCGTTGATTGTCTTCGTCATTATTAATGGAATGGCTAATGGTGGGTTCTTTTCGACTATGCCCACGGTCGTTGGAAATGTATTTGGTTCTGCTCGGGTATCTGTCGCCATGGGTATGATCGTGACCAGCTGGGCTGGAGGTTATTTGATGGTAAGCTCCCCTTACACCACTGTTGTTTCAGCTATACACCCCATTTACATCGCTTTGCCATGGGCTAACGGTTCTACGCAGGGCGCTCCAATCGCTGGCTATATATTGAATGCGTCTGGCGGAGAGGATGGTGGTATTGGCGCCTATCGTCCTGCCATATTTTATGCAGGGGGTATGGCCCTGAGCGCATCTGTGTTGGCCATGTTCATTCGTCTCAAAACTGATACACAGCCGTTCAAGAAGCTCTGATAAGATGGATTTTGCCGGCTTATATTGGCTGCTACATGACCTGGCAAGCGGAGATATGAGACATGCCTTGTGTCCCACGACATAGAGGATTATATGGCATCCTGCTACACGAATTATGCTGCAGGGTCAGCAATGTCTCTCCCAGTTTTCCCTAGAAGGCTATAGATGCCGAAGGTACTAGAAGACTGAAACATGCCTTTACGAGATTATTATGGGTCCTTGGTTTCTGAGATATGTCTTCGCTAATGGACCATCAAAAGTTCCTGACATGCTTGGCCTTCAAAGATAGCTTGTATTAATAGCCCGTTCTGCCAGTGGTAGGACCTCATGATGTCTGAAAAATGACAATTTTCATTTATTGAAAACTGAATTAAGTGAACATCAATTTTGATGCTATACTGTCATTCCCCTACAAGTGCGCACAGTTAGAGTAGTCATTGAATCCTGAACCCTGATGGTGAGCTCCACCGCTTATACCACGCCCTGTCAAGCTTCGGATGGCGAATTCCAATAGAGACCAATGTGGAAGTTGTATACACAGCTTTATACATTCCAATATTCTTCATATAGCCTTGATGTGAGTATCGGAAATATATTCGGCACATTCCCTTGCTGCTTGTTTTTAGAAGATCAACGACTTTATGTCGTATTGTCAACCTGTCAAACCATCTCTAGTAGGGCTTCGATTATATCTCCAAGCTAAATTTGTCCCTATGATATTTTTCATCAGCGGAAGTAGTTGCCACCGCTCAGGACCATGATAGCTTGGAATGAATCTAGTCCAAGGGGTTTGAACCCGAGAAGAGATGACTCATACATTCCTTGTTATTCAGGATGGTATTCCCGGATTGACCTGATGTGTAGATTTTGAAGCATCCAAAACAGGTTGACTAGCCGTGGGTCCTGCACCATGTTGATTACCTCGGTAGAGAGTATTATCATAGTGGCCGTTCAGTCTAGTGAAAAGCGTCTCTGCTGGAACACTCTCTCACAATATAAAATATATAAAAATGGATAAAAAAAATAAAAATGAAACGAATCTTTGAAAATAAGATTAATAAATATATTAGCAGCAGTGGCTCTTCTAATTTAACCATCTAATAAATTTAGTAACTACATAAATAGGGTATTACTACATAGGGTATTCCCTGAATCCACAACCTCTCGCGATACTCGAGAGTACGCAGCATATACCAGAACGCCAACTCGGGAAAACCCACGAAAGGCAACACAAAACGTTCTAAGAAACTCCTGACTGCTATGTACAAACTTTGTCTTTTCGCTAAACAGACAGAGAACTATTCTGCCATATTGCTCAACCAAGCCACCCCCTTGGCTAACAACCGAACGACGCAGCAGTTTCTGTACAGTTTCAGCATCTTCTAAACATTATCTCTAGGAAATGCCCACAAAATCCTTATTCTCCCACTTGACCTTCGTAAGGCCCTCGTGGCGACCTCGCTACAGTGTCTTACCACGGTTCCCTCCGCGCACCAATTACCTCGTCCGATACAGTTCCTGCTCGCCCATGGGAAAGGCCCAATCGGATTCCCGCAAGAATGTAACCGTTAAAACACTGCAGAACCTCTATAGAAAGGGCGAACCCATCACGGCACTTACAGCCCATGATTACCCAACTGGATATATAGCCGATGCCGCGGGGATGGATGTGGTTATCGTCGGAGATAGCCTGAGTATGGTCGCGTTAGGGATGGAGGATACAAACGAAGTGACGATGGAAGATATGCTACTCCATTGCCGAAGCGTGTCTCGTGCTGTTAAACATGCCTTCACTGTGAGTCCCCCTTTGCCTAATACCAGCCACGTTTATCCAACCACGTAAGCGATCTCTAACGCCTCTCATCACCGAATAGATAGTAGACCTCCCAATGGGCTCCTACGAACTATCCCCCGAGCAGGCACTCCAATCGGCCATCCGCATGATCAAAGAAGGCAGCATGAAAGCTGTGAAACTCGAATGTGGAGAGGAAATGGCTCCCACCATCCGCCGAATCACCCAAGCTGGGATCCCCGTCCTGGCACATATTGGACTAACGCCGCAACGACATCATTCCATTGGTGGGTTCAGAGTCCAGGGCAAGTCCGTCGCGGGCGCAGTCAAGGTATTGCGGGATGCACTTGCTGTGCAGGAAGCCGGGGCGTTTATGGTTCTGATTGAGGCTGTTCCCGGGGAGGTTGCTGCTTTGATTACGGAGAGGCTTCGTATCCCGACGATCGGGATCGGGGCTGGGGTTGGTTGTTCTGGACAGGTGCTGGTACAGGAGGATATGATGGGTAATTTCCCCCCGGGGAGGTTTATGCCCAAGTTTGTGAAGACTTACGCGGATGTTTGGGGGCAGTCCATTCGGGGTATCGAGGAGTTTAAGAAGGATGTTAAAGGTAGGGCTTTTCCTTCGGGGGATCATACGTATCCGATCTCTGAGCAAGAGCTGGCGGAGTTTCAAAGTGTTCTGCGCGAGGCAGTTGAGCAGGAAAGTGGACATAGTGTGTAGAGTTGAATGGCTCTATGTCTGGTAAATCGTGTTATTACTTCTCTTGCTACTATATACATATAAAGCTTACACATACTCACGAAAGGTAGAATGACCTTGGTCTGAACTAAATCTGTACTAGAAAAGCCCATAGTCAAATGGATATTCTATTCAGAGCAGTTATAGAAATGCAGGGTAACATGGAAGTGGATCTTCAGCGACCTCATATACAACCAACGAAAGGGTACACAGTGAAGCTCTATGCAGCGTCATTGGAAAAAATAACAACTGCCCGATGGATCAATGACTGGTCATCTTCCCCATCATATCGACAGTACCGAGTGAGAGTAGGTTGCAACATGAACACGACAGCTCGACCGTTCTCACTAGGGTCACACTTTTCCTCTGTTTCATGTTCAGCATAAGAGTGCTTTTTCATGTGTGGAATATCCTCGTGGAAAGCTCCCAAGGAATCAAAGGAGCCAAATTCGAAATCCATCTCATTGGTCCACATTCCAATGCAAAGGTCCGCGGCGATTTGATAGACATGGAGAAGCTCCTGATATCGCCTGTCTTTGGCGGAGTCAAAGACTGTTTTGAGCAATGGATGCAACAGAGCAGACTCATCGAGGAGGTTGGACACCAGTCGTTCCAGGGTAGAGTCTCTCAAGCGCTTCATGTGCATCGCAAGCAATGGGTCAAACGTTGTTTCTGGCGTAAATGCATTGAGGAAGCGGACTGTTATCTGCCGCCACTTTCTTGAATTCCACCTCTCTCGCTCGCTGGCAGGTTCAACTATACTAAAGTTAGCGTATGAATCTACCTTTGGTTTAGATAATATAATATACCTTGTTTACACCATTGCCATAAGTTATGGAGCTCGACATGGGAAGGGATAAAAACTTGACCGTGCTCGCCAGTCACATCCATACCATCCACATTCTCATCCAGATAGAAGAATGGATCTTCGATCACATTCCCAAATAAGTCCTTAGCCACTAAAGCCTGGCTGAGAATGAGGGGGAGAAGTTCAGAAATATTGGACGTTAATCTCTTAACCAACGAGTTCCAGTCATCTTGCAGACAATATCCCTCTAGCCCGGCAACTATTTTTTGCTTTTCTTCGTCGGACAGCTGCTTCTCCAGAGTTGCCCATTCCACTGACCAGTCCTGCAGACGTTCCTGGATGACGCTGAGTTTCTTGTGAATCTCATCATCATTGTAGGGCAGCCATGTAGCCCCCTGTAAGTAGTACCCGGGACAATCCGCAGGATCGGGATATTGCATCTGGTCTTTATCATGCGATGGGCTCTTCTCGCCAATAGGATCAGGGTGCTGTGGCTGGTCTTCATCGCACGACGGGGCCGTATCGTCATCTTCTCCCTGAGTCTGGGCTGGGGCTTCCTCAGGGCCAGAAGACTGTGGCGCAGGGCTCGAAGTCTTTCCTTCTTCGACCTTTATCTTTTTGGGTGGAGATGGCGGAGTCGCCGGGGCTTCGGCGGTAGGAGAGGCGCTTCGTTTGTTCAGTCTCGCAGATCGTCTTCTTTTCTTGAGCCGGGACTTGCATTAATACGGACACTATGCAATGTGAGTAGTAAACTATCTTACCACCTGCGGTTTCTCTTCCTGGGTGCTAGGTGCTTCGCTGACCCCCCGATACTCTGCTTCTGGGGTGGTCGGAGGTTGAGCAGTCTCGAGGGCTGCAATGGTATCTTCCTGCGATGCCCCAACATCAGTTCTTTGACCACGGCTGAAGAATGAGTACGGCCAAAAGGGCCAACTGAAAAAACCAGATGTTAAATAGGACCGCCATACTTCAGCTTGCTTGGTGTCAGAGCCCGTAGGCTCCTCGCTCCCCTTGTTAGCCATGGCGAGCTTCGTACTGTAAAGTGATCAGCAGTTGATGGTCGAGAATATGAGCAATACCGGCGTAGGGAATATTATGATAGAAGTAGAGGAGACAGAAACTGAAACGGGATTGATCTGATATTCAGATGTCCATCATGGGCGAAAGTTGACCTTTTTATATGTAAGACTTTTCGGAACGGCAAGACATCTGGTGGTAGTGAATGCTCCCCTGCCCTATGAGTAGCAAGCTAAAAAGCTAAGAAGCCCGCATTTAGGAGCGAATAACCTCGTCAATTTTTAAATAATGCCTTCAGTCGAGGATCAAAAGACCAGAGAAAGCCGCTTTGTGCAAGGCGTGTTCATTTGCTAGACCTGTGCAACCAGCTCGTTTGAACATTGTTTGCTTTGCCACCACATTTCTATAACACAGCAGAGGGGATAATGATAGGATTTCCCACCTATCTAGGCTATGCTTTGCATAGCTAGAAAGAAGTGGGGATCAATAAGTGTAACATGCAGTTTGACACAAGGATGTAGACAAATGAAGGCTATTTTCTTTGGTTTCCAGAACAAACGCAAAGGAGTATAGACAATCGTATGAAATCCCTACGATACGCACAAGTCAGGCAACAAGACAGATCAGAGTGACGTTACGTCGTCTATCTAAGAAAGGTCACACTGTGTTGGCTTTTAGAAACCGTAACACTACACGCCCTTATGGTACGTGAATACGTATACTATTGCCAAAATTTGATCATAAAGACTCTAAATATTGAACTAGATAATATCACGGGCACCCTGCATAATGAAGTAAGAGAAAGGGAAGGAGTTAAACAAGAAGAATCAGGCAAACACTATACCGAGAGAAAATGGAATCTATACTTAGATCTCTGCTGTATTGGATGGATGGGGTTAACCCTACCCTAAGACAATAATTATTAGAGCAATAAAGAGCAATGAAAATTTACGAAAATCTCACCAACCTACCACTGCGACACTCCAACATCGAGCTATCGACCGGTGAGCTCAAAGGCCTCTGCGATTGTGAATAGAACATGCAACGTTGTAACTGTGCATTGTGTGCTTCCTTGTTGTCCTCCTTATGTCTCTCGGGCCTCGCAGCCTATATTCCAAGTACGTAAGGCTTGCAAGTTGCTTTTCTTTCACTTGGAACTGGACTATCTATTGATCTGCATGGTTATGACGCCGTTCACAATTCTAATTCCATTGTTCTTGGGTATAATAATACACATGATGAACAAGATAGAGAAATCCAACAGATGGGATCAGTATTGGACAGGTGCTCCGTTTAATTTGAAATATCCTGGCTGCAGTGTTTGGTAGATGCCGCGAGGATCGTATGTTGCTGCCACCTTCTGCAGGCGGGCTTTATTTTCTGCACCATATCCAGCAATGACATCCTGGAACTGACTGCCATAGTTCATATAGATAAACTGATGGGCAATCCCACGCTTCTTTGCTTCCTTGGTGACGACTTTGAAGTAATCATGAATGAAGGCGTAGACGGCATTGTCGTCGGCAGCGTTATCCCACCAGAAGGCCATGTCGAATAGAATCAGCGGCCCTTGCGATGCATCCAAACCCAGCGCATTGCCACCAAACTTGGTCATGTTGGCCAGCATCGGTTCCGTCAGCGCCTGATAAACTATTACGGGATTCGCACCCGAAATGTTGTCAGTTTGCGGTAAGACTTCGAAGAAGTATTCAGCCGCCCAGCGGGCGAATGATTCATCCAACTGTGTTGCAATTGTCCAGTACACCTCCCGGTGTCCGTTAGGATTTAGGCTGTTGATGTAATCGCAGTACTGCACGAGACTCCTGGACTCGGTTGTGTCGGCCAATGCAGGAATGTCTCTGTATGGCTTGAAGATGAGCGGGTCGGCCTTGTTTAGCGCATACGAGAGCTCTGCGGATGCGAGATTTACTCCTTGCATGCGGATGAATGCCACGTATTGCTGGGCGTTGCCGTCGGATGTCGCGCCACGGGCGACATTTGCGAAAGCACTGATGACCTCCGGGACTCGGGACTCCTCAAAGACGCGCGTAGTCCCACGCATTGTCGAACTTGGGATTGTATACAAGTTGAACTTGGTAACGAGACCAAGATTATTGCCTCCGCCGCGGAGAGCCCAGTAAAGGTCCGGAAGGTGAGTTGCATTAGCAGTTACAATACGGCCGCTAGCTGTCACGACCTATAAGTTGTAAGTATTCGCTGTTCACCTGCAAGAGCCAAAAGAACAGCCGAAACGCTTACCTCAAAGCTCTCTACATTATCTAAAGCCCAACCATATAGGTTGGAATGGAATGAAATGCCACCACCAGTGACAAAACCACCCACACCAATGCTGCTCTCCCGACCGCCGACAGCAGCTAACCCGTACGGTTCGAGGGCCTTGTACACTTGACCCCAGAGGTTCCCTGGCCCCAGGGATACGATCGAACGGTCCTCATTCAGACTCAGGTCATTCATGTCGGTGAACCAGATGGTGATTCCTCCAGGGCTGCTCGACGCACCTCGGAAGGCGGCATGGCCGCCGCTCTTGGCCGCGAACGGACACCTGGTCAGCTGAGATAACAACACAACTATGGCAACATCCGTGTTGATGCCAGGCTTGACAATGCAAGACGGACGAACCTTCGCCTGCTGCTCAGACCAGAAAGCTCCCGTGAAACTGGTGTAGCCGGCGTTTTCCGGAGCTAAGACTTTCTCAGAGCCAAAGATGGAGTCGAGACTAACGCACTATTTCCACGTCAGATACGCCGAATTACTCCGGAACAGGTGCTCTTATGGCTGGAAACCTACGGCTGCAAGACAAGATGATTCTGTCCATTGCTGTGACAGGTTTGCCAGGGCAGGTATCCTGGAGGTATCAACGCCATAGCCTTCCAATGCGGCAGTGATGTTAAAATTGGCCGGTTCGAAATTGCTGTCGGCTTGCACTATGGCAGTACCACTAGCAACAAGCAAAGCGCCTATCGAAGAAAGCGTGCGCATCATCAAGCCAGGTTGACTACTGTGTGAAGAATAGACCCAATGGGAAAGGAAGACTATTGAGAAACCCAAGGGCGCGGAGGGATTTATATACTTTGAAATGGCGCCAATAGAAGCACAAGAGAACTATCTAATGTAGTAAAGGACTATATCGCAAGAGAGAGAAGAAATAAAATCTATAAATACTCCAAGTTGTGTGGATTTGCCGGGCCAGCAAATATGCTTCTTGCTGAAGGATGGCGGTGCAGGAAGAATGTAACGGAGTCAGGCCCCATAAAATGTCGCGTCAGAATTTAAACTAGTGCGAATAAAGCATACACCAATAATCAAGTTACTTTTCTATCTTGTGGACAGTGCGCTTCGGCAGATGAAATATGATAGGCCCCTTCGTATCGTTTTGCTACTTTTCTAGTACTTTTTGGTATCTTTATTAATCCTCGGTGGAACCAAAGGAATTAGCTCTTACTAAGACCCATTCTGGTTCTTACCTAGTCTGTATTGCCCCCAAAGATTATAGATGAAGTCCCTGCTGACCTTCTATACTAAGGTTTTATGGAAGCATTTTCCAACAGTGATTTGGTCACGGTGGTTGGGACACTCGGTTAACGACCCTTGCCCCTTCGTCATTGAGTCTTCGTATGGTTTCACCAGCCATGCATGGCAATTAGTGCTTATGCCAATCAAATCCGCGAGGCCCCTTGCGCCATGGCTGGCTATGACTGGCTTTACGACCCCACACACCCTGTGAGACAAGATATTACCAGGCTAATAGGGCTTAGTCACAAGGGCCGGATTGTTACGTACCGGACCTGCTGAGCCGTAATATATGGGGTGTTTTGCTACATGGTCAAGACAAGTTTCTTGACCCCGGTCTTTCTAAAAGGGTATCTTTGCGCATAAAAGCTGAAACATTTACGAGAGGTCAACATTGCACTTCTATTACCATAAAAGGTTGTATAGAAAGGCTTGAAAGGACTGGCAGTAATACCTGTCTGACGATATGGTATCCAGGTCCCCAGAGACTTTTTAAATAGGCCTGAGCTGTTGATTTCCGTATCGCCTGAGAGATTGTTTAATTAGAGCATATGACGAGGCAAGCCATGAATACGCACTACTAGGTTGAGGGTATGCTTGTATGTTTAATGCTCACTGTGTTATCCGGGCTGGGGAGGAGCACGACAGAATGAATCCATGAATTCAATGACGAACTGGTAACATTTAACCTTTGTCCACTCTACCGCTATTCTCAACACGTATAGCGTGTTGGGTCTTGCTACTCAAGGTGAGTAACATGGAGCAAACTAGGGCACAGTCGATCCACATGACCTGTCTTCTATTTGTCTTTCGATAGCGATTGTCAGACATTTCATGAGTTTCATTCAGGCAGCATGCTACCTCTTATTAGAATCCGATACAGCTATCGAATCTCAAAGCATGCTCCCCTCAACCAACAAACTAGTCAGCCCTGTGCCAACCCCGCGATAACCATCTGCCCCCAGAAATACAATCCATACCCAAAAGTACTCTGAACCCAACCCCGGCTTCCACGAGATTTCTTAAATGCATCCTTCGCAACATAAACATCGCTAGCAACGAACATCGCCGCGCCAAACACTCGCTGATACTGCCAGTAGGACGAAACATCCACCGGGGTCGTCGAAGCCGCAGTAGCAAACATCACGCTGATGATGGTAGCATAAACGAGGACCAATGGTTTCATATCCGCAGGAAGGGCGAGATCCAGCACATTACTTTGAGCCGAGGAATGCGGCGGTGGATAGATGACGCCAAGCCATTTTGCGACCGCCATGGTTGCGAGGAATGTTGTTGCGAAGGTTCCCCACGAGATCACCTCATTGTCCTGGAAGAAGGCCAGGATATAGGCTATATGAGCTGCTGCGAAGGCGACAACGCCCAGTTGGAAGGAGATGGAAATTTTCTTCTCCTGTTGGGGTTGGGAGTTCGCATCATGGAATTCGCTTCGCGAGGGGATTAAGAAAAAGTCACCCGCTAGGGAGAAAAGAAGGCCGGCAGAGATGAAAGAGCGAGTGGAAGTCCACTCTCCTGATATTAGAAAGAGTGGCCCACTGAGGAAAGCGACCGAGGAGAGCATTTTGAATAAGGCTGTGCCAGTGTGGGATCGGGATACGGCCTCTGAAATGACCAGTAATGGGAGAGACCCCATGAGAAGGTACACTGCCGGCAGAGGGGGCATTGACAAATTCGTGGACATCTTGGTTGAACGTGATTGCGCAGATACCTAAAGGACAACGAGGTAGGTCGCTGCGGATCCTTTTGGCTTTTTCTTATATGTGTCAGTTGGGGAAAAAACGAGGGATCAGCAGTGGAGACTTGTCTGGGGAATCCATTAGCCAATTGATCGGGTAGTGCCGAGATCACAAGCAGGATCAGATTGGATACCTCGGTCATATTTCCCTATGTCATTTGTAGACTCTGTTGGACTTGTATATGCATTTCAGGAAGGGCTTTTGGTAGTGGGACATTAAAGCACAACCTCTCGATGCTAGTTCAGCCGTGAAAACCACGGTAAAAGGCGCTATACATAGTTACAATCTACAAAGGCTTCAAAGAGAGATGCCCTCATACATACATTTCATCCAGAATCATGACTTGCAGGTTAGGCCACGACACTGCTTCCGATATAAACAGCCTGAGGCATGTAAAATCATCTCGGCTGTCATCGAGCTCCGTGATGCTCTTCCAATATATCGAATGCAAATGTCAATGTGTGGCCCCATTGATCTATGCTTTTAACTGATGGAATAACTATTCACTACGCAAAAGCTAGAGTTAAATACTATCCAAGATCTTTGGCTGTGTGGGTGATATTATTGAGCCAAACAGAGCAAGTTCTAATAGGGATAGATCATCATGGTTGTGTATTTGCCCGTCGATCATATCATGTGTCTTTTGTACCAATATTTCCTTTAAATAACTACAAAGCCTGACGGTAATCTTTGTGATGGCCAGGGAGTACATATACGTCAACCCTGATTGACTGCGTATCATGTAGACAAAGGGACGGGTATCATTCACCTGGCCAAAATGCCTTCGTCCTATCATAACTTGCTCGCAGAACCCGTACGGGACTGAATACACGGCCGGCGTTCTATTCAATGAAAATGATACCGTTTTTCCTATTCACCTACTGACCGAAACAAATGGTATAAATAATAGGAATATGCCTCACAGCTTCCTTCTCCTTGTCCTCCTGCTCCTATGCTTCGCATGTCCACACCTCTTCGAAACTGTGTAATCCATCCACATCCGTGACTGAAAGAACCCCATAACAGGATACCAGACAATGAGAATCCAAACCATGATTCTTCTTTCCCTTTGCACCCTAGCAACTTCAATAGCCATACTCCCCAATGCCCGCCGTGAAGCTGGTAACTACCCTCCCAAGACTCCCACTCCCAATACTACACATAGAGAAACTAACCATATACAACCCTAGACGAAGTCATCGAGGACTACAGCTCTGTCACCGAAATGGATACACGAGATACACTTGAAACCAGAGCCTACCCTCGTTGCTTGAGTTACGCGGACTGCAAAGGTGGCTGGTGCCACAAGGGCAACTGTCTAGATAATGTGTGCAAAGGCGCAAATATGTGCCCCAAGGGGTTCTTGTGCGATGGCGCCAACTGCTACAAGCATAAGAAACCTTGGGTGTATGATGGTCCTTCTTAGATGAGATGTAAGTTGTGCTTATGTTATTTGTCGGTGGATGGATGATTGTCTAACCCAGCTCTGTGTAGGGTGATGTTCTCATCGAGGTTCTGGATGTTGGTGACCGGACTTGCTTGTTGAGAGGATGGGTGAGTGGCTATCTGGTAGTAGGGCCTCTGATTCAGAATTACTAGTAGTCTTCCTGGCTGTGACCCGTGACTATGATCCTTGATTGGGAACTAGGTGAATCTGAATGAGTACGCTTTCCGTTGTCTGTGAGAATCACGTTTACATACTTAGTTGTATGAATGACAATGTATGCGTTGTTGATGCAGCTGCTTCATTATGATAAGTGTCCGTATCAAGAAAGCCAATGCAGTATAGAAACATACGGAAACCTTCCTCTGATGTAGTAATACTTTAGTGCATGGCGCAGATCTTATACTAATTAAACATAAGCATAGTAACTGCTAATCTGGTCCGCTATAAATGCAGACTATATTATATTTCCCTTTTCTACTTCGTACACAATAAAAACATTACGTATATCCTAATTTTAAACCCACCCATTACTCAAAGTCGGAAGTACAGAAAACACGACAACGCCACCGGAAGGCAAAATGCACCTGGCAATACTATTAGCAGACATACCACGACATAGGACAGGATGTGCACTTACCCATAACTAGATTCATATAGTAATAACCGGCAGTTTCGGATAAAGTGCCTGAAATCAGCGGACCTAGCATGGAACCAAGACTGAATGCTACTTCGGTCAAGGAGAAGACCCGGGAACTACCACCGAATTCTCCGAAGATATTTGGATCCTTTGCTTCCATGTCCTTGGTAGCAGCTGATAGAATTTTTAATAAGCATGAGTTCGTACTAGGGATAGAGACGGGCAAGAACTGAGGGCGACTCACCAACCAACTGCATCGTGCCCCCACCGCGAATCAAGGTGAAGATAATACCAAGACTAACCAGACCAGTGAGGAAGATGGCTTCGCCATTGGTTTCTGGGCTAGCCCATGGGAACTTCTTATCCCCCGGGACCCCCAACAGCCACAGAAATGGGGTCGAGAGCGCCCAGCCGATCGTCGCAGGCCACCTGGCACCAACTCGATCGCGAAGCCACCCGACCGCAGGGCCAAGGAACATAGGGGGAAGTTGGAGAGTTAGGAAAATCATGCCCACGGAGAGGGTGTTCCAGTGAAAGGTATCGCGCAAATGAAGCGGGAGGGTGGCATCGAAAGCGGAAATGAGGGTTGCAAAAACAAGTGTGTTTATTACACAGGCCACAACGCCAGCATCACTGATCATAATGCGGTAGAAAGAGCGAGATGACTTGACTTGCTCAGTCTCCGTGGCGCCTGTGTTGGAGTCTGGGGACTCGTTGGTAGGGGATGACGGTGGAAGCAGTGGCGCCCTTTCGCTCTCCTCGGGGTCGCGAGGAGCGGTTAGCTTGGGAGAGCTGGGTCGCTCAAGCGGTAGTTCTCGCCTTTCGATCATCAGTAGACGTGCGATAATATCCAGGAAGAGCACCAGCAGAGGAGCGCTCCAAGTCGGCCAGTATCCCACCAACTCCAGTAGCGCACCAGCGACGATAGGGCCACCGAGCTGTGCGGCTGTCACAATGGACATAGCCGTTCCTAGTGCCTTACCAATATGGTCCAGGTCGATATTATCAGTCAAGGTCGCAAACCCTACAATCCATGTGGCGCTACCGGACACTGCCTGCAGGATCCGACCGATAAACAGCGCCTCAACTAGGTGACCGTGAGTTCAACGCAGGTTTGACTACCGTATTTGAAGAATGTACATACTGGAAAAAGTGGAGGCTACTAAAAGGGTACCTGCCACGCATCCTGCAAGAGCGATCAGCAGCGGAGTCTTCCGGCTCGGTGTCTTGTCCGCAAAATGGGCAATGATGGGCGCGGAGATCAGAGACACGAAGCCATGGACAGTCAGGACAGCAGTGGTCATCCGCTGGGTTTTGGATGGATCCATGCTAAGACGATCTTCGAGCATAAAGCTCAAGATCGGAACCACAAAGCCATACAGGAAGGTTTCTGGTGAAGAGCTGTTAGGATATTTGGCACCATGAGAGTTCCAACGCCAAGGGAAAAATACCAGCAAACAAGGCGACGAGAACCGTCGTAAGGATGAAGATTCGGGATGAGCGCCATCGGTAACCCCATGGCAGTTGCTTTTCGCTTTCCATGGTCTTGAGTCACTGGCGACGGGTGACTGACGGGATGATTATCCTTCTATTGTTGAATCCGGGGAATTCGGCAGCCCTCTTGTCTTATAATACGAGAAACATGCCTGGGGTTGGGTTTTCGCCGGGATAAATGACAAATTAACTTGTACCATGCAACATGAGATCAGCAGGTCAGTAATTCATGCACATTAAGAGTCGCTAAACGAGGCAATCGCAAAATCCGATCATCCCTGTCGGACCAACGAGAGAAGAAGGAAAAAATGCATCCGGCCCGCGGTGGATACGAATTACTATCCTTCAGCTCAGCCGCAGTTCCGCTGTCCTAATTGGGGGGTTTTTTTCCCCCTATATATCACCCTCAGCCGCAAGGGCACGACACATCGAAACGAACGCCGAATGAAAATTTAAATGCGTAGAATGGCGTCGATCAGCTTTGACTCGTAGGTTCTCCCTCCAGTCAGCCCTTGCATCAGTCTGTGTCAGAAGTTTCACTCGCGCCGAAGGTGTCACGTTAAGAGATGATGAAGCTGTTACAAGACCCGAACCTCAAGATCTCGTCCGGAAACTTTCATAAGTTTTCGAACGCCGATCAAATTAATCATCGTGCATCTTCGCGCGAACATGAACGCGAACTCCATCTAATTTGGTTGCAGTGGCGGGCCGAGCGACTAATCAAAGATTCCGATCACCTGAATGTGGATACCCTAAAGAACACATCACCCACAGATCCCCATTGCTTCATGCATTCAGCAGCTCAGCTCAAGGCTAACTTGGCACTAGTAGGTACATATCGAGGCCACTAGCTAGCTTGCCCCCACCTCCCTCCCGACCCAAGAAATCAATTTGGAATATGCTACTAGTACCACTTGTGGTGAAGATGATCGACAGGAGGCAAAGACTGGATAATCGGATATTACTCCGTACATACCTACCTCTGAAGATGTACAACTCCAGTAAATACATACATTCTTGGAAGTTTAGAGTTACTCTCGGATATTACCGCTAGAGTTGAGCTCTGACATCCAGTCCAACCCCGCATCAACCTGATCCACAGCCAAGTCCACAGGCATCGGATTTGGGACCACCCACGGACCAACGTATGAAAACAATAGGTCATCAAACGAGATTGGGAAATTATATTGCCCTGGACCCGTAGTCACTGGCTCGGACACGTCGAGCCCTGTCGGAATGTCTTCCCAGGTTTCATCCTCTCTTTCATCAGCGTCATCACATTCACGATTTACTGTCACGATACCAAAATACGGCACGGCAATTTGACGACCAGTCCCCTTTTCTAATGATTGACTGCTTGCTACTAGCTCTTCTAGGGCTGTATGGCATTGACCACTCAACGAGTGTGGTTGGCCTTCGGAGCAATCCTTGAGGGCAGAAAGCGTCCGGTTGATGAGAGACTGATCATATAAGTCCGGGCCCGGTTTCGACTTTTTCTCCCGAAAAGGATGTCGCCCGAGGAGATGAAGGAAGAGAATGACCGCAGCGGTAAGTGCTGAGAATCCGGAGAGCTTTACGCTGTTGTCGATGCGCGCTGTGGTAGGATCGCTCTCATACAAACATAAGTAAGCCTCGAGCAGCGACCGTGCACTTTTTATGCACGACGCTCGGCCATGTTCTTGCCCACTTATGCCCGAAGATTGTAAGAAAAATGGCAAGTATAAATGTGCCTTTAGCTGATGGATGTTTGCCAGCCGGTACAGCCGTGCATGTTTCTCAGGAATATCCTGGCAAATAGATATCTGCTCCATTTCTAGATATCCCACCAGGAGTTGCGAGGTAATCTCGTCAATCTGTTCATCAGCTCTAATGACCGACGAAAGTGTTGGCTCTTTGTTGATCTGCAAGCAATCAATGACGCGACCGGTCAACACAGATAGATGTCGAGCATGGAAAATGATCGGCGAAGTCTCTTTCAAAGAAGGAATGTATAGGTCGCAAAGGTTCTCTGGGATCGAGTACGGAAGCCCAATCATCAGGCTTACCCACCGATCTGCACTAAACAGTTGCCAAAACAATGAATCTACGAGTGCCGAGTTCCTATGCTTCTGGTGGATACCGGCAAGTTGGGCCAGGGTGTTGGCCCTGCGGTACGCGATCCAGGCTCGCCGAGGCTGCAGGGAACTCATATAACATAGCCCTAATGCCATCAAACATTGGAGACCATATCTACCACCAGCTACATTATCATCGTATAGGATCAACTGTTCTACCGGACGGAGGTACTTCCCAAAGTCACCGGTACTAAATGCGAAACACAGTAGCAATATTGCCAAGAGGCAAGGATGTCCAGTATGGAACGCCCGCATTGCGAAGCTCTGGAGGTCAGTATCATCTTCTTCGCCCCAACCCAGCGCAAAGGACTCCCGCCATGTTCGCCACCAATGACTTCGAGTCCGAAAGATCTCGATCATCTCTGATTCGGATGGCAACGCCAGACAAAGTCTGTATATAACATCAGCCCGTTCTATATGTTGTGCAGAACTATGGCGCGTGCTGTCTTTACGTGGTGGAATTGCCGACCTGGGAAAAGCCTCTTTGTCCGGCTGAGGCTGACTAATCTGCACATCGTGAGAAGGATGACACAACAATAGAACCTTCTATCAAGGGCGATGTCCTACTAGTTCATGATTTAATAACTTCATGATCGGCGCACATCCACTTTGCACAGTATCTGGGTTGATGACTGCGCTGTTGACAGCCGCGTCCATTGCATATTGTTGATCTTTCTTAAGAGATAACCTGGCTCTGTCATTTAGTTGGGCTAGTAGTGCTCCAATAACATGAACCGACCCATCCGAATGGCCGTCGAAGGGATTCTCGCCAGTTATTGGGGCACTGGGTGAGACTCCTGAAGATGTTTGATTCGAGTCATAGTTAAGCTGGGATTCGTCCGACCCCTGTGGGACACACGTAGATCCTCGCCTTGCACAGTGAATGCATCTTTCTGAGTTACTTGGAGGGAAGATACAGCGGACCTTCCGTCGTCGGCCTGGGTTCGTGTTAGTTTAGATTCGATTACTACTTAACTGATCCATGATTATTGGAGGCCCACATACACGACACGCAGCTATGCGTCCCCTTCCTCATTCGCCTAGCTGGAGGCATGGGTTCGGTTTGTACTAAATTCCTTTTTTGTTAGGTTCGGACGAGAACTACAGTTTCCGACTCGTGCGGCGAGTCGAGAGATATCCTGCCCATAGTGGAACCGCTACATGCGATTCTCATTCGTCCGTATCAGCTTCGTCCGAGGTAAAATTACTTACTAAGCATATTTCTCTCAGTTCGGACGAACATGAAAAGAAATATAATTATAAAAGAATGCAGGTTCGACATAGGTTTTCTGGATGGTATAATAAGACCAATTGGTACCGTGTCTCTCAAGTGGCATTCTCTTTGGTACGGTATGAATTTCTCACCCTCGACAGAGGCACATTTTCAGAACCCACCATTTTTCCTCGATCACCTCGGACACCTTACATATATCTACGAGTGTTGAGATGATGTCTTCGGCCGATGAGATCCATGTCACGGCGAGACATTCAGTACAGTGTGCCAACAAGACAGCAATACTACCGTTGGAGTCACCATTCAATCTAGGCCCCGGGAATCACTTAGTGTTCCCTTCTGTGCCGATACAGGTGATTTTCATCTATAGGCACTCACCAATAAGTGGAGGTGTGGACTCAAAGACTACTGGGATCGTACCGGCTGAGCGCCTACGTCGCGCACTCTCAATGGTACTAGACTACTATCCGCATCTGACAGGTCGCCTACATTTCAACCCGAGTAGCAAAGCCCCAGAGATTGCAGCTTTAGGAACCGGCGCAGAGCTCCTAGAAGCCCAGTGTGGCTCGCGACTGGATGACATTGCTTCGGCTTCCACTTCAGGTCGCATTCTAATGCCAAATCTACCTGCCTCTGGAAACGCCCTACTCCCCCCTTTCGACCCGACGATGGAAGGAGTCTGTCGCGATCCTCTTGTCGCCATCAAGCATACGCGGTTTGCTTGTGGGGGCGTTTCACTCGGAATCCGGCTCCATCACATCGTCTGTGACGCACATGGATTCTTCCAGTTCGTCCGTGACCTCGCTGAGATCTATCGGGGAGTTCCCGTCAATCAACCCGAGGCAGTCGCCCTCCCGACCCTTTCCTCTCCACCGGAAGTCCGGTCATACCTCTCATCAGCAAACGCCATGTCCTCGGAAGAACGCCACGAAGCGCTCAAATACCAGCCATCAGTATTCTACACAGAAGAGAGTGGCAATGCCTCCACCAAAACCCAAGACCCACCACCTATAACCACAAATCAAAAGCCCCAACCCCGGGTAATCGGACGCGTACTTCGCTTCCCAGGCCCAGAGCTCCAGAAACTGAAAACCCGCGCAACAGACCCCAACCCACAAACCCAAAGCTGGGTATCCACATCCGACGCCCTATCCGCATACAGCTACCAACGCAGCTACCAGGCCCGCTTCCAACACCTCAAATCCCAAGGCATGTCGTCAGCAAAAGCCGCCTCCGAACTCTCGCGCGGGTTCTGGGCCTCTATCAATTTCCGCTCCCCGGATCGTCTCAATCTCCACTCACGTTATTTCCCAAACGCAGTTTACTGTCCCACTGCCTACCATTCGCACGAGTTATTGGCGCATGCGCCACTATGGCAAGTTGCTAAGGCACTGCATGAGCAGGTTCACTCTGTTGACTCGTCGACATTGGAACGGACTATGAAGTGGGTTGCGGCGCAGCCGGATAAGAGTCAAATTAAAGTGAATTTTGAGTTTGGGAACGGTAGTTTTGTTGTTAGTCAGTGGTCGAAGTTTGGTATGTACGCTGGTGTTGATTTTGATGTGGATGTGGATGGAAACCCGATGACGCCAGCGCTTGTCTCGCCTCCTTTTACGGAGATCTCGTTGGTCGATGGGTTGTCCATGATGCTGTCGACCGAGGAACAGACCTTGGAAGACGGGGTGCCTTGTGCTATTGATGTTAATCTTACGTTGAGTGAGCCGCTGTGGGGGATATTGGATAGAGATGATGAGTTTCGAAAGTTCTGTTCTTGTTAAAGAGAGAAAAAAAAATAATCATAATAATGCTATCATCGATCGTAAGCTGTTTATTATGGCTATCCGTAGAGTCTTTGGATAATCATTCTACTCATTTGAGTTATTCTGGCAAACTAAATGACACCGTCTCGAGCCATTCAAGACACGGCTCGCTATTGAAAAGATCTAACATTTGTTCTTCACCCCAGGGAATGCTTGAAACTGTCTCTTCAGATCCCACTGGATACCCTGTGGCATCCGTACCATGGTTCGCGCAATTGGGCGATGTGAGCCTTCCGTTAGTATCTAACTGCTCAATATTGTCTTGCAAACTGACTAATGCGGCAGTGTCATCTACAACAGCCGTGGACTGATCAGAGGCTTCCATGTCGGCTGAAAACAGAGGCCGACAGAGATTGAGCAAGGTTTCAAATAACCGATGCAGCCTGACTGCTGGCATAAACGTCTTGAAGGGGTCGAGTGCTAATGTGGTTCTCTGCATCAATTGCATGTCCCGAATATTCGAAGTCCTGACGACATTGCAAAATAGAGAGAAGAATGGACGGAGGGGGAATAGAAGGATTGTCCTATCCGGGCGTTTTGTTAGAGACATAAGTAAGAGGTATGATATACGATGCTTACCAGGTAAGAAAGGATGCATCGGGTTGTGATGGGTTAGAGGCAACAGCATTGGTTTGTAAATCAACGAATATAGATAGCGCATTCCGAGCGCTTTCCAGACATTTTCTTCGATCTTCCTCATCCTGTAGTAGTCGAAATCGGGATTGGAAGAAATTGTTCAGCATGGTGTAGTGGCAAAATTCAGCTGCGATCCTGTTATTCTTGGTTGTATTGGATCCTGATGATTCCAACTGTTGCCATAATTGTTAGTGATAACATTTGGTATGATAGGGGGTATGTCGCGTAAATTATCAATTCTGGTGCGAAGATCATTTGTCTTTTGAATCAAGTCATCTAGCACTGCCGCGCTTTGTTCTTTGTTGGTCGATTGGCTGGTTTGCAGCTGCACCTCGAGCGTTTTCTCCAATATGCATGCCATATGCCCCATGAATCTGATCACATCTGGGGATGGACTGGAGCCCAAGTGCAACAGAAAAACTGGACTGACTTCTAACCTTGGTAGTGATGGTGGCTTCATGAAAAGCGAGCTCAGGACCTTGTCCAAGTAGTGACACCAGAAAACACACGCATGTATTTCAATGTCTCCTTCGTTACTTGCATTTGGATTTAGTGATTGATAATTGAGGAACGTTATCGTACGAGCAGCGAACGATGTCAACATCCAGCTCTGTGACATGTTTCCAAGAAGCTGCATGAGCATTGCCTATATTCTCAGGTGAATTAGGTAAGATGCTTCTCCAACGAACGATATCGCAAAGATTTACCCCAGACAATAAAGATTGTACAAGCGCAAGACTTGGTGAAGATAAAACATTAATCTGGTTTAGGGCAGTAAGAGCCGCTGCTTTGTAATAGGTGTGAGATCGCTCAAGCTGCTTGCTGAATGCTTGATCTTGGTGGACCGTAGACCATCTGGAGAGACGGAAAAGCTCTTTGGAATATACGCACACCTGGTACTGAAATAGGACCTGCTCATGTTCTTCCCTTTCCATCAAGCCGAGTACCATTCGCTCACGGGTTTTCTTCGAAATATGATCTTGCCATCGATCATTGTCACCTGCACGACTCCGTCAATCGTAGTCATCAGTAGCGAAATAGAACCATACCTGGCGATATTATGTACAACAACTCTGGCTTGAATGATTCGGGCGAGTCTGTCTGCTGAATTGTCGGATCTGTGGGCTCTTCAATACCTACTGGAAATGTTGGCCCCGTGTTGGATATCTGGTGAACAGTATGAATTGCTGCCTCTAGTGCGCGGGCCCTCGTGCTGTTTATTGAACTTTAGCAGTCGGATGAGTCAGTAATACGTGGGAGTAACCTATGATTGCCACAAACCTAAGGATGGAACGAGAACCTCTACAGTGTAATGATGCTCGAAGTGAATAAAACAATTCTTGATAGTGGAGGTATAATATCAGCTTGACACACATCTTTATCTTAATAAGAATAAGTATGTAATATAACTATCCAGCCATAGACGTGATGTGAATCAAGCAAGTCACCAGATCTGCTTTTCGGAATGTTCATTTTAGTGAATTTGGTGGATTAATTGAAAGAGTTTGGTATATTCACTTAATTCGCAGCTTTCGGCTTCGATATAAAACACGTTCATGACATGGTTTCATTGAGAATTTTCTTCTTTAGACCGACCTCCAACCCACAGTGTCTTCCGATCAGAAAGTCACCACGTTCACCATGATGCTCTACATAATATCTCTCCTGTTTCTCTGCAACCTAGTTGCTTCGCTCAACCCTGCTCCTAACGTTCCAGATGATGGCGGTAAGCAGCTGTCCAAGTTTCTCCGCATCATCAGAAGCCCCTTTGTCAAGACTGAACGCCCTTCTCACACGAGCACAGTTTCCTCCATTAGCCAACCTTGCCGTGGCCTCGACAACCAAGGCTCCTGTGAGCCAGTGTCACCCTGGTTGACAGGCGACCCTAACGAAGACGGTGTGTAAATCCATGAAAATACCTACGGATAAAACACAGCAAGGACTAAGTATAATATCCGAACAGACGAACGTATCTGTTTCAGCAACGTAGATTGCCCTATCAACTTTCATTGCCATTTGGGACGCTGCATCAGAACCCCACGCGATAATTTCAGAAGAGCTGTCCGTGACAATCTCCAAAGCAAGTACTGCGTTCTAATTGCCCCATTCTCCGAGAGAGGGGGGAATCAGACGCTAACTTCATCATCTGCACTGCAGTTGGCAAGTGTAGAACCAGTGTCGACTGTCCTCCAGGGTACTATTGCTGGCGTGGCGGCTGCGTCCAGATCCCACGTCCCGCTTCAAAGCCACTTCCCCATAGAGACAACGCTGGTCAGTACCGCCCAATGTCTGATTATCCAGAAGTATGAAGGTTAACCGCATCTAAATAGAAGACTCGCCCTTTGCAGATGCTCAGCGATGCAAACATGTGATCGATTGCCCACAGGGCAAATGGTGCATGGACGGATTCTGTCGGCCATTTGATCAACCCACAAAGTTAGAGACTCGTGATGCAGACATTACAGAAACCTCAGATAGTCCAAGGACTCAACAGAGATGCCATCTCCATGTGCATTGCGGGCCAACTGGACTCTGCATCCATGGTTGGTGCCAATACGTGTCTAATGCGATGTCCCAAGATAACGTAGAAAGCGTTGGAGTAGGCAACGAAGCTACAGAGGAACTCGACATGCTTGGGCCTCGAAAATGCACGAGCGACCAAGAATGTTACCCTCGAGCACTATGTGTGAGCGGCAGATGCAATCATTCCCACGGAGGTGAAGATGGCTCTTGATTTTGATAATAGTGACAGGGGACATCTCGGTTTACCATAGTCTTGTGTATCTGCTGATTGGTAAAGGGGACATTAATTAGCTCGAATTAGGTGCAAAGCATACCTTAAATATTGAGTTGTGCCTGAGCAGTTGCTCGAGTACGAGCAGCTAGAGACTTACCATTGATACCAGGTAAATGGAAGAGAAAGCTACGTTCACCACGTTGGATCGGCTTCTTCTCTTCAGTAAAATGTGGAATATCTGTTGTAGCGAAGTTCTAGCGAACAGCCCGGGGGTCCTGACACGCCCCATTGCCCCCGTTACAGTGATTCAAATACAAAACTAATAAACTGTTAGCCATATCGGCAAATGCAACGATGATGTAAATCAGTTAATGCTCTCAAGACTCATGGGCGAGTTGTCAGAACGGTTATTGGAATAACAACATCAATTAACCAGCCCACGGACTTATACCTAAGGTATTGCGTTTATAGCCTGAAAACAAACGCCCAGTAGCATCATCTTCCACTTGCCTTTCAGTTCAAAACTTCCCCCCCCCCCCCAAACTGCTCCACCATTTCCTGCGAAGTCAAGTGACAGGAGAAAAATGATATTTCGCCTAGATCCCATGTCACGATGGATCTAGGGTAATAAGACATTAGCCTGCAGGTCCGTGGCCAATGTGTTCAGCCCGTTTGTGGAAACTGACTTTCTCAGTTCAATATCATTGCCTAGCGCTTTCGTGGGGTTATTATCAGCCAATGGTCCAAATTTTGAGACGAATTGCTATCCAGAAATTAACGTGGACCCATGCTGCATATAGACTGGGATGCGTCAGGAGAACGATATAAACGTGCCTCTAGAGGTGACGCTGCATTGCCCGTCCCGCTCCCCTGCATTGCTTTGGCCAGTGTTTGCGCCTTAGCCACCACTGCCATAGATATAAAAATGAGTCAGGCGACAGAGAGTCGACCAGAAAGCGCTGCGAATCAGGGAATACGAATTTGATAACTTGCAATTTTAGAGAAGATATTCGATTCAGAGTAGGTTCTTTGTACTGATACTGTATGCAGAATGATATGTGTTAGTCTGTACTTTACAACAAATTTTAACGTGTGTCAAGCTCTACCGAGAACCTAGATGTTTAATTACTTCAAACTGGGCGCTTTAAAATAACGTTTGGATTAGTTTGGCCTAAGGGGAAGGTGACCAATCAATTTAGTTTCTATACTCGCTTCTGCAAGAAACGGCGTTAGAGTTTCCCATGATTGTGAAGATATTGCTCGGCTTCGCGCTTAACATAATATCATAGAGGGAATTGGTAAGATCTTTTTTGAAGGTCTAGCCTATTTTAAGACTAGCAAGTCGAATTGTGATCAACATATCCATATGAAGATTGGGACACCAAGTAGCCTCGATACCCTTTGTGCTCTGCTTCACTAGGGTAAAAAAGGCCATCGATTGCTCTTTGTTCAGGACAAGCGCCCGATCAGCCATCCCAACCTAATTTTAATGAAATGTCTGTCCAATAAGTATCTTGAGTTAGTTGTAGGCATATAGCTCATAAGCCTTATAGGCCTTGCCGGATGCATTAGTTGGATGGCTGACATTCAGTCGGCATCTACTCCGGATGCTGAATAGCCATCCAAATCGTCATGGAGGTTGTATGGTTCTATACTTCCAATGAACCCTGGTAAGTCCACTCGGCAAGTGCCGGTTACCTGCCATGACAAAAACAAGCATAGATTTAAGTCTTTAAGGGAAACGACCTTCAACACCCTCGTCATAATATTAGAACAGGGCCGCTTTGTGGGCGCCCGGCCAGATAAGGTTTTCCGCCTTGAAAACGCTACTGTGATACTACGATCATTCCTGGACCCTATGGAGGCTCACGGGTCAAAATTAAGTGATAGGACTGTGCTGGCTGTGTCTGTACTTTCACCTAATAGCTATACCATGCCATAAATATGATAACGAGTCGGCATACTCTGAATCCGTCTGCCGTTTCGCATAGACATCCAAAGGAGCTACCAGTCTAAATAGCAGGAGGCCAGGGCGTTACATGTATAGGTATGAATAAAGAATACTAAAATTAGACTGGGGTAAAACAGGAACTTTAAGCATACCCAAACACCAGCCTGACTGAAATATTTGCCCGTTCCCTGAAAGTGGAGAAAGTGAATTGAAAGCTTAGTATAAGACCTACTGTTTTCCCCAACCTTTCTCGACCTCCAATAGATTCCCCAAGTCCTGGTCTGTTAAGATGGCCTTCTTCCAAGGCCCTAAGTGGCACCTTCTGAGTCTTTTGTTCGCATTCCTTGCCCTGCAGGTATTGTCCCAGTCCGTTTCTGGAACAGAGTGCGACAGTAAGTAACCACTTCCACCTTTGCTTTACATTTACTGAATACTCACTTATATGTTACAAAGATTCTACACCAAGTTGTGACCCACCGAAAGTCGAGGGCGATAGCAAATCATTGGAACCACAGTATGTAATCTGTCTAGTGACAAAGCTTTGATCATACACTCATCACAGACTTCATAGAAAATGTTCTGGCGCTTCAAGTAAGCAACGTTATGTTGGATATTATGCTACGCGGCATCTTGAAGATCAGAGCTGTGATACATTTGAGCCATCGGATATCAACGTTGAACCTTTCACCGTAGGTTTGGACCACCATCTTCTACTTGTTAAACCTCTCAGTGACTAGAGCCAAACTAATATTCAATAGCACATCTACCTTGAGAATATTCATATTGGATATACCCGAGATGCTATTGCTGCACCCTTTGACGACATTGATCGCAGGCGCTGGAGAGATCTTGTCAATCTGAAGATCAGAAAGCCATCCCTCAAAATCTATGTATCCATTACACCGTATGCGATTGATTCGGGTAAACCAAACCCTTCATTATCAGACATGGTTCGCTCTGTAGAGAACCGGACGGAGGTCATTGACTCCATTGTTAAACTTCTGGGCGAGTTCAAGTTCGACGGTCTCAATTTTCACTACGTATGGCGGGACCTATGGCAAGGTAATTCACGATGATGTGTCAGTGGCCTATCCTGAAATCCCTACTAATTGCACCTGAGACAGGTGAGCCTCAGAACTCCGTCACTTTCCTGAAGGAACTTCGCGAGTCATTTGGCGACAAGTATGGTCTTTCAGCTGAATTTCGAGCCACAGAATGTAGTATTCCCCATCAGACTTATTTGGAAACAAGACATTCTAATCGCAGTAACATAGGCGGTCTCAAGAATATCGACCTGGCGGGAATGGCTGAGCATCTTGAACATCTCAGCTTCATTTCATCGGATTGGCCCGGAGATGCCGTGTGCAAGGAAGAGGAGAGATGGCCTGAACATGGAGACAGCTTGAGTGTGTTTTGACTTTATGGGCTTTCATATTCAAATGCTAACTTCTGCCAGATATCGGCCGTAGCGTCAGACTGCTCCGGGAGGCCAATATTGATCCTAAGAAACTTTCACCCATTTTGGATTTGGGAGGTCGAGAATGGAAACTTCAAGATCCGAAGTGCAACACTCCCGGATGCCCGATGACAATGCGCGCGTCGCGTGGAAAGTGTGATACGTACACCAATTATCGACTATCCGCTTATGATGTTGAGCGTATGTTACAACCCTGGTATCTAGTCGAACCAGAAGAGCGCTACAACACATCCACTGCTTATAGTTGGTTTGTCTATAATGACACAATGTATGTACCAATCCTCTTCAAGGTTTTGAGTAACAAAGGATACTGATATGGACTAGGGTCACGTTCGAGAGTGCCAAAAGTTTGAAGCAAAAAGCTGATATTGCCAACGAGAATTGCCTTGGGGGCCTTGCTGTTGAGATGGTATTCACGGGTGGACCGGCAACTTTGGCGAATCCGAATGATCTAGATCCGTCTGATACAAGCATGATAGGTGCGCCCCCGACAAATCGATCCAGAGATCTTGTCGATGCCAATGCACACCTTACCGAAACGGACACGCCCTCCACCACGAGCACACAGAGCGCCAGTTTGAGTAGCGAAACAAGTACCTCTGACTCTGACACTAAGGGCAGCACGAAGGGTTTATCCTGCCATCCTGCGATCGGTAGTGTTCACGTTCCGATTGCTCAGCTGGATTGTGATTCTAACACTACTTCAACTGCTTCTCACAACCCTGATGCACCAGTTAATGTGGAAGAAAGTGTCCCTAGCCCTTCTCTCGCTGCTCCCCATGAAGCCGGAACATCTGATGAACCTAATCCAATGGGCCCTAAGCCTACTCTTACTCTTGCCCACCGGATTGGCACTCCAACTGATACCACCGAGAAAAGCCAATGATGAGGGTATCACGCCTGGCGAGCCCGGCAATGTTCCTTGAAGTCCCACCGGCATATGGTATCGCCACCCATGAACCACACAAGCAAGTCCAACTCAGCATTGTGGAATCAAGGCAGGTACATTTCTTACGGGTATATTCAGGATTGAGTAGAGAAGTTATCATAGAATTGTTTGTATACTATCTTCGAGTGGGAATACATACCCTTCTGGGTGTGAGAGAATGAGCCCGTATTGAGTATTGGTCATTTATTTGATAGACTTATATTTATGTATATTCATTGAGTTACTGTTGATTATGTGCCAATATAATACAACCTACTTTTGTATACTTTTTATCTAGATTAATACATTAAACAGTATCACTAAATCCTGTGTTGTTATTCGGTTTATAATTACTGTTTAAGCCACCAAAAGACAGGTGTTTCTAACCAAAGTCGTCCTTGCCAACACAAAAGCAGAGGTTAGTTCATTGGCATCAGTCCATCACTTTCATTAGGGCATATAAACAACTATATGTACATCATCACTAATACAACATCATCATGGAATCTCATTATACACTCTGTCCTCGATCTTGGGCGGTTGCAAAAAGTCCTGGGGCACAGTTTCAGGAAGCTGATTGCGTTCTGCCCATTGCCGAATAGCTTCAAAGTTCCGGCATTTATGCTGCGTATTGAAATCGACAAATGGCTCGGGGTTCTCTGGGTGAACCCAAACTTGGCCAAGGACGCCGATGTCAACGCTACACATGAGCTGCTGTCGTATGATGTCCAGGCAATGGGCTGTGTTCATGATTAGCATATGAAGAGTGAACATATCCCGGAAAAGTTCAATACATACACACGTGGCGTCGGACAATATAATCTTCGTTCACGAAGGCACCTTGACCTTGTTCATGATAGTAGTCGTAGTTGTAGTAGAGGGACTGTCTGAGAAGGTTCTGTTGGTTTGTTAATACGACAGCTTTATTTATAATTAGTCTCGATCGGGGGTAATATGAACATACTAGACAGTGCAGATGATGCAACCCCTCAATGTTTGCAGGATACCCTCCACCATACTTCTCGTTGATCTTCACCTGATCAGGAGCAAGTCCCGACTTTTGAGCCTCTTCTACAGGGACTCGAAGACTTCTGTCTGCACGGCTGTTAGCTGGATCTCACACTGCATAAACGGCTGTAGGACGTACAGTTGACACCAAGAGCTTCCCATGCAGCATCCACTTCTGGACTTGCTTCTTGACGATAAATGTTTTCTTTCAGGAACGAGCCATTGAACTGTTCTTGGTGGTATTCGATCCCGACCTCTGGGATCACAGGGGCTGTACTTGTGTTAGATATACCCTCTCATTTTGTCTCTCGTAATTGATTTCCATGATAAGTTTGATCTAGGACTAGGAACTTACAGTACTGTGTGAGTTGTCGAGTGCAGACCTTATCCAGATTGTGCTGCTGACGTCCAAGAACAATACCTACTAAGCAGGAGAATACGGCGACTGCAACAAACAGAAAATACTTGGCACATCTCTTGAATAGACTCTCATTTTGCTTCTGTTCCCGAGGCCAAGTAGCCTCCTCATCGGAGAGAAGCTTCTCATCCACGTCGGGATCCGATACTGAATGGCGCATTTTGCCTTGGGTTTCGTGAAGAACAAACTACTCAACCGCAAGAGGGAGGAAGACAATGAAGAATCAAGGACGATATAAAGTCGGTGTACACAGAGTGGCAGGAAATTTCAAAACAGCTGTTTAATTATGGCGTTGACGGAGGCCAACTCATATACGGCGCCCCACAGGAAATAGGTGGTAGGTTCCGGAAATCGATAAGTCATTATGCAACCGAGGGCATTAAAAATAGCATGTAAGACAAGGCCCACCATTTCCAAAGAGATCCCCGAGGCAACAGCTTGGTGCTGGGCACGATGGTAAGACAACTGCACGCCTTACTGCATGTATGTCTCAGTGGTTCATCTAGGCTGCAGATGACGATTAGAGTCGATCAATACGAGTGGCGCTTGGCCTGCGGAGAAGCTTGGAGACCCATCAACTCCACAATCGAGACTGCGGTCCATGAGACAATGATGTAAGGCAGGTTGTCTCCGAAATTAGTTCTCTACTGCAAATTTACTCCCCTTCCTGTCCCGCTTCTGCCCAGTTGGGTCTCTTTACGGGCATATCCGGTTCTTTGTGGCAACCACCCCTCGGCTGCAGGGTACTTGCTGGCTGGGGACTTGGGTAAGGTGGGATTTTCTGCGGGTCAAGCAGGTAGCACTGCATCGTCTAGCCACAATGTATCATCCGTAACTGTTGTTATTGGTACGAAGAACGGGTTGAGTAGCTCGTGTCCTGACGGTTCATCCGCCTCAGAGACATGCCCAATGGCAGTGCTGAGGCAATTTACGAGATGGAGTAGCCGATATGAGTCTATATTTTTAGAAGCCTGTCGATAGTGATTTATCCGGGTCTCGGAGATCATATATAAGTATATGCCTCCTCCCTCGTTGATCAGCTTCTCTTCATTAACTCTCTGAACCAGACATCTTCTTCCGCGATTGTCCAAAGTACAATACTCTTCAAGATGCTCTTTACTAGCAAGTCCCTCCTGCTCGCTCTGAGCACTCAGCTCTTGGCTGTGAGCGCTGCTCCAGTCTCGAGTGCCTCCTCCTCTGAGGTCAGTCAGCCCACGCCTCCTGCCGGGGTTGCTCAATATGGCAACTATGGAGACTACGGCAAGTACGGCAACTACGCTTCCTACGGCTCATACAAGAGAGATGATGTCCCTGAGGGGGAGGGCGAAGATCCTACGCCTTCCACCACGACCACACCTACTGAAACCCCTACCCCTACTCCGATCAACTATGGTAACTACGGCAACTATGGACAGTATGGCTCCTACGGAGCGTACAACATCGAGAAGAGAGACGACAGCAGCTCCACAACCGATGCTACTACTACCTCCACACCTACTGAGACGCCTATCAGCTATGGAAACTATGGTGACTACGGGAACTACGGTGGCTACGGCTCTTACGGGTCGTACAAGAGGGACGAGGTCCCCGAGCCTGAAGAGAGCAAGACTACTACCTCCACACCTACTGAGACGCCGATCAGCTATGGAAACTATGGTAACTACGGCCAGTATGGCTCCTACGGAAGCTATTCCGGAGCTGCTGTCGCTCAAGAATAAGCTAAGAGTGACGGTTGTGACCATGTAACACGGTCGCACTTTATGTGTAACGAGGCAACAGCCACGATGAATGAAATGTACCGAATAACGAGAACTTCTAGCCCATGGTCGCCAAGGCTGTCAGCATGAACTGAAAACGTGAGACTGACTGCAAGGGAGGGAAATCCAGCAAGGGGTGTGTTACCGTTATTTGAGCAAGCAGCCAGGTTGCCTATTGTAAACGGTGGATTGGATGGTGATACTGCACGTGGACGAATAATGCTTGTTGAACATTCTTATCTTTGACCATATGCCCTGACGAGTTAATTGAAATAGCATAAAATAACATAAATATGTTGTGATTTATATGTGTGTGCCTGCAAGATAGTGTTTTGAGCTGTAGGAAAAGTTCACTTGGCGATGCTTAGCCACGCTAGCGAGGGCCAACACTCTTGAATTTTATGACAATCTTCCCTTCACAAAGTGAGATTGGACAACTGTGCATACCTGAATTCCAGGATTACCCCGGGATCGGCATATTTGGCGATAGTGGTGGACGATTCTTACCCCATGAGTCATGGATCTGCAACAATTCAGTTGGCCGCCGACTCCGGCCTCCACTCAAGACTCATTATCGGGCCTCTCTGCAAAGCGTATTTGTTGAGCTGATTGCTCCTCGGCCCGATTTAAACTACAATGGGATTTAAAATCTGACAAGTCCCCCTGTTCGTTCTCCTAAAAGAGAGAAAAAATAAAAAAAAAAAAGGCAGCGTTTTCCCTGACTCTTGCTCCTGACTCCTCGGAGCAGCCCATTTCATCACCATGGGTTTCTTAGGTCTGTGACCTACACATTCGCAAGCCGACGTCTGTTGCTAATATGTCGCAGAGCCAGAGAAGAGCTCTGATGGCGAGCTGTCGCCGGCGGCCCCTCGATCTCCGATTAACGAGCGCAAGCTGATGGCAAAAATCGACTGGCACGTCGTACCCTGCTTGTGTCTCATGTATTTGCTCGCATTCTTGGACCGGTCAGTTGGAATGCGACTCCTACTTCTGCACCGATACTAACCGAAGGTGCCGACAGAGTGAACATCAGTAACGCGGCCATTCTGGGTTTGCAGGAAGACCTGAATATCGAGACGGGCACGAAATACAACACCGCGTTGACGATCTTTTTTGTTCCCTACATTATCTTCGAAATCCCGTCGAATATTTTAATGAAGAAGCTGAAGCCTCATCTTTGGTGTACGATATCCTTGAAACCATCCATGAATCGGACAAATGTTGACGGTCGCTACAGTGTCATTATGTATGTTTGGTTTCGGCTTGGTCATGATCTGCCAAGGTCTGGTGCAAAACTGGGGAGGACTTATGACTACTCGCTGGTTCTTGGGCATGTTTGAGACCGGTTTATTTCCTGGTTGTATGTTTTCGACTTACCCAGACTTTACCGTCGCGAGCTAACCGCGCAGGCTTCTATCTGATGGGCATGTGGTACAAGCGCAGCGAAGCCCAGAAGCGTTTTAGTTTCTTCTTCAGCTCCACCACCCTAGCAGGTGCTTTTGGTGGTCTCCTTGCCAGTGGTCTCGGCAAAATGGAAGGTTTGCGCGGCTATCGAGGCTGGCGTTGGGTGTTCATTATCGAAGGTGTCCTGACCTGCGTGGTTGCCATCATCTGTTACTTCCTGGTGACGGATTTCCCGGAAGACGCCAAGTGGCTCACCGAAGAAGAGCGCGAGTTTGTTCGCGAAAAGCTCGCTGCGGACACGGGCAAGGCCGCCCCAGATGCTGATTTAACCTTGCGCGATGTGTTGAGCGTGTTCAAAGACTGTGAGTGCTTGTCGCAAACCGTCCAATTTCGTCTTCGTCATTAACCCTCGCTTCTGCAGACAAAATCTTCATCGGTGGATGGATGTACTTCGGTCAGGTTGTCACAGCCTACGGTATGCGCTCGTCGTTTCGCTTTATGTATTCGTTCCACCACTGACCTCCCAGGCTACGCGTACTTTGCGCCGACGATCATCAAGACCTACGGATACGGACCCATCAAGACGCAGCTTTATTCGATCCCTCCCTGGGCGGCGGCATTCGGATTCTCCATGCTTATCGCATTCCTTTCGGACAAGTTTCGCCATCGATTCGCCTTTGCATTCATTCCGATGCTTATTGCGATGGCTGGATACGGAATTTTGCTCAACATCCACGGCGAGTCGCAACGGCACGTGCAGTACGGAGCCCTATTCCTGGTCACCATGGGTTGTTACAGCGCAATGCCCGTCTTGGTGTGTTGGTTTTCTATGAATTTAGGAGGCCATCGGCGACGGAGTGTAGGAACAGCTTGGCAGATCGGCTTCGGTAACAGTACGTCTGGCTATATTTCCCCCTATTAGAGACCAATTAACTAACTCACCACAACTTCAGTCGGAGGAATCATTTCGACCTACTCTTTCCTCCAGAAGGACGCGCCGCTCTACCGCAACGGATACATCATCAGCTTGTCCTTCCTGTGTTTCTCGGCGGCAATGGCCGCCATTTACTTCGCCGCGCTCTGGTTCGATAACCGAAGACGCGACCGGGCGATGGCGAACGGCGCCGTCGATGCCCAGAACAGCGGCGCAGAGGAGCAAGAGGAGTTCTTGGGGGACATGGCGCTCACTTATCGCTACAACTATTAATTAGTAATGAAATTCATGTGAATTGAGTCGGCATTTCTTGCTTCTTGACGCGATGGACCCCGATACCGGACTGTAGGTAGCATCTGGAGAAAACTAGAGCAACAACAATGGTCGCAGCTGTGTGTGGATCCTTGAACTCGGGGTAGCATCCGATTAAATAAATGGGGCGGCGTACCCTCCGACCCCTCGTATTCTTGCCAATGAGAAGACTTTCGGTGGATCTAGTAGCTCCTATACGGGCCATATCTTGATCTAAATCCTCGGTTCTTCAAAGGGTCAGTTGGTCTGGTCCCTAGCTTCGGCATTGTTAGCGACTCAGTGCTACCGAATAACTTGAAGCTGTGCTTTCATAATTCTGGGGATTTTATGCGGAGTATTCCGTGATTAACCGTCCGGTGCCTAAGAAAGTTGTCAACTACACTATAGACGAGTCCCCGCTGCTCCTTTCTTACTCTCATAATCTCTCTTTTCACCAAATACCCAACGTGGAAAAGGATATTCCACCGACCCACTATACAATCTTGATGGTCCCCGTCTCAGCAGGATTGAGATATGTCGACATCAGTATTAACAATGCCTTTCTCTCTTCTCCTATTTTATTTAGGGTCCTTTTTTTTGGGTTCTTATTTTACTTAGACACAACAAACCTACTCGACCTCTCCACACAGCTTGGTAGGACTGTTGCCAGTAGAACCCTAGCCTTTTTCCGTAGTTCAACAAGTTTTTATATTATTGTATGAAGGTATCGCTTTCATTGCGAGTCTAATGGCAGAGGTCTCGAACGCATCTATCGCGCGAACCATTGTATCCCTGAATATTCACAGCATTCTCTTTCCACGCTATCAGGTAGGACATCGACTTACTCTCTCTGACCATTTGTCGTGCTACCCTGGTATCCAAGTTCTATATATATATATATACGAATATGGTTCAGTTAGCTCGTTAGAATTGCAGTGCTCAGTCAGTTCGATATAGTTATATTCTTTATACATAACGCAATATCAGACATACGTACAATCTTAAAAGTACTCTTACTTCCACATCTTCCCAATCTGGCAATCCCGAACCACTACCAGGTGCAAAACCCACAACTTCCCAAAACCAACCCCGACCCAATCCCCAAATAACGATATACATTCCCACCAGGAACCCAGCCAATAACCCCATAGCCAAAACCAATCATCCCCTAAACCCACCGATAGCAAAGCGGGAAGCAAGCGGAGTGCCAATGCTTGGCAGTCGCGCAGCAACAAAGATCAAGCTCCAAAGCCATTCTTGGCCTTCCAATGGGACCAAATATCCATTGCACGCGGTTATACTAGAAACTGAGTCCCCCGTCTATCTCGACTATCAACCGGTATTAGTAGGAGAAATGATGGTTTCAGACCATACTGAATCCCCTATATTCATGTAGCCGAGTCTTGGCTTCTTGTTATACTTGCGATGAGCCCTCGTGGATTTGCTATGTTCTTCTTTGTCACTTCTATTGTATTTTCGTCCAATTGCTGACTCTGTGTACGGCACGCGATGAAAATGCTCACGGCCTGGTAGAACATGTGTACGATGGTTCTCTTTCCATTGGCTTTCGAGATAATGCTAGAGGTCTGCGGCATGGATGGCAGGTGTTGAGAAGTCGCGCTTTCCTCCGGGTGAGGTTGGCTACAGCAGTGTGAAATCGATAAGTTTGTCAGGTTATAAATAGGGATATCCAGTACAGTGTCAATAGAGAATAAGAATTACTTCAGTATCATCAGTCAGTATGGTGTATACATCTACTCTCCTCTCCTTACTTGCCCTATCCACGGGGACGTGGGCAAGTTACAATGCGAACTTGAACTACCGCAGCCCTTCGACCCGCCACACAGGCATGGGAATAAACATCGACTCCGTCCACCGTCGTAGTCTCGCGAAACGTGATGAAGCCCCTTTCCATCCCTCTCAGTTGAACTTCACCCATGGTGTAGCATCCGGTGACCCCTATGCGGACAGTGTGATCCTCTGGACTCGTGTCGCTCCCTCCCTGGAGGCCGACAGAAGCAACGTGACTGTATCGGGGACCGTGGGGTTGTACAACCATGATACCGAACCGTATATCAAGGCCTCGGCCCATCCAATCTGTGTCGATTATCAGGTATATGAGGATAAAGAGGGCCGAAGAGTGGTCGATAAAGGGAGGGCATATACTACCAGTGACATTGACTATACTCTGAAGGTATAGTGACGTATATCCTGCTTCTGATTTATCGTATTGACTGTCCGATAGGTAGAAGCTAGTGGACTCAAGCCGTTCACGACGTACTGGTACCAATTCCAAGTTTGCAATTCGAATGTCACCAGTCCGCTTGGAAGGACCAAGACTGCCCCGGGTGCCGATGACTCTACCGAGGAAATTAAGCTGGCTGTTTATTCTTGCAGTAATTACCGTATGTGCGGACTTCTCTAATTTATTCTCGGGGCTAACATAACTAGCGAATGGGTATTTCAACGCGTATGGAAATGCCGTCCGGAAGGACAGCGTCGACTATGTGCTCCATCTCGGAGATTATATTTATGAAACGAAGAAGGGGGTAGTCGGACGGGATGAGCGAGCTGTCCGTCCGGAGCGAGAGATCTTCTCTCTCTATGATTATCGGACTCGGCTTGGACATGTATGATCCTCCCTCCTTCACCCCGTGATGATCCTTACTAAAGATCTGTAGTATCGCACTGATCTCGACCTTGCCGCATCCCATCAGAATTTTGCTTGGATTCCTGTCTGGGATGACCACGGTATGACCATATATTTCGCTTGCTAGCACACGACGCTGACGATATAGAAATTGCCGACAACGGATACAGAGACGGCTTTAGCCATCTCAACAACACAGAAGAATCTTTCCGCAATGACAGCCCTCAAATCAGTGTCGACCAGCGCAAGATGAACGCCGTCCGGGCGTATTTCGAATGGATGCCTCTTCGGTTTGTCGCCCTGGTGACTCAGTCCTGTGACAATCATTCTAATATTGCTCTAGTCAAGTGGACATGGACGATGGCCTCCGCATCTGGCGCTCGTTCAAGATGGGAAACCTTTTTGATCTGATCATGTTGGATACTCGTAATTACGATCGCAGCATTACTGATCTCTGTATGTCTGTTCCTCTCAGCGAAGACTCGGGCTAACCTGTCAGATTGGAACACGGACTATATCGAAGAGATTCACAACGACGCCGGTCGGACGTTAATGGGAGGTCGTCAGGAGTCATGGTTTGAGAAGCAGTTGACGGCGTCTAATCAGCGTGGAGCAAAGTGGCGTATTATCGGGAGTCAGCTTCGCTTTGCTCGTCTGGGACGGGAGACTAATGGAGAAGTCACTTACAACATGGATTCTTGGGAGGTGAGCATCCCAAAGCTCGTCAGATAGTCAGGTGGCTAATGGAGTAGGGCTACCGTGCGAACCAAAACCGTACGCTGAAGCACCTGTACGATAACAACATCGGCAACAATATCATGATCGCGGGTGATACCCATGTCAACTGGGTGAGTCTTTTGATAACGGTATATGTGCAGTCACTGACTAGAGCAGGTGAGCGACATTGCCTGGGTCGGCGAGAAGCCTTATGACGGCAGCACTGGCGTTGGTGCTATCGGAGTCGAATTTGCTGGCACTGCGGTGAGCAGCTCCGGGTTCGGGGGTACTATCAACAGCGCCGAACAGACTGCTGCTTCTTACGCGCGCAATGAGGATCTGCAGTGGAATGAAGGCTACTACCGCGGGTACTTTGAGCTGCGGATGAGATCGGATGAGGTGGAGGCGAAATACTTCGGTATGCTGGATTACACCCTTTGTGATTAGGCGAACTAACTGACCTTATAGGATGCCCTACTGTGGCTACCCGGAATAGCTGGGAAATCCCCCTGGCCAACTTTACGGTCAAACATGACGATAACCATCTGACTCGGCCTATTGCTGGAGGACAGGTGGAAGCGGGTTTTATCCATCAGGGCGAGGTGAAGCACAGCAATCTTACTCTTAACACTGAGACGGGCGAGTGGCAGGTCATTGGGTTCGACCAGATGTTTGTTAAATATCAGTAATTGGTTGTATGTATAGCTTGTAGACTGTCTAAAAGTACACAACTTGTCGAGGTGACTATTCCTCGAAATATATATGATTTATATTGACTCATCCTGGAATCTATATGCAACATCAATACTTAAGTAGAATGGACGATTTTATTAATTCAAATGACCTGGCATCCTGCACGTGCTCAGAAAGTGTAAGAAGAACCACGAGATACCTCTCAGCCCTAAGGCGCCTCATACGCTGACCCCAAGACCTACACACCAACCGCCATACCAACCCTCTCATGAATCATGGATATATAACCTATAATGCCCAAAACACAAGCAGAATACCCACTAATTTCACATGGATTGCCAACCGCCACACCCGAAAGACACATGATCCCCACTTATCTCACCCAATGTCGCCATTGCCCCCGATTCTCATCTTTTCCAAAACAGTCCCATTGGGCATAGATTGACACTGCAAGACCCACTGCCGCTTCGTCCGGTTATCAATCAGCGCGTGGGTACTTTTTAGGCTGCTTTTCATTCTATTCATTTCTTTTCCCTTTTGGATTTAAAGTCAGTCTAGTCTTTCTCACTTGCATTGTTCTTATCTTTCACTCTACTCGAGTCAGCTCTCCACTCAGTGCATCGTTCATTCATTGTTGTCTATTGAAACATACAGATACAGATACAGATACAGACACTATAATCGAATCATTCATTCTCCTTCCTTTCCTTCCTATCACAAGATAATATCCTCTCGAATTCCAAAGAGAAACCCCAAGACCAAAAGGTTCGTCACAACCCCATCCCAAACACCAACCACCCAACTCAACTTACCGAACACTCTCCAGCCACCAAATCATATCAAACCAAGCAAAAATGGTCCTCATCACCCGCGGCATCTCCCTCACCAACTTCCTCGTCGCATCCTCCGCCCTCGCCTTCCAGGTCTTCGTCCTGTATCCCTGGCACAAGCAACTAGATGAGAGCTTCGAGGACCTGAAGAAGGAGCATCTGAAGGTTCTCCAGGTTTTGGATCGGGTTGAGCATGGCAAGACGAGTGGGAATCTGGGTATTCGGGAGCAGATTGAGATGAAGAAGCAGGGTCTTTAGAATACATTGTCCATCTTGGATTGGGAGGTGAAATGGGGACGTTAGTTTGGACGTTGGGGAGGGAAGGAGAAGATTGGGCTTTGAGTAGCGGAGACCTGGTGTATAGACTGTACAAGTCTTACTGTCTAAGTTTCTTATAGAGGATAGATTGATGAATGTCATTATTCTTTTGTTTTCGCTCTGAATTTATACTGGACCTTTGATGTGGCGGTTGCTCGGTTTATTGTCTTCATTGAGCTTTCTTTTATTGAAAAATGTGTAGAAAAAGTTCGACGTTGGTTTCTATTCTCGGGGCTTTTGTCATTTCCCCATACTTTTGTTCGATGTTGACGGTTTGTCGGCTCCGACTTGTGCCGAGTCGGGTCCGATACTGGGCCGAGATATCTCCTTTATCAATCTTATTAACTCTGTTGATTGTTTGGATTTGATGCGTTGGACAAGATCTGGGGAATTTTTACATAGTACATCCGATGATAAACGTTTGGGGAGGACTCCAGTCACCAAGGGGGAGCTCTAGGATTTTAACTTGATATGTACATACATCTTTCAGATCTATCATCTATCTACGCGAATGGGATCGGTCTTATCTGAGCAGTCGTAATTCATCTAGATCATAGATTTCGCCGGACGATCGCTGCCAACATCAGAAGACGCTCCATTCAGTCATCACAGTCATTCTTAACATGCACATTCATAGATACAAAGAAAAGCACCAAATCACAATCCATTCAACAACAAGAATTTTAACGGGGGGGAAATCAACCCACTATGCAAACAAGTACTTGGCCGCGTGCTCCACATGGTCATCCGCAAACGTCGCCATGGTGTAATAGCTGTGGTCGTAGTCGGGCTGGTAGCGGACCTTCAGACCCTCGACGCCGGCCTCCTTAGCCGCCTTCTCGAAGTTCTCGGGCAGAAGCTGGCCCTGCTTGTAGAAGTTGTCGCCGGTACCCTGTTTCATTCCATTCAGTATAAGCCACACAGCAGACCAGATCAACAAGACATACCACGTCAATGAGCACATCCAACGGCCCCTTCCATTTCTTCACGAGCTCCGATGCGTCGTGCTCCTTCCACTTCTCCTGCTGGTCCTCACCAAAGTAGCCGCCGAAGGCCTTCTGGCCCCACGGGCAGTTGATGGGGTTCGAAATGGGTGCAAAGGCGGAGACAGACTTGTACTTGCCGGGGTTGCGGAGGAACTATCCGAGATCAATACCTCTGCGGAGTCTCGAAAGGGAGGGGAAGGGAACATACGAGAGTGAGAGCACCATGGCCACCCATGCTGTGACCGGTGATACTGACACGGCTCTCATCCAGCTGGGGGAACGCGGCAAAGACGGTCTTGGGCAGCTCCTCCGTCACGTAGGTGTACATGTTGTAACCACCCTTGTAGGGCTCCTTGGTGGCATCGACGTAAAATCCGGCACCGGTACCGAAGTCCCAGGAGTCATCCTCACCCTGGATGTTCAATCCTCCTACATCCTGGTTAGCCTTTTCCCACTGTCTCTCTTCGACCGGACTCGGTTGTTTCTCGCGACATACTCGGGCTGGTGTCAGGGTACAGCACGGCAATACCCTTCTTGCTGGCGCCGTGCTGGAAGAAGCCCTTCTCGGAGCAATTGTTGGCGGTGCAGGTCAGACCGGACAGGTAGATGAGGACGGGGACTTTCTGCGAGGGGTTTTCGATGGCCTGGGGCGGCAGGTAGAGGTTGAAGGACATTTCACAGCGGGTGGAGGTGGCGGCATGACTGAGCTTGAGGAGCTTTCCGCCGAAGGAGGCGATGGTTGCTTGCGTTGTGACCGACATGATGTGGTTGTGTTGAGTGATATAGTGGGTGCGAAACTCGTGGAGGAAGTCAGTGAAAAGAAGACGCAGAAGAAGAAACAGAATTCAATGGGGCTGAGAGGGACGGGAGTGAGTTAAATTGACGTTCGGTGTGGATCAATCAATGAGGAGTGGATGAGGGGAAGAATTGATGAGGGGCAGAATAAATCAATACAAGTCCAGTGACTCCCCCACATTTCAATCTACACAACTTCTCTCTCTTCCGCTTACTATAAATCGTATCGGAATTTCCCCTCATCACTACCACCAGAACTCAGTTGCTTGCACACCAAAGGTCCCCACCTCGGGGATATTTTTGCTCTTTTAGGATACATAGGAGAGCATGGTGGACCCAATAGAAACATAAATTATGGGATTAAGAAAAAGGTACCCTCACGCCATGAAAATGCCCTAATAACAATGCTCAATGCTCCGGTACCATAGAAAATAATCATCACCACCGAAACAAAAACGCTCACGCTACCCAGATGCTTATTCCAAAAACACTGCCGGAACGCCATAAATCACCGGAGCCGCTCCGTTCAAATACTTCAATACACATGCCGGTCGCGACTGCGACACGGCTTCGTCCAACGTCGCCCCGTCCGATCCGGCATCAAACAGTCCCCATTTCTCAAACGTAGACTGCGCAAACCGATCGATATCCTTATCCGTAACATCCCAGAGGGTTGCAACAAGCGCCGGGCTGCCAGCGTGGAGATAGTTCATGGGCGTGCCGTAAGGCTCGTACTCACCCGCCTCCGTCAAGGTACCACTGCTGCACCCCATCAGGAAAGCAACGGCACATTGCTCCAGTCGCTTGACAGTCCGACCCCGGATGTATTGTGCTCCACTGCCGTGTCCAAAGTACAAGAAGAGATTTGTCGTCTCCAGCCCGCGCTTGAACTCTTCTTCGCTCGGCTCGCGCTCCATAATACCAGTCCACCCGTGCAACGCAGAGAGATCCTTCTCAAACGTGCTTTGTGTCGTGCGCAGATCGCCAGTAGGATTCAGAATGTACGTGCCACTATTGCGATGAATGCCCACGCCGCGGGTGATGTCAGAGTTATGTTTGCTCTGGAACTGCAGAACTCGGTCACGTAGACATTCCAGCGACGGCACACGGCACACAGGGAACCCCTGGAGACATGGGAGAGATTCCCATGGGAAGAGGTGTAGAGATTTATCAAGAACCAAGACGGTATGGTTCGGGGTGGGTTTGCCCCGGCGGCTGCTGGCGGCGTCATGGTAGGCCCGAACCGCGTCGAGGGTTTCAACCACCATCATATCAAAATCAATCTCATCGTAGGCATTGCGCTCGCCCTGGAACTGTAAAATATCCACCACGAAGTATAAAAGATCCATCAACGTCTCTTCCGGATCTTCTTGGTCGTCCAGGTCCGCCACACCGATAAACAGTTCCAGCACGTTCGGGTGCAGCGTCAGGCGCGGACCCTCTGCCCGACCACCCTTCTGTCGAGAGGGAAGGTGTTTGTCCAAGATGGATTGGAATGAAGACGCAAATCGAGCCAGAGAAGTTGTATCATGAGGCACGGGGGAGAAGATTCCTCGGAATCCCCCGAACCACACATTCTCAATGTTCTGCAGCAGAGTCTCCATCCGGCAGTCAAGAGCTTCACGGTTCTTCCACCAGTCCTTCTTCATCTGCCGATCAGTTTGAGCTTTGGCCGCGTGAGAACTTTCGTTAGCCAGCTTGATCAGTTCCTGCATTTCCTCCCGTCCGTCATCGAAAGTAAACTGCGCGTCCTCCTCCTCCTCGGAGTTACCTCTTTTCAGCGGAAGCCGCAAAAGGAATGGTGAACGACCTTGATGCAGTCGTGAGACAATAAACTCGCTACGGTCGGCGCTCAGCGACAAAGAAAGAACGTTCCAGTTGTCGGGCAGGATATCAATGTATTCCTCCACAAATCTCGAGTTACACAGATCCTCGGGGTCCGCCGTCACCGGGGAGGGCGTAGGCCAAAGAAGCGGGTCGTTATATTCCGCCAGCTGCTTGTCAAGATCAATGGCAGTATGCTCACGCGTAAAAGCACCGATACGGCCAAGTTCTACACAGGTTAGCTGTATATCGCGTGAAGAGAAGAGCTTGTAGACTTACCATTAACGTTAGCAGGAGGCTGCGACCAGGCGGATGGGCTCTCGGTGGTCGTAACATGAGACAGCATAGAGATACGACCCATCAAGCGTGAAGCGGAGTGGCTATCCAAGGTGGAGCCCACGGTAGTAGCAGTAGCAAACACATTGTTGAGACAATCGCCAGCCTTGGATAGCATCACAGCGAAGTCTTCGCTAGCTGTCTGCGCTCGAGATCGTGTCCCTCTAGCGGGTGCTCGAGGCTTCCGAGCCGTAGCTTTGGTGGCGGCCTTAGATGTGCTCGTAGTCTTGCTTGGCGATTGCAGGGAAGGCAGCGAAATGGTTGATTCGGGAAGAACACAGTATACAGCATGAGAAGCAAAGTGGCGAATAGCCTCTGCGAGGAACTGCTCACTTTCCCCAAGATAAACCGAGATCTGACTGTCCCGAGTGACTGCATATTTCCGGGCGTTGTTAAGCAGGCATGAGGCTTTCTCGAAATCTCGCAAGGAGTGGCAGCAAGCGGCCTGTTGTCGCAGGATATCGCTTCGGATCTGCAGCAGGGACTTTGATTCAGTCACGGTGTCGACGTCTTTCGAAAGGGTAGCATCTGCCTTGGTGGGTTTTCGAGTTGAGGCAGTGGCACGGGTTCGGCGAGTGGTCGCGGCGGGCTGCTTCGTCCTTCTGCTGCTCGGTCGGATTCGGAGACTCTCCATTTTGTCTTCTAGGTCCGGGACACCCGAGGAAACAGAAGCCGCATCGGACACATCCAGGCTTCCAAAATCAGCCATGATCCGGTCCGCCTCCAGAAGGGCCTGGAGTTCATCACGGTAGTGGCCCTGCGCTCTATAAAGAGAGGCAAGACCCATCTGCAGCGACGCGAGCTCAACGCTACTCTCCAGCTGCTTAGACAATTTCTCTGCAGCTGTGAGGAGCTCTTGGCCTTCAGAGATATGCCCTCCAAGAATCCAATGTGACCCAAGCTGCGCTTGAGAATTGATCAAACGAACAGGCGCGTTCAGTGTCTTGTTGATCTTCAGCGCCTGCTCACCGTAGTAGATGGCATCCTGGAACAGGCCGTGGTGTGCAGATAGACTCGCAAGGTTCAAAAGAGAGGTGTGATGCGAGCCGATATGCGGCCAAAAAGGGGCTCCTTGTGTATAGACAGAAGTCGTCGTAGGGTTCGCCTGCGATACATCAAGCTTGGCCATAGTTTCAACAACATTGTCAAGCTCGGAGCTATCCCCTACGGAAATAACAGGCACAGGCAAACTCTTTTCCTGTTTTCTCTGGGAGATTTTCTCAACCTTGGCCCAGATCCTGCAGTTCAACCGGACAGATAGCTTAGCGAAAAAGAGCGCGTCCTTGATGACTCCCTGGGCAAAGGAGAGCTGCGAACTCATAAAAGCTGCATCCGCGACCAATCTTTCCCAGGCAATCTTGGCCAAAACAGAGCAGCTGCTCAGATCCTGCTTCTTCTGGTTTTGCTCATAGAGACTCCTGGCTGCTGATAGGTTGGTCGCCGCCTTCTCAGTCTCGCCCGTTTCCAGGAGGTACGCTACCTGTGCCAGTTTGTGTGATAGGGTAGCCAGGCAAGATACGTTAGGGCCGAGGTACTGCTCCGCGCGAGTCAGGAGATCACCGGCCTTCTTGCAGTACCCAAGTCGACAATACTGCTGTGCTAGACGCGCGATTACGATGATGGCTTCGGAAAAGTCACCGCCTTCTTGAAGCTCCGTGACACGTAAGACCAGTTCAAGCGTTGAAAGCTGGAGCTTCCAAAGCCCATGGATCTCTGTGTAGTCAACGACGGCCTTCAGTTGAAGGAGGTAGTGTTCCACATCGCCAACGTATTGAATTAGGGTTATTCCATCGCTGCAGTTGCGCATCAAAGAGGTCCAGGAGGATATCATGAGGTTGAGAGTCTCAGGTTGTAGGTCCCCTTGCAAAAGGCCAACACTAAGGCGCACAGAATTATGCAAATGAGTCGCTAAAGTCGCCAAAGCACCATCCTCAGCGTAGTCCCCAAGTTCGATGACCTCCAAGCCTTCCTCGAGTAGATCTTGTAATACTGTCGACTCCAAACAGTTCGGGCGCTCCAGGGACGAACGCAGCCCGCCCAAGACTACCCGTAAGCGACGAATGGGATAGATTTCCGGATCGTAGAGCCCAAGCAGCTTGGACATAAGGCAGGTAAAGTGTGACCGAAAGGCTTCGTCGCTGGAAGCATGTGAATGTAGCTCTGTGAGGATGCCCATTTGCCATTCCATGATATGGCCTCTTGCCAACAGTGATTGCGACTCGTCGTCAAAGAAACCGTTAGACTTTGACTTACCACGCAACCTAAGCTGCAACTTCAGGTAGGCAGTAAGGACTCGGCCAAGCATGAACCCGCTGCTTTTGGGATCTTGGGAGGTTCGGTGAGCAAAGTTGGGACTAGAGATCAAGCCGTCCAACACTCCTGTGTCGATATGCTCTTGGATGGACTGGGAGAAAGCCTGTTCGGCTTCTGCGCCCCTGTTGCCTTCCATGTAAAGATATGCAAGCCGTTCGTACTTCAAAGCCGCAAACCCCGTGTTTCGTTGTTCTGGTGAGCAGCTGGACAAAAGATTCGCAGAGTGCTTCACCAGAGGTACTAATTCACGATATCCTTTGCCACACTCTTTCTCTTTCAAATAACGTGACCAAAACAGATTTGACAACCGAACGAATGCTGCACCAATCTGCTCGAGCACTGAAGGATCGGCATGTTCATCTGCGATGTGAATAGCCGTCAAAAGACGCTGAGAGTCTGTCAGGGCGGAAAGCACGTCTTCCCAGGGAGGCCGTTGTGACATGATTGAGAATTTACCGACAGCTAGCGCTGAATCAACCGCCGAGAGGACAATGGTTCTGCATGCGCGAACCCGCGTAGTAAACAAGTCATCCTCTTTTGACTCATCATCGGACGAGGATGGCCGACCAATATATCGACGCAAAAACCGCAGGAAAGCGGGAAGATATTCATAGATTTGGGAAATGTTGACTCCATTCTTCTCGCCTGCCTTCGTAACCAAGTCTCCATAGGCACTCATGGTAAGCTTTTTGAGTTTGGCTGCTTCAACCAACAGCTCGTCGAGGTCACTGAGACTCCCTTTCAAGGGCATACTCAGTGAGGAGGTCGCATCAGATACGACATTCGTAACCTTGTCGAGTGATGGTTTGGAAGACTTCCTAGCTTGAAGGTGCAAAGATGCAATCTTGCAACGAACAGTGGCAAGCGAGAGGCATTGCCCGCTTGAGAGTGGGTTGACAGCTTCGGTATAGAGCTTCAGCGCTTCGTCAAAGCATCCAGCCTCTTGAGCAAGCTGACCTAGTATAGTGGCAATTTTAGCGACCGAGACATTATCTCTCAAACTGGCCGTGGTGCGCTTCTGCGTATTAGCAACGGCGGTTTGGAGTCGAACGATTGTTTTGTAGATAGACGCAAACTCAGCTTTCTCGGCAGTTTTGCTGTGATGAGAGTAGTTGGCAAGGTAGCGCGTCAATGGATCCCACATCTCTTTCCCTTCATCGCAGGTGTGACCAGACAGTTTCCAGCTCATGCATCTGATTTCCAAGCACAATAGTTGAAGGGACAACGAGGTAAACGGCTTTAGACGATCGCGGGTTGTGCTGCTATTGGACGGCTGGTGAACTCCAGCCAGAGATAGTACAGTATTGGAAAGCAGTTGGAGTTGAAGTGCTGCTTTGTCTTTCGTGAGCGCCCCCGATTCCGTGGCCGCCACGATGACATTAGCCGGACTGCTCAATTCGGACAACTGCAGTGAAGACGCGACTTTCTGGACAGTTGCAAGTTTCGTTTCGGATGCTATCAGTCGTAGCGCATTAGATTGAAAAGGAACCAGTACGCTCAGCACCGGGCCGGCATGGTCGAAATTGGTAAACGTAAGCAAATCCGACATCTGTTCCTTGGTGGCTTCCTCCTCCTGAACCTCAATCTTCCTCCTACTCGTAGTCTTTTGTCGTACTGTGGCCTGGCTATCCAAGTATTGTTGTAACCTTCTCTTAAGACCTCTCAATTCTTTAGAAGCCATATCATTCAGCCCCAATGACAGATACCTCCCCGCCAAGACACATGCACCTTGCTCCAGCTGCATGTTTGGGAATCCTTCCTGCTGATCAACTTGTTCACCCTTCAAGCTCCTTAAAGAAGATAAAGCCATGGCTGCGCATTCCGCCACAGCAATTAACCCAGTGTCCAGGCCATCCTCCTGGGATGTCTTCGGCTTCCTGGAGGATTTCGCACCACGACTCGGCGGTGGGGAGCTACACGCGGTCCGAGCCCGAGCGTCGTCGCGTTTGGCGCATAGCTTCGAGGCATCCGAGAGGGTCTTTAGGGTGGTGTTGAAGACATCCGTGGCGAGGATGAGCTTCTCTTGAGATGACAGACGCGCAGCGTCCATTTCCACGACTGTGTTGATGGCCGCTTCTTGTGCGGAGACTTTCGTCCCTCTGGACGACTTGGGTCGAGTGGAAGTCGCTGTCGTTTTTGTCGTCCTTGTTCCCCTCTTCACTGTGGCTTTATCAGACTCCGGTGACGTTTTCGATAGCCCGCGGAAAAGGGTCTGGAGAGAGATGACGGTGGCATTCGAACATGTTGACGTGGAGCGAACGGCCTGCTTCACCGATTCCACGGAGGAATCGGAGAGGAGAGTGGTGACCGCCATTGGTACAATTGTATCGTTGCTGTGAAGATGAACGGTTAGTAGTTCAGGCCATCCGGAATGTTCGATAACGTGGTAGCTTGTGTGGCTTGTCTCTTGTGACATCTGTGATGGTTATCGCTTGCCGTAAGCCAAGCCTAAGGCCGTTGTCGTAGCAACATCAGAGCCACTACACCCAGAGTGGTATAGCGGTGCCAAGGCTCCGAGACTCCGATGTCAAGGACTCTTTTCAATATCTCATGGATGTGAATCGTGAAAAGGACGTCGCAAACCCTCGCAACGCACCCAAAATTCTAGCAAACATGTCTTTCACGAGGCTCTCCACGCGGTTTCTCTCGAACACACGAGCTACTCCCCGGCTCATTGGGAACATTCCCATCCGAACACCACACCAAATTCGTCTCGAATCCACCAGAGTACCACGATTAGCCCAAGCCTCAGTCTGGAGCTCGATGATCCCTAAATTCATCCGAAACCGCGGTACCAAGGAGATAACGGCCGAGACTGCGAAATCGAAAGAATGGAACCCTGCTAGTTTCTACATCATCATATTCATCTTGATCGGGTCACAAGCGATCCGGATGATCGCGCTGAAGAACGACTACCGCGCATACACGCGGACAACAGATGCCAAGATCACGCTTCTGCGAGAAGTCATTGAGCGAGTTAAGAATGGTGAGAAGGTAGACGTGGAGCGACTACTGGGGACTGGCGATCACGGAAAGGAGAGGGAGTGGGAAGAAAGTTGGTTTTCCACACTCGTTTGCATTAAGGATTGGTTGCTGACTTCTGCTGGGTAGTTCTGCGGGAGATCGAGGACGAGGATTCGCTATGGCATCAGAAGTCGAAGGATCAGGAGCCGGATCAACAAGCTCAGTCGCAAGAACGACAGGAGGAGCACTCGCAGAAGAAGGACCCAGTTATGCCCGCTGAAGGTACCGGAAATGAGGAGCCACCTGCAAATAGCCCCTCGAGACGAAAGATCAATTTCTTTTAAGAACACTTTTCATGGAGTCAGCTAGCTCTCGGGTCCGGAACTCAGTTGCGTACCTTCGCCTTTCGGCTAATGCGGTGGTCCTCCGACCTAAAAGTAACCCTCGTGAGCTATCCTGTTGATGCGGCCAAGGCTCGTTACTGTGATTGGCCATTGTGATACTCTGTTCTGCATCTTTTGATACGCGGTAGGCTACATTGATTTTAGCGGTCTTATACAACTGCGCTAACGAAGGGTATATTCAAGGGGTCACCTGGCGTTGAGAAAATGTGTTCCACATTTACACTTACTATGTATTTATAAGGGTCTACACCAGCTCTTATGAGATTTTATGATACCCATGTCATTTTGACCTACACTACTATTGCTCTGGTGTATATAACTTGTGTTGGATGTCCAATCCTATAACATATATCTCACACGCTTTCAAACCAAAACAAGGTACATATCACACAGTTCGTACCTGTACATTCGTATATAGGATAAATTCACACGGTCTAGGACATCTCATGCAAACTGGGAATAGTGCAAATCTCTATCCCTTCCCCGGTCTATTCCTTTTTGATACAATGTGCAAATGCAAGGTGGTTCTGTACGGGCATAAGAGAAAAAGAAATGGTCTTCCAATCAGAACCCCGGGTACTAAGCCAAAAGGAAACAGGTCAGACAAACAAAAGAGAGCAGAAGGTATTTCCAATCGAAGACAAACGAAGGCAAAAACGGATCCAAAACGTCGCTAGTGAATACAAAAGTCATGCTTAGTTAGTGCTGGGTGTCTGCAGAAACTTGGGCCATTTGTCGGCCTGAGGAATCCTGACACGGCCAATGTTCTCGTCGAGATCCAGGATCAGCTTCAGGGCGTTTCTGGACCGGAGGTATGGCAGAGGAGCCTTGGCACCCTGGAGGCCAACGCCGGGCTCAATTTGGCCACTAGGAGTGGCCTCCTCGTGCCCGGGCATAGGCAGCCACTTCTGCAGAAGTTCATATGATGCGAGGGTGAAACCAAACTGAGGAGAGGAACGAATGATACGGGCCGGGCCACCCTTGAAGAAGGCCTTGAAGCCCTCCTCCTTCAAGATCGTCTGCGCACAATGACGCAAACCAGTGTATCCGACTTCGCCCTTACGAGCCTCGACTTGGAGACGGGTCTTGATGACATCACACGGGGTGGTCAGATAGGCGGCGGGCATACCAGCGATCGCACCAGCAGTCAGCAACTGCACGACACCGAGCTTGTGAGTAGGAGATTCGCCGAAGAAGTCGCTCTTCAAGTGAGCGTAGGTTGGGAAGTAAATTGCAGAGAATGGAACTATTGTTGAGTGGCATCGATTAGATTCTAGGTCCCAGACATGCAGGAGCAGATGGGTCCTTCTTACCATCACGGAGCAAACAGGCACTGGCTCCCTTGTACAGACCGACCAGACCCAAGTTCTTCACGATCCACAGGGCCGAACGACGAGGGGCCCCCTCGACGTTCTTCGCAATTTCTCCCTGAACCTGCAGGCGAATCTTAACAATTTCCAGAGGGTTGGTGAAAATCTAGAGAGGGTCAGCGCGGAGTCCAGAGCGATGGCGTAACGGTGGGGAGCAGTGCAACTTACCACTTGGCAACCTCCAGCCGTACCACCGGCAAGGATCTCGTAAGGATACCAGATCTTGCCGTTCTCCTTATTCGTAAAATGGCCACGGACCAAGTCGTTGACCGTCAGCTTGATGGCCTTTTCGGGCGCAACACCAATCAGCTGAGGCACGACTCCGGAATACAGACCGGTGAAGCCCTCGTTACGGATGACCTTGCGCGCACAATCGAGTGAGTTGTTGTACAGTCTTTCGCCGACACGCGTCGACCGCTGGTTCTGCATCCGCGTCTTGACCAAGTCAATGGGGTAGACCATGAAGGCACCAAAAGCTCCTGCCAAACTGCCCAGCGCGAAGTGGTGGGCCGACTCCAACACGTTGTACAAGAGCGACTTGGTCGTGTCCGCCGCCTTATGGACGGTGGAGACGGCGGCTTGGCCTGCAATAGCAAGGGGCATCCGCCATGATGCATCGATGACCTTGGCGAAATCCTTTTGAGCGAGACGGCCAGAAGGGGCATCCAAGCCGGCGAAGTGGAACAGGATGTCCGCTTCCATCGGGGTGAACAGGGAGAAGCGAGTGATGCGGGCCGCCTCGTTCAAGAAGTCGGCGCGGGTGATCTTACCGTCATCACTCTTCTGGGTCGCCTCTCGCACAATGACATCAATCATGTCCATCTCGCGCATGATGTTCTGGAAAGCACGGACAGTGGCATAGGAGATCTTGGTGCCGGTGGAGATGTTGCACAGACTGGGAAGGTGTTCCAGCACATAGTCCGACAGCTTGTGTTTCGAGGTTTCCAAGATGATGCGCTGAAAGTCTTCGGGCTCGATGTAGCCATCACCGTCTTTGTCGAAGATGTGGAAAGCTTGGCGGATGCGCTCCCCTTGCAAGCCTCGGAGCATTTGCGCGAATTGGGGGTAGGTCATGTCATGGCGACTCTTGGTGCGGCCGGTGTACAGGGAGGCCCATTCCGAGTTCCAATCGAATGGAATGCTATCCTTGTCCTTGTTCACGTTGTACAGATTCTTGAAGGTTTCCCACTTGACGGTGCCGGTGCCATCGGTATCGAACAAACGGAAGGCGATCTCATATTCGGCATCGGGCTTCGAGAGGAGGTTCTCGAAGGTTGCCCAATCGCTGAGGCTGAGCTTGCCGGTCTGCTTGCGATCCGCAACCTTGAAGAGGATTCCGTAATGTTCACGCTTGATTTTGTGCTAGAAAAGGGCGAAATTGTCATGTTAGCTGGAGGTCATGCGAGCTCCGCGGCGGCGATGACACATCATCGTTGTCGCAACATGAATACAGCACAACACTCACATAATCCTCATGCTTGGGGGCAATAGCATTGATGAAATCGTCTTCCGTCATGTACAAGTCTTCGGTACCCTCATCCTTGCGTGCGTGACGAAGAAAATTCGTCTTGGCCTGGTGTGATGGTTGTGACTGATCCGTACTGGAGCCAACCAAGGACTCTTTTACCGCGTCCTTGACAGTCATTGTGATATGAATATATATACGAACGCAACAAACGAAAGGCAGCCAGCAATTGATGCAAGTCACTGAAGAAATCAAGCTTCAGGACAGATGAACACTAACGAGGAAGGCCAACCCAAGGGATCCAGACAGGAAAAGAATGGGATTATGAAGGGGTTGGGTTGGGATAAGGGAAAGTGTGTGGAGAACGGAAATTAGTTAAGGAAAAAAAAATGGGGGGAAGCGTAAGTGATAGTGCCAAAAGAAGATCAGTTGTTCTGGGGATTGTACAATGACGGTGATGGTTTTTGTCTTTAATTTTTTATTCTTCTTCAGCTTTTCTATGAGGGGAAAAAAAATTGACAAAAGTTTGCTTTTATTATTATTCTTACTCTTTTTTTTTATCTTCAACCTTTTTTTTTTTATTTGCCTCGTTGAAGATTTAATCAGATACGCCGGGTAATAACCTCAGGCTACCAATCAACTACATAGTTCGCAGCTGACAGGCCACACCCTGCGAGACAGCCATAATAATAATAATAATAATAAACATGAATAAAAAAATAAAAATAAAAAAAAACTCGGACAAGTCACGCTGGCCACTGGAACCCGACACACCGCCCCTGGAATGCGTAAAATTACCCGGTACGGTGATTGATTTCGCAACTCGGGACAGGAAGCCGACGGTTTTGGATTTATCTCCGCATCTCTCCTCATATTGTCTGTTCTGTATTAGTAGTTAAGTACTAAAGACCTCGTCGCTTCGTCTGTCTACGGAGTACACTGGCCGTGGAATATTTGGTATATACACCACAACATCCAATAGTCCAATTGCCTCAGGCCCCGTTCAGACCTGGAACTGTCACATTCCCAACTCAAAGGAAAATTTGGTTCCAGTAACGTGAGCTTGATTGGTGGTTCCGAGGCAGCGTTTGCCAGGGGACGAGATTCTGAGCCACACACACACGGTAAAGTCCGGAACGTCTGCCCAGCCATGATTCGACACCCGCACCGGCTGACCCCTGGAGCATCACCGAGACTTCCAGAAGGCGTTCAAGAAAATTCTGTGAACAGGGATTGAAATGCAGATACGAGATGAACTCCAATGAGATCCGAAGGGATAGTCGATCTCCCTCGCAGTTCCCTCGTCTTTTTATGTGTACACCGATCGTCTCCTTGTTGGCATCAATGTCGGAATCCGATCAACTATTCGTTAGTATTGAGGACTATACCCTGACTAATGGCTTTCTTCACATGACACGTCTTGGTCCTCGCTGCCCCCATTTCGGGCCGATGTGAGCGGGTGGAAGCCCACAAATAGTCGACAGATGCCTCCGTTCTCGGTGGGGGGAGAAAGAGAAGCTGGCGGGTCCAGATTTGGAGAACCAGGAATCACGCTAAGGTACAGTAAGGCTGGAGTCTTGGTGCCTGAGGCCAGAACGTTTTAGAGCCTTGGCCCCGGCTGTTCTCCGTGTCCTGGTCCTGTGACCCTGCACGTCCAAGGGTTCGACTCGGTTGTCGTCCGATGTCCATCATTCGTGGTGGTCGATCTGGATAAACAGAACCTCATCTCGGGAGATCCCTTTTCCATGTTGCCAGCAACTGGAAAAACGCAGGGGAAATACAAATACTAAAAATTGTCACCGCTTTTCCAATAGATTAACCCAATCCTCCTCGCTTAACAACCAAACCGTATGATCACATCTCCAGGCATCGAAGAAGATACCAGTGGAAATCTCACCGAAAACAACAAATTGGTCTAGTACCGCCCCTCGGCATCTTACGGAATGACAGAATTTCTCCAAGAAACTACCACCATGATTAAAGCTACGGATTTGGCAAATCTCATGCGGGGAAAGGTGTCTAACCTTGCCCGGGAGGGTAGTGGATCGACATAAGCAGATAAAGTGCATCGCCGGAGCGATATTAAATTATTAAGTAAAAAGTAC